TATGAATTCTAAGTCAAATATGTTATAGACTACGTCACATTTCCCTGACAACCGCTTCATTTATCTTTAATGCGAGAATAACGCGACCCGAACGAAGAACTTTTATATTTCACTTGGAAACGTCAGGAATCAAATTTGTCACTATTACTTTTATGAACATCCTTTGTCGCGTTCGTGAATTCTATTTCTATAACTAGAACAGAACCGGATTTGGTGCGGCGAACAAAGAGAATTGGCCAGTTTATCGAGATTAAATTCGGCGTTGTTGTACAGTTACGTTCACGTAGAGTCATCTATGTGCGTTATTATTGTTATTTAAAATTACGTTGTTTTTTCACGTTTCCGGTCTGCAATCGGGTTGAGTATCATTAAATGCAGCACAGCAGTGGTAATTTTGACATAAATATGGAATAAGCGGTTCATCAACCTCCTCGTCTATTCCATACGACTCTAGACGATAGCGTGATGCAGTTAATTGGCTTAATTTTTTATTTATCCTCTCGAATTGTCCTACGATCACAAAGAGCCTTGAATTTTCGAAATACTCCCTATTTTTCCGAGTTTACTTTTCGACTAAATTATGTATCGGCGCCGTCTTTATCGAGTGGACAAAAATTCATTTCATCCTTTTCGAGCCCCTATTGACCGCTTTCAACTTTCAACCCTCCAGTAAATTTTCATGGAATTTATTAAGAGCTTACCTCAAGTTCCCCCCTTATACGTTTACTCCCTGCCTCCCGATTTTCATCTGATATAATAAACACAGGCATAACTTTTCCGATTGACTCGAGGTGCTCGGTGAATCACAGCGCGATTTTACAACATCCATATTCGCGCGCCCTGTATACGAAATTACGCGCTATTAAAGTTACATGGAACTCTTTTTTTAACAGTTAGATGCGTTCAACTTGCCGTACCTAACGATATGGCGTTCAATAAATTTTGTTATTCGCGGAGAAAAAAAAATTATTGCCTGCCACTAATTCGAAATAATGGAGGGAATTTATTTCCAATTCACATTCGAATTTATGATGATTTAATGCCGGCAAAAATGCTTGGAAAACTCGAAATTCATCCAGTGCTTCATGAGGAAAATAATATCGTTAACTTGTCAAAATTGGCAGGGTGCCAAAAAACAATTTTAACGTTCATAAAAAAAATCATTAATAACCACCCGATTTCTTAATACTTTTCTAATAGTGGTAAAAATTTGTGGAAGTGGAGAGAATTTATGGGCAAGTTCAACACATCAAAATAGAACATTATTTATACTCCAACAAATTAATTGGTAAATAAACCACGTTAGTTCTTAATCATAGCATGGTTAACCTTCACACGCCGACTAACAATGTAATGCCGTTAGTCTAACCGTTAGTTATATTCTATTTTCATTAATAAATCCGAAATTAAAAGAGCTGGTCGGGCTCCGCCGGGTAAAATCAACGAAATGCGTATGTATAATAAAAAAAAGTTATCGATTTGAATGTTTGCCAATTCCGAGACTTTGATGTCTTTGAATCGAGCTCTTAGATTTTGTATTTTTAATTGTTTATTCAAATGCTGTAACATCCTGTTGTTTTTTATGACGGCTTACACGCTAGTTTTATATTTAACTTCGCCTTTCGATTGTGAACCTACTTGGATTTTCGAAGGAGCATGATCTTAATTGGAATGGTGGGACTGCTTAAGAAAAATGTTTATCTTTTTGTCGTCTTGTTCGACGTTATTTTGTTGAAAATGTACTGAAGGAGAGCTGGATAATGAGGAGAATTGGTTTTTTGAATGCTGTTTGTGACAAGCAAGCCCGGAAGGCGAACGAGCCTTGGGAAAGTTTCTTTTTTGTTAGCATGTTTTTTTTAATAAACATATTTTGCAAACATGCTCTTGTATTTAGTTTTATTAAAAAAATATGGAAGGAAAGTTTTTTTTTGTTTGACCTTAAATTTTCGAACCAATATTCTGGATTCTCGACTAAACAGGTGGTTTTGATTTATATATTTTAAGCCAAATATATAAATACCAGAGTATAAGCTATGTAAATTAGAGAAAAGCGTAGACTTTAGTGTGAGAAATATTTAATATTTTCTGAAATCCGCTGCATTTTTGAGCAGATGGTTGATACAACTTCAAATTAATTAGTATTTTAGAATATCAAACCAGATAAATATTTAATTTATAGAATAATTTTTAACAAACCGCAACGGCTGGAAACGAACTTGCACAAGACTTAGTTATTTTCCATGCAAACGCAAGATCCGTGGGCTCTCTTTACTGATTCATAGAAATAGAAATTCTTATATTGTTAATAGCCGCCAGTTCATCCCATTTAATACCGTCAATGTATTGGAATAACTTTTAAAATTGATTCCGAACCACTCGAGGCAATCAATGCTCGCACACAACCCCCATACAATATTTTCTTTGTGAATATAACATATAACGAACGCTAAACGAATATACATAAAAAAAGACTGTTCGGCTAATCAAACATTCAATGTTTGAACTCCGTCATTAATTGACATATCCCCTATGTTGATGTTGGGCTCAGTGTAATTATAATTACCAAAGCGATGAAATACAATAGCTCGTCGAGAGAGAGAGACGGACCCATTTCTACCCAAAGATTTATTTCGAAACTCAGAGCCGGGTCAATCACCCAACAATATTGCAATGTTTGCGGAACGTGCAAAAATTGTCTAACTGTGCGTAAATTCGCAAGAGTTTTGCTACTCATTTTTTGGCGATCGCCGAACACCGGGATATTCATCCGTTTTTGTTTCGTGAAATCCCCCTTCCTAGCGAGACGTCTATGGCAGCACAAATCGATCGTCTTCTACCTTACAATACGTAATCATTTAACATTCTATTTGAATAATACTTTCCCGCATCCCATATGCGCAAAGGTGATGTGTTTATACGGAAAAATCGAACATCTAGAACGCCTTCATTTCCACCGCGTATGAAATGAACTATTCACTAGGCTATGAATACGAAATTAATGCGATTCCTGCGAAACGTTAGGATGAGTTTCGTCGATTTAAAAAAAGCCCGTTACTGTTTTCACATCGGTCATAAAATGGTGAATCGATCGAACGCATTTTCAGTCCAAGGCATTTCAATTATGTGCTTCACCTAAGAATTAGTCAATGATCAAACATGCGGATTTATTTATTTTTTCATTTTAACTGAGCGCTATCGACCGAAACTCGCTGTGAAAACCAGTAGCGCTTCGGCTGGATTTATTTAAAGATGTTTGAAAGGTGCACGTGCACATTGTAATAAGTCACACTTCAATTAATATCTGATATTTTATTTTGAAGACTGCCAATAGGTTGTTAAAGACACGTTACAGGATTTAGATGTTACGAGAAAAATTGGTGCGTGATGTGTAATAGAAAACGTTGCTGGAGAGAAATTTATTATGATCACGAATTTATTTTGGCACAAAAATAAACCAGAAAACAATTTAAAATTGTGACATTCGCCTCCTTTCAGTCAAGGTCCGAAATTATGAAATTACCAAGGCGTTCACAACATAGTTTCGAACAATTCTATATTTATTTTAGAAAACGATTTTCATATCTCACCATGCAGGCGCATTAAAATTTTATTTTATCGTGGTAAATTCGAGATACAAATGAGTCATTAGGCAAATTTGTTTTAACTGATTAGCAACAATTAATGATTTAGGGAGGTTTAGATAATATTCATCACAGAAACATATACCGGATTTATACATATGTAATGACTTGTTACTTAAGCAAATAATGAATATGGAACAATTAACCATTGAAAAATGTAAATATTGCGGATTATGAGTAAATGCAAGACACGTATAGTTGAGGCTTCTTTAAATAAATAATACCTGAATGATCGCGGTCATATTTTTTAACAATTAACAAAGAAGAAAATCTCAACAGGTATTTTCTAACTACAGGTACATGTACTACAATGCTGGATAAACATTTAACACATTATTTCTATATGGTATGATTTCTTAAAGATGCCATAAAAAGTCAAAAAATGCATACCAAACTCTTATTTTTGGAGATCTTTGAAGTGGAAGCTTGATTTGCTTTCTAAAAAATATATAATCAAATGTTTTCAATATAGTTATTAATTAGTAAGTTATAATTCACTTTTAATAAAGATTTCCATTTTTATGTCTATTTTTAACTTTGTTCTATTTTCATAAAAAGTATGTAACATTATTGATTAACAACAAGTCACATCAAACTGCATTTAAATGAGGAGAGAATCACCGATAAATTATGGAATACTTTTTTAGACCTATTGGTTTTATAAGGGGCAACTTTATAACGAAATTTTATAGCTTACAATAAAATTAAATATTTTTCATACTTTGTAAAATCATCTCATCAAGTCTAGGTCTATGTCATCAAGGAGTTGTTGAGTCTACATTCGATGAAATATTATTTTTATTGATGTAAAATATACATTTTTAATTACTTTTATAAACCAACTTAACCAAAATCAAATCAAAATGAAAGTGTCTGATACGCAGATACCTTACAACTGTCAGTTGTCAAGTTTCTTCTGTTTTTCATGTACGTCTCTAATACGGATAACCAGGTAAAATTAAATGAACAGGGAAATAACTTATAATAATTCAATACAAGTTACAGCAATGTTATAATATAAATGTAAATATCATGTGATCTTATTGTCAGTGCATTAGAAGTTTTTTCAGTTATTTGGAAAACTCTTCTTTTTTTTTTAAGATAAAAAAAATGGCTGTAAATTTTTAACCAATAGCGTGCATTTTAAACTTTCATTTGTCATTGACTCATTTCAGCACAAAGAGAAATCAATTAGAGTTGGAGCAATGCTATACGCAGTTGAAATGTTACAAAATAATTAGTATCTGTTCCAAATCTTTCAGAAGTAACGGTGAGAGATAGGACACAGTTAAATTCCAACATCTCTAACCGTGTATGATAGATATTATTTTGACATCTCGACTCTCGACTTCGACGTTAAAGTAGACATATTTTAGTGGGGTTGAATCTTTGTCGAGTGATTTGTACTAAAATTATCAGTTTTTTTTATATAAAGAGGACAAATTATACACAACAACAATGACTATTTTGCCACCGATTCGAAAATCGTCGTCGAACGCAGAAGAAAACAAGGATACAAGTCAACAGAATGTAGGTTCACAGTGTTCATACAGATGATCGTATTTTGGAATGGATGTCTAAAAATAGACGAATTATATTGTCATTTACCGACGATAATGCACATCTTAAACTTTTACATAACGCTTTTTACTTGTTTTAGGCTGCAACTGAAAGAACAACCAGACGAAATGATATTAATTCCATGCAGATACAGTCCTTGTCAGACAATCCAACCAGCACCAGAAGGTCTCCTTAGTAAGTACATTTACAATTACCAACATCACGTAATTACATAGTGCTAGTATTGCCTATCTCACAATTGCTACTTTAGTTGGTTCCTTTCTTAAAGATTTTGGTGTATAAATTAATTAGTCCATCGCATTTCGATAATGAATATGCATTAAGTGTGTAAGAGTAATAGGAAACATAAAAAACGCTTCCTTCTAGCTTTAATATATTTACTCATAAAATTCAAATCGCTTCTAAAACTAACAATTTAATTGGCTGTTTGTGTAATTCAACTGGTCTTGTTTAGTAAAAGCGACCGAAAGGAGCGGTTCCACAAACGATACAAAGAATCCGAGAGGCCCAGGGACCGCGAGAGCGTGCGGGAACAGAAGCGGGAGGTGAGAAGGGAGCAGAAAAGGGAACGGATTGTGTTGAACAAGCGCGACATCATCTCGGAGCCCTTGCACGAGGCGAATCCCATCACATCGCCGGTGGACAGTTCACCTGCGGAGACATCGAAGAACAGCGAAACCGTAATAAAGGAAGATTGCACCGGGTTCAACAGCGAGGATGAGTACGATGAAAGCTTCTTCAAAGGTCGTAATCTTACCGACGAAGAGTGGAATAAGGTTAGTGAAGTAATTCGCTCGATGAGCTTCGTAACTCATTTGAATTTCTAGAGGGATGCTTTATTCGCCCGATGCATGTCGAATTTGGGATTCGAAATCAAAAACATGAATGAAGATGGTGCGTGTCTCTTTAGATCCATTTCAGATCAAGTGTACGGTGATCAGGAATTCCATTTTCAAGTTAGACAGGACTGCATGAACTATATTGTAAGAGACCATACACATTTTTTTATTTTCGTTTAAGTAATCGTTTTTTAGGTACAAAATCGTGATTATTTCGAGCCCTATGTTACTGAAGATTTCGAAAAATACGTTGCTAGAAAACGAACTTGGCACGTGCACGGTAACCACTTAGAAATCCAAGCTATGAGCGAACTGTATAATAGAACAATCGAGGTTTATTGCTATCAAATCGGTGAGTAAATGCGTAAGTTCGACGCGCGGACGTTTCATTTAATCGTTTTAGAACCGATAAACATTTTCAACGGTTCGAGAATAACTTCATACGAACCGATCAGGCTCTCTTACCATCGAATGTGTCACTACAATTCGATTAGCAACCCGAACAGCCCATCAGTCGGAGTAGGCCTGGGCTTGCCCAATTACAAGCCCATCGATATCGACAGACGGAGACTGCACGATGCCGTTAGGGCGAGCGAAGAACTCCTCATTGAGCAAGTAAGTTGTTGCGTTTTTATTTCTACATTTTTTGGTAAATTTTTTTTTTCGCAGACGATGTTGGAGGATAAAATCAAAGCGACCGATTGGGAGGCGACGAACGAAGCGATCGAAGAGCAGGTAGCCAGGGAATCGTACATACAATATTTTCGCGACACCGAGAAACGCCTGAAGGCCGAAGGGCACGCGCACGCGCACGCCAGCGCCAGCAGTTCCACCATAACCTCCGCGATGGTGTCGAGTCCGAGGAGTTCCAGGCGCGGCTCCGTCTCCCCGAAGGGCGGTCAATCCCCCAAGGGATCGGCCTCGCCCAAGAACACTTTCTCCCCGTTATGTAAGTCGATGTCTTACGTACGAGCTATGTCTTATGTACTGTCTTGTAGCGAGCCCGAGGTCGAATTCGACCAGCATGCCGGTCATCGCAGAGCTGGATATCGAGAACTTGCCGCCGCCCTACGTCCCGACGAAAGAGGAAGAGGCTCTCGCCAAGCGATTGTACAACTCGCCGAGGAGAATTGAACAAACCGAAAGCGGCTTCAGTAAAGAAACCTTCGTTCCTGATTTCGCGAATCAGGCTGGCCCGTCTAACATGGACAATAATTTAGGTGAGTACGGAGACTGCGAATGATTAGATATTAATAGTTAATTTGCGATTGAAGGATTTGATGACTTCGATCAAGAGATAATGGCTCAGGTCTTAGCGGAATCGCAGCAAACCTACCTAGATGAATTAAAATTCAAATCAAAGAAGAGACATGGTTCTCCCGAACCGTCCACATCGTCATAATTGAAATACCACAGGCTTTAAAAATTAACCTCGGCTTGGTTATTCATTTCAAGTTTATTATCATGTGTTTGTAAGGTGCATAAACGCCCGTTTGTAATGGGTGCAAAATTTCTCGAATTCCGTTTGTAAAGCGACTCGTTTTTCTTTTCCTTTCGTTCTTTTGGCTTTTGGAAATTTTTTACCAGACTTTTTTTAGTAGAAATTTGACTTTAATAATGACAAATTTAAACGCGTTTTTATTCACGTATTCTTTTGAATTAAGGAGTATAACTTTATTTTCTTGGGAAATTCGCTTGTAGGTATTTATTTATATTATAATGTATTTTAGTTTTATTTATTAGAAAAATGAGATAATAAGAACCAGTCGCTTTATGGTAATTTTCTTGTGTAAAAAATTCGACAGAATTTTAATTGTCGTGTAATTACTAAGCTTAATTAAGGTTATCGATATAACTATGCAGGTTTATCTCTTATGCGAATTTTATTTAGGATGTTTTTTTAAAAGGCGCATATACAAACCTGTGCAGTAAATGTAATCCATTTGGTATAATTTTGAGTAGTTGCCGAAACAGAAGCATAGTCGACTAGGAATTTTTCAACTATCGTTTTAAAATTTACTGGTTGTTCCTTACACTTTTTCTAATGCTTGTTACATTGTTTTCTTTGACAATTGCAATTTCATTTTACTTGAAATGTTTGATAATTTATTTGTAGATAGCAATCAAAACGCACTAACGCAAGTTGTGAATTCATTCAAATTTTATAAAGCAAACAATGCATTTCTATATGTGGCATCCACATTTACATATATTTAAATTGTAAAAAGATCACGCCGAGACTATTAGAAATTTGGATAGTTTGATTCTAGTCATTGTGAAATTTTTGTGAACTTAGTTGGTGTGTTATATTTTCTGCATTGAAATCTTATAACATCCTATATTAATTAAGAAAACAATGTATTTAAATTTAGTAATTTCTTTATAACTTTGGTGATATAGCACAGTTGAAATTAATTTTTGTTGTTCATTAATAAAAATGATACGGCTTGTGTTTCAGCAAATTGTATTTTTTGGCTAACTATACTTTTTCCAAGTTAGTGGTATATTAATGTGATAATTATTTTAAGTTGGCGATTTCTAGGACTAGAGTTCGTTTAATTTCCAATTTATGATAAAGAACATTTTTATTTCAACGTAAGGAATTTCTTTAATTTTGTTATATAAAAAATATATATATAAATATATATACTGTAAAATATAATTATTAAAAAAAATCTATCAATGATTTTAATCGAACAAGAAACATTGAAATACTTTATTTACAAAAATTAAATAACATTTAAAAAATTCTCGACAATATATAACGAGACGCTTTTTACATTAAGTATTAGAAAAAAATATTTTCAATCAACCATCACAGACCAATATTTTCTTAGAAACCGTGAAAACTTCTACTTTACCAGTGCTACTGAAACAATTTTGTAATTAGCTCGTATAGTGTTCAATACGTTATCACAATACTTAAAATTACACGTACTCGCGTTTACCCCAGCCGCTTTATAATCCGTAATATCAAAAATTTGGCTTAAAGCAACTTCACCCATAAAATACCCTTATGCAGCATTCCTATAAATTCGCTAAATTTCAAAGTATGATGGTGCATCTTCAAATAATCTTGTTCCTGGTCCTGCTTTGTGGAATTCCTCTACCTTCTTCTCTTCTAACTATCCCTTCGTAAAATCTTGCTTGAGATTTGTAGAGGATGGACGGCAAAAAACTTCGTCAATGAAACGCTTCGTAATTATCAGCTTCAACTACATCTTGATTTGCAAATTTATAGAAGAGGCACATTTCTAATTGTTATTATACTAAAATTATAACCCGAACCAATGTAAACACTTTCAGTTTGATTATTTCCACCAACAAATGCAATTTTAGTACTATTTTTTCACAATTTCCGATTTTACCTCGGATATTCCTACAACTACGTAGCACAAACAATAATACTATCACTAAATCCGCAATATTACCCGCTTGAGCCTTGTAGAACAGTCCATAAAAATACCCTCAGTAATCCCTACAAGGTGGTGGTTTAAGGTAGTTCTCGTTCTTCATCGATTCAAAGTTCGTGTTTTCAGCTAACAGTGTCGTCGATCGGTTGTGTCTGAGATGGCTGCGGACGAGATGGCCTGCTGCCAGAGCGGCCATCAGCGACAATTCCCCAGCGAGCACGAGGCCGCAAACGATTCTAGCCAGTTGGCTCGCGTTTTCGCCGGGATTCTCCGTATTGGCCCCCTTCACTCCCAGCATCTCCAGGCAGGCAGCCTGCGGCGGCAGGATCGTACCGCCTCCTACAGTTCCAATCTCCATCGAAGGCATGGTGCAGGATATGTATAAGTCCTCTCCCGTCGCCCCGGTGGGTTCCATGAGGGTCATGCAGTTACTACTACTAATGTTTTGAGCTGGGTCTTGGCCCGTCGCTATGAACACGGCTGTTATTATGTTCGCCGCTTGAGCGTTGAAGCCGCCGATGCTTCCTGCTAGCGCCGAGCCGATCATGTTCTTCGTGTAGTTCACTTCGACTAGGGCGTTTACTGTCGTTTTTAATACACTAGTGACTATTTTCGATGGGACGATGGCCTCGCACACTACCGATTTTCCCCGGCCTTCAATCCTGCGTGCAACAGTTAAAGAATTAGTTTCACAACAACTAATTGTTGCTTGTAACTTACCAATTTATAGCAGCCGGTTTCTTGTCGGTGCAGAAGTTCCCGCTGAGGCTAACGATTTCCATGTCGGGAAATTCGTTTTGTACGAATTTCAGCGATATTTCAGTACCTTTCGACAGCATGTTCATTCCCATGGCGTCCCCCGTCTTCGCGACGAATCTGATGAACAAGTACCTCCCGACGATCTTGTTCAGAATCTTGGTCAGTCTCGCGAACCTGCTGCTCGAGTCGAATTGCTCCTTCATTAGGGCGAAATTTTCCGGCTTCTCAATCCACTTCAAAGCAGCGCTGCAAAGAAACCGAGTCGGTTAAATTCGCAACGATGTAAGTAAATCGCGATGTAACTAACCTTGCTCTCGTTAAAGAAGGGAACCTGACCACAGGTCCTCTGGTCATACCATCTCCCACTATGCTGCTGATGACGCCGCTGCTTCGGAGGGCCCTGCAGCCTCGGTTCGTGCTGGCTACCAGGCAACCCTCGGTCGTCGCCATGGGCACGTAGAACTCCCGATTGTCCAGCAACAGCGGCCCCGCGTAGCCCACGGGAACGGGTATGTAGCCAATCACGTTCTCGCAACAGGCGCCCATCACCTTGCTGTAATCGTAATCTTTGTAAGGCAGGTCCGTCAGCGGCGCCACCAGTTTGGCCTCCTTGGCTAGCATTTTCCTCCGGATTTTGACGCCCCTCTCGGGGTTGTCGACGGCCTTTTCGATCTGATGGCCCGGCAGGTGTTTGTGTTTGACTAGCAGCATTACTTCCTCATCTGTCAGGGTTACGGCACCTAGATCACTGTCACTGTATATGGCTAAGCACTCGTCTAAAGTTCTGCATATTGAGTCTTCTTCGAAGCTTTCGGTCACCTTCTCGACGTCCAGTTGACAGTAAATCGTTTGAACCGATTTATCCTCGAATTCCAATTCTGAGTTAATGATGGTTAATTAGTTCATTAACGATTGGTGCATGATGGACTTACCGCTTGATGAATCCGATGATTTGTCATCGCTGTACCTCCTGCCCAAAAAGAACGTTTCGGAATGTTTGAAAACAGGAGTCTGCTGCAAGTATTTGGTCTTCAGCGCCTGGTCCAGCTTCACGAAATCCGCGTTGTCTGAGTTCTTCAAATTCTCTGACATGGACGCTTGTATTTTTTCCGTCAAATCTTCTTTGTTCTCAAAGAAGATGAACTTTATCACCAGCGCTAGCAGCAGTATCAGAATAACGATGTGGTCAGCACTCAGAGTAAGCCATCTGTAGAACGCAAACGATCAAATAAAATTGCAATGTTAATAAAAAAAATCGAAGGGACTTACTTCATGATATAACCGTGGATGGCATTTTCTTCGGTTCGATTCAAAGTCATGCGTTGCTCGACGACCAGCGTGCCGATATCGTCAATGTCTTCCTCCCTGAACGGCCACCTACTGCAAATAAGGAAGCGACTTCGAATAAAGTCTCCCAACGGTTTCGAAAAACGAGGAAAACATTCTCGAGCTATTACCTCATACGTTATCGTCGACAAGATCTCCCAAATAACAATATAATACGGTATAAATAAGTTAAAAAAAGGTCAAGAGCTCGTAAATATTAAATAGCTATTTAAGCACCCGGCTATTTACAGATCCATTCATTGATATTTAAATTTCGGCTCGCCTCACGCATGTTCTGCCAGCTGATCGCGTTGATATCAAACTCGTTAATCGAATTCCGGAAAGCAATTACCTGTGCGCGTGCACCAGCATCAGCCCCGCTGACATGATGAGCTTCACCCTCTGCACCACGGGGTTGGACTTGTGGTCCTCCTCCCGGAACGCCTTCGATATTATGCAGGGCTTCCTGCCGTACATCGCCGTGTACCTCGACAGCTAAACCGAAAAAAATATCTTACAAACCCTTCGCGACGATCGCAGGAAGGTACATTACCTCCAGTATCAGCGACAGGCAAGCCGGGTAGAACGTCATGAAGACCATGTAATTGACCAATACTGACAAACAGGCGAAGCAAGAGAGCAACTCGAGCCGGTGCACTCCTGAAAACGCAATCGTAAAGCCATCTCCTTAAGCGTATTGAGGTGCTCAGGGTGTCTTACCGGATAGGGTTCCGACGCCGATGACCAGGGTCTCGACCAGAGTGTCCAAAGTGATGGTGGGGCCGAGGAGGGCCATGCCCTTGGCGATGTTGATTTTAACCTCGTTTTGGTCGGAGGCGTTCATGGCGAATTGGGCGAGCATGGCGGCTTTGGAGAGGTCGATGAGCAACAGGAAGAAGAAGAGGGCGTCTCTAAAAATACGCGTCGCATTGAAAATCCATTAAGATTCGATTTCCTATTTATAAAGGCTTACTTGAGATCGACGACGTTGATACGGAGAATGTTTAATACCGTTGACGTAAATATGAAGCTTGAAAAGACGGTGAATAGGCCGGCTATACCTGGGAAATTGTTTAGAAATAAGAAAACGTGCATTTATTGTGGATGAAAAGCATTACGCATAGTCGGAACTAGACGATTTGTGTATTAGAATAACTGACGCGCCGTTTTTATCTTTTATTGTCTTCTTATTCTTTGTTTTTTTTTTATTTTAGCCGCGACTTATTGTGAAATTTCTTTTGCTCGGCGCTCTATTTTTAGGTTGGGGATTTCACCATTTAAATTTTACTACCTAATCGGCGGAGTTTTATAATTAATTCGCGATTTTTTTTTCCAATAACCAATAAATTTACAGCTATATTATTTACTTTCTCTAACGTTGTTACCTAGAGACCATGACATTGAATAATATAATTTCACTTTACTTTCTTTGTAATGTTATGCATGCTTACGGGCCACAACAGCGATTATTCAAATATTACTCCGCGCGGAATAATTAATTGAGTCTATTCAGAAATTCGCACCATCAGCAGGTAAATTGATTAGCACTTACCCAATATGTACTTCGAGCCCAATTTTTGCAATTTGCAAAATTGGTAATAACAGTAGAGCACCGCCAGACATCGTATTATTGTCATTACTATAACATCAGCTGCATTGTAATCGACCTGGAAAATAATTAACAGATTTGTATTTTCAGATTATCTGGAATCGAAATAGAGGAGAGAATTTATGGGGCGAAGAAATTGGTGTTAAAAAATAATTGTGATTGGGTTATTTTCTGTAATGTAAGCGTTCTAAAATTAGAACATCCATTTTAACCGTGAAATATTCGTACTTCACTTGCCGCCAGTCAATACAAAGAAATTATGCTAATTTGTTCCGTGACCAGGTGTAAACATTATGAAATTGATACTTTGTACTTTCAGACACAAACCGAGGCGCTGGAGATTAATTTGCTTTTTAATTCTTCGGCGGTTTTGAAACGAATGGTAAAATTTTCGGATTCAGAACCGAAAATTTTATCGATAAAATTGAGAAAATTCGTCGCCTCGGCGGATCGGCGAGTCGCCTCTTCTAGATTTAGTACTTTCTCTTCTTAGGTAACTCGAAGTGCGTTTCAATTTTGTTATGAAAATATGTCAGTGTCTTCATTTTTTTAGCGGACATGTTTTGAATTCCACCCATACGAATTTGAATAAATACCGTAGGTTTTGAAATTTTCCGAATTCGAATTTCACCGAGGACCATATTAGGTATATTTTACCTGATCGAATCGAACTTATTGTATAACTATCGTAACCTTTTTACCTACTTGTAGTTGTGACGTTTCACAATTTTTGTGAAACACAAATAGCCGAAATCGTGTCTACTCGGGAGCTGTGTCATTTCGATGCGCGCTTTAAAGAAAATAATAACTTCTTAATAGATAAATTTTATAGTATCTGCAAGACCTTTAGGTGCACCGAAGTTGATTTGCATAAATTAAAATGTTGCATGCATCGGCTCGATGTAACGTCCTAAACTGACTTCTTCGTCTATTAATAATAGTAAATGCGATACTAAGTAATTCGCTAGCATAAATAAAAGGAATGTGCCAACGACTACATTGTAACTGAAATGTGGTAATAACATTTTTTTTAAACAGAATCGTGTATTGCTTAGCAAATAAATACTAGCTGTAAAATCCTCATTATCCTTGTTTTCATAATCTTGAAGACTTATTTACCCGAAGAACTTGTAAATAAACATTCAATTCTTTTCGCATAAGTTATGGTGGAATCCAAAATCGTTTTATTACTTTCTCGGGGATTTAAACATTCTAAATATACTCTATTAACTGTTTAGTGTGGTTTTGAAGCGACTGTGTATTTGCGCTCTTTCGATTTATTTGAAATTGTTGTTTTTATCGGCTGATGCGTGATGTATTGATTACTGTTTGACTTCATACGCGCATCTCGCTTAGGAAAACAATCAAAAAAATGCAACGAGAAGAAACCCAAATATGCTTCGAGCGAGGCAATTTCATCTTGAAGATGCTGCTCGGATGTCTAGACTCGCTACAGAAAGTTCCAGTTCTGATTAAATTTTTGCACAATTACCTGGTTTTTATGTAACAAAACAAGTCGATACAAAAACACTGATTGCATAAAGGCGATCCTAATCTTAAGAAATCACATTGCATATCTCCACTGTAACAATATTTATTAATTTATAATTCAGATAAAAAAAAATTTCACATCCTAATATGGCATAAACATAATATGAAAAGTTCATTAGTTGTATACGTAAAAAATTAAAAAAAAAACAGGATATTATTCGAAAGAACACGATCATGATATGGAAAAAATATGTTCACTTTATAAAAACTAGTAGGTAGATGGGAATTTAGCCAATTACTTGACTAATTATATAGTATAAATAAAATTTATAATAAACCATAATAATTTATGTTATATTTACGCACCACAAAAAAAATTAAGAAAAATAAAATCATGAAGCTAATACACAATAATTATTTTTCATTTATTGTTAAGTTTTAATTAACCAATGTACACAAGGCATACTTTTATGTGTATTAAGATTGTTATTTCGTGTATTAAATTAAATAATCAGGACATAGAAATCCACCAAACGAAGGCACCTCGATTGCTATTAAATTCGCTAAAATTAATTTTTTTACCAGCCAGTAATTTCAAAGAGCAGCAGTTAGGTACCTACTCATCGCAATTTTAGATAGTCAATCATTACTTTCTTAAATAACTGGAACAATATTAGTAGAAAGTACCGCAACTATGTCAATTTATGAATATTTGAATAATGAATTAAAATCTTCAACTGCACCTGTTGATGAAATTGGGAAGAATTAATAGAGTGTACCTATTATGTATCAATCCTGTACTAAGGGATTTTTTTCTTCTAGTTAATAATTGAATCTAAATGCTTAGGAAATGAGCAGCCTACTTTAGATAATAAATTTAAAGAGTACACAAAAAGGCTTTCTAGACCCGGAGCTTTAAAAGCTTCAATGCACCTACTTAGAAAATAGTATATATTTGTTTATTCGCCTTTAAAAAAATCCTCCCCCGGCTATCTCCACGTCATAATCATCATGCACGAAGTTCCGCGTCTGACTTATATCTCAAAGCAGGTTATTTTCATCTCTTCGATCCACAAGCAGGACTTTCTGTGAGAAGTTTATTGACCTTGGCAGTGAAAGTAAACGTGAAAAGTTCATAAGATCTTACGTACTCGCGTTAATTGTTGAAATAAAACGCGGATTTTTCGAAACGCGTACAAACAGAGGCTTTCGGGTAAAATCCGCAATTTCATTTAAGGATCGGCACCGGCCGAGAGGCGGTAAGTCGCTCTTAAAATTCGATGAATTATTCATGATTGTGACAAATGTGTTTTCACTCGATTCCCACATACATGTCGCCGAAAACTATTTTAATGTAGCGAAAAAATTTGTTGCTTTTCGCGATTATTAGTCAATAGCGAGTTATTCGAACGCAAATTGCATTTGTCATACGTAGATTGTCTTTTTGCAGTGCAATTTTCATTATTAGATAGGTGGATTAGATTTGTTCTATTTTTTCCACTGCACCGATTTGTAGCCGCATGCAACAAGAGGAAGCCGCTTCATTACGCAACCTTTAACTTTCGAATTGTTGCACTAGAGACGCTATAATATCGCCACAATTTAAATATATCACGTCCAATTAGCTACATTCAATGTCATTATTGTTTACAATATCAAATTAATGCACTAATGGTTCGTATACTGCGAAGAGTTGGATGTTGCGTTGCACAATCGACGAGTCCTTGTCCGATATAGAGATTTTGAAATTGATCAATTAGAATACAAGAAACGCAAGGTTCGCCCGTTCTCGAGTAGACGCCGGTGCCAGTTATCAAAACAAATAAAAGTATTACGAAGAAAATTTAACTTATTCATTTATGTATAAATTAGAAGGATCCTTGTCGCAGTCGAAGACTCGACCAGAAGCGTTTTATTACCACGAAAATATATTCTATAATATAATATTTACAAACTGACCCAATTGAGGCGATAATAAATCAGAATTAATAATAATATATCGAATGTAGTACTAGTTTTATAGAGGAAATGCTGTAGGTAATATATTATAGATTTATTCTTAGAAACGCGAGATAACAAAACTAGTTACAAAAAACCGAAAATAAAAATAAATATTCCAATCGAAACTCCCACATATCACTTTGTGAAATCCGCGATTGTTTATTAGACAAGGTTCGCGCTCAAATCGGTTTATTTTAGATTCCTGCCAACGATTCCAGGACATCATCAAAGGTTCGAATAATATAAATTTTTAGCCGCGCGCTTATTTTACCAACCAACAACTAAAAGAAGGACCCACAAACACATTTTCCGTTCTTTTAATGTTTCGATATAATTTCACCAGACTTTACCAGTACATTTTTACCGAACCCAACTTGATGAGATGACTTCAAGGAAGGACGTTCAATATTCCAGGAGTGTAAAGTCCGGTTTAGATGATACAATAAATGCACCGTTTTGTCGAAAATCGGGAGTACCGTTTACACCTTCCGTCTTTTTATTCCAACCAGGCTTTTCCAAAATCAGTAGTTTAGCTTTGTGTTTTACTCTCATCTAATCTCTGGTTTACACATTCCATTTTGCATGCAACGTTTTGTCGATGCAGACAAATCGTTACGTTTTATTGTATCATCTAAACCGGACTTAAGGTGTTACGTGAAAAGTTTGTTAGTACATGGGCTCACCTCGTTGATGCACCCGGCGCATATCCTGAAAGGTTTGGGCGGCGGCGGCGGGTTCTGCTGGTCCAGAGTGAGCATGCAAGCGGTGAGAGTCAACGTGGCTACTATCACTTCCCACGGATGCGAAGCGCAGAACTCCCCGTGCGCGCTGAAAAAACGTGCCCACATGGTCTGCGTCCTGTCGCCTGAAAGAAAACGACTACCTGAAAATGTGGATTTATAGCGCGTATCCGCCGAACGCGATAATTGTACGGTGTCGTCGCGTCGAATCAATCATCAATAATTTCATCAAGAACCGCATAAACAATTTTCCATCGGGTTAAAAATATTTAATCGAGCTTACAGTTTACAATAGCCGAACGGTTCGAGTGACTGAAATTCTCCATGTTGTCCAATAAGTAGACTTTGGTAATTTACTTCAGTTTAACAAAGTTTTGTATGTTAGCTGCAACATTTGCATATACGAGTACATGTGTTTAGAAGTAATTGGTTTCTCATTAAAACAACAAGAACCTAATGCGAACTTGTTTACAATAGCTAAAATTCTAGGAAAAGGAATGTTGTTAAATCTACAAGGAAATCGGGTGAAGTTTTTTCTCTAAAATCAACACGAAAACTGTTTTTGACGTGAACACATTAATCTCGGCGTTTTGGCTGCGGTAAAGCATATTCTAGGAATAGAGCACATTTCTCTATTTATTTTTTCAGCAATGAAACATCGATTTTCCCGAAACACGCCGGGGAATACCAAATCGAATTTATGAATGACGAACTACAAGCATTAAAACATTGCACAGGTTGAAAGCATACGTTCATTTCGGAAACATATTCCCATTCTAAATATTTAAACAAGATATACTGCGATTATACGAAGATAAATTCATTTAGTAAGACACAAAAAAAACGAAGAGAATGTTTAAAAAAAGATTACGCAAGAACGTTTCATGGAAACGCACTTAGGAGGAACTGACTAGGAGATTATAACGCCCAAACAAAGGTAACTCGACGATTTTATTTGATTTGATTTACCTGCCCATTTTTACGGTGGCAGTATATCAGTCAAGGTTGGTTACTTTCTCTGAGCGGACACTGCCCTAATCAAGAAAATTCGAAATAAATTCCTTAAAGTAACACCCGAAAAGTCTTTTTTTCGAATTCGCCATCGAGATAGCGGAAACGCATCGCCATTTTTTTTGCACGTCTTGCTCGTGTTATGTCTGCGCTGATGCTATTTATTTATGCTCAAAACGCGAGCAGTAATAGCAAATGCCTTGCGAGTGCAAAGGATTCCAAAGCGACGTGAAAAATTCCGCGACAAATGCTCTTTCATTTATTTTTAAGCTGCACTAATGAATAAATTCAAACATCAAAAGCCCTCACCTATTAATCGATTAATCGAATTTGATGAATGTTTGGCCAAAGACTAATGGCTTTTTTAATTTTTTCTGCGTCTTATAGTTTAAAAATCTCTAATGAATGGATGTGCGAGGATGAAATCCACAGGTGATTTCCACGTAACAACAACACATTAGACTAAATTACCATACCGAAAGTTTGAAAGAAGATAAGCCAATTGACCGAAAGAAGCCTTTCCTGACATGCCTGACCTTCGACGTCGGGCATCTTAGATCCAAATCGAACCACCTGTTTTAACGGTCTCGACTATTCGGTCCAAGGTTACTCTCCAAAATCATTTGAAAGGGTTAAGGTTAAACCTATATATTCTCGACGCGAAGATTGCCCAACGTTTCCCCAAGCAATTTGTGGAAGGTTGACAATTGCTTATTAAACATTTGTAAATGGCATTAAATATTGCGATTTCGGTGAATGAAAGTGACAACTTGAGGCGATCTTCGGAATTGCCTAACGGTAGCGGAATCGGTGATTGATGAAAATTATTTTAATAAATTTATGTTTTGGGTTTGCACAATTCACGACCTTATAGTTTTTGGAAGTGTCCTCCAAAATCTTATATAATGGTTGTATATTTACTAATCTCTACATCTTGTACTCGTTTGATAACTGACCTACTAACAGAGCACTGTCCTCTTATAAAAAGACATCAACACGCACTCAACCGGGCGACTAGAAATTACCTACTTCACAAACCCATCGAATTATTCGAACTATCCTCTGAATCTTCGAAATTAGATCGAATTCTACGGCATATAATCGTGCAATTTGCGCCGGCATTTGGAACCATTAATTTTTTTTTCGACTGTATGAGATTCCAAGGTGAGTGAACGTACATTGGAATAAGTTCGATTAAAACGGCACGCGAAATATGCATTTTCATGCAGTTCTTGCTCTATTCAGGGCCGAATTCGGCAATTACGTTTTGCGCAATTCCGCTGTAGCAGATGTACAGCGCGAATGCAAGAAACCGCGCGCTGGACAATCATCCCCCTGCGAGCGCCCGCCTGGAATCGGTCCAAGGAATTCGCGTTTTAATTGGTTATTATTCCTCTTCCTAAGCGGCCGGTCGAAATTAATTATTCGAGTCTCGCAGGAGGCTTTCAGTGTAATCAAAAGCATTCCGGGTGCAACGTCACCGTTGGAATGAATCCATCAAATTTCACGCTGAATTAAAATTCAGGACAGTCGCTATTACACATTATTATGAGGTAATTGGACAGACAATAAATCCATTCGTTGAAACTTTGTCTTTTAATCTTTCTTAGAAGGATTACCGGTCGGTAATAATTATACTATACTTGACTATGCATGTGCCACGTTCAAAATGCGACTTGTATGTCATTAAAATAAATTGTAAGTATATATTATCTGTTAATATTCGGTTACAGTTAGGTATTCTTAATGGTGATATTTAGGGCATATTTCGCATGCTATAAATTTTTTTAATGATTATTGGGCGTTTAATGAAGCAAAATAGTAATTTATGTAATCGGCTTGGGTGGATTTTCTTAAAAAATCAATGAAATTGGAGCTGCAACTTCCTCGATATATATGGCAAGAAAAGCAATAAATTTCTAAAATGCAGCCCACCAACGAAGGGTCACAATAGCCAACGTTATAGGTATAGCTAATTCGTTTTATAACCTTTTCGAAGTTAACTTATACAACCAACATACGAGGGCAGATCGATATTTTCTCCCATTGCTATAGAGTTTTTGGAAATACCCGAAATTCCACACACTTTTCGGAAGCCTGCGGTTTAATTCAAGCCGGCTGCCGCTTTCTATTTTTCTGTCAGTGTATCCTTAGTATTGCATAATGGGACACGAATATTTGAATAAAATTTGTTTAAATTAAATACATTAAAATGAATCGGTAAACACAACGTTTCACAATGATAAAATACAGAAACTTCAAGGAAGACGAATTAATATCTATTGTATTTTTAACGAAGCTGGAATCATTTTAGAATTATCTGGTTAAAGGAATTGGAAATTCGCATCAGTTCCCGGCGGAAATCCCCTCTGAAAAATAATGATCTAATGGGATTCCCCATGTAAGGTCAAGTTCGTTTACGCAACGCAAATATACAAATGCATTCACACGAAATTAACTAAAAATTGCACACAGTAAAAGTAAATTCACAAATTCTATATATAAGCGAGTGATCTAAATACTCTTTGAAAGTGTAACCAAGAAAAAGCAATTTCGATTGTGGTCAACAAAACGCAACAGCACGAGCCATAAAACGTTTACTTAGTAGTTTATTTAATAAGGCGAGTTTCGAATTCGAATTTCTTCGCGAGAAAAAGAACCATTGAAATCAAAAACAAAAGGCAATTCCCTCTTATTGCAATACATCTTGAACAATCGATTCTAAAAGAATTAACAGCATTTTATGCGACGTTAATATTATTTACGACTACAACGCAAACTATTATAATATTTACGATCGGTTAAGTGAGAGAAAGGTATATGGGATATTCGTACGAATAAAGGACCAGAAGCTTTTGAATCAATTTTCTACCGGACCTCCGCTGGCACGTGAAATTTCATCTAATCGCCTCTCCTGCTTAGCCCAGTCAACAAATAGCACACAATTAATTATAAATTGATTCAAATTAAAGTAACCAAGATAATTCAAGAGTCAAATTTAATAGCAGAATACAATAAAATGTATAAGAAACAAAATCCGGTAAGCAGGAATTTCCTAAAAATCTAATAGAAAACTAGGTAAGTGAATTTTAAACACAATCGTCAAGACTATAATACATCATTGTACACTCTTCAAATGCTTGTGTTCTGTTGGTGTTGATCTTCAAAGTAGAAATTACTCCAAGTTCAACGCCCTTTAAAATTTTTACGGCAAATTTATTCGAGGTTTTCGTAGTGGAAGAAGAAGCATTGTAATGGAACTATTTCCCCAGATTCTCCGAAACAACTACCACCTACTCGGTTCTAAAAATAATTTTTATAGCCGCAAACGCACCCCGTACATTATCATCCGCCTTTGCGGCAGTTTGGAGAACAAAAATATTTTAAAGGTTCTATTTCTGCGTGCCCACGAACGCATCCACTTATCTACTACTGACACTTATATCTCGAGATATTCCACGGCTTTAAAATAAACCAGGAGTAACTCATTATTTTAGTGCTGCACTAAAATTTTATAGGCCTTATTATTGGCGTTCCGTTTCGCTCGGTCCCGAATTTATAAACTTACAAACATTGTAAAATCCAGATTGAATCGGAAGAGGCGAATCGACTGAAAGCGGTGATGGTTTATAAAAAAAACAACTTGTGTAGAAGAAGCCTATTGAAAATTCCTGTTTATGAAACGAGAGCTATCTGAGATGGGGAAATATGGAAGATCAAAATTCTAGTGGAAGATTGAAATGATGTGTACCTGGAATGCCTGTTGGTTTGAACATTGATTAGAAGACATCCAATCACATAAGATAATTGATAACCCTCAATGTATAGATATTAAATTTCTGTACATACGCAATTAATTAATTAACTATCTAATTTCCAAGTTTGGTTAAAAACAAATAAAGTACTTAATTAGGTTAAAAACAAATAATATTACGAGTTGAACGCAATAATTTGAATAATTTGTTGGTTTTTTATGTAAATTTTGTGTAAAAAATTCAATGCAAGTTTTTTGTTGGAGGTTCAAAATTAATATCATTTGAGCGAGTTTAATAATTTAATAATTTCTCTCGAATTTTGAGAAACCGGCCCAAATTTCCTTGTTGTATTTATTTGATACATTTAAAAATCCAATTTGAATACCTCTTTTATATCAATTTGTGTTGTTGCATCATAAAATTCATTAATGTAAAGCCACAGGCCTACCGAATTTATTGATGTCATAATTGTTTATAGTTATCATTATTTTGATATCATTCTGCTTAAAACTTAGGTAATTAAAAGTTTCTGTAAAATTGCGACAATATAATCAAATTATATATGAATGATGAAATAATTTTAAAACTCAAAACTTATTCTAAAATAAAATCAGAAGGATATCGATAATTTTATTAATTATTAAGTCGGGTTATTATTTGAAATATTTAATAGATTCAAAATAATATTGCATAATTCCTTAGAATATTTTTACCTGTAAAAACATATAGGTACTTTGGATATTAAAAAAAATTGTAATATAAGTATTCCGAAAACATATTTTTATATAAAATGTAGCAAATCGAACGAAATTATTTAAAAAAAGTCATCTAAAACCTAAAAAATATGCACTCATTAACTTAAAATCGAAATTCATTTTAATGATTGTACTGATAAAAAAGATGCCATAATAGCAAGGCTACATTAACAATCAAAATTAAAAATACCTATTAACCTACTAGTGAATTCGACACACATAAATCAATCGAAAAAATAGCCGATTTAATGAATGAAACCCGCTCAGTCACCCCCGCGAATCGCACCCGTGAAAAATCGCAAATCGCAAAAAATCCTCACCTTTCAATGTTTCGTAAAGTCCTGAAACGGAAATCTCACTGAACACACGAGACCTAAAGCGAACTCCGCTGGCAAACAGCGCATCCACGACAGTTTCAGACTATACTGAACTGAAAGCTGAAAGTGAGTTGAATGAGTCGCAGTGCTCCCCAAATCAAATGGAATATCTACACATGCACGCACGCGGGCACGCCGAATGTGTGCTGCAAACCTGACACGGTCGAAAATTTCTTTTCAAAATCGACGCCTATCGATGCGCCTTGACGGACGTCTGAAGCCGCAATTGCAATCGCCGGTCAAAGGCGGCCGCTATTTAATATCTCGCGGCTCGCGCGAACAATTCGCCGGCTTTTTACGTCAGTTGATGCCCGCCATTAATTAAATCGCATTATTATTTTAATTATGGGTTTTGAGTTAATTTTGAAAGCTTTGGGTAGTTGTTTGGATAATGGTTTTTTTTATCCATGGGATGGGAAATGTTAATAATTGGTAAATGTATCAGAATGTTAGTGAGGGTGACTCACGAAGCACCTCTAATTCGAGAGTATAAATTAAAGAGGGTATCATGTCGAAGGTATCATTTAAATCCCGCATGCTTATTATTAAATACATTATCTCTTATGACTTTATATTCACAAAGATTACAAGAGAATTTTAAGCTACAATAATGAAAATGAGTAACCGAGGTAGATCCAGAAAGTTTACTTTAATAGTATATTATGTAATAAGTGTAACACAAATAGGATAAAATGTGATAACGAGCACGTTTCGCGAACTTATGTGTTTTTTTTTGAAACATACACAACTTGAAGAAAATTATTATGCTTAGTCTAAAAAATAGTGTTTTTAACATGATAAAGTAGAGATAACAGATTAATGTAGTGGGGCAGCTCATCTTTCACTTAGTTTCTAAAAGGTTTAAAATAGTAAACAAACTATAAAAATAAATCTGACGGTTTCCCCAATATTTTTAAGGATTTGGTAAGCGTTATACAAGACAACTATGTATTCCACTCAGCTCCGGTGATTTCACTTTCAGTCTTATTTCCTCCACATGAAAGTTCCGATTTTTTTATCGTTAATTCATCGATAAAATTTACGCACGAATTTTTTACACTGTACAGTACGTCAAAAAATTCAAACAACAGCGATTACCAGATTACTTTTTTTGCGTCGGATTTAAAATAAAAACTCCATTAATTTTCGATGAAAAAAATAATGATATTGGATGTCGTTCGAAGATAATTCGTTCTGACCTCACTTAAAGGTGAAAAGTATAACCCCATTTATAAAAAATATTTTGGAAATTATATTTATTAAGTAAACAAAAAGAAATTTAATGCGGAATTAAAAGTATATTTCGAACAACAATATAAAAGAACTGTCTAAAAACAATTAAGAACATTATTTACTTATTTATTGCAATTTGTTTGCAATATAATCCATGAGTGTAACACAGACAATTTCCATTAGTCTCATATGAAGGAAAAAGAAAGATTGATATTGTGGAATTGCAGCTTTCTCAGTGTAACCAATGTTATTATAATAATCTTCAACTCATATTGCAAACAAATTTGTAAACAAGTAAAAACGAGTTAATTTGTATACTATTCATAAATAGTGAACATATAGAGTGTATACTAGAAGAATGTAACAGTAAAATGCTTTTTTTTGTTAAAAACAACAATACCTAGTATCATAATGGTATAAAAGATGTCTGGAACTGAGGGTACATTGTGGGAGATCAGAGAGCAACAGAAAGAACCTTGGGATGCTAAATGCTCACTAAGTGAAGTTACTCCTGCAAATCACCCAAAAATGCAGACGAATTTTTTTAAGATACCACATTATTACAAAGTAACATAAAACTTACAAAACCTACATAAAATATCAATTCAGTATGAATAAAATTAAAAACTTATACAGACATCAGTGCTTAATTAAAGGATTTTTGATAATATGGTCGTGACCGTGATATTCGTATTGTTCTATCAAATATTTCCGATGGGTCCTACATTCAGTGCCGCATTTCTGCGAACCACATTTAGGACATTGGAAGAAACATCCGAGGCAGTCTTCGTTAAGGCAATCGCACAGGTCCATACCGGTGCTCAAGTTTATGCCGTTCTCATCGTACAAGGCCCCGGCTGGCCTGCGAACGTTGCTCGGAGGGTTGATTTTCCTATTCAGTTTCCTCTTCTCTCTAATGCTGGTTTCGGGGTTGAAGTTAGCCATGAATGGGTCCGGTGCTACCGGGACACGTTTACTAGCGTTCCGCGCCGCTTGCCTTCGAGTAACGTAGGTCTGAGCAGGCTGAGAAAGGGACTTCCGAGCTGTACGATGCTCTTTGACGTTAGTGGGATTGCTGTCTTCATCGCTACTATTTGGACTTGTCGCCTCGCCATTAGATTTAGACATAACTAACCACAGTTAAATAAATACACACGGTATAGTAAACAATAACAAACCAATATCTTACATAACCTATATTTTATTAGAAAATTCTTCTCTTTTTTTAAGTCCAGTAATTTTATTGTGACTAACTTCACACTGTATAAAGTAGTTGACATTTGACATTACTAATGTCATATTTTTGAGGTTAGATGGAAAATAGTAAACAAAAATATTCAAAAAATATTTGTAATGAGTAAAATGAGTTTGCCAAAATTAGTTTTATCTTCGCCAGGTCAAGATAACGTGTTGGAGGATTCGGTGGCTCTGAAAGCTGCGAAATGTTATGAAATAGCGGGGGCGAACGCGGAGAATAATTTGCACGAAATCCACCAGTCCAGGATAAAGTCGCTGAGGAAGGAGTTAGATTTTATAAAGGAAACGAACTGGAAATACGAACCGGCCGATAAATATGTAGGCCAGTCGTGTAAATAACATATTGCAGAAACAAAGACTGGCAAAATTCAATGTGATCAGATCAAAAGGTTGCACGCAGACATATCGAATCGTTTTTATGTTTAGGTGCTTTAAGTAAATTAATCTTGTTAAAAATAATATGTACATGAGTAATGATGTTGCTTGCAGAGGAATTAATAAATATTCAGATATTTTTGTTTTTAAACTGGAACTTCTAAGTGTTTATATTGTATCGAACTTAAACAATCGTAGACTATTATTTTTAGATGTTTATTGTAATAAAAATATGATCCTTAAACTAATAAATGTTGTTTTAATAGCTCATATGTATTTAGAAAACCAACAGCTTTTTACTAAAAACAAATAATTGTAATGAGTTGTGTTATACTTAGTTTTCATTAGTTCATAGTTAGTTACTTAATTAGTTTTCAAATATACTCGTTATTTGATAACCCAATTGTTAAATAACACTTGTCAATTCTCGAAAACATTTTTATGTCAATATTTTTAACCAAACACAGTTATTTGCTAAATTACAGGCAAATTAGAAAAATTGAAATAGTGTTTTAAAGAACAATAAAATGTTTACCTCCAGTATAGAGATAATTTTAATCCCGTACGAATAGGGTAAGCAATAAAAACTTTGTGCGCCTGAATTTGTAATCAGTGGTTAAGCTAGCGGCCTAATCTCCTGGAATTACAATCTTTCATATCAGCATTATAAATTGAATAGAGAAAAACACGCGATAATTATTAGGTTGCGCTGATATATATTAAAAAATTCATGATTCCTTCTAATAGTAATTAGAACATCGTCCCGAAATCTACGCATGATTTTCATTTGTGAATTCAATTTCTGATAAGCAACAAATTCGCACGTGCAATCCTAATCAGACAGTGCAAACTTACTTTTCAAGGCAGAATATTATTTATTTAACCGGAAACCATGTGTAAGTTTGTATTTTTTAATTTTTTTAGTTAACTAGCATCAGTGAATTTAAGATATATTTTTCTTACAAGATATAAATTAATTTGTTTGAAATTTTAATTACAGTAAAATCGAAAAAAACTTGTCTCTATTATCCTTATTATGATGGTAAAATGAATTTTATACGACACACCTCTTCTCTATTGCATCTTTATAAAACGAAGGATAAATAATTGAAAATTTGTTATGTTTGTAGGTACTTTCAATTTCACATTTTTTAAATTAATATACTATTGACTTTCAATTCAATATGTGATAAAGTAAAATATGAACTCAAAATTCAAGTGGTACTTTCAAGTAGTACAGTGTTTTGTAATTTTAGGTATTTTTTCTAGATTACATTATTGCAGCCAAAATATCTAATAAAGCAGTATCTCGTATTATCTGTATTGTGCCATAGTAAAATGTATTAAATATTAAAAAATTGATCGAAAGTCGGATTAAATAATCTAGTACTTAAATTGTTAATCTATGTCACGCCTTTGTGTTTCATATTTTATGAATTTCCTTGGATTTTATCCTTGGATGTTATTTAATTTAAGCATACATATAAAAGTTTTATTTATCTTTCTAATTTAATTAAAATAATAGGTATAAAAAGTTGAAATAAGAATAAAATTTCGAATCATTAAAAGATGAATGTCCATAAAATTCATAAACAAACACACATTTTCAACACAGGTACCATTGAAATAAGATAAGTAAAAATGCAGTATTTAATATTAATACAATATAAAGATTAGATTAACATATAAAATATAAATATATACTTGGTTAAAAATAAGTTTACTTTACCTGAAAAATTAGTACAATTAAGTTTATTAGAATGATGTGTAAGTACCTTAAAAATAAAGATCCGAGTACTCCCTTTTTGATGTTATTTAACTTAATTAATCACTTCGAAATTGGTAACAATTTTGTTTTCTTTACTACACTCAGACCTACTTTCACTTTTTTACTTCGTTCAAAACGTTCAATTCAACAATTTATTAGGTGGCATTTTCAATCGTTTATTCTATATGTTTATTCATTATAAACCACCAAGAACCAAGAACCAAAAAATAAAATTAAAAGCATTTTAACAGTTTTGCAGTCTTGTTGCAAATACCATGCATGCGCAACATAGATGCATACTTACAACCGTTTATATAAGCCCGAACTTGATTGTTTCTCTTTTTGCGTCAGCTGCAGACATTGCATGGATTTTAAACCGTGGATTAATTCCGCTCAAATTGGTTTTTGCTATTTTTTGAGAAAATGCCGATAAATAATTGTGCTTATTACAGGGTCGTGCCTCAGTGCTCGTGCCATTCGAGGTCGAGATGGAGCTTTGTAAAGCCATCCTCTTGGTCCCAGTGGGTGAGTTTTTTTAATTTTTTTATTTCCTGCATATAAATAATAAAAAAAAGGAAAAATCCTACTCGAATTCTTACGGTCATACTACTAAGTACAGTGCAGAGCACGAGTACTGTCGTTGATTTATTTTATACAAACGAGTAAAACAACTTCGAAGAGTAAAAATGGGAAATTTCAACCTCGTTAAACGGACATTAAATTTCACATGTGAGCGATTAAACGAAATAATTTGATGGATTCGAACAGAAAAGGTTGGTTGTATAACTCGAATTTAGCGGTGCAATAATCGATATTCGAATATCCATTATGCTATCGATACCGGAAATTTTTACTTATATAGTTAATCCGAAAATGCTTTATGAAATTAAACTGTCCTCAAACGCAAGGGACCTACGCACTTGGTACTAAAATTGAATTTAATTGCTTCTCAGAGGCGGTTTGACTTGGTGGCATTTTTCGTTATTGTTCCAATGCCTAACTTTTGAATTGTTCATAGCAAATTTGCGCCGGGGTAAGTCAGTGCACTATTTAGATTCGTTAATTGTAGGTAAAATCGGAATAGACCCTGTAGTTATAGTGCGCCTCTAAAAACCTTCCTGGTTCAATCGCGCGAAGGACACACTCGAGGATGCGCATTACGGAGGATAAAATCATTTTATGAATGGACGAAATGCATCGTTATTGAGGTTTTCGTTCATTTTGTCACGTTACAGACGTGTCACGAAAGGAATAAAAACGTAAGTTTTTACTGTTTGAAGGGGTCATACAATATTGAAATAACTTCTTCGATAGAAACGTAGGTATAACCTATTCGCATGTATTATGTTACTCGTATCAAACGTTTGTTATCGATATTTTATGAGCTAATACATTCATCATCATCATCTCATTCGTTTTATTTCTGTAATCACTAATCACCATTATTCCGAACAAAAAAGTACTGTTCTTCGGTAAATGTGTGAAGTAAATGCGCTTTGTTTATGTAATCGATTTAATGGTATTAATCAAAATGCGTGCTTTGTTAATTTTATCCATTTGAATTCCAAAATTTTTAGGTACATTCTACTTACTATACTCAACAATCAAACGATTATTTCTTCATTAGATAAAACCCGGCAAATGTTCATAAAATTTTCATTCTGCAATCGAACATCAGTGCTTGAATAAAATTTTATACCTATTACATGCTTCACTATACATACAGAATAAGTACCGAGTGCTCAAAGCAAATTACTGGATGCTTATCAGAAGTGTAAGGGCCACAGAAATTAGGAAGTAAGCGTATAAAACATTTTTTTTAATTCAAAAAAGTACCTTCGTTGTCGGTCACGGTTCTCTTTTATGGTGACATGCATTACAAACGCGAAAAAATCGATAATAGTGCACTTAATCGATACCAAGGATATGCAAAAAAGCCGGGTTTTAACGAGATGTAATCGATTAAACCGAAAAGGTATTTGATACATAAAGTACCTGTAGGCAGTACCATTTTTTTATAGTTACCCACAGTACAATGAGTGAGTGTAATGGTAAGGTAATGGCACATTGTTTATATAGAGATAAATATCATCTCTCTGTGAATTTATTTGTGGTATTAATTTAAAAATTTTGAGGTAATTTTTAAGGGATTAAATAAAAGATATCTTTTCAAGTACAATTCAGGTAAAATATTGTCTATTTTATGGATTATTAGGAAACCTGTTGGACTTACCTGAATATAGGAAACAGGTTTTTATGTACCTTCCAAAACTTAAGGCAAATTTGTATTTTTTTAGGAAAAATTTGGTATTTTGTGGGAGATTCCACTCTATTGTAGGTATTTTCATGAACAAATTTCATACTACAAACTATCAAATTTTTGCTACTATTCTCTAACATTAAAGATGCAATGTTCGATACACTTTGTTTACCCTGTAAGTACGTATGTAGATTCGATTTGGTAGTTTTATAAATAAAATTAGAAGAGAACGTGCGTATTTAGATCCTTCGTACGAATTCAATTCGATTAAATATACATATTTAATCAGACGGGGGTGGCGGTGTCTGATCCGCGATGACCCTCGACGAAAATCTAAATAAAATCGTAACCCGTGACCCAATCGCGAACTTAAGGAATATCGCTTATGACGAGCAATCCTTGAGCTAAATATATTCTTTTTATATAATTTTCCGCGAAAAAATCGAACGCGCAATGAATAATAAATACAATTGTAAAACCGAACAAAACGAACATAAAAATATCGCATTTAAAAATTTAGACCGATTATAATTCTAATTTCGCTTACTTCGATTGTGATAGCAGCATCAGTATACAGTGTGTCCCATAATTGACAATGATAGATTTATTGAAATAAAGTTGAGTATAAGTATTCCATTTTTGAGGTCTCATACTTCACTCCCTGTTATCCCGGTATATGAGCAATTTAATCTAAATTTGGGATGAAGAGAAACTATCATGAGACACCCTGTATAAGTATTGAAAAACATCTAATGGCTATTGATCAGAAGTCGTAAATAAAAGAGTCAACGGTCTTGCATACTCTAATTCGATTTCTCGTACACAAAATTTATTTTCCAACAAAATTTATTGTCCGCGATCGTACTTCAACAGCGTGATCGACCGAGATAAGGGGATGACGCATGTTCCGTTTTATTTGGGTACATAGTTCCATTCTGTTCATTAGCAGCGCGAATGAATGGAGTTTTTGCTGCAGTTAGTTGGATTTTTGCCAAAATGTGCAATTACGATGCCGTGTGTCAATATTTAATTTCGTTTGCGGATCGATAACGCTCGTCGTTAACGTTTTATGCTAATCTATTGAAATGATATTAAACGAGCATTTATGCTATTATAATAGCCATTGTGTGCGATGTAATAGACTTACGTAGGATATGTGTAGATTCATTATTAATTAATTGTATTGGTTGTTTCACTAAAAAGTTCTTATTTTAGTAAAAAGTTAATGTTTGACGTTTCATTTGTTGGAATTAGTTTGACATTTCAATGACATCTTTAGCCTACTGCAAATAAACTCCTTTTAATCATAAATAGACAAGAAAAGAACATCCTTATTCACTAAAATATTAAACGAGCATTCAATACTATCACAAAAGCCATTGTGTGCGATATAATAAACTTACGTAGGATATCTGTAGTTTCATTACTATATTTCTTGGTTATATCTCTAAAATATCCTTATTTTTTTAAACTTCATAATTGTGATATTTCTTTTGTCGGAATTAATTTGACACTTCAATGACATGTACAGCCTACTATAAAATAAGATCATCCTAATGACAAATAGACAAAAAAGAACATTCTTGTTCAAAAATAATATTAAACGAGCATTAAATTCATAATATTTTAAAAGCGATATGTATATTAAACTTACTTAGGATATGTGTAATTTCATTACTAATTAAATGTCTTTTGGTTATTTCACTAAAATACTCTAATTTTTTGAAACTTCATAGGTTTGACATTTCTTTCATCGGAATTAATATGACATTTAAATGACATCTACAGCCTACTATAAATAAATTTCATCCAATGACAATTAGACAAAAAAAGGAGCATTCTGAAGGTACCAAAGGAATACTTAAGGATATAAGGTTGTAGATTAATGTATTGCATTTAAATCTGTACTAGTCAGATCGCAAATTGTACTAACATCCCTACAAATTTCTGAATAAAACTGCGGGAGCGCGCCGTTTTCCATTAATTACAAAATTTTATACGGATTGATCAATGGAATATCAATATCATATCTGATGCTTAAAACAGGTGCACGGATATTTCGAATCGTCTAAATTCGAACTTTTTATAGCCGCGTTCCGTCACGCAGCGCGCAACAATGAAGCATAAAACAATGAATTAAAAAAACCTATGAACTCCACAAATATTTATAATAGCATCTAATCTGAGGTCAGTTGATAATTTCATATGTGTGACGTTATTTACAGAATGGCAACCATCAAAGACTTCAGAATACGGAAAGTCCTTGTATATCGACTTGCACGACAGCCACCAACCTATCGTCCCTTGGGGACTTTCAGTCAAACGCCACCCTAAACCGAGCCGAAATGAATAAGGACAACAATTTGAGAATGGTGGTCCAAGAGATCGAACCCCTGCAGAAGAAGGACCTCGAGGAGGCGCCCGAGCACGAGGTCAAGCCGTCCGGGTTCCCTCGGCTAAAGTTTCTCAAGAGGCAGGTAAGCTACTCGCTGAATGCATTTGATTTAAAGTTGAAATTATATACCAAAGGTTGGGAAATTTCGAATGAGTACGAAATTGTGTGGGCAGAAGTAACGTGTTTTAATAAAAAAAATATATTCGGTACAATCTGAACAGGTAACTAAATTTATTTGTTATGAACAACAATAAAATAATCAACTCGTGCTGATAAAGCTTTTTAACGCAAATAAGAAGGTGCAGTCAACAAGCCAACTTCGATAAACTAAAATTAGTATTTCGATTGTTTTATAATTCATCCAACTTTCATCCGAATAAATTCATCCAACTCTCTTAAGATTCGGAACAACCCTAAGATCCTCCGATTACGAATTAAATAATATTTTTGTTTATTAATTGCATTTAATTATCAGTGAATATTAAGGTTGATTACGTACAAAAAAAAATGCAGATATAATAAATATTTCTGTTATTTATAATCGCTGTATCGACATGAGCAAATAAAACAGAGCAACTAAAAATAAATTCTGTGTTAGATTTGTTACTACGGAAATTATATTTTTATCCATTTTACTCCGCAAGATCTTGCCGAAGACACGACAAATATCGAGATTTACTATTTACAGAACAAATTTATAAATGTCCACGTTTCCATCACTTTACTCCATTACCTATACTAAGCTAACGTAGAAAAAAATTTTAATGCAATTTTTTAATTCCGCATTATAAACGAGCTACATTCAAACAATGCACTTTATGTGCTATTTCTAATTTAAAATTACTCCAAACCTACATAGTATCACGTGAATATTAAATAATATGAACTATGTATTTACTTACAATAAACGAAATTTGATAAAAGAAACACGCAATCCAGTTGATACAAAAATCAGAAAATAGAGGGGTCAGCTTATAAGACCAGCGGACGTCTTAAAAATTGTTTATTTAAGCGCAAATGATACTGTTTATCGTTTCGCTGCAACCGAATTTATTGTAGCAGATTTCACTACAAACCGAACCTAATTAATTGTTGCGGATATCTGTAAGTGACAATATGGTTAAAGTTTTAGTGCGATCTGATACCCACGTTACTTTTGTTGTACCCGACTCAGATCCAAAACCTTCGTGGACCTACACTCAGGTATTTGTAAAAAATAATTGCGAAAACTACCACTCAACGTGCCCATGGAAATTTGGAAAATCCTACATGGTTAATTGTATGATTATTTTTAGTTATTCGCTGCGATCGCTGTGTCATGGGTGTCCCTAATAATCGGCTATTCATCGGCTTTCTCAGCCCCAGCCGAGCACTCCATAAAGAGGGACTTCAACTTACAAGGCGATTCTGAGGTGAGCTAAAGTATAATTCCTAGTAAAAAAAACTGCTCGAAATATTCTACCGAGTCGCGCAGTTCTGTTCGCACAATCACACTTGTTTTCCATCGGTTCAGTATACTCGATCAACAACGCACAAACAATAATGTTTGCCTCGCAAACAAAAAACCAATAGAAACTGCGATATCGACGAGGGAAAATTATCGCTCAATGAAATTTTTCCGTTCTCAGATCTCGTGGATGTCGAGCTTCATGCCTCTTGGAGCCCTAATCGGAGGCCTGGGCGGCGGGTCGCTAATAGAGTACATCGGCAGGAAATGGACGATCCTGCTGACAAACATCCTGTTTTTCGTGGCTTGGTTCGTCTGCTACTTCGCTCAAAATTACATCTACCTCTACATAGGAAGGATCCTGTCCGGCGTCAGCGTGGGCATAGCCTCGCTGACTCTCCCAGTGTACACCGCGGAGACGCTCCAGCCGGAAGTGCGCGGGTCCCTGGGGCTCCTCTCGACCGTGCTGGGCAACATCGGCATACTGATATGCTTCTCGTTCGGGATATACTACGAATGGAAGGGCCTGAGCATGATAGGCGTGCTGCTGTGCGTGCCGTTCATGGTGATGATCTGGTTCATACCGGAGACGCCGAAGTTCCTCCTGGCTCAGAACGACGAGGCGAAGGCCAGGAAGGCGCTGCAGTGGCTGCGAGGGGCGAAGACCGACGTCGAGAAGGAGTTCGTCGACATGCAGAAATTCCAAAAGGAAACCGCCAACGACAGCGAGAACTTGCTGGTGTTGTTCAAGAAGAAGAACATGAAACTGCTCGGCATCGAGTTGGGTTTGATGTTCTTCCAACAATTCAGCGGCATAAACGGTATTATTTTTTACATAACGGGTCTGTTCGATAAGTCCGGTTCGAATATAAACGCGGACGTTTGTACAACCATAGTGGGTGTCGTAAATTTCGCTGCGACTTTCGTAGCTTCGATGCTAATAGACAGGCTGGGCAGGAAGGTTCTCCTGTACATTTCCAGTGTTTCAATGGCCATATCGCTCGCAGTATTAGGTTTGTTCTTCTACTTGAAAGACGTCGTCCTCATGGATTTGCATTCCGTCGATTGGTTGCCTTTGGTGTGCTTCATGACGTACGTTTTGGGATTCTCTCTGGGTTTCGGTCCTATTCCTTGGCTGATGCTGGGCGAGATCCTGCCGGCGAAGATCCGCGGTCCCGCCGCTTCCATTTCCACCGCGTTCAGCTGGACCTGCACCTTCGTGGTGACGAAAACGAGTTTGTACTTCATCGATACCATCGGTGCTCACTATACCTTCTGGATGTACGGGTTCATCGTTTGCTGTTCTCTCCTGTTTTCGATATTTATCGTCCCCGAAACGAAGGGCTTCACTTTGGCGGACATCGAGAGGAAACTCACCGGCGTTAAAGTTAGGAGAATAAGCTCGCTGGCTAATATTAAACCCACGCCGAGTTTCATCGGGTAAATTACCCTGTTTATTTTCGATTCGGATTTGTTGCGAAGCGGGCCGATGTGATTTATTAACGGCGTGTTCCTGGATTGAGTTTCCGGTACAACTGACAACCTAATATTACTAGAGTTAGGTCATTGGAATTTTATAAATGTTTAGCTAATGCAAATTGTCTGTTGGGTTTTATTAAAAAAAAGATAAGTTTTGAATATTGTACGATATACCCGTTGTTATCTGTCAATTTTTTTTGTAATTAGGCAATGATGTTACGTCAGATGCGTATCAATAAAATGTTTATAATTTTCTTACAATTAGTAATTAGATATAATTAGTGGATATTCGTTATACGCCAGCATGATTAAAGATTTTAGAGTTGTTGTAAATAAAATATAAATTGTTTTTAGCGCGTCCAACAATTGTTAAGTAATTATTGCTTAAGAATATAGAAATAGGCCGTTATATTTCCTATACAGAAGCATTCCTGAATAATAGGGTTTTTGTTTATTACATATTTTAGCTTGGGGAACTCAATTTTTTGGTAAAACCGCTGGAAAAAAAAGGAAAATGTTCAGCTCTTTTTTATATAAACTCATTATTTATTTACAGGGGTTAACAGGTTTACTCTAAACATCATTCATGTATATACTAGACAATTTGAACTTATTTATTTTATAACGGATATTTTTATATGTATTGAATAAAAATATTTTCTTAAAGTTGTGATTTATCTGCATCCATTGTGGCAATATTGAAAATATGTTTATTAAAGATTAGGCTGCACAATTTCATTTATCACTTTGTTTCCGTATTATGTTTGATCGGCAACTTTTTCGAATTTTTAGCTATCTATGAACCATAAAAATTTCATCATTATCAAATTTAGACTTTATTTAGAATAATACATACCCATCTCAATGTAAAATTACACATTAATGATAACCTAATCGTCGAACTTTCTATTTTTTATTAATAATCGATACAATAATCAAAGTACGAAATTTAGATACATGCTTAAGGTTATCAGTATTATAGCGTTAAAAATTCAATAAAATATCCGACGAACACGTTTCACTGATTAAACCCGATTTTAGTTTCGAAATGTCGATAAACATTTTCTCACACTTCTGGGTTTGGTGCTAAGGCGTTTCCAAAATTATCAATAATACATACGAACATTTCATTAAACGTGTAATTTAATTACAAAATGGATTTATAATAGCGGTAAAATACAATTTTAATTATCGGATACTTCCATTACTTTTTATGGCACTAATTTAACCAATTATGCCGGCTTAATTGTCTTACAAACAAGTACTAAAATAGTCACAATACAATAAAATCGTATAAAATTACAAATATGTGGATTAATGTAGCTACATGATAATCTGGGGTTCTGGAACCGACGTAGCGATGCTTTTATGAGGAAGAACCTGCCCTCCATTTATATACGTCTCATCTTTAACAATAACATCCTCTCCGAGTACGGTGCTGCCTTCCATTCTCACCCATTTACCAACGTGACACTTCCATCCCACGATGCAGCTCTCCAACCAAGAATTCGAGCAAACAACCGCACCTCTCAGTATCGTCGACCGCTTTATACAAACACCTGAAAAGATATCAATTACGAAGAGTTATGCACGAAAATTTTACAGAATTTTACCGTCTTCTATTACAACGCCCGGCCCGATCGTAACGTTAGGCCCAATCTGGCAATTACTGCCAATTTTGGCTGTAGGATCGACCAGTACATTCCCCACAACACCGGGACCTTTGTACAGCTTCTGGCTGTTAGTTTCCCGCAAATGGTTCAAATACAAGCACATCCCGGTGAGGAAGTCCTTGGGTTGCCCGACGTCCATCCAGAACCCTTGCAACTCGAAGGCGTAGAGCTGCTTGTCGGTCGCCATGAAAGGGAACACTTCCTTTTCGATGGAAGTCGGCCGGAGTTCTATCCGATCGATCACGCTCGGATTCAGAATGTACAAACCGGCGTTGATTTTATTCGAAATGAACTCCTGGGGTTTCTCGACGAAGCTCTCGATGCAGTTGTTTTGATCGTACACCACCACGCCGTATTTGGAGGGTTCCTCGACTTTGGTGACGACTATCGTGCCTTCTTTTCCGTGGCCTTCGTGGAACTTGGCCAGCTCCCTGAACGGGAAGTCGCATATTATGTCGGAGTTCAATACGAAAAACGGTTTGGTGCTTTTCGAGAGGTGTTCTCTCGCTAATGCTATTGGTCCTGCGGTGCCCATAGGCTCAGTCTCGTGCGAAAATACTATAGTAATGCCCAGTTTGGCCGCTTCGACTGTAAGTTCCTCCTCCATTTGCTTGGCACGGTACGACACGGCCAGTATGACTTCCGTTACTCCAGCGTCTACTAAAGCTTCTATTTGATGCAATAGGATTGGTTTGTTCGCGAACTCCACGAGAGGTTTCGGCCGGCTCAAAGTTAGAGGCCTCAGTCTTGTGCCATAGCCTCCTACTAAAATTAACGCTCTTTTCCCTTCTTCGCTCATTTTGGCTATAAAAATTAGTAAATAAGATTGTGTTAATTCTTAACAAAATCATAAGTAAATACACTAACCTTATATAGAATTACCGCCTGATGCAAAAGTAACAACAATTTAAATGAGAAATATGCCACATTTACACGTTTGCATTTTAAAAATAAACACTATCATTCGATAAGAAACGTCAGTCACCGCTATTAAACAAAAACATTGTATTTTCCTGGTTATCTTGATACAGAAAACCGAAACTGCACACGTAAACAAACATTTTTGACAAATAGAATGTAGCCACGCTTTGCGGGCTGATTTACTGCGATGTAGAAGTCGAGATTGGTACAGAAAAAGGGAAGAACATGTTCCATTTATGTTCGGAATTAATTCGATTCGTTCCGGAATGCTCGCACGAACAATTTCATAATTATCGGGGGTAGGTGCAGTTACTGCAATTTTTTTATGAAAAATAAACAGAATTAAGATAAAATTAAGATGGATTTTGATAGTCCGGATGTAATGAAAGATTTTCCCGGTTTGTACGCCTCGGATCACAATAAAAAATGCAATAACGATAGCGATTGTAAGTTAATTCTGTTAAAATTTGAAACGAGCATAGATGCTTGAGGAGGATTTTAATTATTTTAATCCCACAGATAGTGATGAAGTTGAGAAAGGATTGAAAAAAGATCTCATAGGTAAGCGGAAAGACAAAAAAGACAAGAAAGACAGAGAAAGGGGTTATGCGGCCCTCGAAGGCGAAAGTTCAGATGAAGGAAACAAATCTAGGTAATGTTGAATTTAAATAACGAACGCTCATTTATCTATTACTTTCACGGTTTAATTAGTTTGGTTATCAAATAAACATTGTTCATTTGTTAAATCAACAGTTTACTTTGCACTAACACAGACTGCAATGACATGAAAATGATCCTCTAAAATGTTTTATTGCCTTCATTGTATACAGCACTATTTTAATCAGTTAATGTGGAAGTTACCTACTTTAACGATATACTAATTACGTGTGTCACATTACAAAAATAAACCTTGGTGTTTTGCATTTAAATAAAATATTCCATAAGTTATCGGTTACAGTCGTAGTGTTACGTTAATTAGAAAATTCGAAAATTGATTGGTAATCAACCGATTAATAGGTGCACGAATTTATTTGATGTATAAACAACAATGCTCAAGTTGTGTATGTAAGTATTTGTAAGATTTCACATATTTATAGGTTTATTGCGTTTGCTGAAGGTTTAAAAATAAAACACATTTTTATAATTAAAAAAAAATACTTTTGGGGAATTTAGCGTAAAATAAAGCAAACTCTTCTAATCCTTATAAATATTGTAAACACATTTATATCACTCTGCAAATCTTATCTTTGGAAATTACAGAGTTTTCTTAAGATGCATGTTTGTGTTCGTGATTCACTGGATTTTTTGAATCCTTTAAAAATTTAACTTTATAAGTAACATCTTGATAGCCTCTTGATTATTAACGTTGTACTTTCCTTGCACAATGTTAAATTTCGTGTTAATTTTCAGAAGTCCTTCGAAATCGAAAAAATCTAAACCTTTCAAATTCACAACCAAATCCAAAGAAAAACGAGAAAAGTCCAGGGAGAAGGAAATTGTTGAAAAGAAAAAAGACAAAGACAAGAAAATAGACAAGAAATGTGAAAAAGAAAAAGCGAAAAGGGTGAAAAATTCCGTCGAGGAAATAGTCGATTTAGCAGGTTCGTATATTCCTCATACAAACCACACATATAAATAAATAATTTTGCAGAAGCATTGCCGATATTCGGAGTGAGTTTAGATCTAGCAGTAGAACGAAGCAGGTGCCATGATGGAGTAGATTTACCTCTGCCCATTCGGGATTGCATCGATTACGTAGAATCCACGGGCGTATCGTTCGAAGGTGTCTACAAAATAAGCGGCACGAAGGCCAAGGTCTCGCAAATAAAAAAAATGTACAACCACAGACAAAACGTTAGATTAAGCGACTACGATGTACCTACAGCCACGAGTTTACTTAAAATGTTCTTAAGGTACTAACTATAATCTCGCTTATCTCAAAATATTCATTAATCCTTCTACAGAGATCTACCCGAGCCGATATTTACTAACGATCTACTGATACGATTCGAAGAAGCCGGTGCCATTTTAAACTACAACACTAGGGAAAAGCATTTAAAAATATTAGTAGAAAATCTACCACCGCTCAACAAACTTCTACTCTCCTGGCTTATCATCCACTTGGATAATATATCTTTAAATGTAAGCACACATTATACACACATTCGATTACTCTAATTTTAATAAATCATCCATTCCTCAGGAGAAACAGAACAAAATGTCTAAACAGCACATAGCCTCCGCTTTGAACCACACATTCCACGTATCCTCGAGGCTCCTGCAGGCCCTCCTGCACCACAGCCGAGCCCTGTTCCCCGACCTCGTCGTCTTCAAGTACATACCCCCCGTCACTTCGGGCGTCCAGCTACCGGAGCGCTGCCAGCTGCTGGAAATCGAGCTCAAAAAACAGGAATCCCTGCTGTCCCAAATCCACAACGAGATGCGCATCGGCTGCATCTCCAAAGAACGAGAAGAAAAACTCTGGGAAGTGCAGAGGATAATAACGCAGCTCAAAGTAAGCGTACGTACAATCGAGTTTTGGTGTAAATTTAACGGTTTGTTTTCGATTCAGAGGAAGCTAAAGAGCGCGCAGAAGGTGAAGACGAGCTGCGAAAAGTGCGAGGAGGATGGCGAAGACAGGAAGGTCGATTCGAAGTCGGAGAAAGCGGAGCTCGAAGCGCCCCCGACATGTGCCGAACACGACAAATCGGGCTCCGATAACTCGTCGCTGCCGTGCCAGGCGGTCGCGTCCGCGCCGGAGCCCGATCACAGTGCCAAAGCCGAGCCGAAGGAGCCCGACGGCTCGGAGGAGGAACCGCCGCCGCCGCCGCAGCAGCCGGAGAAGAACGATTTTCTATTCGACGACGACATCGTGCTGCTGACGTACAAGCGCAACGGGCTCATACAGCTGAAGGAGAAGCTGGCGAAGGACATGCAGCAGGAGCGCAAGGAGATCCAGCGGCTGCGCGCGAAGCTGGAGGCGTCGACGAGCCGGGCGCCGGTGCCGAAGCTGGTGGCGCCGAGGCAGGAGTCGCTGGGCGAGGTGATGGCGCTGCTGCAGAACGAGAACAAGATACTGCAGATCAAGAAGATCAATCTGGTGCGGAAGATCATCGAGCAGAAGGAGCTGTGCATCGAAATGAGCGCCCAGCTGAGGCTAGCCGAAAATGATAAGTATCCTAATTTTTAGAAGCGGTCATTTCTTTTGGCTTGAAAGATTATTAAATTGCGTTCTCATGATAATTGATTGTAGTTTGAAAGGAATGAATTAAGACATATTATTATGTTGATGTGATTGTAGATTAAATAGACTTGTTATTTGATATACAGGGTTTATCCGCTGTTACGACTGTAGTTACTATGTTACGAGCCCGAAATTTTATAATTGAAATGTTATCTATTACGAAAATTGAGGTTTAAAAAAAGTTTACTTCTTAATGATATTAAATTGTTGTGGATGATCGAATTGCATTGAAATTTTCGAACTGCAATACCGGGTGGATTCCTTTATCCTAATATTTTATTACTTCTCACTTCGCCTCCTTATATTATATAAACAAATTGTATTGTACTTATCTATATAAATATTTAAAGAAAGTAACTTAAGCGTAGTTATTCTACTCTACATTCTACATGCTGTTTAAACTTAATTTTTTATAAAATTTACTCTCAGTCTGCTTGCACACAATAATGTAACCTGTTTAAGGAACGAAATGCTTCTTAAACTCGACAAATAAAGTAAATAGTTTCTTTCCATATTCAAGATGTGTTTGAATTAATAGGTACTTTCGTTGAATATATTCCACAATTTGATCGATTTAACAATGGCATGTTGCGGCTAAAGTCCGAGAGAATTGTTAAAATTCGCTGTAAATGCGCTTAAAATATTTGTGTTAAGCGGTTAATCCTCAATTACATGAAGTAATTGTTCGAAAATAGAAAATACCCGACTTCACGATTCGTTGTGTACAAATTTTATCAGGAAGGATATTTATTGCGTGTTAATAAAATTTATGAAAATAACGGTGAGAATGATAAACGTGACACCTAGAGCAACAATTAGCCTTGTTAAATCGGTTTTAATAGACTTCTTTGTGCCTTATCTATTGTGGAATGATAGCTATAATAATTCTAATAATATTTATTTTCCCCCATCATCAACAGACAAGTCTTATTTTAGCACGCTATCAGTTTTAGCACATTTCACGCGAAATTGCGAAATCTAGTAATTTTTAATCGTAAACTTCTTTAAGTATTTATTTGTCATCTCAAATTGGGTTTTTAGGAGAATCTGTCTAGCAATTAATGAAAAAATTCGCACAATGTAATTACTTAATTGCAGTTTCGTTGGATTTATAGAATTTTAAATCAGTTCCTATTGCGGTTTGCGTACAATTTTAATAACCCATCATCAAAGATGTTTGCGGATGCTGAATAATGTTAAATTTGAAATTTTCAACAGGTTTTCGCGTTAAATCATTCACTTTTTCTAGCTCCTTCCAGTTCCGAATCTCAATTTTTTTCAGACCATGACTGTAGTTTGTAAAATATTTCGTGCATTAAGAGAACTGACCTGTACGAATGCATGCAGGAAAGTATATCTCTTAAAGACGTAGGTACTTAATATTCTAGTCGCGCCAGATTAGAACTGAAATTTTCGCCAACACAGAAACACTGTTAAGTATATAGAGTGGGGTGTAAAACATTGTGGAATTGGGTTACGAGTTGCAGAAAATATTCGCATGATTTCTTCTAATAATTTATTGGAGTTCCTTAAATTAGAAAATAGTCTATTTATAATTCTTCAGATATGTTGGGAATTGTTGAAATTTTGGTAGATAATCGAGCATATTATTGCGATAATATTAAGTATACTAAGGTCATAAGATCAGGATCGAACCAGACCCGCTGGTCGAAAGGTTATTATAACTTTTTTTGTGTTGCACTCCATACGAATTTTGCTGTTTTTATAAGAAATAATAGCCGTATCTTGTAGATTCCTGCTAATTCCCAAATGTATTACACCAGGACAACCTGTATACATACATGTGTTTAAAATGGCGCTCGTTATAAGTAGAATAACGAATTGATTCAGCTGTCAGATTAGAATAGTGATCTCTAAAGTGAATCAATTTGTCATCACCTTTGTCGGCGCAATAGACATTAATATATTCTGTATGTTGAGAGTATTGTATAAATGTGATATTTAAATAACATGTTAAACCCATCCCAATGTATTTATTAACCCAAATAAATATTTTTTTGTTTAACCGATGTTTCATATTTCTACCTAACAAAGGATGTATTGTACTATTACTGAAGTCTTCTGTAAAAAAACCATAAGTTACAAACGATTAGATATATCGAACCGGAATTTCCAATAAACGACGGGATTGTTCCGATATTGATAAGATCAAAAAAATCGAAATCCTTTTATCTCGGCCGAATCACTGAATGGGTTTTTTCATCGATTTGATCCCCAAGCATCACAGCTATTTATTTTTGAAAGCGTCTATAAAACAAATCGGTACCGCAGCCAATTGACACTTCCAAACGAGCCTCTCTAACGAGCAATATATCCGTAATAAACAAAGGTCGTGTTTGTGGAATCGCTTTTGGACGGACAAGTTAGCGCGGTTTTTATTTTCACTTCCAACATTCGGAACTGTATCAATCGTTCGAATTTGTTGTTAGTTTGCATTTGTATTTTACCGCACAACGACCAGTTAAGAGTTCTCAGTACCGCCGAGCAAAATGAAGACGATCGCAAGTGAGTACCAAGGTGCAATTTCTTTTGCAATTCTACGATTCTTTCGCCCTTGAAACGAATCGTGAATTCGCTCATTTTGCGTTATTCAACGCGGATGTTTTGCTCTCGCCGATTATTAGATATAACAATCGTTATATCAGAACAGCGCTGTATTAATATTTATACGTTCTTGCTCAAGGAACTCGTTTTAATATTTATGTGTAGTCTAGTTTATTAGTTCGTAATTGCTTTATTTGTTTGTTTAGAATTATATTTCCGCTATTGGATATGTGCGTGAAATATATTTAAATTTATTTCGAGTTGGTTCAAAATCTTTAATTTTTTTTTAGCATTTTTGCGCTCCTCTGAAAGTTTACACATTTTCCTAAAAGCTTTCGTTAATTTTACGACCAATTACTCACTTAAAAATTCGTTAATGACTTGTATAAACAATGTTTTTTTTAGTATAAATTACTCAAAAATTAATTGATATTTCTGAGAGGAATGCGAGGCCAGGAAAATCGTTTTTTACTATACCATTCATCGGAATTAAGTAATTAAAAGTAATGGTTTTAGGCGTTAATTGTTTTATAATTTTGTTCCAAAAAATTTTCACCGCATCCAAGAAAATCTAATTGGTTAATTGAAATTACATAACACTAATTTTGTCTGAAATATTTCATGGGAATTCCACTACCAGATAATTTTTATAATTATAATAATCCATTATCCCGACGATGGGAACTTGTAATTACAAGTCATATCCGCGTAATCAAACATTAATCGGGCAATTTTTAATTCCAGGCCTCATACTAGCGGCCCTTTTAATTCTACCGTCATTTACTCAACAGCAGCGCTTCGATATCAGCAATTCTGTTAATACATTTGGAATAAATTTATTAGGAGTAAGCCCTTTGTGCTATTTGATATTTGCGACAGATTTTCACAGTTCCTGTACTTTTAGGAGACAGTGAACCAAGGAGGCGACGGATTAAACATAGCCCTATCGACCTACTCAGTGTGGACTCTAATGGCGACTCTCGTAGAAGGCGCAAGGGACAACACCTTGCGGCAATTACAAAACACTCTAAGACTACCGCCGAATAACAAAGTTCTAGTTAGATACAATTTCCAGAATCTCACTCGATACATGAACGTAATTACAGTCGATCGCCTCGACCATTAGCTCCCCTACAGGAATGTCTTCTTCCAGGTTCGATCGAGCGCGGTGAATTTGGAGACCGAAAACGCGATGTTCACCAACAAAGAGTTCCCCGTGAAGGCGGCCTTCGAAGACGCCGCCCTGCAGTACTACGGAGTACCCATCACTCCCGTGAACTTCAGATCCCCCGGCCCGGCGGCCGCGATTATTAACAGATACGTAGCGAGGCTCACGAGGAACAGGATCCCCAATTTCGTCGACTCAGGTAGATTAGGACTCCAAAAAAAATCAGCCCCTTCGATAAATTCATGCTGGAGCGGCAATGTGTTTATTTGGCAATGGTTTTTTAAAGCTAATTTGCATTGTCTGAAGGTCAACAATCAATATCTGCCTCCAAACAATGCATGAAGGATTAATTACGCGAGCTATCACGATTTACCGCAATCTAAGCAACGTAAATAATCCGCTCGCGGAAATCCCTTTCAACAAAACGATCGCAATCAACAACGTGTGGGAGTCATCTCGATCGAGCTAAAAGAATTTGCATGTTTTTCCAGCCGATCTGCTGGACGCGCAGGTGTTCATGGCCAGCCTGCTGTACTTCAAGGGGCTGTGGAAGAGCCCCTTCCAGCGGAACGCCACGCACACGGAGTCGTTCTACGACGAGAAGGGCAACAAAATCGGCGACGTGGAGATGATGTACCAGACGAGCAGCCTGCCCTTCGCGCGCCTGGAGGGCCTCAACGCGCACGCGGTCGAGCTGCCCTACGGCAGCGACGGGGCGACGTCGATGGTGCTGGTGCTGCCGTTCAAAGGCGACGGGGTGGCCGCGGTGCTGGGCAAGATGTCCCGGATGAGGTTCTCGGATGTCCTGCAGACGATCGAGGACGCGGCGAGGATGTACCCGGATGAGCTGATACACCTGTATCTGCCCAAATTCAAAGTCTCCTCTAATTTTAACCTGAACGTGGTGTTAACGAAGGTACCTGGTTCATACTCTGGAGTTGTGTTGCTTATTGAATCAATTCTTTCCAGATTGGTATAAAAGACGTTTTCGACTATTCCAAATCGAATTTACTGGATATGTTCGATCAGTATTTGTATTTATCGCGGTTGATTCAAAAGGCCGAAATAGAAGTCGATGAAGAGGGAACAATTGCTACTGCTGCAACTGGTTTGTAGAAATAATATGGTGTAAAAAATTCGAGCTAATGTTTATCGATTTTTATTCAGGTGCTTCGTTCGTAAACAAGGCTTCGCCGGCGAGATTTAGAGTTAACAAGCCGTTCTTGTATTTCATAGTGAACAAACTTACCAGGTCCATTGTGTTTGCGGGGAAAATCAGCAATCCCAACACGCTGAAGTAGTTGCGTATGAACCTGTACGAATAAAATTTCAATTTATGGAATGAATCGGTTGTTTTGATTTGTTAATTTTATAAATACATTAAAATTTTGTACGTTATCCGTTTTGTAATTTATTTGAACCTCCCGCTATTTCAATTGTATGATTGCGCGTCCACTAAAATAAAAGGCCAGGAAAAAAAGAGGATTAAATTTAAATATTTGAAGTTGACAAGATTAAAAGTTACGTCAACTCAACTTATTAAAGAATTGTATTTTTATTCCTAAATAAATGCGTATAAAAGATAACAAAACCTTCGACAAAACCTTCACAAATGCTATTTAAAGTATTAATGTACATGTCCATATAATTAATGTATTTAGCTTAAACGTAGTTATAGAAAAAAATTCAAAGAAGCAATAATTGTAAAAAATGAGTTCCAAAGCAGCGAGGGCAATTATATTAACATTGACAGGATGCATGTTAAATAATATATTTTTGGAATACATCATACAGTAAGTATTAATTCATCTAGTTTGCAAATTTCCATATCAACTCGTTTTTAGATTGGACCCGGGCTCAGGGCATCTCATAACGTTGTGTCAGTTCCTATTCATCGCCCTCCACGGCTTCATTTTCACCTCGAAATGTGGAACAGTCCGCCCGAAAATCCCGCTGGTGGATTACATGAAGTTAGTCATATTTTTCTTCACGACGAGCGTGGTGAACAACTGGGCGTTCGCTTTCAACATTCCCGTGCCCCTTCACATGATATTCAGGGCCGTAAGTTGTTCCGTTCGAAACCGAAACTGTAATCTGATGCCTAAGGGTTTGTAGGGCTCGCTAATCGCCAACATGGTGATGGGGATTATCGTGTTGAAGAAGAAGTATACATTCGAGAAGTATTTTTCAGTATTCTGCATCACTGCGGGCATTATAATTTGCACGCTTTATTCGAGCAAGCCTCAGAAGGCGGTAGGTTTCTAATTATCTGCGTTGAATAATTTTTTGAGGATTTTGTATTTTAGGCTTGTACTGACTGTGATCCCCATGCTCAAATAAAAGTGGACGAAAATGTGGATTACGAGCATTTCTTCTGGTGGGTAATCGGTATTATACTTTTGACAGGAGCTTTACTGCTTTCAGCTGCTATGGGCATTTTTCAAGAGCAGCTTTATAAAAAGCACGGAAAACAAAACCAGGAGGCCTTGTACTATACGGTAAGTTATGGTAATAAGAAAAATTAACAATTCTATCGTGGTATCTAGCTTAGTTATTTGAACCACTTGAATATATTTATAGGTTAAAGGAATATTCACATTAATGTTAGATAACACGTTATCAGTTTTGAATTTAATTGAAAATAGTTGTTAATATTAATCTTATTTTCTAGCACTTGTACCCTATACCGGGCTTCTTGATGTACTCCGGAAGTATCATAGAACATGCGAGAATAGCGAGTAACAGCGAATCGATGAACGTGCCTATATTAAACATGGACTTACCAATACTTTGGATCTTTTTATTCCTAAATGTCATCACACAGTTTATGTGCATAAGCAACGTTTACGTCCTGACAGCAGAATGCGCTTCACTGACCGTTACTTTAGTCATAACGTTGAGGAAATTCTTTTCCTTGGTGTTTTCGATTATCTATTTCCAAAATCCGTTTACAGCGGCTCATTGGTTTGGAACTGCGTTGGTCTTTTTGGGGACTTTAATGTTCTCCGAAACGCATAAGCGGATATTTGAAGCGCTTTCTAGCAAACCGTCGAAAAAATTACAAGACAAAAAATCGAAGTAAAGCGATTCAATTAGACGCCGAATAGATTTGTTTCAACTAGCAAAATTTTGATTTTAATTGACCAAATTAAATTATTTTAATAGTTTTTGTTATTTTTGTGGCTTTGTTATGTTTCATATTGTAATTTTTTATGATATAATAAATTTTGAAACAATATAGTATTTTTACCATAAAACTACCCGCGGCTAAAATGCTAGATGTAAAAAACAGCCAAATTAACTTATTTCCTAACAAACCGGCAACGTTGTAAAATATTTTCCCTATAACATGAAGTTAGGCATTTGTTTGGTTCTTCTTATGTTGGCATCACTGATATTCCAGTTGACGATGACATTTTTGACAGTGACAGTTAAATAGTGAACAATAAATAAAAGTGATGTGTTTTCATTTGTTAGCAACTCAAAAAAATGAGCTCTGATAATAAATTAAAAGGTTAGTAGCCTCTAGAAGCAGGAAGAAAATTCTTTTGTATTTTTTTCGATTTTAGTCGATCCGGGCTGGAACGATCCGCCGTTGTTAAATTACGATGTATCCAATCCACCTCCAAAGTCTCGAATATTGAATAAAAGAGTAGCTTTTCCGTTGACTGGAGGCATTTCTCCATCGAAACCCTCAGATTTACCACCGAATGCGCCTCCATTACCTGTACCTGATTTTACGGTTGAACAAGCAAAACAACTTTTAGATAAATTGTTTACATCTGACAAATCGAAGGAACGCTTCCATAAAACTTGCGACAATGAATTGCCCGAAGAATTCCAAAAATCTCTAAGATTGATGGGCGAATGTTTAATGAAAAACAACAAACTTGGTGCTGAAATTCATCGACAGGAACTTGTAAAGTTCCACAAGAAATTATGCGAAAGTTGGATTAATGATGTTAAATTTTAATAAGAAATAAAGGCTGTGCTTTTTTTGTAACATTGTTTATTTGTGCTTATTCATAATAATAATATATCAGTATATATTTAATCAATATAAACAATTGTGCCCTCTTTTTTATTGAAGTAAGAAGCATTTGCTGGTGTTAGAAGTTACAGTACTAACGCTAATTTAAAATGATATGCCGAACTAAATTCACAAAGGTTCTTACAGATCAAATATTTAAGTAATTATCATGGTTATAGGTATGCTATTAACTTCTAGTAATTTATGAGTGTAAACTTATTTATTACATTGCAATCTCTTGAGTGCAGCATTTCAAAAATGCTTGTATTGCCATTCTATGCAAGTGATAAAATTGCTTTTTTTTGAGAATTCTACTCTACCAGAAATATTTCACTAGTTACTTATTTGTTTAATTTGGTCTATTTGAGATTATGAGTAGGTAATGTATAATCAATAATTGTTTAAAATAAATGATTATTAGTTTCATTACTACAATTTTGAGCATTTTTATTCAATAGTTATTGCTATAAATATTCCCTAAAATGATTGGATTTCAGACCTATAAGCCACTACTGGAAAACGAGGTACTGCATTATAGATTTTAAGTTCTAATAACTACAAAAACTAATTGACGTACGCCTTGCGATTTTGTAATAGATCTAACAGCAAATTAAACGGAAGAAAATGCGGTTATTATATAAAAAAAGCTTCAATACATGTTTGTAAAGATACTGAATATGTCTATTGTGGATAAATATAGCCTTATAAATTAGGCCAATGAGTTTGGTGTGAATCAATAATGTTAATTAAAAAAAGATTATGTAAAACTTCGTGAACATCTGTACTTCTCAAGCAATACCTCTTTGAAATTATCACAGAACCATAAACCACAAGATTTCGTAATGTTACAAAGATGCTACTTTTATATGAGGTACTTTTATCACATTTCTGGTTCACAGTTCTGTAAATCAACTAACTTTCCCAATTCGCTAAAAATTCCCCAATGCGACCGGCATTAGCAAATCTTCAGGTCATTACGAAGCTTTAAAAAACATCAAACAAACATGAATAAAAACATTTTTAGTAGTTAGTATCACATACTATTTAGAATTATTATTCAGAAAGGTGCACTTGCGTGTGAGTGTTCTCTAAAACGAAGAACAGAAGCTGTTTAACAAATACACTTTTCATCGATTCAACTTCACTTCTAAAATCATTCTTATTGTTTTCAGAAAGCGGTTCAGTCAACATCTCAATCAAAAAGACCCTTAGTGTGCACAATAGTGAAGTGATTTTCAATGTACTTAATAGGCCACCGATGAGTTAAAACAAATCAGACTACAAAAATATAAAATATGTACAGATGAAGTAAAATATACTATCAAACAATAACACTCCGTCTGTTCGTTTTCTGATCAGGAGCATATTGTTCAAGATCCTCCGGCTGTGTATTTAGAGCTGAATAATCTATAGGAAACATTATCGAAGATAGCGTCGTTAAAGGGGCGCCTAATAGAAAATGGCCTGGTCCGTTCGGATTTCTACCAAGTAGGTAATTAGCGAAACACAACCTGTACGACTTGAAATGCAAAGGATGGTCGCCGTTCTTAAAAATAATTACGAAATCAAACAAACATATTCAAGAGAGATTACGAACTTACTGAAGTCATTGCTCGATAGGCGTGATCGAGTATTTGTCCTACTTTCACAGCATCTAACCCAAGAACAGAGGAATAAAACGAACTGAGCTCGTCGCGAGTAATTATTCCAGTTCCTGTAAATTCGGTAAATTTAAAGAAGCACATTAAAATGTACAATCGAACTCACCGCTTCTGTTAATAACTTGAAAAAGAACTTTTACGAAATATTGAAGAAATATGGGAAAATCGTTCAGATTTTTAGCTCCCTCCAGCATCTCGGACCACTTCCTCAACCAACCGTCTTTAGTAATATACGTTAAATTATTCACCGTAAAACCTAAAAAAAACACCATCGATCGATAATTTATTCGCCCAAATCCCGGCGATTCTTTCACGATACAACCTACCTAATTTTTCATGAGATATGTTAGTCAAAAATGTATCAATGAAACCTCTCTCAATTTCCCTAAGTATATTAAATTCCGATGAGCTTAACGACCAATCTGCGAAATGTCGCAATCTCTATCCAAATCGAAAGCATGAAATCGTTACACAAATTAACTCACTCGCTACGCGCCAACCAACATACATACCTCCATCAGGCTTTCGAAGTCGTCCTCGCTAATGAGATTGTCCTGATCGTGGTCCAGCAGACAGGAAAAAAAATGCGAGAACTTGTTGCTCTGTATCACGCTCAATTCGTAGCCGGTGTAGGTGTCCGCATTCTCGGCCGAATCCACGCTGAATCTGTCCACCCAAGTAGCTAAATAAATCGATTATATTCAATGTGTTTGCATAAAAAATATTTCATTTGAATTGATTAGTATGTCAAGTTTTTTTTTCTTTGATGATCGGGTTATTGATAAATTTATTATCACTGTTTGCTATTGAATATAATAACAGTGTAATTATTCGAATCTATTTATTCCCTGGATATTTAAAGATTAAATAATAGTATAATCAATAGTACGCTATGTAATATTGAACTCCAATTATGTTATATTTAGAAATACTTAAGTATATAATTTTATTTGTATTAATAACTAGTAAAAGGAGTTTTTTTGAGAACTATTCGAAATATTGATTGGGAACTTTCTTTGTTAAATATTTCCAATTACAATAAATACTTGTATTATTTTAAAGAAAAAATAAATGAAACTTACTCCATACATGCACGCTCCAGCCGCAGCTCTCCGATTGGCTATCAGACTTCTCAATATCCTCGGGTTTCTTGATGGTTTCAGCTTCGATTTCGGACAACGTCCGCCAACGTTTCAGCAAATCTTTCGTTTTGTCTTTGGTTTTATCACAAGCTGACCTCCAATTGGCTATGATTTTGTTAGGCACTTTCAGCGAAGCATCGTGTAGTTTCTGATTGTCACCGTCTTGCTCGGGCTTGAACTGAATGGAGTTTTTGTCTGGTTTTACGTTACCGCTGGCGCTCGATTTGTCCACGCTCTTCAGGCTCTTCAGGCTGGTTTGGGACGTGCCCAGGTCCTTTATGCTGCTGTCTTTGCTCGACTTGCGGGACTCCGGTTGCTCCATCGTTCTTTAGGGCAGCTGTAGCTGATTGACAAACATCGCTACGTTATAAATTGGCTATTTCTGTGGTAAAGAATCGCTTAAATTGTGTGGAACATTTAGAATTCGCAAATAATACCTCTGTAACGCAATGTTTTTGTAAAGGGTTTTCTTCACCTCTTTTCCTCATATCACAATGTTGTTGTGTGTACAGTATAAAACTGGTGACGATCCTGGTGGGTTGTATTTAAAAAAACTTTAAACTACTACATTGATTAAAAAACCATTGATTATAAGGAGTATGAGGGAATAAGGGAATACATTAGAATTACAAGGTAAAGGTAGATTGTTAGATAAATAATCAGTTAGGGTTAGAATTTTGAAGTATCAATTTTTTAGGAGTTGTTTCAATTCCCCGTTAGATGTCGCAATTACTTGACAGGTGTCAACGGAATGAACTTTTTAAATTAAAATCCATTTAGATTCTTTAGAAATATATTAGTATATAAAAGAGCGTAGTATTTTTCATTAATTCCTTCATGTAATTTATTTAATAAATAAAAATATTCAAAAAAAAATCGTGTATTTACTGCCATCTATAAATCGTGTCCTGAAACTATTGAATCGATTCCCTCCATTTTGTGGCGACATCTGTCATCTGTCTGTGTGTATGTTGTTTTGATTGGCTTGTTGTGGACGTCGGTGTTCGGTAATATAAGTTAAAAAGTTAAATGAGTAACTTAAAACTATGTTTCAAACACCTAAAAGGAATAAATTGGCATCTAGGGAAGATAATAGTTTAGCATTAACGCCGGATGATTTCGTATTGAGGTCGAAATCGACGAATGTAGCAGACAAAGGAAGTGGTTCTGGGGAGTCTAGACGAGGAAGGCCCAATGCTAATTTATTAAATATACTCATTACGGAAGGTTCTACGTCTCCTAGTTCCATCAAATGCACGTTCTGCGGAAGGGTTTTCCCGAGAGATAAGTCCCTGCAAGCACATTTAAGGACGCACACAGGTAGGGGCAAATGAACTTTAAATACCTGTTGGCATGCATTTTCCATATTTAAATGTCTCGAATTCCAGGTGAAATTTACCGATAACTGGTCAAAGTTTATTAAACTTTAAAAAGATAATTTATAATTAGCATATATTGAGCGATTTCTTTGATTGAATTTGTAAACACGAATTTAACTAATAGAAATATTCTAATTTGTGATGTAACAGTATTTAAAAACTACACGATTAAGTAGTGGGAATTAAATGGGTTAAATGTATTTTTTTAGGCGAGAAACCTTACGTTTGCGACTATCCTAGATGCGCTAGAAAATTCGCCCAATCAGGCCAATTAAAAACGCACCAAAGACTGCACACCGGCGAAAAACCATTCGCCTGTACAGCCACGAATTGTAATAGGAGATTCACCCATGCTAATAGACACTGCCCTGATCATCCAGATCACAGTCTTAAGAGGCTAAACTCCAAGCCCGAGCCCACCGTGAATAAAAAGTACGATGATGCCCACAATGCCGAGATAGTAGAATGGTTCAAGAACAGGTAAATAAATCCTCATGCCGAGCGTTTTTGGGACTTACACGACTAAAATTTGCAGGAGAAGTCGATCGTTGGACGCCACCAGCGACGAAAACTTGGACACGACTCCCAAGAAATCGATGTTCAACGAATCGGGCTACAGCAGCAACAGCTCCCCATACTACTCCAGCTGTTCCAAAGCCGAGGACATCGAAAACTCCCCCAAATCCGAATTGGACTACTTCGAGAGCGCCAGTTTCAACAACTCGAATAGCTCCGAATTCGACGCGCACGGGATATCACCCAAGAGCACCCCGTCGGAGCTGCCCAAGAAGAGGTGGTTGCGCGAAGCCGTCCAGAACCAGACCCAATGGGACTCGACGAATGACTTGGCTCGGCCGATCAATTGGGGAGACGAGAACTGCCCGGAGAGCGAGAAGAAGGCCGACAGCACGCCGCAGAAGCAGACCCGGCCTACTGTGCTCGTGTGCATCCAAGGCGGCAAAAGCAAAGAGATCTCTAGTGAAGAAATCCAAGGGGCTATGGCGTTAGTAGAACTTAAAAATAGTGTCAACTATAGGATCTAGGGATGGTCGATGAGATTCGTAAGAATAATTTGTTTGCCTACAATTAGATAATTCGGTTGGGCTTCAGTAGATAAATTTTCTAATGATTACCATACATTTAAAGAATTAACGACTAATTCTAATTTACGTGAAATCCTAAATAGAAATTACGGAATGTATATTTGTCTATATATATTTGCACTTAATTTAAACGAATAGGAAAATTAAAAATTCTCAAAGATTAGAGTACCCTCTCCGCTAGCCACAGTACTAATTATTATTATGGAGATTGGAGATGGTACTCTAAATTTCCTAAAAAATTCTAATAACTAAGTTAGTTTAAAGATTTACTAACATTCGTGTTTTGCTTAGTTATTGGAGAACTTAATTAATGTTACAACAGAGTTTTTTAATGACAGACATCTTTGAACAAGTATTATGGATAATGATACGTTATTTTCTTATTTATACTAATTTTATTTATATATTTTTGAAACCAGCTACCTGAGTGTAAGTCTGCAAATTTTTTAATTAAATTTGATTCCAAAAGTTGGAATTCAATAACTAGGAAACGGAAATCCTACAATATTATATTTCATAATAATCGAATAATTCAAAATTTATTGATATTGATGCGAATAAAATATTTTTATAAAACCCAAAGTCGATATTTCCGATTTGTTTGAGGCAAGGTTTGTTAAATAGCAAACTTTTGTAAACTTTAAAATCCCGTTTCTTTTGTTAAACGAGCATTCTTAAAGTGTTTTTATCAATTATGAAATAACTGGAGTAGGATTCTTCATATGTAAATTAGTCGATAGGTCTTTCTTTGAATAAGAATAAAAATTCGATTTAGTTTTATTATACGCTTATAACTAACATTATAAACAAATATAATATATTCTGGTGTTTCGGTTGAAAGATTTTCAAAAAGCTGCGTTTGCAGACCAATTATAATACGCACGTACGCCAAATAAATTATAGTTTAAGATCACAAAATGTTAAATTTCTTGCCTTCGTTTCGAGCAGGATATTTGGAATCAAAAAACATTGTTCTTTAAATCAGTTCGATTTCAACTCGAGTACACTTCCGAATATTCTGTGAATGTTTTTCATTTTCTCTTTCTTGAAGTGGAATCTTGCAGCTAACGAATACACGGATTGATTTAATTCTATTTATAAATTTTGTTAAATTAGTTCTGTAGCTAAGTTAAATTTTTCGAAAAGGTAATGAATATTATAATTTTAATTTTTTTTAGAGAAGCACCGTACATTTTGAAAAAAAACTTTACAATACTACCGGTTTTTGAGTGTTTCTAACATTTTACATTAATTTTTTTAACTTTTTTATATGCTTATTCGACATAATTTTTGGATTCACCGTGTCGGATTTTTATGAATGTTTTTAAAATACTATGTATTTGTTATTAAAAAAAATCGTTGTATAACAAGTAATTTTTGATGTGTTTTAGATTGTGGCGTCATATTTTTGTTAAATTATTGGAAATTTTATAATAAACCAAACAAACACATCGTTTTCACTTTACTGAAATTTATGTAAAATTTTGATGCTATTTTCTGCAGTTACAAAACATTTCTGTGATTCTTTTTAAAATTTCATTATACGGAAACTTTAAATAACTTCATGCTAATGCACGACTGTTATTTGGAGTGGTATATCCTATTTTTCCTTGTTGTATGTTATGTTTTAGAATATTTACTTTATTATTTCTTCATATTTTAACTTGTAATCAGCTTATGTGAATAAAATATTTATGTTCACTCACTTAAGTTTCAAAAATTGTGATGATTGGGAAATAAATAAATTATTATTACTACAAACTGTTTTATTTAAACGAATAGTAAAGACAGACTATGTAAATAGAGTAAATATTTTTGTATACATATATCAGTGTAAATGTTGATTAAAATTAAATTTAAAATCCTACTCTTCCCATTCTTCGTCATTGGAAGTGGAATCTGGATCGTTGGAGGGTTCAGGTGGTGGAATCATCGCAGCAATTCTCGACAGCGTAGAATCCGCGTCGATGCCATTTTCCTGAGATTGCTTAGCACCCGAAATACCTTTTCTTCTCATGAAAAGTTTGTTGTGAAGATCGGTCATCAAATCCCCGCCCTAAATGATAAATTGAATATTACTCACCACAGCAAAATTTTTAGTAACAAATTACCTGAGCGCCTTTTGTAACCGGTTGTCCGTTATTTTTATCTACAGTTTTTAATTTGGCTTTCCCACTGCCACCAGCATTTCGTATGGCTTCCATTAAACTGGACCTGAGATCATCAGCAGGAGGCAAAGCTGCTGTTGTTGCCGATGATTTCGCAGGAGCCTTTTCTATTGAGGATTTCGGCTCCTCAACCAATTGAATATCAACAGGTTTCTTTTCTTCGACAACGCTAGGAACATTAGGTGTGGATGGTGATGCATCCGGGACGTGGATTTCTGGAACGGGCGGCAACTCCGCTATCGAAATGTTTGGTTCCTTGTCCTCTTCATCGTCTTGAGGAATAGTGGGTAAATTTTGACTAGTATGGAAATCTAATTCAAAAATGGACGGAGTTATGTCAGCTGACGGGGCTATACTCGAGTTAAGTTCATTATCGTAATGCAAATCGTTGGCAATGCCTGGCAAATCGGGCAGATCCAAAGGCACGTCTAGTGTGGGAACTTCTCCGATTTGCGGTGTATAAAAGTAGCTCTGTTTCTGGGTTTTCGATTGAATGGATCTTTCGCTTATTGATTTTGGAGCTGCACCTAATAAAATATTAAATGTTATATAGTAAATATGATTACTATCTAATACAATATATACCTATTTCCGATTCATTTTCTTCAACAATCGTTATTTGTTGTGGTGTATTCGAGGCATGATCAGTGACAAAGTCTTTATACAAATTAGTTCCCGAGTTGTACAAAAGTAGATCATTAACAAACTCTATACTACGAGGCGCATCTCCTAAACCATGAAGTTTTATATCGTTAGGTTTATGAATATTTACGTGGAAGAATTGCAGTTTTTCTAATGGACCCTGCGCTGCTGGAACACTTTTGTATTTAACCGGATGTCTTTTTATTTCAATTGGAGGAGCATCACTAAATGTGGAAACATATTCCTTATATACATCACTAGCCGGATATTTGCTGCTGGAAAACACTTGCGTCGCTTTCTTAGCGCCCCTGAGCTTGTTTATTTTCTTATTTACTACATCCACCCTTCCCGATATGTCCGACAATTTCGCTCGATTCAGTTCCAACCTTTTGTTTATTTGAGCAAATATACCTTCACTAACGTTAGCCAGATGATCTAACACTTCGGCAATTTGTACTATAGTCTCTTGTTTATGTAAATTGTGAGTTATTACTGGTACAACATATTTAGAGTCCATTTTAGTTGTTTATTGATGAGCGATGACAGATGATTGCGGATTCTAACCTCAAAAATATTTTTGACGTTTTACGGAAGTAAATATTGATGAACTAGCTGTACAGGTGTTTAGTTGAAGGATTAGATTTGTGTTAGGAAAAGAAGATTTTTGAAATTGTAATTTTGAATAATTCATTGATAGGAAAATGCGATTATTATGTAAAAAAATGTATATTTTATTAGAGTAAATTTAGGTAGATATCCTAGTTTTTTTTAAATAAAATAAATATAATATCAGTTCCATTACATTTTTGTTAACAAATTTTTCACGAACTTCGCTCGAATCAAAACATTCGTTCCGAATTGTTCGAAAATAAACAAACGGAGTTTTCGTAATCCGAAATTTCGCAATTAGAATAGAACGCGTAGGCATCCAAATGCATTAAAACGGGAAAGTAAATTTACAAATCTCGTGTCCTATAAAAAAAAACGAATTAACGCGTTCATTGAACTCTAATGTCTAAATCCAAAACAAAAATTCATACCTCCCAAGTACAATATTCTATTAGAGGGACCTTGGCCTGAAAAACGGAAGGCGAAAATATTAAACGAAATTATGCCATAGCACATTCAACCAATAAATAAAGTGCATGATAGTGCTGCATAGGTTGCATAGAATAATAGGAAATGAAATGCAAGGCGAAAGGCCTACGTGTGGAAGGTAATTTTGATACTATTTATACGATATAATTAAAATCATTGTTGCCAAATTACACGTATATTTTTTCCAATACATTAACTTTTTATCGAATTGAGTACGTTATTGCATCGAAATAATACAATTTTAGTAAGTTGTACATATTATTTTATTATTTAGTATAATTGGGTTAAGATTTATAGAGTTATAGGTGAGAAATGAGTAGTTTGATATAAAAGATTTTTACAATGTTTTGAGGTAGTGGTTGGAGATTTGGCAACGTCGTAAATAAAAATGCAATACTTTCTGTGAATTGTCAAAACGGAATGGATATCACAGAAACGTTAGGGTGGCACAACTGCATTAGAAACTGCGCGCGCAAGGTGTACGCTGAGCGATGGCGTGTTTTGCTGTGTGAGATCTATAAACTCTCGTAATAATGTGTGTTTGAAGTGTTGTGCAGTGGAAATAATAGTTCAAATGGTGAAAATTTCAAGTGACGATTTCTCGTTTAGCTAACATCACGGAATTTGGGATAATGGAGTTGAAACTGCATTCTCCCGCTGGGGCTGAACCCGTATTATATACCTGGCCGTTAACCTCTGGTCGTGGAAACGTAAGTTAACTATTGGTCACCTTATTTTGTTGAAATACCGTCGAGATGATCTCCTGCACTTTTCCTGGGGACTACAGTGGACTTTAACGAACCTATCCCTTCGCTTTTTTCCCGTCTTCAAGTGATTTCACGAACCTAAAACTTCTAACAACGGTACTTTCGAAACGACGTTTTTTTTTCGTGTATTTTACAAGAACGTGAGCCGTTATTTCAAATAATTTCTATTAAAAACCTCGTTGTTCCAATTAACGTTTTGTTTGCTATGTGGGAGGTAGGATGTGTGTATTAGAGAATTATTTTCGATTTGAAGCGGGTTTGCTTAAAAATAACGTGTTTACTGTTTTATTTTATTTTTAAAAAATAAGTTATTTCCCTATTAAACGTGGGAGATCTCGTGTATAACACTTCCTGCAACAATGCACGATGTAAATATTTATAAATCCGTTATTAAAAATCATTACATCGCCTAAAGTCACTGTTTTTATTGCTACTTATCTATAAAAAACGTGTATTTATAATCAATTAGGCAACTTTTAATTATCCACTTGATTAAGGACTGTACTATCATTCCCTATTACGACCTTGGACCTCATACAGATAATATTAAAATTATTGAGTACACACCATTATGCACTTGATTTGTATCTAAGTGTAATGGATGGTTGCTCAATTAAATTATAATATTTCAATGAGGAATTTGTGTAAAATACTAAATAGTAAAATACCAGATATACACCGTTGTAGAAATTATTATCACAACTATAATTGGGTTTATCACTCTAATGATTTGTTTTAATACACCTGAAAGCAATAAATTGCAATTCTGGGAAACTTTTGAAATAAGTGTTTATAGAAATTTAATTGATTGATGGATAATGTCACATAATTTTTGAAATTTCTTATGTAACTAATTGTAAACACTTGGAAAATGTGCGATAGATGTCAATAATTTGCACTTATTAATGTATCTAAAAATGTTTTATATTATTTAATAACTTGCTTATTCTCAAATTTATGACCTGCTTTCCATTGTGAATTTTGTATAGTTTATGAAACGCATTATTGTTCGTATGATATTTTTAAGAATCTAATTTCTTAATAGCATTTTGAGCATCTCATAAAACATTGGAACCCTTATACAGAAAAGTGTAGGTGAATTTAATTGAATATTTAAAACATAATATCTGATTAAAAAATTACAAATTTCTAGTCCGCGGAAATACAACCATAATATAACAAGATTTACATAATAAATAATGTTGATGTTTAAAAAATGCAACATCTATAAATAAAACGCGTTACATAATAATATTGCATTCGGTCGCAAGTAAATAAGAGCCACGTGACTTTTTTGCTGGGGTGTTTAATAGATTGTCGTAGAATTAATTTATTACCTGACGGTCTGCGAGAAGGATTGTCTAGTTTCATTCATCTTTCGACAGGAACTGATGAGTCATTATTACGTGTGTAACTTTAACAGAGATTTATTTGTACTAAACAAACTAGACCAGATTTACATGTTCAAAATATCTCTTAACCCACATGGATCTTTTCAAAAAATTCAAACGTGAAACCATCCCAATATTTGAACCACCCAGTATGCATTATCCCGGAGCTATTCAGGCGGAATACGCGGTAGTTATAATTAGAAACCATTCGCGTTACAACGAGATTTCCAATTGCGTTAGCTGCACAACGGTTTTTCACGTGACCGATTCGGATTTCCCTCGTTTTTTTTTATGTTTTTTTGCCCAGTTGGTCGTGACAGCGTTTGGTACGTCATCCGTTTTTCTCTGTAACTAAATCTAGAAGCTGGGCATGTTGCTTAATCATATGATCAACTCTACCCGAGGGTCACGCCGGGCGGTTTTCGTTGTGTTTCACATTCATCCGACGTGCATGCGAAGGTTTTTCTATTCATAGGTATTGTTGAAACGGGCTATTTTCGTGGCCGCGCTGCCCGGAAATGTGACTGATTTATTTTTTCTCTCGCGCAATTTTATCGGGCTCCGATAGTACGTGAGAAAATATCGAAAAAAATACTAGCGCGCGCTTCAAGGTTGTTGCAACCTGGAGCGATGCATTGAGCCGGGTCCAGCCTCTTTTTTTTTCGTGTTTATAATGGGCAAGATCAAGATCAAGGTTAACATCCCGTGTAGTTTTTTTCAGCGTCTGCAATAAACCCAGACTATTTTAGATATCGGTGTGAAATTGTTCCAATAAATGCCCGTTTGGTGTATAAACTTTCAACCTTGATACTTGAAACGGATCGTGCACGGTTTAAAAACTCGTTTTTTTTCTGTCAATTTTGACCTTACCTTTGACCGTAAAAATAATGTAGGTCTCTGTGTAAATTAATCATTGAATTATACCATTTCTGAGATCAATGAAATTTACTACACTTCAATTTACTATTCAAACATTATTCCGAACTAAACGAGAGATTCAACTAAGTCTTTTTTTTTTTGTTTCAGGATAAACATGATGGAGCGATCGAAATAGTGGAGACTATCAAGTAAGTGAAGTAGCATTGGAGTATTCGAATTAAACAATACAATTTTCAATCGATAATCGGGCAACAAACCAATTACGGACAATCGAACCTGTTTTGTGTGACGTCGATCGAAAGAGCGCCGGTGTTTCCCTCTCGTGTGCGTCTCTTTGTGTTTGTTTTCCCATAAAATGTTTTTTTTTTTCTTTCGTCGATCGGGTTATGCGTGGGGCATCGACCTCCGGGATCAGCTGCGATCGATTCCAACGGCGTTACGCCGAAAATTCTCTCGGAGGATTTTCTCCGCTTCGCGCCCGGCCTCATATCCTTATCGATTCCGGCGAAAAAAGGGGTAGGTGGCATCCACCCCATCCGGTGGAAAATAAAGGTCGTTTGCACCGCACGCCGATTTATTTGTTTTTTTTTTTAATTCGGACGATTCACTTAGTAGGCGGATTTGAATTTGCGCATAGGCACTGCGAATGGTTTTGTTATTATTAGGTCACTTGGGGAGGGATTATTATTACACGAATTTAAAATATTAGTTAAAAGAAGCGATTTTGAGTTAATATTGAGTATTTTACTTTAATAATTAGTAGATAAGTGTAAAATGTAATGACAGTTGACATTTCATTCTGTCATTAAACTAAATTTTTTGTTCCTGTGTTTTTCTGTCATTCTATTATGTGTATTGTGATTCAGCCTTTGGATATTTTTGAAATTTTGTCGAATCATTTTCATAGAAATTAGTACACAAAATTATTGTTATTTAAAAACTCGCAAGTAGCCATTTGATTTCATATTAGTAACATCGGATTCTTTATTAATGTGTGAGTTTGCAAATTATTTGACAGTTGACATTTAGTTGTCATTTTTTCATTTTTTGCGTAAAAAATTAAAATGTTTGTGTATTGCATATTTTACGATTTTAGAATCTTATCAATCAGCTGATTCCGTTAATTAGGCACACTTGATGTCACTAATGTCAAGGATATACAGCCACCGAAAAATCACTTGAATACTGCAGTAGCCGAACAATTAAAAATCGTTAAAACAGCCTACTTGTTCTCATAGTACCTTTGACACTCATCATTTATCACTGTCGAATCGAATGATTTTTAAAACGCAACGAGTTCTAATCGAACTGTCACTCAAATTGCGATTTTTCAAGGAGCGTAATGCATCCTTCTGTGTATCGTTGTCATTGTCCCAGATAAGGTCGGGTATCGATTCGTCGAAAGCGATTTAGCATCGCATCGCCACCTCCTAAATTATTGATTGTTCGTTCGGCGAATGCGAGGGGTGGAAAGAGCGGTGTCGAAACGGGCGAAGGAGCGTCAGTTTTGCACCGACCCGACCGCCAACCAGGGTCATGGTCTACAGCCGAATCGATGAACCCGCTTTCTTCGCTTACGAATTGCTCGGGAGGAACGTATCGAGAGCACGAAGCGACGTTATTGCTCGACTATTTATTTAATTTGATTTTTTTTTTGGGTTGCTCGACGCGCGACCCAGGGTTTTATTTATTTCGCTAAAGGTAAATGAGTAAAATCTTGAATAGCTGATACAATGATAATTGCTATGTTAGTAATGGAACTAACGGTCTCGGAAGGAATGAGTTGCGACCTTGCTTTCTCGACGTTTATTGCCGCTGCGTCAACCTTTATTTTGCTGATTTTTTTTTGAGGTTGCTGTTTATTACTACCCAATAAATCAATAGGGTTCTAAACGGTTGTTAAAACGCCAGCATCCTGTACCTTCTTTGAAATCGGATGAACTTTTTCGCTTTGCACCCACTTGAGGAATTCGGAAGTTTACGATTTGTTGGGTTGAAATATTTTTTTTTCGCAATTCTAGAGACATAATATTTGAGTTTATGGAACAAAAGTAATCTTGTAAACCATACGAGTAGCTTGGGGTTCTTTTTGTCGACGTTAACTACCTGTTTCGTCGTTTTTGTATAGATCCAAAGTAGGTACAGATGTTGTTTTAGAACCTTCAGTTGTCTACCCGTAGTTCTGTTGAACACCTGCCTCCCGCCATAGAAAAAGGAAAAAAAATGTACACTTTCTCGATATTAAATATACTCAACGAATCTTCGATGTATCGATCCGATTTCGCGTTATTGCAATGTTCGTTTATTTTTCCAGATGGGTTTGCGAGGATCTTCCCGAGTTGAAACTTCCATTGGAGAACAACATACTCTGTGACTATGACACGCGGAGTTACGAGAGCATGAAATCGCTGTGCGATAGATTCAATAGAGCAATTGACAGCGTCGTTGCCTTGGTAAGCGTTCAGATTTCCAAGTATTTTCGAAAACGAAGATACCGAATAGAGTCCCAAAATCTATTTTGAGCGATGTCAATTCAAAGTCTTCAGGACTTTGCAGGCTGCAAGACTTTGCTCAAACATCATTCCTCCTCCCCTGATCTACAAGACATAAGAGTGTATGATCAAGGAAAGAGTAGAGATTAAGAATATTGTTAATTTTACTATATTAATGACATATTTTGATTTTACTACATTCTCACCTTAAAATTCACGAAATTTCGTAAACGCAAATTAACGAGTACTCGCTGTGTATTCAGCAGTTAATAACCTTTTTTTATCTATACAGGAAACCTAAAATTTTGCGATAGCCTATAAAATTGGTCGTAACTTAACATTTTTCGTCGAGAATTGTTATCTGATTTACTTACTTAAAGAAATAAATATAAAAACATTTTTGTCGTTTCGATTTTATTACTTAACCGCCGTTTCTAACGGAAAAAGTGAAAGTTATTTTTCAATTATATTCTTATAAAACGACCTGCTGTTTGTTTAACCAACAACATTATCGGTAAACATTTGCGATTACGAAAGATGTATGCGTAGATTTAGTAGATTTGGTAGAGTTGCGGTTCAGATTTGTGTAGTAAACGGTAGTTGACGTACAAGCAAACTTAAGATAGGTATAACATTTTCCCTAGGAGAAAGGTACCTCGCTGTCAGCGCATCGCACCTCGAATTACCCGTCGAGAGGCCTCCTGCGGCACATCCTGCAGCAAACCTACAACGCCGCCGTGACCGATCCGGAGAAGCTCAACCAGTACGAGCCCTTTTCGCCGGAGGTCTACGGCGAGACGTCCTACGATCTCGTCTGCCAGATGATAGACCAGATCGAGATCACCTCCGACGACGTCTTCATCGATCTCGGTTCCGGCGTCGGGCAGGTCGTGCTCCAAATGGCGGCGGCCACCCCTTGCAAGATCTGCCTCGGCATCGAAAAGGCTGAGGTGCCCAGCCGGTACGCGGAGAGCATGAACAAGAACTTCAGGACGTGGATGCAGTGGTACGGGAAGAAGTACGGCGAGTACAAGCTGATGAAGGGCGATTTTCTGACCGAAGAGCACAGGGAGAAGATCAATCAGGCTACCATCGTGTTCGTGAACAACTTCGCCTTCGGACCCTCCGTAGATCACCAGTTGAAAGAGCGATTCGCCGATTTGAAGGACGGCGCGAAGATCGTTTCTTCCAAGAGCTTTTGCCCGTTGAATTTCCGCATCACCGACAGGAATCTGAGCGACATCGGGACGATAATGCACGTGTCCGAGATGTCCCCGCTCAGAGGCTCCGTCTCGTGGACCGGCAAGCCGGTGTCTTACTATTTGCACATTATCGATCGTACTAAGCTCGAAAGGTACTTTCAGAGACTGAAAAAACCCCAATTGAAAGTAAGTCGATCCGCTATCAGCGCGCGCGTTTTTTTTTATTAATAAAATACATTCCTTCGCAGAGTTGCGACGACGACAACTCCAACTCGAACTCCGTCACGAGCAACCGAGGCGCCAGGGATCGCGCGAAACGCGACCTGTCCAAGCAACTCATGGATTCTTCCACCGAATCGGATTACGAGGACAGCACTTACGGCCCCACAACGAGGAAAGCTTGGTCGGATTACTGCTCGATCAAAGGCAAGAGCAGCCAATCCGAAGAAGAAATGCAAACTTCCAAGGTAAACTCGATCAAATTAATCTAATAGGTGTAATTAAACGTTGAATACATTGCAGAATAAGCGACAACCAAAGAAGCTGCGTCGCAAAGTCAACAGAAACTCGAAAGGTCAACTGCAACAGGACAAAGGCCAGCCGAAGGTCGTGGGGAAACCCAGGCGGGGTCGCGTCAAGAAGGCGAAGGCCAAGAAGCAAATCAAAATCAACGGTTTGGATCTGCTTCACAACGAAACGTTGCTGAGCACCTCGCCGCAAGCCAGCGGGAAGAAACCGCCGCCGGCGCCCGGCTGCGTCGACCAGAAGCTCACCACGCTCAGTTCGGATTTGATCGTCCACAACGAACTGGACATACCGGAACAGCCGTCGGACACGCCCTACGGGCTGCAGGTGCTCCTCGACATGTTCAAGGGCCACTACATGCAGATGCTGAACCAAATGAAGAACCCGCACTACAAATCGATGGTCGATTCGCAGATCGAGGACGAGAAGGAGCGGAACAGGAAGCTGAAGAGCCGCGCCGCGCAGCTCGAGAAGCAGATTAAAGTGCTCATAGACGACAGCGTGGCGTTGCTCAAGGCGAGAATGAGCGAATTGGGCATCAACGCCACCTCGCCTGTGGACCTCCTGGCGAAAGCCAAGGAAATCGTCTGTCGCCATAAGGAATTGCAAGCGAAAGCCAGCAAATTGCAAGGGCAAGTGGCCAATTTGGAGGCCGAGCGGGACAGTATGGTGTTGCAACGGCAGGCGGAAGTTTGCGAGAAATACGTCGGCTCTGTAGCCACCGATTTATCGCCGAAAGCGGCGCAGGAGTACATCTTGAGAGAGATATCGTCGACGTTGGCGCACAGGAAGAAGCTGCAGAACGAAGTGTCGAAGCTCGAAGGCGATATAATAACGTTGCAAAAAAACGAAGAGCGCAAACAGGCGCAGGTGATGGCCGTGCGGCAACAGCAACAGCCGCCGACAAAAGTGTCGAGGAAATCGCGCGAGTACAGGGCGCGCTCGCAAGACTGGCCGGACGTGCCGGACATAGCGAAGATCGAAGAGCAGAATCCCGAAATTTTAGCGCAAAAAATATTGGAAACCGGCAGGAAGATAGAGGCCAGCAAGATGTCGGCGATTAGTAACAAAGTGCCTCAAATCATCAGCAATCCCGCCAAGACGGCGCAATCGAATCACCAGAAATCGCTCGTGCGCAACAACATGCCCGCCCCGCTTCCCATGACGAAACGCCAAAAAACCGCCCACAACTACCCCAATCCCAACGCGTCGAATGCCTCCAACGCTTCGAAGGTCCAAGAACCGCCGCGCATAGCGAACTTCGAGGACAGACTGAAGAGCATCATCACGTCCGTTCTGAACGAAGACGTCCAAAATCGTACTAAGCAAGCCCCGGCGCCCATCCTGCAATACAATACTCAAACCAGCCTGCCCAGCACTCAGCACAACAACGTCGGATCTCACAGCTACAACTACCAAAACACCTTCGTCTCCCCCAAGCAGGAGGAGAAGCCGAGGAAGTACCCGCAACAGCAGCAGCCGCCGGCCAAGTTCGCCGGCGCGCGGTGCGAAACCGTCGTCAGGCAGAAGGACTATCCGCACCAGGAGGGACTGGCCAGCATGATGGAGAACTACAGGGAGGAGCTGCCGAAGATGTCGCCGCAACAGGCCGCCCTGCAGCGGCCCGCCCAGAACCCGGAACAGCCCGACTACACGCAAGTTTCCCCCGCCAAATTGGCCCTGAGGCGGCACCTTTCGCAGGAGAAGCTGGTGCACCAACAGATCCCTTACAATCCGAACGATGGAATCGTCGCTACGAGAACGATAGGTTCGTATTAGAACGCATTCCGGTGATGTATGAATGAAATTGAGTGTTTCGCAGGTGACCTGATGTCTGGTGAAATCGAACGAACGTTGGAAATTTCTAATCAATCCATAATAAACGCAGCGGTAGATATGAGCGACATCCAAGGCACCGCTACATTATCCTCACGGTCCGTGGTAAACGCCAATCTACCGCCTCGTCCCGAACGCGTGAACGTGAAAGTACCCATAACGGACCCACCGGCCGCCCAGAAGGAAGTAGAACCGGCCCCGCGACAGCAAGTCTACAGCCCCATATCCCGACCGTCCTCGACCGAAGGCTTAGAAGGCCTCACCTACATGCATTCCCACGGCAAGGTAACTCGCTTAACTCGCCCGCCGAGTAATCCACCATTTCATTCGATTTGTTTGTTAGTACGCAGCACCGCCGCAGCCGAGTCCACGGCAACAGTACTCGCCGCGCACGACGGTGATGTACCCCAGGAACGCCGCGGTCAATTCGTCGTACTCCAACGAAATCTACACGCCGCTGCCGCGCGCCGACATCAAGCCGTACCACGAGTCGTACTTCAACGACGTCAAGTCGCCGGTGCGCGCGGAGCCCGACGGCCGCAACGGCTTCGTGGCCGAGGGGCTGGCGGCGACGCTGCAGTCGCGCGCGCTCGGCGCGCCCATCAAGGAGGAGGCGGACGCGTTCGAGCGGAAGCCGAGCTTCCACGCGCCCGCCGCCTACGCGGAGGCCGCCGGCGGCGGCGGCGGCGTGAAGACGGAGGGCGGCGAGGGCGCGTTCAAGCGGGAGTCGCCGGTCATCCAGGGGCCGGTGCGGACGGGCGCGAAGAGGTACGTCGACGGGCAGAGGGGCAACTTCGGTAGCGACGGGTCCGCGGAGGGTCATTCGAATTCTTCGGCTGCGATGGTCGAGGAAGCGTCGGAGCAACAGAAGGCGAGGAAATGCAACGACGAAGGTGAGGTGTTGTTTGTTAGATTTTTTTTGTTGTTGTTGTGCAAGTTTTCGTTTTGATTAATTTTCATTGCTAATAGGTTGTTTTTGCTGTTAATTTAACGCTTTAATAATACCTATTATAGATTTGAAGGCTTAAAGGCGACAATTTTTTTTTTGTAGGAACTATGAATGTGACTATCCTAATCCCAGCTAATCCGGCTTTCCTGGTCATTCCCATCAAGTATCCTGTATTCGTTAACGTTTAATTACAACTTATTTTAATCATGTTAATGTAGCTTTTTTTACTTGCATGTTAAAAACTTATATATTATTTATTTTATTTGGGTTTTACTGAACTATTTTAACAATTTTGTACATTGTTTCTGATATTAAAGTCGTATATTAAAACTGTGCTTGACAGCTTTGCACCGTTTTTTGAACAAATTAACTATCTCTAACGCTTTTTTTAATAAATTAACGGGTGACTATAAATAATTGAGAATCTTAATAATTTGTAATCACCCTGTATGTAAAGAGTGTGATTAATATAATGCACATTTAAAGTTATACCAGAATTTACCGCTCCAATGAAAGTACGAAATATTCACAAACAAATGTGTTGGAGTTGATTTTTGATATAAGAGTTATTTTTGGAAGTGCATGCCACAAGGATATACGAGGTTAATCGCGACTAATAATACATAGAGTAACCACATACTTTGCATTCAAACGCCTCGATTTGGAGACCTCACTTTCTCTACGACTTGCCGTTTGCGCAAGCGCGGAGAAAATGTTAATAAATTAATTTGTATATACTCTTTGTTTTGTTAGTTAACATCCGAGTATATAATTGCGCCTGGTAGTATGATGGTTTTGTTAATTTAATTGTGGATATAAAATTCAGGGGTAACAGCAAGATAAAAACGAACCATCTCTAAAAATTAACTTGTTGAGCTTGTTCCGCTTGAACGGTAATTGCTGCAGTATTAGCTTTCTATAAATTTAATAAATTCGAAAGAATTATTATTATTCGATGGAGGTGTGCTCCGGTGTTGATTGGATTTTTGATGCTAATTAAATATGGAGCATACCCGTCGAAGTGTTCTGTAATTAATAATGAAATTTTAGTCAGATGGATTTGATTCTTTTCTGAGAAAAATTGTGTGTTTAATAATCTTACTGCCAAATGGTTTAATGATCTCTTGTATTCTCTAATTGAATTGGTTTTTTGGACAGTTTTTTTGTCGGGATAAAGCATTTGGCAGGCCACTGAACATGTTATTATAAACATAAAAATTCGGTGTATCTGTTTATTGAAGTATCATCTATTTACTGTAGTTTGTTTGCGTTAAATAGGAGGCGCACATTCAGGCATGCACACAAATCTCGCGCGCACAATTTAGCGCATGCATAATACCCCTACCATACTAGATTTAGAAGCTGATTAAATTTTGGTGGTAAGTAGCTTTAGCGCTATTTTTTCTTAATTTTGCCACACAGCTAATATTAGTTGTTTTAATTGATATTTCATTTGATATTATTTGGTGGTGGTTTTTTTTTACATATATTTTCTTTGGCGTTTGTGTAGCAGGACCATTAGGTTTCTCTCGAAGTTATGGGCTCGTTGATGATGCCATTTTATTGTGTTTTTAAGTGCGCTCGTAAATTTCGTATTTTTATTAACGCTTTAAGAGAAACTTCTGGAACGTGCTAGGCAAACGTGTTTATTATCTTCAATCAGTTTTGTATTAATTTGAGGTATTTAAAAATTGCTTTCTTACGTTTATCGTGCAGGTAAGTGTGCCCGAGAAGATTACAAACAAAATCGGATCGTTTCCGCATTATATTTTCAAGAATTTAACACGTTTCTAATCCGATTTCGTCTGTAACCGAACGCAATTTTCGCCGCACTCTCAACGCGATTCTAACCGCCGCCATCCTCAATCGAATTTTCTCGTTTAGAAGTCGACGCTGCGGAAGACGAAGGCGAAGAGTCCAAATGGCAGGACCGCATATCGTCCGGCTTCGACCGCCTGGTGGCGTTCGCCTCCACCGAGCTGGACAAGCGGCGGCGCTCGACCGAGGGCAACGACAGCTGCAACACGTCGCCGGACTCCGGCATCGGCCACGGCCACGGCGACATGCCGCCGGCGGCGGCCGCGCCGCCCGCCAAGCAGCAGCTGAAGCTCCACCCGAACGGCAAGCCGACGCTGTTCAAGATGCCGCCGAGCAAGACGTACCTCGACTCGTCGCCGATCCTCGACCAGGCCAGCGAGGAGCTGGGCCCGCCGCGGACGCCGTCGCCGTCGTCGCCGGCCGCCTCGAACAGCCTGTCGATCAACTTCAGCCCGGAGCCGGTGCCGGCCGAGAAGAGCCCGCCGCGGCTGAACCCGGCGCTGCTCAAGTACCAGCGGTACCCCGAGGACAAGAAGAAGCACGACACGCACTTCAAGAAGAAGTTCTACTACAGGGAGTGGCGGGACGACGCGTGGACGAAGGAGGAGCGCCACGAGCCGCTGAAGGAGAAGTTCAGGCCGAAGGGGAAGGATTGGGACTGGAACAAGGAGCACAACGTGCAGCAGCTGGTGGGCGACGAGTGGGGCAGATCTCACGACCAGTACAATTGGAAGAATTGACACAATTTGAACTGTTTCTATGATCGTTTTTACAATGATTTCGCGAGGCGAATGTATGGAATGTCGTACCCGTACCTCTTCTAACGTTGCGCAACGTTTCTCGAGACGCTATTCTAATTATGACTCAGGTTGATGTGAAATAAATCCATATTTTTCGGTCGCTATTCGAATTCTCGCTAGAATATTAAATGTAAATTCCTATCGTGCGTAAATTACAACTTTACAAGAGGTAAAGGTGGTCTGTTACTGTGATTTTTCCCATTGGCCAAAATTCTAACGACTTATCTCATAAAAGTATATTTTTTAATTTTAAAATTGAACTGCTTAAAGCACTGAAGCTCGTTTTGACAATTTTTTATCACAACACGAAACGTTCAAAAAGACACACCATTGTGATATTAAATTAATTAAATGGTCGCTACTATGTTTGATTCGCGATTTTTTTTAGGAACCGTTTGAAGTATGCGCTACTTGTAAAATCGTCCTAAGGACATTTCTATTTTGTTAATTTGTTATTTTCAAATTATTAATCATAGTAGTGATCGAAAAAAGTTCGGAAAAACGTTTTGGTCAATACATATAGTATTTTATACAATGCCTCCATAATTAATTGACTCCCACGTCACCTAAAATATCAATATTGTGAATAGAAATCGACACAATGGCATGAGAATATTAATTGTCTACGTTATTTATTATTCATTTTTAGGTTAAATTCAAAAACTATGACAGTTCACTAATGACAGTATTTTAGTAACTTTTTTTGGAGGTACCAACAAAAAAAATAACAAATTTACTACAAATCGATTCGAAATTGGTCACGTGGGAGTCATATTTGAAGGCACTTCTTATTAAAAATTCACGATTCCAAGGCGATTTCCGAGCTAAAAACGACACTGCCGAGATAATTGCTGTGTTATAGTAAGTATACTTTTATGTTTACATGACTAGATGTGTCGATCACCGAGGCAGACTATAATTTAATGAAAAAAAAAATTGTACGGAGTGTTGTTACTTCGTGCGAAACAACGACTGCAATTTTTGTGTTCAAATATTTAATGTAAATGAAGTAGATGTTTCATTTTAATCCGAGTAAGTTATTTTAAAATTAAACGCGGATAATGTACAATTGTATTCAATATATCACTGCCTTTTTAAAAAAATTTCGTCTCTTCGCTTCTAAATTATTAAACGAGCATTTAATTTATTTGTGTGTAAAAAACTGTATATTATGAAAGAACGTTGACTGTAAATATTTAAACGTAAATATTATAGTAATTGAAAAATTTAGTACAACTTTTGTAAATAGGTTTAGTACATTTTAAGACATTTTTTTAGGTAAATTATACTTTCCAATTTGGCTATTTCAAATTCGTAGGGCGTTTTTACGGTAAGAGTATAACATTTACACCGTAGCTTTCTCACGCAATTTTTGTTTATTGCCGGACATTTTAGTAGCGCCCTCTGGCGTAGGAAATCCTGTACTTACTAATTTAATTCCAATTAGAAAAAGCATTTTGGTACATAAACAAAACGCATTGTGTGGAAAAGTGACGAGGTTTTCATTATAATTTTTTTTTTTGTGTATAAAAGTTTCGAGTGCAAGTATTTTCCACTGCCAATTTTTTACTAGTGAAATGCATGCCATCAACTTTTATAAATTAATTTATCGAGGGGATTATCGCAATTTTAGCATTTTTTTTTTAATATTTCGACGGCGAGTCGCGGCTATTTCGGCTCGAAGGAGAATTCATCACCCTATTTTATGTACAAATTAATTTTATCGGAAAGGTTTGCGACGGTCCCTTTCAGTAGTCATCGGCTTTAGTTGAATTGTTTTTACGTATGTAATTCTTAAATGACTACTTTGTAACATATAATCCTCACTAAGAGCGTCCCTTTTGATGACATGTATTCGGAAGAATGGCTTGTATGGTCAATAATCAAAATGTGCACACCGCATGCGACATTTTTCCTCTGTATAATAATGTACATGGTAAGCACTGGAATATTCAATTAATTTTTTGCCTCAGTAAATTCATGTTGCAACTTCCCGCAAAATTTTACATAGGTACTTTATTGTATTTTATTTTTTTTTACAGAAGTTTTATTGCAGCTGGAGTTAATTCAGTAACCTGTGGTTTACTTTGTACATGGTTAATCGGTGATATTTTGTGCTTATTTCTATTTTTCATTTTTTTTTGTTAAATAAGTTTAACTTTATTAACAATTATTTGTCACTATGTTGTTATCATTACTTATGTTATAGTCTATTTTTTTAGTGCTATGTTAAGATTTTTGATCAGTTTTGTTTGTGAAATTTTATTTCATCCACTTTTATTCATAGTTTGCAATTTGTTTTATTTTTTTCTTTTCATTTGATAATATCTTAACCAAAGGTTAATTTACCAATAGTAGTCTTATACAGAAGTTAACATTTGTGAATAAAAGGGTGTCGAGTATTAAGAGCTTTTCGAGATTACTGACATATTCAAAATTGTTTTCAGAAATTTAATTTTACAGAAAAATCATGTGGTTTTTAATTCGTCTAATCACCATAAATTTTACCTCGAAACATAATGTATCCTATTACTTAATTCAACATCCCTTTTTAAATAAATCAGTTGATTTTGAGATTGAAACTTTTTGGTAAACATTACTGTTTTGAATGTGAATAAGACTAGGAATAGATTGTATGTTACATGTATTGAATAAGTCGGTAATATGGTGTCACATGTCACATACTGCCAATTATTTAATAAATATGTATGTATTATTTTCTGAATTTTTCTTTAACGAACCCTTACTGAATATCAACTTGTAAATAAAAACGAACATGCTTTAATAACACATTTAATAAATACAATAAATTAAAATCTGTATATATGGAAAAATAAACTGAACAAATATATGGAAGTTACATTAGCTATTTCTTCAGAAGGATATCAAACCATACTTTACCTAAAAACAATTTTAATTATTTCTTTGAAAGTTTTGGAGTAAATCACCCTTTGAAGAATTAAATAACTTATCACAGCAAGTTTTTACTACATTTACAAATAGTGAATGTGTGCATAAATCTTCCAACTAACATAACTATCATTAGTCACAGAGATTTATACATACACCACAATTAAACATATTTAAATTTTTTTTTTGGTTTTTTTTTTGAGTTCTTTTGTAAGGGATTAAAAATCCCACCGTACGAATATTCTTCCGCCTCTGTAATTAGATCATTCACCCAAGGCATTTCAATTACAGAAAAATGCCTTGGAGTTTACAAACTATTGAACACCATAATTTAAATATTTCGTGATATTTTGCTTGACTAAAAATTAAAAATTTCAAACATAAGTTAAGAGTGAACATTTCGGAAGTATCTTTGGTAATTTATCACAAATAAAAAAAATATCAAGAAATATTGTTACTCGAATTTGATAATGTTCTTATCTTCTTCATCTATACTTCCTTCTATTGACCTTATGGTGCCGTAAATGTACATATCCAAAATCTGGAGGGTGCATTGAGCAACAAATCTAACGAACGGTCGAACATCACCCATATTAGCAGTCTTCAGAGCATCGTAATACTTCTCCCTAAACAAAAAGTATAATCAATAATAAATTACTTTCGACATCTCCTCCATACCTCTGCTCTTTAAGCACCATCACCGGCGGGTAACCGGCCTTGAGGAGTATCAAATTCATAATAAGCCTGCTTGTGCGTCCGTTTCCGTCCGTGAACGGATGGATGTCCACCAATTTGTAGTGAGCCAATGCTGCATAACGAACGGGGTGCATGCTCTGGGCGTCCTCGGAGTTCAACCACTGCACGTAGCTCTCCATCAGATCTGGCACGTCCTCGTGCGGCGGCGGAACGTGGTTTCCCACGAAAACCTTCTCGTCTCTGAAAACGCCCGAAGTGATGGGATCCACGTGCCCCATCACCCTCCTGTGGATCCCCAAAATCTGCTCCAGCCCGATGTAATCCGCCTTCACCAATAATTTTATGTATTGCATGGCCTTCTCCAAACCGAGGACTTCGTTGTGCTCGATGATGCTTTTACCGCTGACTACTTGACCGGTTTCTAGAAGATACCTCAGTTGCTCCACTGTCATGGTGTTACCCTCGATACCAACCTAGAAAACACAAAATTTAATTGATGAATCTAGTGGAATGTAGTGACAGTACCGTGTGATAAATATGCAAGTAGTAGGCTTGTTTCTTAACAGTCTCGAAGGCATCCAGTTTTATTCGGTTCTTCAAGAAGTCGTTTCGCTCATCGATCAACTTAAACAAATTGTAATCCAAGCCTTCTACGACGGGAGCTGTGCGTTGGCGATTTATCAAAGCAGCCTTGTGATCCGGAGTATGCGACAATGCCTGTAAGAAAACAATATATCGTTAAATACTAGGCTTTCTAGTAATCTCTTTAATAATTACCTTAAAGTATAATTCATCAGCAGCGACGATGTCGTGGTGCTGTTGTTCCAGGAACTCCCCATATCTGTTAAGAACATCCGCGTTTTCGGGAGCAATGGCTGCTGCATGCTCGAATAACTTCAAGGCTTTGTGGCTTTTCCCGGACAATTTGAAAGCAATAGCGGCTTGGAGAGTGTTGTACACTTCCGAATCCGTACCAGTGGCCTTATCATTTTTCAACAAGTACCTTATGGTGTCCTCCTTGGGCTGGGACACCAGCACGGAGTTCAGTTGGCTCAATATCCTGTCCGAATTCTGATCTTCCACCTGTTGCAGCGGGTAGTTGTAGTTGTATTTGTTGTTTCTGTCGGATGGAATTAAATCTTCGAATACTGGTTCTTCATATCTAATACTTGGCCTCTTGTATAACTTATTAATAAAATAATAATGCTGAAGTAAAGCTAACAGTACACAAATCACACTTAATAAAACCGATATTGTTATGACTAATATATTCATTTCATGTGTGTTACAGATTGCAACGAATTGTTAAGTCCACGTCATGTTTTAAGCATTAATAGTTGTTGATATCGACAGAAATGATAGAATTCATTTAATTTTTAAACGCAAAATGAAACTACTAAATAAACTGTCAAGACTGACGTGGTTAATTTGTCATTCGCGCCGGCGCAACTAAACGTTGGCCAGCCTGTTTGTAATGTCATGTGAGGTTTATTAAGGTGTCTTCACAATAGAATTTATTTTTTTTAATTGTTAATTATTTAAACAATTACAACGAGAGTTCTAATCACGTTATTATTTAAACAAAGAGAAAGTTGTAAGTCGTTAAATATTGCTGAAAATTTATTGATTAGTGATAAATTTCGTTCGTGAAATTTCGGCATACGTTCCAAGTGCTTTCATTTGAAGTGGCCTTTATTTTTGAAGTTTGAATTGAATGTTGAATGGACTGGTGCCAAATTTTTGGGGGCTAATGTGTGGTTTTATAAAAACTAAAGAAAAGTTCCTCTTCCAGTACCAGTTTTAACAAAAAACCAGCTAAAATGGCTTCAAGAATTGTAAAAAAGAGCGCCCTGCGTTTGGGACAGAACTTGTTCAGGGTAAAATTTTATTATATAACCTCCATGTTTACACTAATGTACTAAATTATTTTTATTTTTAGGCTCAATCCACTATGTCAGCGTTTGAACTTCAGCACAAAACGCCAGTTATTAAAAAAATAGTAAATATCGACTAGTATTACGATTTAGATTTTATTTGCATTCGAACAATTAAGTTTCGAACCAAATTAATGTACGAAAACTATTATACTTTTATTTTTTTTAAATAATTCTAGACTTCAATCCCGATTGCTCTGTATGGAGGCAGGAATGCAGTGACTATGTTACCCGGGGGAGGTATCGGTCCAGAATTAATGTCCTACGTAAAGGAAGTGTTCAAATACGCTGGAGCGCCGGTGGATTTCGAAATCGTCGACATAGACGCGAAAGCGGAGGATAACATCGATTTGGAATACGCCATAACGTCGATAAAGCGAAACGGAGTAGCTATTAAGGGTAATATTGAAACGAAAAGTAAAAGTTCTGAAGTTTTATCTAGAAATGTAGCAATTAGAAATGAGTTAGATTTGTATGTTAATATTCTACATGTTAAATCGTATCCCGGAGTACCTGCTAGGCAGAAAGATATCGACATTGTTATTATTAGACAGAATACCGAAGGGGAATATGCTATGTTAGAGCATGAGGTAATTATTCAATACATATTTGTCGCATATTTAGAGCAATTACGAACGATTATAATTGCATATTAATTGTTTTTAGAGCATTGATGGCGTAGTAGAGAGCATGAAGGTTGTGACTGAATCGAATTCAGAAAGAGTCGCTCGCTTTGCCTTCGAATGGGCTAAAGCTAATGGTAGGAAGAAGATAACTACTATTCATAAAGCGAATATTATGTAAGTTACACGATTTGTACTAATCATTTTTTATTGTATTTTTGTTTTTAGGAAACTGTCTGATGGTTTGTTCTTGGATACTTCCCAGAAAATCGCTAAGGAATACCCCGAAATCGAACACAATGAAATGATTATCGACAACTGCTGCATGCAGCTGGTGTCGAAACCCCATCAATTCGATGTAATGATTATGACAAACTTGTACGGAAGTATCGTGTCGAATGTTGTGTGTGGTTTAATCGGAGGCGCCGGATTATTATCCGGAAAGAACTACGGTGATCATGTAATGCAATAAATTCTTATTTAATGCTGTGGTACTTACCGAATTAATTTCAGTATGCCATTTTTGAGCCAGCCACGAGGAATACCGGCAAGGCTATAGCTGGGAAAAATGTCGCCAATCCGATAGCTATGCTAAGTGCTAGTGTTGATATGTTGGAGCATCTGGGGCATAACCAACACGCCAAAATGATTCAAAGAGCTATTTACAAAACCGTTTGTGAAGATAAAATTCACACTCCTGGTAAATATACATTACTTTGGTGTATGATAGTTTTACTAATTTTATATTATTTGTAGACTTGGGCGGTACGGCTACGAGTACGGATGTGGTTCAAAAAATTATTGATCACATTTTACAGTCTGACATCAGACCATGGTAATTTTTTGTTATTACAAAGTTATGGTGATGGTACACTAACTTTCAAAATTAACAAAATAACATTGCGCTGCTGTGTCATGTATTAACAATTAACATATTTACTTGAACAATATGTGAATGTATTAATTGTTTATTCTACGTTTTTGCATTTAATGCTTTATCATTTTAATGCTTCATCAACATACACGTACACGTTTTTCTTTTTTTTTTTATGGTATTTTTTTTAATTTTTCTTTTACAGATTTGACACAACCATAGTATTATACCTTTTTTTTTATTAATTAAGCTATTTAATTTGTTTGTAAATATAAATAATAAAACATGATCTAGTTATAAAAATCCTTTATTGCCAGCAATTTCCTCAAAAGATAACAAAACATATGAGTATAAAAATATAGGAATGACTTGTCTTTATTCTATAGAGCAGAGTATTTTACATTTTCGGTTTCCATTTGTACGACCCCGTGTAACAGTAGTTATTATTTCTCAACAATTCATCGCCTTCTTTTGGCCCCCGACTTCCGTACCTAAAACGATTTCGGTAAATAAAAATAATTGGAAAAAATAGGCACTAATTGACTTACATGTAAGGAATAGGTTTAATTTTTTCCGCTTCAATTTTGTGCAACAAAGGCGTGAATATCCTCCAGGCTTCGCTCAACTCGTCGGATCGTACAAAGTGCATCTGAGACCCGCAAAACACGTCCAAAATCAATCGTTCATACGCATCGGGTAGTTTCACGTGCTAAAAATTCGATTATAAACATCTACACCTTTTAAGCATTCTAAATCTTTACTTCGTATCTGCTACTGTACGTTAAATCTAATTCGGTTTCTTCCATATCGAAAGCCATGCCAGGCGTTTTAACCATCATCTTCACGTACAAAGCCTCGCCAGGCTGCACCCGAATAACCAACTCGTTCCTCTTCGGTTTGCCATCGAATATATCCCCGGGCACGTCCCTGAATTGAATTCGCACCTCCGCTTTGCGCTCGTTTAAAGCTAAAAACTAAAACTTAAGCAACGGTAATTATTAAGGGAGAATTATTCACCTTTTCCGCATTTTAGTATAAAAGGCACACCGTCCCATCGCTCATTATTAATGCGTAGTACCGCTAAAGCGTAAGTGGGAGTAACAGAATTTTTAGGAACAGTCGGATCGTCTAAATATCCCATTTTCGATTCATCGTTCCCTTGAGGATTCCCTACGTACTGGCCGAGTACGACGTCGTTAAGCTCAACGGCTTGGATATTCTTCAAAACTTTCACCTAAAAAATAATATCCACTGTAATTCGAGTGAGCGCAGCGGTAACAAAACCCTACTTTCTCGTTTCTAATATCATCCGGCTGGCAAGAAGACGGCTTCTCCATCGCTACTAGCGTTAAAATCTGCAACAAATGGTTCTGCATGATGTCCCTGATGATGCCGAACTCGTCGAAGTACCCGCCCCGTCCTTGAGTACCGAACGGCTCTTTGAAACTGATTTGTATGGAAGCGATGTTGTCCCTGTTCCACGTAGGATTGAATATCCTGTTGCCGAACCGCAGCGTCATCAAATTCTGCACCATTTCCTTTCCTAAGTAGTGGTCTATTCTGTAAATCTGGTGCTCGGTGAAGAGGTGACTCAAGTGATTCGACAGCTTGTCGGAGGACTGCAAATCGCGACCGAACGGTTTTTCTATAATAATCCTCGTCCATCCCCTGGAAATTTCATTCGATTAATTATACCGAATTTAGTGCTAGTTATTGAAATGAAATATTCATTAGCAAAGGTCAATTCGCGCGAAAAATCACTGTCATGGAGAGGTGACTTGTAAATTAGTTTATATTTAGATACACCAATGTTTGTGATACAAACGAGTGCAAATTTTGAATGCTCTAACTAAAATGAACTAAGTTTTAAAAGAACCTAATCACTCACTTTGTACCCATGCAAGTCTCTTTGATGTGAACAGTAACATCTTCGTAAACAGAGGGCGGCAAAGCCAAATAGAACAGTCTGTTGGTGATGGGGGCCTTCTCGAACTTCTCCAGTTCCTGATTGAGCAGCTCGAAGTCCGTCCTGGACGTGTACTGGCCTGAGAAGTACCGGTTCAGCTTCCAGAACTCCTCGTACCGTTGCTGCTCGCTCGGCTTGACGTTCATGTACGGCTCGCATTTCTTCTTGATGTCATCCACGGTCGTTTTGGAGCGCGCGTAACCGAAGAACACCGTGTTGACGGGCAGCAAGTTGTCGCGGAACAACCACCACAGGGTCGGGTAGATCTTTTTGCGCGCCAAGTCGCCCTGCAACCGATTAAAGGGGCTTTTAATTGCGTAACTTGAGCTTCGCGATGCTCCATATGGACGGGCCCGTAGGGGGTATTTTAATTAGCTTCGAAAGGATTTTATTTACTTACAGAAGCCCCTAAAGTGACGAAAACGTGGGGGTATTGGATATCGAAGTGGGTCCCGTCGTGGTCCATGTCTTTGGATTTCAAGGAGTTTCTGTACAAGGCGAGGCATAGCTCTGCCGTTTTCGTATCTAAAAGAAAAATTAGCGGTAATTAGCGGCGAATTGAGCGATCTCGATGGAATAATTGGCGTACCGTCGCAATCGGGAGCGTTTAATTTGTGGTACATTTTCGCGGCGCTGATGTGCTTGCAAAAGTGATAAAAGCAGCCAGAAAACCGTGGTGAATCGGTCTGATAACCAGCGAAATTTGTACAGTTGAAAACTGAGTGATCAAGATAAAAATAATGAACTGTACAACGTAAGATTACATTACACAGTGGTTTGCTCGAGCTCGCACAAACATTACTGGCTGATGACTTTCAATTAAATTTCAATAACAAACTTTCAAGGTTAACACAGATTTTCGTGCAAGTGAAAGGATTGCACGGATGCAACGAACTGTTTCTTTGGTTTACTAAAAAAAATACCGTACCTTTTGTTGGATTTTCTTCTTAAATTTCTGTAAAATTATTTTTATTTACAAAAAGGGTACCGACAAATTCAAAGTCAAATTGACATTGACTTGACATAAATAAATGAAAACAAAACAAATACAAAATTTGTATTGCGAAGAACTAGCAACCCCTGAAACAATTGTGTTTATAGTGCTGCCTATCTAGCAGTAAATCAAATGTTCCGGGAAATTCAAAAATAATTGAAATAAGATTTTATTAAATTAAATTGCAAATAGTAACGATGACTACACACATTTACTTTTAATTTATCCTTAATTACAAAGTGGAGTGGATTGTAATAGAAATCCTCTTCCTCTTACAATTTTCATTTTAAATAACCACTTGCAATCCTTTTTATCTAATCACTTATTCTATCGCACCCAGTTTAGTAATTTTTTATTTGGTTTTAACACCATCAGCAGTTATGATAACGATAACGCTTTTATTAATCAAAATGTTATCTAAAATCTTGACCTTGAATTGCCCCAGTCCCTAGCTATAAATTACATATCACTAGATTCACCGGCGTACTAATTTCGTTTATTTATTTAATTCCTACTTCCCAAAAATCAGCATTATTACCACTAATCCAACCACATTATGTAATCGATATGAATCATGTAAACACATGTTTGTTTATTCGAATTTTTCATTGACAATTCTCTCACGAACGCCGGGAAGACGTATTTTTTTAAATAGATTTAGGTCATTCAAACTTGCACTATCATTTCACCTTTTTGTAACATGCAAAACAACGATTCGCTTTCATTGCAAACGAAAATTTCAACACATTTGATTTGATAGCGTTCTTTAGAATTTTTTGTAGATGTTAGTTTTTATTTTTACCTAACTTGGCGAGTGCTATAAAGTTTAGTTTTATAGCTAAGGTTAAATCAAGAGCATTATTAGTTGCAGACACGATAACAATCTCAATTACTGATTCGCCAATTTTCTTTGAGTGCAAAAGTAATTCAATTAATAGACTCACATTAATTAAAAATTAAAAAAAAATATTCTGCATCTTAAAATGGTTTTTTGGGATTCATTAATATGGAACATTTGAGGAATATTAATCCCAAGAATCACCTTGTAGAGATTTTTTGTTGCATTTTAAACACACTGTATATTACACAGCACTTAAACATTTTTATCTTGATGCTAAACAATTTATTAAAATAAAGTAGGATTAATCAAAATGCTCCAAAAACATCGATATTACATCGAAAAAAGATAGTTTGGGAAATTTAAAATAATTTCGAACGCGTCTTTCCCGAAATCCACTAATTATTCCGGCATTAATTTGTAAACAATCAAACCGCTTCGAAAAAAATAACCTTGACCAACCGCCGGTACGACATCGTGAATTAAACACGTTAAAACGTTTCGCCAACGCACGAAAAATAAGTTTCTACCTGAGATTTTCGACGGCGATCGAAACTTACTCGAATTCCCGTTTACTGCCATATCCGTGTGCACTTTTCGAACGCTCTAATTCGAATCCAAACCGGCGCTTTCGCGTGACACTGCGCGAGATGCGAGCACAATAAAATAATATAATCACAATGCGAAAATGCGGCGAGGTGAGCAGGAACCGCGGCGACCCGTCGTCGCTAATCTGCAAAAATGATTTGATCGAAACGAAAACGAAACTGAAACTCGCGAACGCGCGACGTCCGCTTTTAGTACGTCGGTCCACACGGGCTAATGACAAGCAAGTTTCGCTGCAATTAGGTACTCGCATAAAAACGTCTGTCGAATCGATTTAATGGTTGTTTGTACAAAAATAAATACGGTTTTTTTATGTATAGTATTTCGAATTAAATGAATGGTTTGCATACGGCTACAGTGTGGTCTATTCCGCAGGCTACTTTTTGGACGATTCCACCAATTGCTACCTAAAATCGATTTATTATAGATATAATAATATTCTAAGACTTGTGGTTTACCTTTAGCGGGAAGTACTGGTCTTCGATGTCTCCTAAACCCAGGCAACCGAATTTATTTCGACCCCAAGTGTAGAGGTCTCCAAGATTCGTGATTGCAGCTGCGTGGTACAATCCACAAGTAACATCTATTACAGTAGAATCGGGCTGGAAGTCGTTTCTACCGAACAGAGTCTGTGGTATATGCACAGGAGTTTTGGATAGTTCAACGTTTGGGCCTGTACCTAATAACCCGTAGCCCCAAGAATACACTTGACCGTTTTCTATAAAGCAAACTATTAGCAACGGTTAAACGGCGAATAAAATTTGTTACCGTTAACGACCAAACAAAATGCCCCCGCTGTGGCTACGCATTTGATTTTGCCCAATTTATCCAGCATTTTAATGTGATGTGGAGTTGAAATTTGTTGGTCTCCTCCCGGTAAAGTTATTTGACCATACTCTGTATTACCCCATCCAAACACTTCGCCTTTATCTGAAACCCACCTACTTAATTTCTCATATTTTAATTCAACCATTTTTACCATTCAACGCCATTACAAAATCGGACTTCGACGACACCTTGACTATCTTTTCGGAACTAATATCACCATTCACTTTCGTGAACTCACTGCAATTCTTATAATGCTCTAAACCCGTCTGCCCGTCAGCTCCCCAACCGCACGAGTACACCCCACCATCTTCGGTAACTGCAAGACTTCAAGCACCCAATTACCTACTTGCTGATTAATTAATTACTAAATTACCATACCTATGATCCTGTCCACATTCGACATCCACGATTTTCTTCCCGTCGATGTTTTCAATGTGGTGTATGTAGTTGCTCATGCCGTAATTCTCATCGGGCACCACTCTTCGACCGCACTGGCCGAATGAGTTGTTTCCGAGAGTGAACAATCCTTCGTCGGTTAAAACCAGGAGATGCGCCCGGCCGGCTGCGAGCTTGGTCACTCGGGCGCTTTCGGGGTTTTTGAACGGTAAATGGATCGGCTGGGGGACGAATATCGTTTCTAAGGGGTGCCCCGTTCGAACCTCGTGGTAGCCGATCTGGGAGTCTGTGTTAATGCCCGTGCCGTAGAGTTTTTGACTCGTGTCGTTTCGTACGGAGAAAACGGTGAATCCGAAGCCGCAGGTGGCTGAGACAACCTACAAACGAGGCGATGTGAGGGTTAATTGTTTTCGATTTGTTGGTTGTGATGTTACTTCGTGCTGCTCCCCGAGCGTGATTCTCTTTGGAAAATATAGGGGTTTTAGGTATTTTTCGCCTTCTTTGTATTTCTTAAACCCTTTACCGAGTGCACCTGTGTGAATGTTACCCCACGAAAACACCCTCCTGTAATTTTCTTTGCTGACATTGTATTGAAACACTAAAAAAATTACCCATTTCATTATCGGAGTATTCTCCAAATGTTTGTAAAGAAGCAAATAAATTCTATTGAAACATTAAAGTTTATAGTGTAAAACATTTTTACCTGGTAATGTTTTTTCATGTTCCCGGTCAATAGGATATTTTCGTTTAGGTCCACTGATATATCTTTTATTACATTTAGATAAGGTGCACGCAAATCGTTCTAATTTATTCATTTTATAACAATAAAACTATCACAATCACAAACCAAAATTTACTTATGTAGGTTGTAGGTTAAAATTTTGAGAGGTTATGTTTACATTTTTTCTTCAGCTTTTTTTCATGACATTTGTGCCTAACTTCAGCTTATACTTTTTTTGTCTAAATGACATGTCAGAAAAAGAATTGCCCTGTGTTCATAAAGATAGAAGAAGATAGTCTTGTATTTTTATTGTTGCGTTTTTAGTGGAAAAATAAAGAAATCGCTACTCAAAAGTATTTTGGATAAATAATAAAACAGCTGTATACAGTTTATAATTATGTATTTTACGTAAAATACTTTAGTTTCCACACAAATTTCCCAAGTAATTGTATAAAAATAGGACGATATTATTTACTCCTAGAAAATAATAATTTAAATCCATAGAAACATTGAAAAAACCCTAATACATAGATCGGAGATAGAAACAGACGACAGAAATATTTTGGTGCGCATCATTACGAAATTTATTAGCATGCACGGTTACTAATCTATTTCATTTTACGTAACCAGTTGTTGATTTCCTGTTCATTTTGCGACACCCAGTTGATATTCAGTTGTATTATCTCCAAGCTTTGCTCCAAAGCTCTCGAAGCCGACCCAACATCCATGCCATTGAAATAAGTAGATACCTAAAATAATACATCAATTAAAGAAAATTGAAAAAAATATATAAAAATTGAAGTTACTTCATAAAAATCGTAAGGTGTGGATAAATGTGCTGTAACAGCTGATATGAGATTTCCCATCAATATTGTACTGTTTCCGTATAAAGAATGCATAGTGGGCCAATACGCTTTCAAGTGTCTCCAAGCCAACAACCTCCCTTCAGGATTTGCTGCCACAACTTCCAAGACCAACTTCACGTCTTCCGGCTTTACTAAATTCGTGTCCAATGTTTCTATTAAGTACCTGAAAACACGATATGCAGTCGAGAATATAGTACACTAAAGCTTCAATTACCTCTGCAATAGCCAAGGATCGGAAGCGACCCCTAAAGCCTTCAGCAGGATCTGCTTCTCGCTTTCCGACGTCGCGTTCTTGTAATAATTCCAGCAGAACTGCCACTCGTTCATTCCTCCATATTTAATTCCGGCCGAATAGATGATTTCCTTCAAGTTCGGATCGATGGATTTGTTGTGCACCATCCAGTTCTGGAAATGCGTCTTGGCTACCGATATAGTCTCGTTCAGTTCGCACAAAATGGCCGCCGGCAGGACGCGATCTCGCAGCAACCTATTTAAAATAAATGAATTAAATACACTACGATTTTTTTGTTCCGAACTCACTTCTCCATGTGGGTTTTCTTCTTGTTCCATCCGAGGTACTTCGTGGCGGGTTCCAGCAAGTATCTCATGTACTTCAAGAACGACTTGTAGGCCAGCGATTCCGATAGTCTGCGGGCCCAGGCTTTCAAATGCTCGATGGCGGTGGCCCACGGAGCGTAGTCCCGTTCGTTTTTGAGGTACAAAGACAACTCCAGGGCGACGCTCACGTTCAACACGCCGGCCCTGCAACGACAATACCGGTTAGAAAATATATACATATTTATTTAAATTGTGTAGTTACTTTGATAGAGAAAACGCATCGTCGATTAAGCTGGCCCTATCGGCAGCTGTGAATAACTTGTGATTCGTTTTCAACACGTTGATTAAAGCTTGCCATATATCGTCGTCGTACATCACCCTGTAGAAACCCGTTTGATTGACGTTCGCTTTGATCCATTTTATGTCCGCTCCAACATCGAATTTCACTGCAAAAAAAAATACATTTATCGTGCACAGTCGCGCGTAATAATTCCGAATGTACCATCAGTTCTGTTCATCCAGACGTATTTTACTTCGCTGTCATTGTTCGTGAAATAACTGAGAGGGATATGCCATTTGTAGTCGTATTTCGATAGAGGCAGTGTATGTTGAGTGGTGTTCCCTTTTTCCACGGTGACGAGGAATCTTTTTTGCGACGCGACGATCTGGTGTTCTTCGCGCTTCAGGACGACCAACGGGAAGCCCATCTGATTCGTCCAGGTGTCCATGATGGCCTGCAAACCGTCCAGAACGTAAGATATTTCGTATAAATTTCCAAATACGCTTACCTACTTTTACGTCCAGAGTTTGGTTGGTGTTCTTCGATAGAATGTTCCAGAGGTCCTTGGTTTCGGTGTTCTGGTATTTGTACGTTGTCAAGTAATCGTTCAGACCGTTCTCCAGGTTTTCCTTCTGCAGGAAATTCGCCAGCATGTTCAACACAGCGGTACCCTGAAGATGAAATACTTGGTGATTAAGCAGAAACTTATTTTGGGTGTATTAAGCTACCTTGTTTAGAGAAATAGTATCAAAAATAGCGTCGATTTCAGACGGATCCGTTACGTTCGCTGCTATCGGGTGGCTGCACGCCAAGGCGTCTAAAGCTAGGGCAGGTTGGGTTTTGTCTATAATAAATTGATCCATCATTTTCCAATTCGGGACGTAGTCGTTAGCGCCCATGTACTCGAACAGCTTCGTGAAGCATTCGTTCAGCCAATAATCGTTCCACCATTTCATCGTGACCAGGTTTCCGAACCACTGGTGGGCCAATTGGTGCGCCAGGCTCGTCACGAACCACTGGTGAGCGTAGATGAACGTGTCGTTATCGCCGACATTCGAAAAGATTTCAGTCTCTCTGTAAGTTATCAGACCCCAGTTTTCCATGGCGCCGTACTGGAATTCCGGAAGAGCTACAATATCTGAAAGGAGCGCAGGTTTAGTAAGAGATATCGGGCGGGGGCGGTCGGGGTTACCAAGTTTTGGAAGAGGGAAGGCCAGTCCGAAGAAGTTTTCGTAGTAATCGAGGAAGAAACTGGACAGTTCTAAAGTGAACGGAGCTCTGGATAAATACGGCTCCGGCGTGTAGACGGACACCGAGACGCCGCTTTCAGTTTGCTTGTTTCGTTGACTGAAATCGCAAATAACTAGCGCTACTAAATACGTGCTAATTTCGTTAGTTTCCAAAAATTCGTCGTAAAGCTGCGAAAAATCGATAAAAAATTCACCACTCGAATTAACAACTAGTTGGGATAACTTACCAAACCTGTTCCCATGTAGAAACCCAACCCGTCGGTTTTGACTACAGGCGTGTTGAAAAGACTGATGTGGAATCTGTCTCTAAACACCGTCAATCGGAATTTCGCCTTGAATTGAGGCTCATCGAAGCACGGAAAGGCGGTCCTGGCCAAATTGGGCTTGAAGTGAGTCGACGCGAAGTACCTGCAATCTCCCAATCAACCCACTTTTTCACCATCTAAATTCAACTTACCTAATTTCCTCGTGCTTGGTAACGTAACTCGAAATGTAGAAACCTTCGGGTTCCGTGTTCAGCCTCGAGTTGTACCTGATCCTCAACACGTAGTTGTGCCTCTTCCTGAACTTCTCCCGTATTTCTATGTACAATTGCTCGCCGCCCAAGTACTCCAGCATCTTGATGATAGTCAAATTATTGCCGTGTTTGTCCTGCACGATCTTGTCCAGTATGGTGAGGTTCTTGCAATGGAGCACGATGAAGTTCGTCTCCTTCTCCGCTTGGAATTCGATCGATACCTGGCCTGAAACCAGCCGGAGTTAGTAAAAGCGCGAGGTGCGCGAATTCGCCGGAACCTACTCCTCACTTCGAGCGTGGTTAGATTCGGGTGGATGGTTATGTTGTACCGGTGAGGTCTCAAGGTGGTAGGAAGACGAACGTTGTTCCAAGGGAAGATTTGCCCGTTGGTGGCTCTCGGCTCGAACACCTTCGTAGCGTTGGCCTTGTCATCGACGTAGTTCGATTTGAGATCGCCGGCGCACGGACAATCTGCAAGCCTCGATCGCATCAAATCGGATCGGAAATGCGTTGGGAGTCTTACCGGTTTGGGGTCCGGTGAAAGCGATGATGACGGCGAGCGTGAACAAAACGGCGAACACGATGGTGGCGATGCAGAGGGCCCGGTTGTGCGAGCAAGTGGCCACGCCGTGGTTCTCGTAGAGGCTCTTCTTCGCTTGGTTGGAGTTGCTCTCATTGCCTACAACACCACCCGAGTCACGGTTATGAATGAGCGGCGAAGACTGGCATATGGAGTGACTAATAGGAGCTGTGACCCTGTGGTTTGTACCTGCGGTACGAGAAAATAACCGGGGTCATATACGTGCGGGTGTATTAAAATATTAATGATTGCGATGGAAATATAGTGAAATGAACCTGTGAGAAACGCGACGTCGTCGACATCCTGTTCAGTCATCACCCCTCGTTAAATCCCCCTTCGATGTGTTCTTCTGTGGGATAGCTGGATTTATCGGCTCGTCGGTGTTTACTTATTCTGGCGATCTGATATCCGGTTTTCGCCGGAGCACGTCACTATTTGGTCGAACTGTATGAACTACACGATCTACTCTAAGCTAATACGAAATTTGTTGTACTTTTCTTGATATATTTCTGTTAAAAAAGTTGCGTAGAAAATATTGAAAAATCTGTTATCGACATTTAACGCGGTGCAGCACGATGTAGGGGTTGGATGGAATTCGGCGGCGAGCGTGATGGGATTCTGCGCCCTTGCGGATCCTTTCGGAAACGCCCCGCGACGCCGATTCAGGGTCGACTCCAGCCCGTCCGGATGCGCCGCAGGGGCGCAATCCCCTTCACGCCACCCCAACGTTTACCGGTCATAATCGATTGGCATTAATTCGCTTATCATGCGGAATCCGTTTGGAAAAAAAAAACTATGCGGGTTTCTCGGTTAATCCCTTCGATTTACGTTCAAATAAAAGAGTCGCACACGAACAACATATACATATAATGCCCAAAAAAATATAACATTGAAATATATTACTATAAAGGTAACATTATTCGATTACCAAACAATGCGTTTAAAAATCTACAACAGTCAACGTTTGCTTAAAAATCTAACGAATTGTTACAAAAAAATAATTAACGTGTAATATTTTATTTGTCCAGTTCACCATTCCGCGTCACCGCTTGCTTTTTGGAAGATGAAATCCTCCCCGTTCAGATTCATTATACCGTCTTTCAGATGGAACTTCCACCTATTTCTGCTCCTCGTAATCTGCAAATAACGAAAGCCAATCGATAAACTTTAATGCAAACAAATCACCCGACGAAATCACCTTATCAAACTGGCATACTATCACATTATCAGTCTCAAATGATTCCTCCGTCCCATCGGCATCGGACACATCATCGCCGGAATTCAACGGATCGTCTTCACCTTGCGCGGCGAAATCGTCCTCCATTTCGTCCTCTTCCTTGTCCTCCTCGACCTCCTCGGACCCGTCCTCGCTCTTGTCGTCCTCCTCCGAGGAGTCGGCGGGGCCGTCGCCCTGCGGGATGCCCCTCAGCCGGCTCTGCAGTATCTGGTCCTCCAGGTCGCTGGAGAACGACGAGCTCAGCACCGGGTCCGGGTCCTTCTGCTTGGGCGCGTCGCCGGCGGTGTAGGAGAACTCGCCGGCCCTGCCGGCCGCCCGCAGCTTCCCTTCGAGCAGGTAGTCGTGCAGCTGGTGCGGATGGCGGGCGGGGTTCCGGCCGTTGGCGGAGCTGAAGTAGGACTTTTGGTGGTCGAGGAAGGCGGCGTTGACGTGCTCCTGCAGGTAGGCGCACGCCGAGGCCAGCGGCAGGCCCATCGTGGTGCTGATCACTTGGCCGGTCAGTATGGACTTCAGGTGGTGGTCTTGGAGGAACACTTCGGGAACGTCGACGGAGAGTATGCGGTGGTTTTCGCCGGAGCCCGGGGCTGATGGAATGGTGAGCTGGATGGGGACCCTTCTCCATTCCGGGAGCCCTTGGACTAAACGGTATAGCGTAAAATGTTTGATCGGAGAAATTTGTTAGTAGGTACCTTGTGGTATGTGGTTATTGGGCGGTACTTGTCCTACTATCTGTTTGTTCAACAGCATTTGCTGCTGCTGTTGCTGGTATTGCTGCATTTTCAGTTGGTTGACCGTTAATGGAGCTGTTTTAACGTAATTTGGATTCACATCTTGCTTTGGTTTCGCGTTGTCTGTAAAGTAAATGTGGTTTATGCGGGGTTTTTAATTGTCCTGATCGCTTACTTAATATTTTATCGACTTCTTTATTCTCATCAACCGCCTTTGTAGCCTTTAATTTAGTTTCCCACAGCTGTTTTAGTTCGTTCAAAATCGCCTCGTCGACTCCTTCTTCGATAAAATGTTCCCTGGTGTTCGAGATGACGTCGTTAATGACATCTTGGTATGCCTTGTACTGAAAATTACAAAGGACTAATGGCCATTTGCATCGGCAGGAAATTAATTGAGGTTTGATTAAATCTGACTTAAATTGAGGACAAATTGTATTTTTTGTTTAAGCGAGCATTTTAAGAATTTTTAATACAGATATAAAAAAAATTATATCTTTATATCATGTTTATATTGGTTTTAGTTCAAAATCGAAACAGTCTATCAATATAGATATAATTTCATATAAGTAACCGTAATTAGTTGATAATAAAGATAAACTTCAATAAACGACAATAAACAAAAAATTTGGAAACAATATTTATTAATAATTAGCGCTAATAACTAGAGAAATTAAGTAAAAGAATCAACAAAAATACTCAATTTCCACTGAATAAAATTTTATTTCAGCTTGCCAATTATTTGAGCCATTAACATTGCTTGTTCCTGCTGAATTATATGCAAATTTAGCCACAATAACATAGTTAGGACTGTCTCTTGCTTCTTAATGTACAGATAATATTTTATTTGTATCGGTATCAACGACACTCATAAATAAATATTAAAAGCCTTATTAAAATAATTACCGACGTTACGAGTAAAACTCGCGTCGAGAGAGTTGGAAAATTTAAACCTAACGTAGACTAACAAATTCGCCTAGAATTTTTCTGTACATTTTAATACAGTAAATATGTACAGGTGTTGTTTAGTCGCGTGTGCTGTTTTATTATCATTTGCGGCAGCAACATTTCATACATAATACTTTACATATCTTTGTATTATTCGGTGATTGTTTACTTATCTCTTAACAATTAGATGATATTACAGCGAGTGAATTTAAATTTTAAATCAATATTGAATGTCTATTCGTTACCTATACGCCAATTTAAAATAAAAATGGTGCAAGTTTTTGTTTCGTTGATAGTATTATTGTCACCTAATTTTTTGGTATTTCAAAATAAAAATATCTGTAGTGTAATATGCAGGTAGCTGGTATAAGTGTAGGTTGGGCGCTAGTAATAAATTTATTCAGAAATTTCCATTAATTTAAATATTATACGTATTTTTTAAGCGGAAAGCGTTATTAAGGGCTTTTGTTTGGCGCCAAAATAATAATATATATTATTTATCCACGACCTCGAATTAATTTTCATTCGTCGAAGCTTAGCGATTTTCCAAATGAAATTTCAGGACAATCGATCGGTTGTGTAAGGTATCTATTAGTTTCAACGAGTCCACCGCGAATTCAGAGAAAATAGCACATTTACCGAAGGTCACTCGCTTAAACAACAGCATTTGACATGAAAAAAAAAAACGGTGCTGGTGCAATGAGGTTTTTCTATTTAAGTCAGTTAGGTAACAAGCAACAGGTACTATAAAAAAAATCAATTGATCGCGTGAGAGCGCACTGGCATAGCACTGGCCGTGCAGTTAGAAAATTACATTACGGGCGTTCGAATAGCCGATTTCGGTACTCACCACCGATGCCTTGCATATTGAAGTGGTCATTTCGGACTGCTCGTTCGAAAATCCTCGAAATCGATTTCCGTCGATCGTCTGCAAACGAAAACAATAACACCGTGGAACTTTCTCCGTCGACTAGCTTTCCATTCTGGTGCGCTGATAGGTACTACCTAGCGAGTCCGCGGCTATTCTCAATAACTTGTTCAACTGTACATATTTACTACTTGCGCAAAGTTGACTGGCATGATGACGTTCCGCTGTGTATAAGGTGTACGCTACGCTCGCACACGAATTTTATATTTTTACTTGGTTCACCTGGTCTAGGCATTTCTTCCAAGAAAATTCGCCCGGGTGTCGATGGACGGTATAATCGAAGATAAGATAAAAAAAATATTATTTATAACAACCATGAGTCTTATGTGCTTTAGATATTGTCGTAACTCGGTATTACTCAAAGCTTAAGTAGAAGAGAAAAATAGTTTGTTGAAGATGGGTCTCGTTTCAGCGAAAATTTGTTTTGAATAAGTACATACATATAACTTTTATGTTATGAAATAACATTAGTTCGATAATAAACATATAATAACACATAACTATAGTTTCAAGGGCGAAATTAAACAACAAAAATGGTATAATATTTTAATATAAAACTTATCTTTATTTTTTTAAAGATAAAAATTCTAAATACACTTATAAGTATATACAGTAAAAAATATTAACAATTACTAGTTATTGAGTACATGTATTTCGGCTTATTATATGTTTTATTTATTGCAGATTAGTGCATATCTAGTATCGAAGAGCACAAATTAAAATTGACGACACGTTGTCTTATAATATTGAACTTCTGCTACTTATATCATCAATTCAATCAAAATAGCAAAAGAATACTAACATTGCTTATGTAAACTAGGCTGTATGGTGTTAAAAAAAGTGATCAAAAACCGATAATTGAATTTGAACGCTACTGTTACTTGTACTAGGGTATCTTAGAATCATCTATTTGCATCTGAGGGTGTCAAATCAGGTCTCCTCGCTGCCTCTTATGACCCCTCGAATGGAAGTAGCACCGAAGTTTCTAACACATACTACCTACAGTCCTTTCGACTTAATTTATTAATTAACACCGTAATACCCCCAACAACCCGCAGGTCGAACTACAATTCGTCGTGGACGTGCGTGAACTTCTTCATCACCGCCACGTACAGGTTGTAGAAGGCGTAGATGCTGACGGTGATGATGATGACGAGGGCGGCGGAGAACGTGACGCTCAGGAAGTTGCCGTCGATGACACCGGCGCTGCCGGGCCTTCTGCCGGAATCGAAGTCCCCCGACCCGTTCCTGTCTTTCATCAGCCTCCGCATGCTCTTCAGCCTCAGCCGCAGTTCGTCCACGGACTCCGCCGTGGCTGGAAATCCGACACGTAAACGGTCAATTAGGTGTGAAACGGTGTTTTGTGAAATGTTGGCCGGTGCTGTCAAAAGTGACGTTTGGCATAATAATGACGTTTCGTCGATTTAATTTAGTAGAATTTTTTTAAATATTGGATGAATATTAGTATCAACAGTTTATTGATTATATTCTGTTGATGAAAGTTGAGTAGTAATTTAGCTTGTCCAGGGATTCCGCTGTGGCCGGAAATTCGATACGTTAATGGTCAATTAGGAATGAATCGTTTTTTTGTGAAAAGTTGGCCGGAACTGTCAAAAGTGACGTTTGGCATATAATGACGTTTAGAATATAATTTGGTACATTTTTTTAATATTGGATTGGATGAATATTAGTATCAACAGTTCATTGTTTATGTTCTGTTAATGAAAATTTAATAATGAAAATTTTATCTATAGACTACACTTGTAGCTGGAAAATCGACAAGCACAGAACGATAAATTAAGGATTTACAAAACATTGGCTGTGACTGTCAAAAATGACATATTTTAATTTTGACATTTTAGATTTAATTTAGCAGAAATTGTGTCATAATCATCATCAACATTTAAATCATTATTTTATAACTAAAATTTCACGAGTACGTATATTCTTACATTTCAATCGTTTTATAAAAATATCAACGATTCGCGAATTTCCCAAAAAAAAAACGATTTGGCTGTAATTGCATGTGATTCATTCACAAATTCTACCTCTGACGAATTGATCAGTTTTTATCAATGATCGTAAAATACGTAATTGAAGTAACATAATCCTATTATAGTCTGGTCCAAAACTCATCGAAAATACTGACCACGATAACATTACAAGTACAAATGATTGTTGAATTATATTCTATAAATATAGGTATGTACCTACTTACGTGGTTCAATGGGATCCATGAATGGGATTTATTGCGAGGTGAAAGCGACGTTTTCGTATGTAGGTGTATGTTTTTATTGATTACGCGGGATGAGAACAAGCGACAGAGTGGAACTGGACCAAAGGGAGTTTAAATTGGATCGAAAAGATGAAATCCCGCCCTCGGCAACGGGAAAGCATGCGCCATCACCCGTTACAACATCATTCACTTGCCAATTTTGCTAAAAATCCATCAAAATCGCGTAATACTTAGTGTTTGAACCGTAGTTACGAAAAACCTAACAAAATTATTAGTGAATTTATAACTAAATTTTGGTGTAAGTTGCAAGGATAAAATCTATGTTTTACTTTGATTTTGCACTGATCGTTGTCGTAAGCCACCTTTCTCTTCGTATTGGAAACAAAAAAAATATATATTGAGATTTATCTATTGTTCATTTGAATCCATCTGAAATTTGTTGATATTGTTGATGTTTGGGTGTTATTATTTATACGGATGGTTAGAAGTGTTTGCTCAATGTTGAGTAGTTATATGGAAAGTGTTAGATGTAATATTTGTTGCTGACTCCGTTTACATGTACCAATTTCTCTGAAAGTCGAGGACCGTGCTCAAGAGAGCTACAGCGAGTAAGCGCACTTTAAGTTGCGGAAGACACGCCATATCGATCAGAGACTGTTAATAAAATATTTAAGATACCTAATAGATAAGAGACCAATGTACATCACGACCGCAGGTTTATTAAATATGCGTTCAATTCAAAACATGCGATGTAAGTAGGCATCTCAAAGTAGATAAATAATCGCGCGCGAGTGTATATATTACATATCTATATAAGTATATAAAGTTAAGATGTTATTGATCAGCAGGATGTTGGGGTCTAGCCACGTGTTTGTGTCCTTATGTTCTTGTAGAATCTTTCAGTTATCCTTTACTTTCTACCACTATTGATCTGTAATGGAATAACGAAGCTGCCCCCAATGTTGAAGATACCCGCACGTTTTAAACAATGTGACCTCAGTGTATCCCTTGCCTTTGATTATTGTGACTGCATTGTCAACATGGGTACAAGGGCTGCTGCATGTAAGATACTTTTACCTTATATGTTTAACCACGTTTCTTATTTTCATTTTCGTTTCGTTTCGTTTATTTGTGTTTTATGTCGAATCAAATGCTTATTTTTCAAGTGCCGACCAGAACCAAAACTGCTGCTTAACTAGTAGTTTCTTTCCCTAAAAACAATTCCATTTCAATCAATCTTATTTCATTATTTAACAAAACATTCTCATTTAAATTGCTACATCATTTTAGGGAAAGGAACTAGGTAGGTGGACCATTTCAGTTCTTCTAAACTAAAACAGTAGTTCTCAGGTAGGTTAAATGTTCAGCATGAAATGTTAGGTGTTTAATATGTTAACTATAAATTTGATAAGCTGTTCCTGAATCGAACCCACTCAATTTCAAACTTCCACGAGTACGCAGCAAAATAGTGAATGAAAAGTTGTATACCGAAATAGCCTGGCTTTGTTGTTACCTACTTTACCTCTCCTCATTCACTTAATTTGCTCGGATACCAGGAAGCCAGGAACATCTTATATATCCCATATACCCTAAGAATATTTTTCGCTAAACATATTCTTTTGTGTGTTACATCCAATGCTTCAAAAGTGTTTCATTGTCGTCGACAAAACACAATATACTTGCTTCGATGAAACGAAACCACACTTTTGAATCGCTGTTTGTTTTCTCTTCTACTTACGCCTCACTGCACAGTTAACGAAAAAACTGAATTCATTAATAAAATAGAGACAAAACGAATTTGCTATTGGCATGGTAGGTAAGTGGCGCATGGTAACAAAAGTTCAAAAAATTATTGGTAGAACTGCTGGGTCAAGAAAGTAGGGCGTTTAAATAATCACAAACTGTAACAAAACAAATTGCAGGCTGCAGTGTTCCGTTCGTTTTCCATTTTGATAGCGTCGAAAATCAATTTCGAAAAGTACCTCACTATTATACATTATTCGAATTTTTATTACCGGTATTACTGAATTCCGAGGAGCCTCCGGGTGTTCCACCAAAACTGGTTTTTTAATTAGTATGCGTATAACACGATTGAAGAGTTCCCTTCAACACGTACTGGTTGTCCCTGGGATAAAAGGCCAAAAACTTGAAAATAAAAATGGTACCGAAATAATGCTAGTACGGTACTTTACATAACTTTTTTATCGCGCCGAGTGTATGCAACACTTTTTCCAAAATTTTTTTCACCAATTGCTTTCAATACTCTCCCTCATCTGCATTATTTTCCAATTTTTTTCGAAATTAACGACAAAATGAACTAATATTATTTAAATATTACCTGCTTTTTCACTTTTAATTCCAGGCAACTGTAATAAAATCACCAGCAAATATTTAATCAACTGCACAACGAACTATTGTTCTCGGATGTTCAAGACATATTGAAACATTATGGAATATTGCTTATTGAAGGGATTATTAATAGATGTAGATATTGATTGAATTCTCATTGTAAGATGGAGAAAGCTGCTGCTAAATTTTCAAAAAAAGATATCCAATTTTTAAACGAGAATCAATTAGCGACATTGCGAGTACTTAGGTACTTGTTTCTCAATAAATAATTTATTAGGTACTACTTACTTACCTGTTGATCTTTATTTTCCTTATTCATGATCACAGTTTTTTAAAAATAATTAAAAATCTTTAAATATTAGATGCAATTAAATTAAACACTCGTCCAGCCTCTTGAAAAACACTTAAGATTTAAGAAAATTAACCTGCATATCGATCGGCATCAACTTTGTAACAGCTCGGTTGTTCATCTTAAAATAGTAAAGGATTTTCTGGTTCAAGTTGTTTACGTTTTCATTAAACATATTCAGAAAATGCCGACACAATTGAGTATGCGTGATATTTATTATTCATCGATAAATTATATTCAAAATTCCCGGAACGCGTATAAACTCTATTGTTATCGTGTTTCGCGCGTTCATTCGCATTTTCCGGCTTCCGGAAAATCAAGCGAGAAAATCAAATCGTCCCATATTACAATTTGCGCGTTTAAAAATGATTAAATTGCCGAGGAATAGACGAGAATATTGACCATTGCGGATATTAACCGCATCGATATTGCTAATTTAAACGCACGCGATGGGCCTCGTCGCAATTCCGAAATCGTTTCACACATCAATGTGACAAAATGGGATGACGGAAAATCCAGTTAGTCAGTTTGTGATGAATTTAAAAGTCCGCTCGCGATTGAAATCGAGTAAATTCGCGGTAGTAAATGGATCTAGGTCGGTACGAAGGGCGTCCCATTGTTAATGTATTGTGAAATTTAGTTACAGCCAAAATTCGCAGCCTATATGACTACCAGCTACGGCTCATGCAAGGAGTCATGCCCCCTCCATCCGGGGTTGACATAGCAAACACAATCAAGTATTTTTCACAAACACTTCTAAGTAACTAAAATTCGTTAAAAATCGTCGATTGTTCGCACTAAATTCGTGTAATTTTCAGCCGTTCTCAAAGATGTACCTAATTCACCTTTTGAACTCCTCAAAAATCCAGAAATGGATACTGTTAGAATGGGATTATTTCCCAGTTTAGATTACAAAGGCCTTTACAATTCACTCATTCCTCTGATAGAAGTCGCACCTTTAATCACCTATGGGATACTACGTAAGTTAATAGCGGAATTGTTAGAGTTGGTAATTGGATGGTAAAATTCATTTCAGCTTTCGGTCAATCAGTTCTACAGTGTTTAGGATGTCTTCTGCCGTTCCTCGAGCACGACCTAATCGACAATTTACTTTATTTAGCTGCATCCACAATATCCGTACTACCGCACACTTTACACCAGGAAATCATTAACACGTTATGTTTTTATATTTTACCTTTTACGATAAGTAAGTAACGGACAGTGGAATGCGAATTGTTTGAAAATCCTACCCGTATTGCAGCTAGGCACAGCGAACGCGATAACGACATTTGTCAATCTGTTTCGACCGTCATAATGATGGTGTTTCAATACTCCACAAATCCAGCACATCACTGCCAATTATTGGAATGCCTTATGACGTTGAAGCAGAACATTTTGAAAGATATTCTCAGCGTGATAGCTTACGGCACGTCGACGGCCCGCTCGTCCGCCGCCAAACTATTGTTTTACTACTGGCCCACGTTCAACGCCAATCTGTTCGATCGCAAGAACCTCATCTGCAAATTCGCCGGTGAGTCCTCGCGAATCAAGCACCCGTTCGCCAACCAATTGCTATCCGATTCCAGATCCAACGCCGTTCGTATGCCAAAGGGACATGTGTCCGAACACCGGCAACGCGGAGGCCGCCAAGGTTTGCTACGATCACTGCATATCCATAACGTTCGCCAGCGACACGCCGCCGCCGCTCTACCTGTGCATCGAGTGCGCCAACGAGATCCACCGCGAGCACCCCAACCAGATGTTCTTCGACATCCTGCATCCCATGCAGCAGGTGTCGATGGTGTGCGAGAACAAGGTGAGTAGGACCGAGCGGCGGATTCGCGGTGATGTTGGGATTCGGGTTTCAGAATTGCCGGTCGACCGACAAGTCGGCGATATCGATTTGCTTTTCGACGGAGTGCGCCAGCTACAACGGGAACCATCCGATCCGGTACTGCGAGCAGTGCCACAACAACAGGCACAACAACAGGAGAGGCGGCGATCACGTGGTGCACAAGTGCATACCGCCGACGTGGTCGATGGAGTCGGAGATGCAGACCTACATGGTCGAGGCCATAGTCAGGTGAGTGTGCTCCTGACACGTCGAGGAACCATTGTATATTAATTTATTGTAGTTATTTTTTATTAGAATTAAGAGTAACTACCGGTTATCTTTCTACCTATATGAGTAAGTTTTTGTTACTATGTCGTGTTCCTCTGTGTTTTAAATCTTTTTATGTACCCCTTGTGATGTGATGTCCCTTTCTCCTGGAAAATATTTTATTATTAGGAACGAAATATGTCTGAGTAAAATCCATACATGAGGCACGTATAGAAAGCCTGTATTGTTGTTGAAACATACACTGATTGCTTATTTCCCCCAAGTTTGTATAATACATGGTACCTAATGTTACTTATGTTGCTACACAAACCACACATTCTCCGAAGATTGTTCGGAAATTTTCAATTTATCGTTTGAAACTTATTTCATTGTCGCGAACATTCCGAACACTCCTCACTACACACGCTTTTCACTTTCTGTTATTTGTTCTTAGATAAATGGTTCTATTTAAACTTTTTTTCGCGATTAGCAACGATTAACAATCCAATTTAAATGACGTTATCTTGTAGTTTACTGAAAGAAGCTAAAGTACCTCAATTGGACTCTAAAGACGACAAGAAGGATGAAAGGGACAACAGGGATGGTAAAGAAGGAAAAAGTCCCGTACCTGGAATAGATAATATAACTATAGAAGAGAGGCAATTACTTGGAAGATACGGCGTTTGGTTGCTAGTGGGAAGATGTACACCGACAGAAAATACATCAAAGGAAGTTTTGGGTCGATTATTAACGATGATTTTCCATTGGTTTCACATGACAGCTTATTCGTACGACGGTAAATAAAATTATCAAATACAAAAAAACTCAATTAAACGAACTCATTTTCAGGCCAGGAAGAAAGTACCTTAGAGAAACTAAAGACTGAAATCGTTTGCAACTGGCTGCGAAACATTAGCCAGACTCACTATAATTTGTTCATTTCTTGCCTTTTGCCGCACCCTCCGGAATACGCCCGCATCGGAGGCCACTGGGACATTCTATCGTCGAGAACAACCCACCTCAAAGACGGCCTGAACCGGCTGTTCTGCTTGGTCCCCTACGAAGTCATCACGCAGGAGATCTGGGACTACGTCATGCCGCATTGGATGGAGGCCATCGTGAACGGCGTGCCGGAGAAAGAGCTCTTCGAGCTGCGCATCATTCTGAGCAAAATCCTCGATCCTGAGATGAGCCCGCTCGGTTTCAACGCCAAGAAAATGTACCAATTCGTTTCGGTCAGATTCCAGAAAACCAGCGCTAAAGTCCAACAGCAAGCTTTGCAGTGGCTGCAAACTCTCACCTTACTGGAAATACTAATACCACTCAACCTTCTATTTACCATCTTCGAAGAAGGAGTTTCCTACATGAAAGAAGGCATTGTGGAGAGCGATGGAGAACCCGTCACTTCTCACGATTTAGAAATACCCGGTAGACCGGAGAAAGAACAAAAAAGAGGATCTATTTGTAAGTTTCACTCTCATTACATTTAAAAACGCTTTTATAACATTCGATTTACAGATGAAGAAAATCGGCTGTCGCCTCAAGCGGAATTCGAAACCGACGCCGAGCACAACCTGTTCTGCTGCCTGCTCATGCTCGACATCCTGCTGAAGCAGATGGAGCTGCAGGACACCGACAAGCACACCGGCCTGAATTCGTCGCTGTGCAAGGACGTCTGTTCGCTGCTCAAGTGCATGATAACGGCCGCGTGGATAGGAAACCACACCTGCTCGTTCAAAACCGAGTGCACCTACTGCGAGTCCAGCATCATGTGGCACCAGCTGTCGCTGCAGCTGCTGAAGTACCTGTCGCCTATCCACCCGGCGCATCCTCCCGACGTACGATTCGAGTTTTAATCCTGGAGTTTCTTGCTGATTTTTTTTGGATGTTGCAGCCTCCTTTGGAAGAAAACTACGACGACGTGCACAGCAGGAAGAGCCCGCCGGAGAGCGACAAGAAGGAGGCCAAAAGCGACGCCGTCATCTGCATGCCGATACCGGAAGTACACTCAGTCGGGGGAGTCATTGTACACATGCCACACGTGTGTTCTGTACGAGGAGTATAAAAACTCAAACCAACAATCCGCTTATTGGATTGGGTTTGGGCGCATTTTCTTTGAACGTACGCCTAGCTTATGCATGAACTCGTCCCGTAGATATTTCAAAGAAAATGTTGCAACCGAGAAACGCGGGCAACGTTTTTAATATAAGCGTGTTTTAGATCATGACTGCGACCGTCGAAACCGTATCGGAGCAATTGGATCTGCCGATCATTCCCGTGGAAAGAGTACCAGCAGGTTTCGCCAGGGCTATTACTTTATCCGAATCGGATGTAGGTAAGTATAGCGTTCCCAAATCGATTCCAAATAACAAAAATTAATCTTGCACATTCCAGCAATGGCTAAAGCGCAAATAATCAAGGCCAAAGTGATAGGCGAGAACGACGAGCCGGTGGAGACGGATTCCGGCGACGACATCGACAATTTCTGGCAAACATCCGTGGGGAAATTCAAGTTTTCGGTGGACGAGCTGCCGCAGCCTCTGCAGTACATCCACCAGCTGCTGCAGGAGCTCTCGAAGGTCGACAAACCCGACATACTCTACTACATGCTGCAATGCTTGAACGTCTTGGTTCTGCACGGAGACGCTTGCACCATCGCTTCGAAGGAGCACAGGGGGTTTTTCATTTGGTGCCAAGAGAACCTGCTCATCAGGAAGTAAATCAAACAACCACTCAAACAGCACAGTTGTTAATCGATTTTATTATCAGTTTGTGGGATCTGTGCAATTCGGAGCACTCGCATATATGCCAGACAGTCGTCCCGTTGCTTTTACACTGCATCACTCTACCAGCGGGTTCGGACGTCTTCTGGAGGATAATCCAGGAGGCCTTTCACAGCAACAACTGGTGCGTGAGGTACACAGCCGTCGAACGGGTGACTGTCATCACTAGATTTATGGATTCCACGCCTTTACGCAACGTGCATCAATTACAAGCCGCACTAGCCAACGCGTTTTGCTATTTAATTTCCAGCATGGACGACAGCAACGTTTGCGTAGCCCAAAGGGCTACTCTTTACTTGGGGACTGTGCACGACGCCGCCGTTAAGGTAATGTATTGCTCGAATGGAGAAGACCACGACTTTTAAGGAAGTTTTTAAAAGCTAAAGTATCTGGATTTTCAGTCTCTCATAATGTGCTTGGAGACCCAGTTTGATTCTGTGATAGTGGACCGACCAATGGTCCTTCAGTCGTTATATCAATTACACAATTCCATAAGCGAGCGGAAAATTCTGACGTGGGACTTCTTCCTGAACCGATTCGATACGCTTTTCATCGAAGCGCAAATTACTCTGGAAAAATCCGGCGATATAAGCTACCTGCGAGGTGCGTTTGTCTCGTGTGCTACATTTCGTTCCGTTAAACAGCAAGTGATTGTTGCAGATTTGAGAAACTCCGACTCGAACAGCGAGGCGCTGTTGAGGAAGATCCAAAGGGCCCACGAGGCTCTATCGCATTGCGACGGCAACGCCACGGGCTCGTTCAAAACGTTGAGCGCCAGTTTCGGAACGAAATGGCCTTACAAGCGGACGATGTCAGCGCCGGCCTCCATCTTGACCCGGCACGAAAACAAAGGTAACGCCAAGCTGCATTTCGATTGTACTTTGATAACTGCGATTCTCTTTTGATAGAAACAAAGGAAAAGGTCTACAGCCGTCAATATTCAGCGCCGATTCTAAAAAGGAAAAGTTCTCGATTCGGACTGGGTCAGTTCTTAGGCGCTAGTAGTAGAACTTTATAAACGTAGTGCCTTGCTCTAGTTCTGCATGAGTTTAGTGTGCTTTTTAAACCGTTATCAAGGCGCATTCCGGTACAATGTCTTCGAATTTAACAGTTCCTCTCTCGGCGAAGTTGGCGAAATTTTTCAAAAAAATAGCATCTCATCTCTTCAAATTTTTATGACTCATGCCCAAAATTAGAAGGTTCTCATTTCGTATTGTTGCTCAATTTAATCGGCACAAATACCATTAGGTGTGTTTACAAAACGGCATGGTTTAACCCACAAAGTCTCCAACGTGAATTCAAACAAGGCATGTTTTACAGATGGCCACATGCATTCCCTAAACGTAGTAGACGATCAGAACATCACGGCGTTCCTTCAGAAGGTCATCGATTTAGAAGAAGCCGACAAAGAGACGATGCACTTGCTGGTGTTCCTCCTCATGCAGTTCCTGTCGAGATCCGACCAGGCCTACCCGGCGGAAGAGAAGAACATGGCCAAGACGCAGGGCATCGTTCTGAGGCACCTCTACCTGCTCCTGGGCTACAGCCAGAACGACAGGGGGCTGTACCTTCCGCCTCAACGTTTGCGATCCTCGCCGGCGTTCAGCGTGTTCCTGTCGAATTTGCCGCAACTCTTAGACCAGAACAACCTGATGGGTCGATTACTGCTTCCTACATGCCTTATTTTACTACAATACGCCCCTTCACCTTATTATATATCCAACACGATGGAATTCCCGCAGCCTACTTACAGTCTTTGGGCCCTGGAGTCACAGTTTCGCAAAAACTGGTTAATGGCCTTAGTAGTTATATTATACAAAGTAAGCGTTGTAATCCAAACTCTAATCGTATCTAATATTTATAATATTTTAGTATCAATACAATCAGCAACCTCACTGTATGCAATTGACATCGCTAATCAAAATCGTGCTAAACACGCTAGATTCTCAACACCACCATTGCAGAAGATTGCCCGCTACCATCATAATGGGGCAACCTCCTTCTAGATCCAGAGGTTCGCTAATTATTATACAACCCATAAGAATCGTATTGAATCGCATTGTATTCCAGACGTTAGCCAGCCATCGCTAGGAGGCGAAATGGAACATCCAGAACGCGCGACGCCTCCTCCTTCTCCGATATACTCCTCCGACGGGCAATCGGTCCAGGTCTCCGGCAGCTCCAGGTGCGGTAAAATCCAAGTGGCTTACGGCAAACCCGCATCGACCGCCAGCATGGAGACCCACTGGGAGGAGGCGATCCACTGCGTTCACATCGAAAAGCAGCCCGGCAGGAGGTTGGACATGTGCATCGACGACGACACGGAATCGGAGCTGATAATGATACCCGAGAGCGACATGTCCGACAGCACGCTGCAGGGCAGCGTTCAAGATTCGTTCGAAGAAGGCGTTACAGACAGCGGTTGCGAGAATAACGTGAGGTCCCCGAAGGAGACCTACGTGAATCCTTTGGCGAAATATCCGGGTAAAAACAGACCGACGTGGACCATTGGCAGCGAGGAGGATTCCTCGAAGTCGTTCGACAATAAACTGCATCACGCTGAAATCGTCAAGCACTGCTCCAGATTAAGTTCGACGTCGTCTGTGAATGGCATTCAAATAGTCAAAGCCGTTACAGCGGATCACAAGCAGATCACCGCAACGATCGTCGACTCGATTTACCCTGGTAAACCGAAGCACAAAAAAATTATAGAGCCTAGTATTACGCCGGTGGGCACGCCCGTATCGGACTGCGACGATTGCTACAGGAATAATCACGGTGTCATTTTACCTACACCTTCTTTAGAGAGATTGCTGCCCATCGGATCGTCTAGATTGCCCGATTCACCGCTGCAAGACGACGTGTTCGCTCCGGCGTTGGATTCGCAGTTAGAAATTCCCAACCAAGAGCGACTGTTGCCGATCGGCCAGCACACCACTCCGCAATTGTTGGAAAAATTGAAACAAGCTTTAGGCATCAACGCGCATTTAGCTACGAAAATCGACGGTAAAAAGCTGGAAAAATTGCAAGACCACTATCCGCATCCGACGTCTTCGCACTCCCACAGCCCCAGGAAGTTAACCAAACAGGTAGCGCTGGAAAGTCCTCCGAACCACTCGGAATTCGACGACAACGGACACTTCAAATCGATTAAAATGGATAACCAAAGTACGTGGAAACTGGTGATTTGTTACACGCGATTGCATCACCGATTTATCTTCCAGGAGACATAATGCTGAATCACAGACAGCGTATGCGTAAAGTGGGCCCATTTGCGATGAATTCCTACTCCATCCACGACCCCAGGAAACCAGGTGCCTGGCTGAGCCCCCAGATGTCTCCCAAGCTGGAAGGAATTGATTTAAAGCAGAGTTCGTTTCGAGTCGGCGACGACTGCGTGACAGAGAGATGCTCCGAATGCGGGTTGGTCAAGGAAGAGTACAGCGACGAAGAGATCGGCCTCTGCATCGTTATCTTAGGAACTTTTATACACAGGGAACCTGCGCTCGCTGCTCCCATGCTACCCGACATCCTCAGCATTGTAGCTAAGTAAGTGTTTGTGATTGATGGGTCGTGTGGTGTTGAGATGGTGAATTTTCAGAGTGGCAACGAACGTGATGTATCCTTGGCAAACGGAAAGCAATATTCACCTGCCTGGTGGAGCAATAAGTGTGGCGCATCAATTTTTACGATGCGTTTTACACCAATTAGCGCCGAATGGAATTTTCACTCAGATGTTCCAAACAAATGCTCCAGGTAACCATGAAACCTACAGATTCGCATTTCGCTAATTTTATTTTGTTTCAGAAAATATTAGAGTACAATTTTTTAAAAGTGTTATCCAAGCATTAATAGATTTCAATGAATTAAATCCTATTGGTCCCATACAACTTCTGTTAGAAGTAAGAGGTGGGTGAGTTGTTAAACGAGAAAATAATTTTCGCTTGCTTTGCAGACATTGAATTCCAAGAAGACATTGCCTCTGGATATTTTACCAACAATTTTACAAAACATGGCATGTTACTTGAACTGTCTGCCTCTCGAAGTTGCCTTAGGTGCGAGTACTCCGATGTGGGGTACTGTTTTACAACAAGTAGAAATTTTATACCGAAAGTTGGTTTTTTTGTTGAACACTATGGAAGATTTGTTGCCTTTGTTGAAAATTATCACGTCTCTTTTTAAAATTCCTTTAATATCTCAATTCAAAGGACTCTTAGACCCATTTTCTAAAGTCCTAAGCTACGCAATACAAACTCAGACTTTGAAATATGGTTGCCTTATCGAAATTTGTTATTTGTGTTATAAAGCTTTTACGAAGGTGAGACCATTTAAAAATTTTGAATTTTTTTTAATAGTTGTGCGTTTTAGGAAAGAGATAAGTTGTATCTCAGTCGTATGGTTGTATTTGAACTAGTCCAAGCGCTCAAATTCAAAACTACAATACCCGATTCCAATTTGTTGTTGATAATTAATCTCATTTTGCAGGTAGTACCAATAATTTTTTTAAAATTATTCAAACAATTAAAATTATTTCTTTTTAGGACATAGGAAGTTTCATTCCTTCAAACGTTGTAATAAAAGACTGTTCATCTTTAGCATTAGAATACGGACAATTTAGCACAGGTGTATCCGAATGTATGAAAATTAACCATTTAGGCGATATACTAGAGTTTTTAACCGATTTTCATGCTATATCTAAGATGAAGGTAAACGAGATACAATTACTCAAAGCTATATTTATGTAACTAATTATGTTTTAGAGTTATTGTAAAGGAATTAGTGTTGGTTTGAACGATGATACCTTAGGTGGAATTATAAAATGTAGTATTGCTCAATATTTAGCATTAGAAATAACAAAAGGTAATGGTAGAGATAACAGAGCTGTAACGAAGTATTTTCCTTGGTTATGTAGTTCGTCAATAGCGCAGCAGAGGTAACTCAGATAAATCTCATAATACAGTTACTAGTCAAGTCGTTTTCCAGCCCCAGAGAGTTCATAGAATGTATAGGACATATTAGGCTCCTTTCGTGGCTACTGTTAGGTTCGTTAACTCACACAGCATTGCAAGGTAACAACAATAATTGCCAGATACTGAGCCAGCCGATACCGCAAGAAGCATCTTGCCAAATAGCCGACCACATTCAGGTAATAATGGCTGGATTTGCGGAGCAACCGAAAGCCTCCGTGTTGCACATGTCATCGCTGTTCCACACGTTCATATTATGCCAGGTGAGTGGAATTTTTAGCGTGTAGTGGCGTTGAAAGTCGTTTTTTGCAGCTCTGGACGATCTACTTGGAGCAAGGGCTAAGTAACAATATACCGATAACAGAAGCTTACAACGTGACCATGAACATACTCTTCGATTTCTGGGGCAAAGTCACGCCGTGCATATTGCAACTGATCCAACAATCGAAGATGCTGAGCGAGATAGTGAGCCTGCATTTCCTGAGCATGTTAGAAACGCTCTTGGAATGCCAGTCGACTTTCGTGGGAAAAATTCTACCGCTTTGGACACCAGTTTTATGTTCTAATCAATTACAGGTAAACCTAAACGGCGCTTAATGACGGATCTACATTGAAATTTCATTGCAGTTGCCGGGCCATTTGCAAATGAGACTCCAGAATTGCCGTAATTTCCCTCCCAACGTCATTAACGAGGCTATACCGGAGAAATTGAAGGTGGCGAACCTCCACAACCCCATGCTGCTGAAATGGCTACAAAGACTTCAATTCAAAATGGGACAAATTGAACTGCAATCATCGACAGCGACGCAATTCTATTCATTGTAAATAGCCACTTGAAATATATACACATAAATTACGAATATTTTTATGTTACTAAAAACACGAGTTTATACAGAAACGTTATAATAAATCAAATTTTATCAACAATATAATTTTCTCTTAATAAATAGCTAAATTTCTTTTTTTAGTTGATCCATTGTGTTCCTAGATGCTTCTGAACCTAATGGATATAACTAGAAATAAATAAAATTTACGTTAGTTTTACACAGTACATTTACCAGGTGTTAAAGTATTACCTTTTGCAAAAAATAGGCAACATCGAGTTTAATCTGCTCCCTGATTTTCATTTCATCAGAACCCGTATCGGAATGATGCGAACTATCCTCCGAACTGGCAACATTTCTGCTCTTCAATCTCCTGAGCGATTCCTCCGTTTTGCAAACCGATCTTAGCACGCCTTGAACTAATTTGAGATACCTAAAAGATATATTAAAATACGCTTCACTTTATACAAAAATTCGCTTACTGTTCCGTAACTTGCAGAATGACTTCATTCAAAATCTCGGTAGATTTGTCGTGTATCACGTTGTGGAATAACTCGAGGAAATTTGTGACCGGTTTTATGGCCTCGATCATGTAGGTGCTGGGCTCTTTGGGCGTGCTCCGGTTGGTTCTCCTGTACAATCGCGGTATAGCACCGACGTGCTGCAGGTGATTGCACATTTCGTCCACTTTCATTTTCACTAGATTAGCTTTGAGCGTGCTCTGGACAGCTTCTATCGATTGCTTGTTTATTTTAGATATACTCGGAACCAACGAAACAATGCTGTTGTCGAGTATTTTGTAAATTGTGCTGTGGGTATCGACTGGAGTGGATGTTACGGGGCACATAAATTTTTCTACTATATTCAAATCGACCAGCAAGTCCATTATGAATTTTTCTTTCGAGGAGTTTGTCGAAAAATTGCTCTAAAACGTAATGTTTACAGTCAAACGTATTTGTAGTTAATTAGACTTACTTTAACGATGGATTCGAACCACCTCAGATATCTAGAGAGTAGTAGCATGGATAATTTAATGAACTGATCTGCTAATTGGTCTAAATACACATCTGGATGGAAACACTGGGAAATGGCTACCCATAGCGCTAAAGTCAGCTTTAAATTGCAGGAAATATCATTTTTAGTAGCATAAAACTCGTTATTGTCAACAAATATTGCTGTTTCGAAATCGCTGGCGATCTTCTGGTACCGTATCTCGAAATAAACAGGTAGATTAAATCTCTTTATGTGATCTTGGAAAGTACTATCATCCTTTAATAATGATTTATTGTGCGATTTCTCAGCTATAACGGATAAAATTTTCCAAGTACTTTTAAATCTCTTTTGGAACAATTCTGGGTTTCCCGGTGCTGTTATTAACGGCAACCCTTCGCGCGACTGCTTGTCGAATTCTCGCCACAAACTGTGCAACACGAAATTGTAAGACTTTAAATCTGCGTTTTTCTCGAGTACATCGAGAAGTATCTTCATTTCGACGTCTATGAAATAAGACACTTCATTGTACAGCTTTTCCAAATCTTGATTGTACCTTTCGAGGCTCTTTTCCGTTAGCAATTTTTGAAAATAAGGCTTAACTATTCTGATTCTGTACGTTTCCTGTGCCTCTTTTTGTTTTTTTAAATTGTCATAAAGCCTAAGGCACCTGGTTACGACTTCTTCGTTGGAATTTTTTATTGCTTCTAGAAATTTCCTGTTTACTATTTCCAATAGATTGTTTTCTACGTTTACCATGATATCCCTCAGGTCTGAGGATACAATGTTCAATTCATCCATGTAGTTCTTTTGGAATGAATATTTCCCGACGATTCGATCCAAAATGATGAGGTCTTCGAATGAATCGGCAGATGATTTTAACATTTTGTCTATGTATAAAGAACAAGCAATTACTCCTAGTTTTAAATTCAAATTATTGTGGTTAGTATTGTTATCTTTTAGATTGTTCAACATAAGTTTATAGCTGGCTTCCGTTGTATTGATTAGTTTATGTAATGCCTGAAATTGAAGAAGATACATTTCAGGAACTTTACAAAATGGGAAAGGTTGTAAACTCACCATTATTTCTTCTCTAAGCTGGAAAAATGGAAGAGATAAATGTTCAATTTTAGAGCTCAAATTTGTTAAATACTCCGCTAAATTAACGATTGCTTCAGTTTCATTTCTGAGAATTTCAGTCATTTGCTGCTGTAGCTCGGCTCCATAGTTTTTTAAATCCCTTCGAAGGGTCTCTAAATCTGATTTTTGTGTGTATTTAGATAGGCTATTATCAACGCTGAAGTTCTCCTAAAAACCAACGGTAAAAATAGGTGTTATGTGCATTAGAACTCACGTACTTTAAAAAAAGATTGCTTCCATTCGGAGTCGTCAATTAAAGGCATTTTTTTTAATTATAATTTTCAAATATTCATTTCAAGAGAAAATTAAACCTATACGTCAACGTCAACAATAATATTTTGACATTTCGAACTGTCAAATGTCATTACTGTCAGTATAATGAATTTTAATCTTCTGATTTTTTTTGTTTATACAGATCATGCTATTCAGCCTTCTCGGATTTGATTGGTTGGAAAATTTAGAATTAACCAATAACAAGTAGATAAAAAAACCTTGAAATATGGCTGTCATGCGCTTTTTGTTGTCAAAATAAGCTGTGTAGTCCCAGCTGCTGCTAAATTTAATTTGTAATTTGTAGCGTAAAACCCCAAACACCGAAAATGTGTTTATAGTACGAAATTAACCCTACACGTGAGTCGATTTCTAAGAATTATTCGTGTCACATGGTGCAATATTTGTTGAAATTACATAACCTAATTGTCATTTTTTTGCAGTTTTCTAATTGTTATAATTTTGTATGTCGACAGTGAAAGTACAAGATGCTGAAATTATCCTTCTTGAATCTAATGGTACCAACGAGTTGACAACAATGGTTACAATGAAGAATCCAGCGAATAAACAAAATAGCTTTTCAGTGTTCAAACACATTAAGTATGAACATCTTTTAGCAGGCATAACAGGGGGGGCATTGTCAACATTAATTCTGCATCCTTTAGATCTAATGAAAATAAGATTTGCAGGTATGTATTAATGTGTATAGTACTTTTAGATTTCTATTGTATTTTTCTTAAATTTCAGTTAGTGATGGCCGAGCATCTATACCTCAATACAGCAGTTTAACGAGTGCATTTTACACAGTTCTTAGACAAGAAGGTGTGAAAGGATTATACAGAGGTGTAGCGCCTAATGTTTGGGGTTCCGGGAGTGCCTGGGGATTTTATTTTTTATTGTAAGTACTCTATTAATTTATACACAGATTTAAACGAGCAATTTACCGATAGTGTAGAAAATTCGAAGTATGCGCATAAAAATGCACGTTGACCATATTTGTAGAAATTGTCGTCATATTTTAAAAGTTATGCGAATAGTTATTTCGTAAGTGTTTTACACAGTTTTGTCTAAAAAACTTTTCGCATTCAAATTTGCTGTCTCGATTCAATTAATATTTGAATTAGACAATAAGTAAAACCTTGAGTAAATATAACAAACATAGTCTTCATAATGTCAGTATTCAGATTATGAAAGTAATACATTCATTTAATAAAACTGTTATTATCGCGTTACTTTGCGCCAATTTTTCATCCGGTATTTACCAGTTATTGAATTATTAAGCCTTATCTGATGCGGTTTTTACACTTAATGAATAATTATGTTATCAAAATCATGATGTAGTGAATTTTTCATCAACAGTGCTGCATTTTGTAACATTTATTTATAATTACTAGTTTATTATAAAAATAACTTGTTTGATATGATTTGATTATAATTAGAACAATTCATACACATTATTGTTTTGTTATGTTTAATCTCTAACACAAAGAGTGATAATAAACTTAAAAAGATTCGTTTTTGGGATCATAAAATAGAAACGAATTCAGTAAAACCCAAAAATCTTTTCTTGGAGTTTCTCCAATAATTGTCAACGAGCAGCTATCAATTCTACCGTCCAATTCACCCGAGCGTTTATTGAATACGATAAATGCATTTTTCTCCAAATTATTTATTTCCATTTGGCTGTTGCTCAAGTGATGCAATTCGGCGCGGCTTATTTTCTCTCAAAATTTAATCCAATTTTGAAATTATTTTGAGCTGTTGCCATGGAAATTACATCACCAAATCCATTCTTTCTCTCGCAATTAGATTAAATTCTTCTAATCGGCGCTAATACCATTTCTGTATGCGATTGATGTTATTTCTAGTTACAATTCGATAAAAAATTGGATTCAACAAGGAGACGCACAATATTCTTTGGGGCCCAGTTTACACATGTTAGCTGCGTCCGAGGCTGGTATACTAACGTTAATAGTAACAAATCCGATATGGGTAGTGAAAACAAGGCTGTGCTTACAATACGGTAACGAGGATATGTATATATCGCGAGGTGGTCAGTTCTACCACGGGATGTCCGATGCTCTAGTGAAAATTTACCGTTCGGAAGGAGTGAAGGGGCTTTACAGGGTCAGTTGAGGATCTCTTGGTAGGAGATCGGGTTTTCCTTATCTGCTATTTGTAGGGTTTTGTTCCGGGCATGTTCGGAGTCGTCCACGGCGCATTGCAGTTCATGACTTACGAAGAAATGAAGGCGTTTTACAATAAATATAGGAAATTACCTCATGACAACAAATTGGTGAGTACAATACACCGAATTTAATAGCTTCTTAAAAACGAATAACAAATTCTCTTACGTCCAATAAATCTTACGTAATCAGCGATAATTGTTTACGTTGAATTTTATGTTTACGCATTAATTACATTGTTTATTTGCACACATACTAAATAATCCACTTCATAAGTATATGGTAAATATTTTTTAAAACCTAACGTATTTGGTAATTGTTCGGGTTAATTAAATCCTTATCCTAGATTAGACGCAGTTGCATTATAAAAAAAATATATATCGAATCAACAATATTGTATTGCACGGTATCAGGTACAATTTATTTACATTTAACAGAATCGTTCTATGTGTTTCTATTTGATTGGTGTTATTCCAGACATCGGGAGAATACATAGGTTTCGCCGCGATAAGTAAATTGATAGCAGCAGCAGCTACGTATCCGTACCAAGTGATTAGGGCCAGATTGCAAGATCAACATCATTCGTACGAGGGTACATGGGATTGCGTTAGGAAGACGTGGAAGTTCGAGCGGATGGCGGGATTCTACAAGGGCTTGGCCCCTTACCTGCTCCACGTCACGCCTAATATATGTCTAGTCATGTTAATTTATGAGAAATTTACTAATTAAATTAGCGAATTATGCAGCGAGTCTCCGTAAAAGTTAAGTGTGCATTCTAATTCGAATTCGTTTGCATTGGGCTGCGGTGCAGAGCTTTGTTTGGTCGAAGCTTAACTCTTATAGAGACCATTCGCAGTCACTTTTTAGTGTGGTTTTCAAATTAAATGGCATTAGTTTATTACATGAATCAATTAATTAAAAACCCTATGTTTAGCGGATATTTGTTGTTACTGTGATCACTTAACATTATTTGCGCGTTCATTTTGAATTTCAGATTTGTACCCGCTTTGGTAAGTATAATGAGTCTTTGGCACATTGGTTGTTGTTGACGAGGATTTGAAATTAATAAAAAAACAATGGATCCAATATTTATTAATCATAAACAATTTTTTATATTGTTTTTAATTATTAACTTCTGAATAATGTTAATTCTTGCAACAACGACTGTGCTATTTCTTTGTGCATCATTTGTTTTGTTTCACAGTAAGATCCATTGTTCTGTTGACGAAGCGACTTGATATTGTTATTCATTTCGATCAGCTGGAAAAATATCGCTTGCTTCATTTTCGGAACGAATAATTTCGTGTGATTTATCACTTTTGTTGCGTATACTTAATAAACAAGGCCAAAAGTTGAGGATTTTTATTGAAATTTTGCAACTTAAATATTTCCAAGTTTTGGCCTTTTACTTCAAAGGCACTGTATACAGAGGGCTCGAAATTTAACGTATAATAAAAACTACTTTGTGTAATTAGAGATGCATTTTTAAAGCACAGAGGTGGATTTGCAAATAATTATTGGGCATAATTTCTTTTTATATTGCCTCGTTTGTTTCGAATTGACTAATAAATAAATGCTTTCAATATGATTTTTGTAGAACTTTTGCAGAAGATTTAAGGAATATTTATTATACATTTAAGCACTCTATTTGCAACTTCCGTGTAAAATACATCTTTGTCATGTAGTTTTTATACATGTGGAGCCTGAGTTGTCTGTAAGTATTTTTTATCAGGCTTTTTTTGATTAATTCATCGTCGAAAACCCATAATAATATATATTTTTTAGGAATGTTACAGCAATAAATGGAAGCATTTTAAATAATAGGTATTATAGCTCGTATTGTAATTTATTTCTTAGAAGAAATATATCTGAATTTTCTTACATATCAGTACATTAAAAGTAATTTTGTAGACTACTAATTTTTTTCAACAAGAAAATTTATTTTTAATATCGTAGCGTTAAATCTTAAAATGTACTTATTTATTGAAATTTGACTTAGCACATTTGTTTCGAATTAATTAAGCAGGGTTTTGTTTTAATTATTTTGTAAAATAAAATCGTTTAGAAAATTTGTCTTTTAAATATACGAACTTCCTTTAAAAAGATGCTACTAAAAAAACGAAAGTGTTGAATAAATTCAAACTACGCGCCTAATAAGCCACTAATCATAGACAAAATAAAAGACATCTTTCTTTCTCTATGCCACTAATTTCTTCTTTTTTATAAAAATTATTAAAATTTGTTCGGAACTATCGAAACAAACGCAACATTTTCGGCTGTCATATGTCAGTTATGTCAAAATTTGACTTTATTTTAGGATCCGACAAAAAACCATTTTACTAAAATGTCATGAGGTTAACATACTAGAAATAGCCGAAAAAATGATGCGTTTTTCCCGAAAATCAATCCAGTTACTGAGTAACATTATTAGAAATAATCCAGAATTAGTTTATAAGTGCAACCAGCATAATTGCTCACTGATAAAAATTAATATTTCCTATAATTTCATTCAATGTCTTTCCTACTCTCAAGGTAATTTATAGGTTATACGATGAAAAAAATCTAATTTCTTGAACTTTTTAGCCCCAAAATCTAATTTACCCTTAGGAAGTCTCTTAAAAGAAGACAATGAAAAGAATCAGGAGGATAAGGAGGAGGAAGAAAGAAGGAAACAACGGGAAAACTCGTGGAGAACCATGAAAATTACCTTAGCTATATTCGGAGTTTCATTCTCATGTTTGGGCGGCTATATGGTGTTTACATTGGGCGCTCCTGAAAAAGACCTCCACGGAGAGCCAATCCGGGATGATCTTGTCGATAAACCTGTAATTCTACAATACCTAATTAGAACGTACAGAGAACTCGACTATTACAAGAGAGTAAGGGAATTGAATCGCCAAACTCAACTTAACATAACCCTTTATGATTTATTATAGCTAATTAAGGAACCATCGAGAGAAAAATTGTTACCCGATCCTTTGGAATACCCGTATTTACAACCAAAATATACTTTAGTATTGGAGTTAACTGACGTCCTCGTACACCCCGATTGGACCTACAGCACCGGTTGGAGGTTCAAAAAGCGCCCTAGTAAGTACTAAATGTACTTTCGATGATTCAAATCATCTATATTTCCCCATTTTAGTGCTGGAGTACTTCTTAGAAAGCCTACACGGTTCTTATGAAATCGTCATTTACACTGCTGAACAAGGCATGACAGTGTTCCCACTGATAGACGCCATAGACCCGAAAAATATAATAGCTTACAAGTTAGTACGCGATGCCACGCACTTTTCCGGTGGTCATCACGTGAAAAGTCTGAACAACCTGAACAGAGATTTATCCAAAGTTATTTGCATAGATTGGAACGCCAAGAACGTTAAATTCAATCCGGAGAATCTGTTGAATGTTAAACGATGGGGCGGTAACGATGATGACGCTTCATTGGTGGATCTGGCAGCTCTGCTGAAGAGTAAGTGAAAGGTTAGAGTTTCGGGCTCGTTGATTGTACGTTTCTTTTAGCCATTGCGGATAACGAGGTGGAAGATGTAAGGGAGGTGTTGAGACATTACAGCACCTACGATGATCCCATTGCTGCATTTAGAGAGAAACAGAAGCGTCTTTTAGAAGAGCTGGAGGCCCAAGCGCAAGCTAGGAAGGAACAAACTGCTTCGAAAACATCGAGATGGGCGCCTAGTATTTTTAATAGGAAACCATTTTAGTAGGTAATAGGTTGTGGTTACGCAGCTGCATTGTTTTTTTTGATAATTTATGAAACCGGTTCTGAATTTGTACATATTTTTTATAGAAATTTTAGTTTTCCGCTAATCTGGTTTTTCATCTTTGTGAAATGAGATGCTTTAATGAATGTTATTTTACTTTCTTCAGATGAACTGACTATTCTCCAAAATTAAGGATGTAATGTTAACTATTTGCACATTCTTTATGTTAAAAAGGTGAAAAAACTGATTCTAGAAAGTAAAACGCTTAGACTGTTATAGCCATTTTTTAAATAAAGCATATGACATATAAACTAATTATTCATTGGAAATGAAACAATTAAAATAACATAAAGATATAATTTTTAACATAATTATCTATACCAAATAAAAAAATACACAAAAATGTAGTTCAATATAGTATAAAATTGAATATTAAAAACGATATGTTCTAAATTGATCGTCTACGCTTTTTTTACTGTAGAAATAGTATAAATTTAGAAAAAAACTAATTTTGTAACCTACTAAATGTGAAAAAAATCTACTCTTTCCATTTATTAGAACATCCATCTAAATCTACCATTTTGGAAAATATGAATAAATTAACAGAGATAAATCGACTAAACAGTACTATCACAATTTATAAATATACTAAAATTAAACATTACATATAAAATGTAAGAATGTGAACAGTATAAATAAAAAGTGAAAATCACATAAATGCCTTATGAAATTAAAGACAGAAAATATATTAACAGATACACTTAAAGCCACCTTTAATAAACCTTTATACTCTAATAAATTTATTCATATTTTCTTATTGTACTAAAGTATAGGCAATTATTATTACAATAATACTTTCAATTATGGCGTGAGCATACAATAAAAACATACACCTAAAAAGAAACAACAATCGTACTACATACTTCATAAATCCAACTGTAAAGCTACATTTATAGACATATCTACTTGTTAATAACATTTAGCTAAGTTTTCCAGTTGCCTCTTACTGTTAAGACAGCTCAGTTGCTACGAGTGTCAAATGCAATTAAGGAAAGTGGAAATCACAAACATTCACTTATTATAAATTACTTCATTCGTGTTCCTGGTAACTTATTATTTACAATTAGTTTAAAAAGGAATTATGTTGAAGTTACGCCTTTTCTGGCGACAAGTAGGTTCAAGACAGGGTGCTTCTTAATATAGCTTACTGCTTTCTTGTGTGTCACCATTGTGAAATCGTACCCGTTGCACTGAAGTATTTTATCGTGTATCCGAAGCCCTGCTTTTGATGCAGGACTATTATCATGCACTTCAGTTACATATATCCCCTGCAAATATGCAAATTATAGGGTTTCGTTATAAGTTTAAAGGAATAATTACGTTATCTGTGTATCCTTGAGGACTTTTGTGAAAATCTTGATCTATTCCGCCTCCAATTTTAAATCCACAACGCAACGTATCACCATCCACCTCTTTAGTAAGAGTTATAGGAATCTAAAAAAATAATATATTTACATCTTCAGTTGCTGGTTGTATGTAAACAGAAAGGCCCAAAGTCGGGGATTACTATCGCCCCTCCTTATTACTCATAGTGTATATTTAATCATTCGTTACCGATTAAATAATAATACGTACGCTTAAACACTCCATCGCCGTTCCGGCCTGGTGTTGAAATGCCATTTTAGCACACATTTTTGCGGTTTTTTGTTTAAAATTTATTTACGCCAAAGAACAAATTTGTTTAGTGTTTAGCTGATAAATTTGACAGTTGGTAGATAAACAGTAATGCCACTACCCAAAATACAATATCCCTAAATCAGAACGACATTTGACAGTTCAATAAAACAGAAGAATGGTGTTTCAAATCCCGGCAAAATTTGTATACTCCTGCATTTTGTTTTTGTATCCTCTAATGTAATAACTGTTGTTAGAGTTTGGTTTCTACTGTTCTGGTTTCTACTCGAAGAATTTAATTCGTGATAGTGCTTATATTCGAGTGTATTCATTGTGACAATTGTTAATATGTCGAAAAGACAAACCAGCCTCCTCAGTTACTTTACTTCTCCGAAGGTCTCCAAGACCAGTGAAAATAAAGTTAAAATTCAAGGTAATACATACATTTTAATTAAACAAGTTATGTTATATGCTTGCTTAGCTTTTATAGTTCATTATTTAGCTTACCCCTTTAGCCACTTCAATGTAGTGAATGAAGTTAGTGCTTCTTTATTTCAGCCGAAAACGATTCCGATGATGAGATAATCGTGAAGAAACGTCCAAGAAAAGTCGTCGATGAAGATGACGATGATATCGAAGATAATTGCAAGGAGCCTCCTACAAAAAGAATCCAACGATCGAGCAGTGGATCGGAAAATGAAAACACGTCTCCTAATAAATCCAAAAAGCCCAAAAGGAGAATAGCAAGACTGGATTCCAGCTCGGAGTCCGAGGGTGAAGGCGAATCGAAATCGAAGAATTCGTTGAAAGATTTGTTCAAGAAAGGACAAGCGCCTCCAACGGATTTGAAAAATGACACTCCTAATCGTAAAATTATTGAAGAAAAAGAGGCGCCCATCGAGGTGAAAGACATCCATTCGATTTGGCTTCACAACAGACTCGAATTTTTGAAGCCCGATAAAATTATGGATATCAACAAGAGGAAACCCGATCATCCGGAGTACGATTCGAGAACTCTGTTCGTTCCGGAGAAGTTCCTGTCGGGACTCACCCCTGCCATGAGGCAATGGTGGGAGCTAAAAAGCCGCCACATGGATTCGGTTTTATTCTTCAAAGTCGGGAAGTTTTACGAACTCTATCACATGGACGCTGTCGTTGGAGTAACTGAACTTAATTTTTCTTATATGAAAGTACTAATTACACTACTATTAACTTAAATCCATAGTTTAATACGATCGCTTTTAGGGTGAATTCGCCCATTCGGGTTTCCCCGAAAGCGCCTATGGGAAGATGGTGGCCGCTTTGATCGAAAAAGGGTACAAAGTAGCTAGAGTGGAGCAAACCGAAACGCCGGATATGATGAGCGAAAGGCTGAAAAAGGCCAAATCCAGCACGAAGTTCGATAAAGTCGTTAAAAGGGAAATTTGCCAGGTATCTGCGAAAGGCAGTGTCGTGCTCACTGCACAAATGGCTAATACTCAGAACTCTGCTCCATTTTACCTCTTCGCCATTTGCATGAAGGTATTTGATTTAATAATTTTAACTTTACAGATGTATACTGTTATTGTTTGTAGGAAAGTTCGTATGGAACTGCAAGAATAGGTGTTTGTTTCATCGAAACAACCCTCGGAACTGTCTATTTATCGGAGTTTGATGACGACAAACATTTCTCTAGACTTCTAGCTCTGTTTGCTGAATACCCACCTGCAAGGGTACCTCGATTAATTTAAAGCTTTGCTTGTTTTTAACTTTACATCTTTCAGATATTACTGGAAAAAGGCGGAATTAACAAACAACTCAACCAGCTACTAAACTGCAATTTTAAGGATATAAAGAAAGATTTTTTGCTGTCCAAAACTCAATTTCACGCGGCGAGCGACACGCTCGAAAAGCTCTCGAACGCATGCTATTTTCGCAATAGCAACAACGACTTTTACTGGCCCGAAGTATTTAAAAAAATCGCAGACGATTGTAAGTTCCTCTGTTACCAATTAACTCGATTAATTTAACGTATTTACATTCCCAGGTCTTCCGAAAAGCGAATACGAGCTAACGATAAGATGCATCGGAGCTAGCATGTGGTATCTAAAAGACAGCTTCATAGACATACAGGTGTTCTCTTCGGGGAAGTTCGAGTGGTACGATCCGCTCGATTTCGTCGCCAAGGAGACGAAAACGCAGGACTACCTGCTGCTCGACTCCGTCACCATACACAATCTCGATCTGCTCGAGACGAAAATTTCGTTGAAGAACACCCTGGATCGCTGCCAGACGGCCTTCGGCAAGCGGCTGCTAGCCAGGTGGATTTGCAGGCCGCTGTGCGACATCAAAAAGATACAAGAACGCCAGAACGCCATTAAGTGCTTGTACGAGAAGCCGAGCATGCTGTCTAACGCGCAGGCTGTGCTCGCCAAAATGCCGGACCTCGAACGCCAACTCACCAAGTACGCTGTGAACTTCCTTCCCCCTTCGTCATCAATAATTGGGTGTATTAATTTTGCAGGATACACATTTTCGGGAATAAGTTCCTTTCGACCGACCACCCCGACGGTAGGGCTGTGTTTTACGAGGCCAAAACTTACTCGAAGAGGAAGATTAAGGACTTTCTGAAAACGCTGAGGGCTTTCGAGAAGGCTCAAGAAATCGCAGATGTCTTTTCGGATTGCGACGATCGCCTACTGAGAAAAATAACTCAGTACGAACCCAAGGGGGTGAATGTGGATTTGTCCGAAGTGCTGAATCATTTTAAAGTAAATTATTCGATAGTACAATCGAGAGAATATAATCGTAATTGTTTTAGACTGCTTTTGATCAAGAGCAAGCCGAAAAAGAGGGTACGATCATCCCCAAAAGGGGCGTCGTAGATGAATTCGATGGCATCGAAAATATCATAGACAACATCAAAAAGAATCTCGACAATTATCTGGAATCGCAATGCAAATTCTTCGGGTGCAAAGTGAGCTACGTGGGTAACGACAAGAAGCGCTTCCAGTTGGAAGTGCCAGAGAGTAAGACCCACAAGGTTACCAAAGATTATCACATGGAAGGCGCTCGAAAAGGTGCTAAACCGGTTAAGAAATATTCCACTCCAACAACTAGGGTAAGAGGCTCGTTTGATTTGTTTTATTCGCTTCTAAATATCGAATTGTTGCAGGAATTGCTAGCGAATATGTTGGAAGCGGAGGCTGAAAGAGCTAAGATTATACTCGACTTGAACAGAGCTATATTTGAGCAATTTAGCGCCAAGTAGGATAGTTTTCTACGATGTAAATTAAATCTAATTGCGTATTTTTCAGGCATGAACAATTTGACCGCGTGATACAATGTCTAGCTTTATTAGACGTGCTTTGTTGTCTCGCTGAATACGCCAGAACTTTCTCGCAGGACATTTGCATGCCGAAAGTATTACCTTTTGATGATAAGGTAAATTAGTGATAAATGTTTGCGAGAGATTTGTAATTTAAAATGTTCTAGCCTTCGATCCTGATCGAAAACGGTCGCCACCCGTGCATTCCTAATATCGATAGCTTTGTTCCCAACGATACTCAATTAGGCGTCGAAGATCACCCCGGCATTTTAATATTAACAGGCCCAAATATGGGCGGTAAATCGACGTTGATGCGACAAATAGCCGTTATTTCCATCATGGCGCAAATAGTAAATATTAATTCAATAATCGATTCATTAATTCACTACTAACAATTTCAGGGCAGCTTTGTACCGGCTTCTAGATGCGAGATGAATCTAATCGACCGGATTTTCACCCGCCTGGGCGCCCAGGATGACATCCTACAGGGCCAGTCTACTTTCTACGTCGAGCTCGCGGAGGCTTCGAGCATTCTCCGGCACGTCACTCCACGTTCGCTGGTGGTTATTGACGAATTAGGCAGAGGCACTTCCACGCACGATGGAAACGCTATAGCTACAGCTTACGTTAAAAAGTTGACGGAGGTCAAGTGTCGCACCATGTTCTCCACGCATTATCACTCGCTCGTGAGCAATTTCAAAGCCAGTGATGATGTACAACTGACCCATATGGTAAAAACGTTTTGTATTTGTTGCGATTTTCGTGTCATTGGAGTGATTTTAGGCTTGCATGGTAGAGAAGGATGATGATGAAACTGAAGAATCCGTGACATTCCTTTACAAGCTTGCGAGTGGCGTTTGTCCAAAATCGTATGGATTTAATGCTGCTAAGCTGGCAGGTATGGATCGGCGAATCATCACCAGAGGAAGAGATATAGCTAAGAGTATGGAAGAAGGTAATGCTATACGTAACGCGTTTTGTTCGATCTTCAATCAAACTGACAAATTGGATGTTTCTTCGCTTAGAGAAGCATTGCTCGCTGTTTGTTAATTGTTACTATTATTTGTTCAAACTGAAAGTAATAAATAAACAAGAAATATTTTTATTTGGCAAAAAACAATATGAATGTCACAAAAAAAACAAATACATTTTTTGTATAAATTACTTACGGGTAGTGTATACTTATTTATCTATTTTGAGTAATACTTATTATATTAAAAAAAAAACGAAAAATATTCGAAGTTCACTGTCGAATTACATACTTGCAAGAAATTTTTCATACTCTAAATTTCTCTATAGTCTCTTTTGCAAACAACTAAATGCAATTAAAAGCAACTGATAATTGGAAGACTAATAAATGAAATATGTTTTGCTAAACATAGAATTTAAAAATAAATATATAATTTCAATTTCAACAAAAATCCGTAAATGGGTACATTGTGTTTAAAAATATTTAATTCTTTGCTTATCCCAAATAATCGTTATTACAACCTAAAATATTTTATCACATGATTAGTGTAGGTATATCATGTTAAATCGTGTAACAAAAATTGTATAAATAAATATTAAATCTCGGTAAAAAAAATCATATAAAATTACAATATCAGTCACGAACTTACAAGTTTGGTTTAATATTTAATTTACTGAAAAACTAACATATACCTATTTGAAGTGAATCACTTCCTCGCCTAATCTGTTACACAATTTCTAAAAGGGTATCTAAGAAAAGTTGCTAAAATCGGTCTTCAATTTTATCGTCGGAGTGTGACTAGGTAAATGCTGATTAATATTAACATCGTTCTTAACCTTACACGTTTGAACTTGATTCGTTCGTATGGCATTTTCCAATTTGATCCGTAAATCGTCAGACTGCATCATCAGTCTTTTGAATTCCTAAAACAACAATCAATAACAATTAAATATTAATACTATACCATTAGTTTACCTGTGGATATTTAGGCCCAATTTTCATTAACCACTGCAAACTTGCATCGCTCAAAGATTGCGTAAATGTATTCCTGCTAGACGAATCGGGCGTTAAATAACTAACCAACACTGGCACCAGCAATGTTAACATTTGAATACCTGTGTATAAAAAATAATTTAAAAAAATGCATTCGAGATATAATAAACTAATTCGTGTGAAGTTTTAATGCGTTTTAGTGACTCGTGTTCGTGTATGTAGAGTGCCGCTTTCACTTAACATACCTTGAATGATATCCCCTGCGAGCAATAACATGATCGACAGATATAAATCGGATGAATCGAATTTTCGAAATGAATTTAAACAGTTACTGTACTTACGTTTCTCGGGCTCCGCGAGCTCGATGAGCGATTCCACCGTGGTGATCGTTTCCAATGTAACGAACAAATCCCCTTCCGAGTGCGGCCTCTTCGCGGCGTCCGAATACAAAAATTCCACCAAATGCGGAGCTAACGTGTGAATGTAGGGAGTAGACACCAATCTATCGTTGTGCGCAAATAATGACTTCAACGTTCTCACACACCTCAATTTCACCTAAAAGAATTATTTGTATTACTCAATTTTCGAACGATTTTTTTGCAACTTACTACTGAATTAGAATTTTCCAAGCACTGCCTGAAGTGGTTGATGCACGGGTACTGGAGATTCGGCACGGTGACTACCTTGTAAGGCGCGTTCAGCACGAAAACCGCAATAGCCAGCATCATCGTGACCTCATCGAGCTTGGTTTGATCGTTCCTGGTCTTGGCCAAATCGATAATCTTGGCCAGCGCGCTTTGCAGCAACTTCTGCCAATTGTTCGCGCTTTCCGGATGATTGCAATAAGCGTCGGTGGCCAAGATTTTCAAGCAGTGCAGGGCCGCTTGTACCGATGGGTTATTAGCCACGACGTTGGTGTCGTTGATGCCTTTAGTGGCCACTTCCTTCACCACCCCGGTGGCCAGATACAGGACGGTGGGTAGAATGGATATAGCGCCCTTGGGCGAGCACAGGGTGTGCAAATTCTCGATGCAACTAATCGACGCCGCTATCAATTGACTCGACTGATCGTTCGATTGATTCACTTTCAACGAATTTACTACGGTGGTGTTCGGCGCCGGGCTTAGACTCGGCAACTGTCGAATGAGGAGGCACAGGCACACTTCTAAAATGGAAACCACGAGAGATTTCCCGGGGACCAAGTCTCCTAATTCCCCTCCTTCGCCCAGGAGATCCACATCTATAGTGTTATCAGCTTCGTTTTGCCTGTTCCGTTTCTTCCTGGCCAGCTGCTCTTGCGCAGCTTTCACGACTTGCTTCAGAACTTCCAAGCAGAGTAATTGACACGTGTGGTTATCCCTCGTCAAGATGAGCCGGTGCAGAACGTTGCACATTTCAATGCCTAAAGAAATGTCGGAAACCAAAAGCTCCCTGGTGTAATTCGTGTCCAAGAGCGTGTACAACGCGTGCAAGCAGGTTATTATACTTTCTAACGGTTCAATCGACCGCAGGCTGCACAGGGCTTCCATGCAAATGCCGAACAACAAATGGAACCTATCCGACGGATCTTCGTTCGTCCTGTTGTTATTATTCACGTTTTCGTTGTTATCTTTGTTGGTCTGGTTGAAGCAGCTTGAATTTAACCACAAGGCGGCCGCGTGCAAGATGGGCGGCCAGAAGGAAGCGTAAAACGGCCTGGACGAATCCATGGTTTCGTTGGTGTAAAACGCCCCGCCGTCGTGCGGGAGCTGACTCGAAAATTCGGTGGGCAACGACAGCAAAGCGTGATCTTTCAACGCCGACAACCAATACTGCGACAAACTGACCAGCTCCGGTTGCACCAGCGTCAAGAGACTTTCCCCTTGGCTCTCGAACTCCGCGAATTCGTTGTTTTCGTTGCTATCGCTAATCGGCGCTATGGTCAGAGCGAAGCTGGGCGCGGCGTCGTTCCCTTTCATCGCCACTATGTACACTTCAGCCCACGCTTTCAGTATCGACAGCTTCTCCAAAGTCACCAAGCTCTCGTTGTAGAGCTGGCTCATGTTGTTCTTGTTCCTCAACTTCGTCAGAGAGGACACGAGCAGCTGGTGGACTCGTCTCAAGTCGTTCAAATCCCTGGCGACGTTCGATCCGATCCAAGTGGAGCAAACCTCGCAAGCGGCAGCCGTTACCAGCGACGAAGTGTCGGGCAGAAACGCCGGCCTCAAAGCGGCGCCGACTTGAGCCTGGAACTGTTCGAGCAGCAAGTGCCCGGGGAACTCGGGCTCCGGCACCTTGGCGAACTTGTCGATAATCTCCTGCAGCGTTTTCAAACCTTCCAATCGCAGCGGGTCCGAGTCGCTCGTCGCCGCTATGAACGCCATCCGGATGAGATCGGAGAGATGCAACGACAGGAAGTCGCTCTTCCCTTTGGTGAATTGCAGTTCCTTCGCCTTCACCAGATCGAAGTGGGCCGACCGGTTGGTCTCGCACGCCGCGATGATTTTCCTCACGCATTCCGCCGCGAAGACCCTCGTCGGCCATCTGGGCTGCACGGCCACGTGGGACGGGTCTTCTTCGGCGTGGAACTCCGCCTGATCGTCGTCGGCCTCGTAATTCTCATCGGCGTCGATTAGTCCCGGATTCAGCCTGTCCTCTGTGCTGGTTTCTAAATAAAATACATCTTACACACTCACGACGATTCCGATATAGTTACATTTACCTGTCGCGACTGTTAGAACGTCTTTGCAGAGTCCCAGCCACTGCGACAAATTGTCGGAGGCGAGAACTTGAAGCATGCTGATGATGGTGTCGTGGATGTTTTTTATCAAGCAAATGTCGGTTTCGGTGTCCAGCATGCTGAAGAAAACGCCCGGGAGTCCGGTTTCCGTTATCAAAAGTCCTTCTACTTTATTATCGTCTCTACTCTCGTTAGCTAGATTCAAAGCGTGCTCGCACACTTCTTTGGCTTCGCGCTGGACCAACTGTCTCAGACAAGAAATCGCGGCTTTCCTCAATAGCAGGTGATTACTCGACAGAGTTCTCTGTAAAAGCGATAACTCAATACCGATGGGATTTTTATAGTTTATACTTACACAAAGAGTGGGAACCAACGACGATAAATTGACGTGTTTGGGAGCGAATAAATGCAATTGCTGCAGGCATCCAGTAGCCTCGGCTTGCACGAGCGGATCGTGGTGATCCTGCATAATAGCGCAAGCGCACAGGAAAGAAGATCTCGCCGTGCATATGCTAGACGTGTTCCCCTGCAATTCCGGGCCGATGGTGGTTATCAAAGCCGACAGGACTTTGCCGATGCACTGGTGCACGTCTATATACGATTGGGGCACGTTCAGCAACAATTTCAGAAGCAAAGACAGGCTCGGTTCCACGTAGCCCCTGAACATCGGCCCGCCGGAATCGACGATCAAAGCCAAAGCGTGCAAAGACCACACCTGAACGATCGGAGACGTCTGATCCTGAGCCAGAGCCAGCAAAATCGATACGCTCGTGTTGAGATGCTGGCTGGACCCCATGCCTCCCACGTATTTATGCAAGCAGCCCAACGCTAAGGAATGCCCGGTTCTACTCGCTACGTCCCTGGCGGATTTGAGCCTGTCGAAGCTGGTTTGGGCCAGTTCGGCTGTAAATTTGGGATCGGACACCACTTGCGCCATCCTCCCTACGGCTTCGCCGGCGGCGTACCTCAATATCGGATTAGGGGACGTTAGAGCGCTGATGATTAAACCGACGGCCGATTTCTTGAAGTCTTCCTGATTTATGTTCACCTTGGTCTCGGTGAGGCCCTTCAAACCGCTCAAGAGAGCCGTAAATACGTTCATTTGCACCGCCTCCAATCGGGTGCTTCGCACGTGCTTCACGCATTCGGTGAAATGATCCAACATCTGGACCCTGTGCTTGTTGGTTACCCTCGGGAAGATTTGACCGAAGAGGAGAACTGATATATCTATTACCGTTACACCTAAGGGTAGAGGTCCGGGAATTGTCTCGCCCTGTAAATATACACTTACTTTCAACGAATCAATTAAACTAATTCGAAATGCTTACAGTGTTAACTTGACGGTAGAGACAGCAAGGATCGTGCTCCAAAGCTCCGGAACCGGCCGCGCTGTTCGGTTGAAGCTGCAAACAAAAAAAACGCAAAATTACATCCGACAACTCGACCGAAGATTTTCCGAAAATAAGAAGCAAAAGAAACCAAATCAGGCAAACAAAAAACCAACCGACGCAATCGAACTACTCACATGTTCGCCGTCAGCCCTTCGATTAGGCTCCATCTAGGAAAATAAGGAACGTTAAAGAAGGTTCGTACGAGAGACTTTCGACAATAGAAAACGAAGCCCGATTGAATTAGCAACGCGAACCGTACCGGCCGCGACACAAACCTGATCTTCGATGGTCCTGTGGTCGGTTTCCTGCAGCCACGTGCCGAGTATCACCGAATCGTCGGCGTGGCAGACCGAGCGCAGCTGTGATGTCGTCGTGTTGGCCGGATTTTCGGTCAAGGTGAATTCGGCGACCAGCATTCGCAGCAAGTGCGTGTACGAATCTGGAACGAAAACGCGTTAAAACTCTCGTTCGAGCGACTGGTTTGAGTGCTTACTTTCGTAGCATTGGGGATGCAACAACAGCAGTGTTTCGCAGAGTCTGAGTCGAACCATGGCTGCTGGCGCTTTAAGGTGTTGACCGTAGTTTTTAAGGACTCCAGAAATACTAAATAAAATATTATTTTAATTACTCTATGCTACATGTATAAGATAACTTACTTCGTAAGCATCGCTAAAGCAGATTCGATAGGTGTAAGTAATCTTCTCGTAGTGTCTTCTGTGACTAATTCCGGGCAATTTTGAAGGAAACTATGCATGGCGGATAAAGCACCGGCTCTTCCTTCGAGAGTAACTTGCCAAGTGAACACGTCCCCTCGGGCTTTCTCGGATTCCAATTCTTTAGCAGACCGCGGGAAGGAATTCCTCCACAGCAACAACATCCTCGGCAGTAAACCTTTAACCACTGGAATTCCCAGTGTCATAATAGCCCCGATTAGGAGCCAACCGGCGTGGGTTCTGTTCAAGGAGAGCCTGCTGTTTTGACTGGCGCTCCTTAGCAGTTCTTCGGCAGTGTTGAATATGATCTTCCCTTTCATGTGAGGCACGCCTAGCGGCGATAATTTCACCCCTCCTAAAACTGCCGCTAGAGCCGAACTGTATCCGGATATAGCCTCGGGGGAGGTTCTGAATTGCTCGATGCCGTTCACGCATCGGTCTATTAAGGGCGATATTTGACTGGGAACGGCCACGCAAATGCACCGAAGGCACCAGGCTGCGGCTAATCTTGCAGCTTGGCAAGAGTGGATCAGCACACTAATAGTTACATCGATTAAATCTGAAAAACGCGTTAATTAATACACATCACGGTTGAAGAAAATGCAAGTCTTACTAAGAGATTGATCCGTGATTAAGTCGTGAGCTGAAGTCCCTAAGCTCAAGACCAGTGCACCGATTTCTTGAAGAGCGCATACTAAAAGGTGCTGACTAAAAAGCGTCTCCTGATTCACGTCTTTGGCATTTTCAGGATTGAAATCTATGGAGTTCATTTCTTTGACTATAATTTGAGCGATTTCCTTGCAAGCGGACGACTGTGCCCTTTCTCCCAGCATCTTGCCCAAAATGCTTCTTAAAATAAAGTTTATGCACTTTCTCGAGTAGACGGCGTCCACGTGAGAAGAGGCCGCCTTAGGGTTAGCGGCCAGGTGGAGGATGTGAGCGAGGAAACTCTTCATGTTCCTCTCCAACCATTTGCTTCCCAAGATTTGCACGAAAGTTACGTAACCCTAAAAAGTACGAACAATAAATGGTTGTAATGTGAAATAGATTGCAGCCTTACGTGTGTTACGCCTACTCTCACTTCTCGATTCACACCCGAACTGCCTTTGATAATTTCCCCTGTTCCTTTCAAAAATCCAACGCCGCCTCTTAAGAAGCCCGACATAAAAACGCCCAAAGCCTCGTCTAAAGACACCGGCTTGGGACTTTTCTGTTGTTGCGGTTGAGCTGGAATATTCATTAACATTATCATCTCCTTCGTTAATATTCCACTAGAAACTTACTACTTTTTCCTACACCCTGCGGTTGCTGTTGCGTCATGGCAATCAGCGCGCCTAATAGTTTAGCAACGGTGCACCTGACTATGTAATTGGATCCATCGAACGCCCTGAAGCACAACGTGGCTAAACTCTCGAGCTCCGTGGTGTACAAGAAGGGAGCGTGGTTGAGCATCTCTAATAGACACCTGGTGGCTGCACACCTTACGGCCATAACCCTATCGATCAGGCAATGCCTGGCGGCCTTGTAGATGTCCTTGTGGACGTTACTGATGGCCGTACCCATTCCAGCGCAAACTTTCTCCAGCGTCAGCATAATCTCGATCCTAGTCTGCGATTCAGCGTTTCTTAAGGATCTTATGAGTATTTGTACAGTCTCCTCGTACGACCTTCCCATCATCCTACCGAGTTTTTGGTACATCGTCCCCACGCAGCAAATGGCCGCACTGCAATTTTTTAATAATTCATTTAATCGGGTAAAATTTTTTATTAGTCACAAATACATAGCAAAATCTAGTCATATTGAATCAATTTTATCGGAATGAATTATAAATACATAATCTGAAATACTGTAAACAAATCAGTTTGGTGAGTACTTACAGTCTGGTGGGTAGGAAACTTGGAGAATCGTCTTTATTCTTCAGTATATCGTTGCACTTGTTAACTGTATCGAACAGAAGGAATGTATCGCCAACTGAAAACAGTGTTGCTAAGCATCTTGCTATAAGCTTCCTGGTTGGGGGTCCGGGCGATTCCTGAATGTGATTCATTAATTGTTGGACCAACTGTTTCTGACATCCCTTAATGTCGTTCTAAAATAACGCGAATGTAAGAAGTAATTTAGAGCATAAAGCGATTAGTTACCTTTTGGGCTGCTATAAGAACTTTGTCCAAGAATCTCAACCATTCGAATATGAATACTGGTCTTTTGGCTTCGCTTATTTGAGCCAGTGCTTCTTCGTTGAGAGTTAAGCTGTGTGAGAGCTCCATGGTTGGAATTAGCGCTGCAATAAATGTTTATTTAAATCAGAATGAAGTCGAGATGATCGAGTGTCAATAGGTTGTATTTTGACATGACCTCAATTAATATGCTTACTTTTAAACAGTACCTTTTTAGATTAAACAAATATTTCGCAGTTGACCAATAATCGCCTACTATCGACTTACATAATGTTTAATGTTAATATTTCTTTAATCAATGCATTAAAAGAATGATCTTTCTCAAAATGTCAGGTGTACACATAGAAGGAAAATTGGGCAACTTAAGACTATTTTTCGGTAAATTCAAACTAAATAATAATGAGATATTAAAATGCTTCCTCATATAAGCTAAAACAACGTAAAATACAGTAAATTCACTCACATAAAATTAACCAAATTTCACTGCACCAACACAAATATCGTCAACATTTTGACAAATTGAAAGAAACGTCAATAACAAATAAACACGACAGGTGACACGTGACAGATGTCTATTTTTGGTCTGAAGCCAAGTTTACACTGATTGTTTTATTCCATTTTATATTGTAAAATTTTAATTCAAAAAGTGAGAATACGATGAATTAAACCACTTACTTCAATATTAATCTATAAAAATCATAATTACAGATTTTATTAGAAAAAAAAATTATAAAAATTTTGGTAAAAAAGAAGAAAATGTCACATGGAACTGTCAAGTCAAGTCATTCTTTTCATTCTAAAACCTAACCTCATTTTATCGAAGTTTTGCCGCAGCACACCTGCGTAAAAAAAATTAAATAAAACGACGTTCATTTATTTTAAAAAGTGCAAAGTTAAGCAATACATACGAAAATGATGCAACCGCAGATATTGCTCCTCAAGGAAGGCACTGATTCGTCACAAGGCAAGCCTCAGTTGATATCCAACATAAATGCGTGCCAGAATATAGTGGACGCTATACGAACCACCCTGGGGCCCCGAGGTATGGACAAATTGATCGTCTCCAACAGAGGCTCTGCGACCATCTCAAACGACGGAGCGACAATATTAAATTTACTAGACGTGGTGCATCCGGCGGCGAAAACTCTAGTTGACATAGCGAAGTCACAAGACGCCGAAGTAGGCGATGGCACGACCTCCGTTGTTTTGCTAGCAGGCGAGTTTTTGAAACAACTGAAGTCCTACATCGAAGAAGGCGTGCATCCGAGGATCATCATCAAAGCCGTGCGGAAGGCGACCCAGATTTGCCTGGAGAAAATCAACGCCCTCGCCGTTAAAATCAACAAAGCCAACCCCGAGGAGTACAGGTCGTTGCTGGAGAAATGCGCCGCGACGGCGATGAGCTCGAAGTTGATCAACAAACAGAAATCGTTCTTCTCCAAAATGGTGGTCGATGCCGTGCTACTGCTCGACGAACTCCTGCCGTTGAACATGATCGGCATCAAGAAGGTGCAAGGCGGCGGTCTGGAGGACTCCATGTTAGTCGCCGGAGTGGCCTTCAAGAAGACCTTCTCGTACGCCGGGTTCGAGATGCAGCCCAAGATTTACAAAGACTGCAAGATCGCCCTGTTGAATATAGAATTGGAACTGAAAGCGGAGAGAGACAACGCCGAGATCCGCCTGAGCAGCGTCAAGGAGTACCAAAAAGTCGTCGATGCGGAGTGGAACATTTTGTACAACAAACTCCAGAAAATTTACGAATCCGGAGCGAACGTTGTTCTATCGAAATTACCCATTGGTGACGTCGCCACGCAATACTTCGCCGACAGAGACATGTTCTGCGCCGGAAGGGTCCAAGAGGAAGACATGAAGAGAACCTTGAAAGCCTGCGGTGGCTCCATAATGACCACAGTCAACGATTTGAAAGACGAAGTGCTAGGTAACTGCCAGCTGTTCGAAGAGAAGCAAATTGGAGGCGAACGATACAACTTCTTCAAAGGCTGTCCCAACGCCAAAACCTGCACCATCATCCTAAGAGGAGGAGCCGAGCAATTTTTAGAAGAAACCGAGAGGTCCCTACACGATGCCATCATGATCGTCCGCAGAACAATCAAAAACGACTCCGTCGTAGCAGGCGGAGGAGCCATCGAAATGGAGCTATCGAAGTTACTCAGGGATTACTCTCGCACCATTGCCGGCAAAGAACAACTCCTGATTGGAGCTATCGCGAAAGCACTCGAAATAATCCCTAGGCAACTATGCGACAATGCCGGTTTCGACGCCACTAATATACTGAACAAATTGCGACAGAAGCACGCTCAGGGCAATTCCTGGTACGGGGTGGACGTCAACATGGAGGATATCGCCGATAACTACGAAACTTGCGTATGGGAGCCGGCTATTATAAAAATTAACGCTTTGACCGCCGCTGCGGAGGCCACGTGCTTGATCCTGTCCGTTGATGAGACGATCAAAAACCAGAAATCCGAAGCGCCCCCGCAAATGGGCGGACGCGGAATGGGTAGACCCATGTAAGGCCACTTTCAATCTCAATTTTTTTTCGCACTACTAAACGTAACTTATTGTAACAACAGTATTTTGTATTCAATGAAGCTTTTATTAAAAACTAACGTATTTTTTGTACTTTCATTTAGGCTCGAAAGATCTTGAAACTTAACTCATTAATTGTTAATGCGAATACAGATACAAACATTTGTTGTAGTTTTTTATTATTTTACAATAAATACATGGATTACACGAGTTCATATTTCACGAATTTTGGTAGAGTACGATCTTACTTAAATTGAAATTAAGGGGGAATAGGAACTAAAAAGAAAAGGTTAAGTTTAGATTAAGTTCGTAATTTTAAACAATATGGCAATTAATTTAAAAATTTGTGGATTAGATAAATTTTTTAAAATGTTTAATAGAAACTTGCGATTGTTATAAGTTGGAATACACACGCATTTAATTAATTTACCTAATCGTACAATTTTTAATTTCTCTTAACTGGTAATGATTTAATTTAAGAATGTATAACATCACAAATTATCACAGTTACTTTTTCACTGTACTTTACGTTAATCTAAATAATTTGTAATAATTATAGATCATTTAAGGATAAAGAGCTTTTGGTACAGTAGCTACAAGTATACAGAAATTCCGATTTTTATAATCCATTTAAAAGAGTGTATTTTTAGATAATAGAGATTGCATTGTATAGTTAGTAAAATTATTCGAGAGTAGACATTTTCAATAAAAAATCTGATATGTAATTTGCATGTTGAGCCTCAATTTATTGATTTATACGGAAGCAAAATCTGAATTTCTGCGGTTAAAAGTCAACATTCATCTACCAACAACTTTGAGGGACAGTCGAGTACTGGAATAATCAACATTTAGGTTCCCAAACAACAAAAACACATTTACTTATTGTTCACATCGATACAATTAGCAAATTTTTCGATAATTGGTCTTTCTAATAAGTACATTCATTTTTTACTAAACAACGGTATTATTCTACGCAATAAAAATACCCCTTGTACATATTTATTAGCTAAATTCCCGAACATGACTAAAAAATCACTCGATATTTTCCAATACAAATCCTTGCGATTTATGAATATGGAGATACTTTTACCTACTTCATTGTTAGGGGGATTTCAATTGGATGGCACAATACATAATATTACTCTTCATTAAATTATACTAACATGGAAATTTCGTTATAATAGTAACATTGATCAGTATATATTATTCTGTTTCGGTTAAATCTATATATGTATATCTACTAGGCCATGTTAATTCATTGTTCCATTTACTAGCAGAGTTTTAAAAAAATTTCAAGCTTCAACTCGTTTCGATAATTTTGAAAATCCACTTGCAAAAATATTTTATACTATATCTAACAAATACGTCGGACAAATTTTTGGTGAGAAACGAATATATAGCATGTGTGACGGTTCCTGGTCTTCAGTCTCCAAACAATCATCGATGGTTTACTTAATTAGCACGAATTGCCGCGCGATAGAACAACAATTCGGATCGTTACAGCGACATTTAAGTGATCAAATAAACAATGCCCAATAGCAACAAACAATAATCAAACATCGACTTGATTCGCTGGAATAAATTGCTCAAACCGACCGACGTGGCCATCATACCTCCGGCTGCACCGTGTTGCATCGCGGCGGGCTCTTCGCCGAGCAGAACATGCACGAACACGCTGGCCGCCTCGCCGGCCGACGGCAGACACGTGTAGTTGCCGCTGTCTTCGGGGAAAGCCCTGGAAATGAGCAATCGGCTCGTACGCGTTTGTTTCTCCGTTACCACGCTGATGCCGCCTCTTTGCGAATAATTAATTAATTTCCCTTCTCTATACCAATAAATGAAGCTGGGCGGGTCGGGCGTATGAGTTACGATGCAAGTCAAGTTGATGTCGCTCCCAAATCTAACGTGCAACTCCGCATTACCCAATATAATTGCCTTGGATACTGTAAAATAAGAGATTAAGCCGAATTACTCACGAGCAACGAGTTAATTAATGTGAAATTGTACCGAAATGTGTTTAACGCAAATGTAAGATTTCAGTGCGGAATGTTAACGTTATCCAATTAATCCGGCGCATTTCGAGACACGATAGACTACACGTGTAATTAAATTTGCGATTTTTACGGACTTGAAATGTAATTTATCATCAAACGTGTTCCGCATGCAGAATATTACAAGCAATATCCCGTGTTATTTATCGTTCAAGTTAAATAAGGAGATTAACTTTGTATAAAAAATACTAATAACTTCGCAAAAATATATTCCAGTCGAGATCTCCTGGCAATATCTCTCGACTCGCCTTTCATAAATTCCTTTTTTCTACATCATTTGATATCTGCTCGAATCGTTCTCATTGCTGAATTTAAATATTTCCGTTTATTACACGGGCTTATTATTGGCATTTTATTTGCACACTGCACAAACTATATGTGCCATTAAATTAGCGAATTTTGAACCCATTTTGCGATTTTATGTACCAGAAATGTAATTTAATAACGACATCAAACGTGTGTGGTGTATGCAACAAAGAATATCAGCTTGTTTATTTGTCATTAAAGTTAAAAATGTTTGTAACCCGAAACAACGTAAACACAACGTGCAAGAAGATAACATAACAAAAATAATAACGCTCATTAACCCGATGAAAAAACTCGTGCAGAGTGCCTCCCGGCAATATCCAACGATTTTTTTTTATTTATCTCGTATTTATCATTTATGAAAAGGGAATAAGACGCAATAAAATCGCAATGGTTTTTTTTATTTCGTTCCCATTATAAAAGAGAATCTCATCCGAGCAAACAATTAATAACTTTATTGTAGCTACTCGATTTGTACCCGGCTTTGTCGAAGAATCTGTCGTGCTCGCCTGGAGATTCGTTGAGGTTAAATTTAATGAAAAACATCCTTCAATAGCACGACCGGCTCGTCGCGAAAATGTTTGTTTGAATTTCATTTGATATGTATACACAGGACAACCTCATATTTTTAAAGTTCCTGATGCACTAACACCGGATTATTCTACTATTTAGCACTGGGATAGTGTTTGGGAAAAAATTACAGGACGATTCGAGCACATTTCCCGGCCATCCAAGCTACATTTTATCTACTTCAATTATTTCCTGACACGCCATCATCTTCCATACAGCAACGAGAAGTAAGATAGCCGCTGCCCCGCGCGCGGAATCCAAGAGTACATTTGTTTAGTTTTCGGACACAATCGGCTGAGCGTAATAAATCAGAGGCCGCTTGACCAGAAAAAGGGAAAAATACATTCGAATCGAGAAAATGTATAAAACGAATTTATCTGCGCGGATAATGCGATGAAATTTCATCGTGTAATTTCCCGTGGAATTACCTACTGGAAAAAGCTGACGGAATTTTTCGAAGGGGGTTGGATCGAATTCTAATCTCTGCGCCCACCGGGCGGACGAATAAACGTATTAATAAAAACCGGCGAGTTGTTCTAGATGGACGAATCGTATTTGCATCTCGTCCTATTTGACTTATAACAACGCGGGTAAATATTTGTATCTATTGTGCGGCGAAAGACATGAATAAACCCCGAGCTATTCCCTTTGAAATGGCGGAGACACGGGCAAGCCTATTATTTATTATACTGCGGAAACACCGGAAGAGAATAAACTGGACCTTAAACAAATAGCTTTCCGGTAACATCAAAAGGTATACATTTTCCGTTCTGTTACATAGGTACGGCTCGTGTGATTAAGTTTTTTTCCCGATACCCCGCCCTTCTTAAAATAAAACCGACAATCCCGTTAATTTTCACAATAAATTAACGGTAACGTCACCTTCGGTTCCTGTTCATTAATTTTCGAACCGAGGAGATTAAATTTTAAAAGACTGCCATCCCGTTCGACGTTACAGGATTAAGGAGTTAAAAGTCTATTACTCGCAGGGATTAGAAAAATAAATTCAATCGATCGAATTAATAATACACCTGCAACTACACTCGAGATATTTTTGCGCCCATTTTTATTAACGGAAATTCAAGATAAAACCTACAATGTCTAGTTTTGAGATACTGTACCTTTTAAAATAATTGATTTGCTGAATAAAAAAAAGATGGTGAGGTGTTGGGAACTGGCGCAGATTGAGCCACCTCGTTAAGTTAATTACTGCGTTATCTAAATATGGCCCGAATTCCAAACAATGATTAAACGTAGGTGAGTCCGCAAAATGGCCTTCAGTAAGCTCTAAAGGGAGCTAACCAGCGCAGTGATATTAGCTAAAAGCTAATAGCTGGCTTTGTATGAGGCATTATCTTTAACAATTCAATCTACACCGAAGTACTTCGGGCGAATATTGCTTATGCGCATTGGTTATCACGTGCCGGGTCCGTAAATGCTGTTGTTATTTCGATCGTTTTCGGGGCAATTAAAAATAATAAATCTGTCACTTCGGCGAATTCGACAGTTTCATTAATTCCTGACGGCGCGAAAAAATGAATGCCTATATACAAGAAGGAGGGAATAATTTCAGAAATCACGAATCGATATCGGAATAAATTGCGAAGAAAACTAATTGCTCCCTCTCGTCGCGAATCCAGACTAATATCGGCGTAGATAATGATAAAAAAAGCAACGGTATTAATGCAAAAGTTATTTTCGGCGCATTAATCAAGGAGGAAATGGAAATTTTAAATTCCTAGTATACATAATGAAATAAATGCTCGAACCAATTAATTTCGAAGCTTTCATTAGGAAATAGACCGGGAAAGCGCTGTAAAACATTTGAGGAATGCCGAAAAATTCCTCGATTTTGTCGAAACGCTCAGCTAAACTGCATTTTCATAATTCTGATGGTAAAAGGGTATTAAGTTTCATTTTTATAAAGGTAATACTTTGCGTTTGAGCCCGTGTAAAACGCACATTAATCAGTAATGAAACCGATATCATTCATTCGCCCCGTTTTGCAGGTATTTTTAATAAAAAATGCGCATTAAATATAGGTATTCATTCGCAAATGATGAATGAAATAGAAAAAAATCGGGTCCTTTAGCTGGGCTTTGTCGTAATTTTATCTGTGACATCCTTTGATTCTGAAAGGTTCCTTTTCCTTTAGCGTATGCTAATCAAATTGCATCAACGGCGCTACAAAACGGTGGAAAATGATGAAGGCAATTTCCAGAGAGCACATATCGTTTAGTTATTGATGTATGTACTTTCGTTAGTCGAATAACATCCTGCAAGCGCAGGCAGCCAACATAAAGAATTTGTTATATAGCCTGCAATGTTGGTAAATTTTCTTTACCAGGTATAGCGCAAAACAAACAATGCGCGCGTTCGAATTGAAATTCAAATATCCAAATAAGCGAGAGCGTAGGCCGATACATTTTGGATTTTTTCCAGTTGATTGCGCGCTTGTCGATCACGTTCGCGTGCTTTAATTGCAGCAGAGCTCGCAGCATTTTCTACATATTTATTAGGATCACGATTCTAATTCGTATTCCGGCAACCGGCAACAGCCGAAAAACAATCTCCGCGTACGCGCATTGTCTCACCGGGGGGGGTCGCAACATCGGCCGAATTTCGTCCGGTATAGCGAATTTTAAGATAAATTGTAATTTGGTTATTTGACGTGGAGTTTCCTTACCTACGACGTTCAGCTGAAAGCCGAGGCTAATCTTGGGTTCGGTGCTGATCTGACACTCGTATATTCCGCTGTCCCTAATCTGCGGCGATGTCACTTTCAAAATCCATTCTTCCGAACCGTCGGCATGCATAGATTGAAATCGCTGATCGTTTGTATACGTTAAAATGCCCACAGTCAATATATGTAAGTCGCGTTTACGTATCCAAGAAACCTGCAAAGATAAAATGATTTATATTTTTGCTGTCGGCTTTTTATCGAACGGGATTTTCATGCGACGCACAAGCGGACTCGACATAACGAGCTTCCTAACTAGATCTGGTACTAAATTTTATACTCTATTCGCGATGTACCAATTTTCTACTCAAAGGCGGTTAATAATTTTGAATAAATTTATATCCAGGAAGCTGCATTAAATTTCTATCAACTATGAAAATGTTGGTCTGGCTCGTGATTTATGCAAAAAATGCACACCGTTAAAGCTTAAGAGGAAATAAGATGTCAAATATGCAATTTTTCCAGCCAAGCCAACATTTAATTATTAGTTTAGCTTCATCACATTTTTCATAAAAAGCGTTTCATAAAAAGCAACATAAGGATAGCTTAATGTACCTACCCTAAAAAAAATATACCAATTTTACCATCCCAAAGTAATATTGTATAAAAAGATATTAAAAATTAGGTAGTATATTGCACATCTTTTTATAACTTTCTTAAACTAATAAAAATATATTCATGTTTTAACAGAAGCAATCAACTTTTCCACAAACTCATATTATGCAATACGAAAAATTATATCAACAATATTTCTATTACTCATCGGTAATATGAGTGAAATCATAATTACAATGTTTGGTGATTGGTATACTCAATATGTATGTTCCCTTAGGAATACACCAACAATCTGAATATAACTGACATGTGAGTGCGCTCAATAATCTCGGGTGACAATTTGCGGGAATTTTTTTATTCGAAACGCCCCGGGGAGTTTATATATCTACGTATCGGCAGGAAGTTATTTGCAAAGTGTGCGATGTTTCATCGAGGTCTTTTTTTAAGAGCTTTCCTTCACGTTGCGCGCGTAACTTTTCATCGCGCATTTGAATAATTTTTCAAAATCGCCGGCAATAAAAACTTTTTAATTTCTGAGCGCAATTCATTTTCCGGGCATAAAGGCGCGCTCTTCGCGTTTCGGAAGGACCGTAAAAAAGTCGTTTAAGTGCTAAATATAGCCATCCGGAACAAGATTTTTTTATTGCGGAATAAACATTTCATTTAATGGAATTATGAAGGATTCGCTTCCTCGCGCCTTCCACGTCGAATTACGTTTCCTCGCGCGTAAATCGCAAAACAAGATTCATTCCGGCAAAACAACAAATATCCGCACTACGGGATGTGTTTCGCCATCAAACAAACACCACCTACCTACATATTTACTTTACAAATCAATAAGTTTCCGAATCCCGAAAAGCTTTCTCGAGCTATTCAGTAAACACATCCATTCAAATACTTCTTTGACTTTCTACAGACTGTAAATCACCACTATAAAAGTGCCATTTGCATAGGATTAGTAGATCATTAGCACTTTAATTAACCGATAGATTGGCCAATTTCAATAACTGTAAGTTGAACATCAATTCGGAGCATTTCATCAGGTTTTATTCCCTTTAGGGAAACATTTAAATTATAATGGAGTTACATGGAAAAAGGGGCGGATAAAATATTCGAGTTGAATTATTCGTATACCGCTATTGATTAAAAGAAAACAAAATGATGCAGTAACTGCATTAGCTTTATTAAAAGCAAGTGAAGCTCGGGTGATTGATGAGGAACTACAAACATTCGCCAAGTTGAACTAAGGCTTTCGTAGCAAAAAATGATATTGTTAAAGAGCTTAACTGGGAACCGACAACGTTGAAAATGCGGTCAAATAAGCAAGGAGTTTTAGCTAAATTAACTGCCTAAATGAAGTAAACACGAGGAGTATTTCAGCTCGCCGAAATTTATGCAAACGCATTTTCTCTCCTCGAGATTCAGCGTAGAGTCGAAGATAATTAAACAGGTAAAAAACATCGACTTACAGCTCTGTCTCCTAAGTTACCGACCCGGCAATGCAAATACGCCGTTTGCCCGACGTTGGTGACATACTCCCTCTTCGTGGAGTTATCAAAATATGGTATCAAATCCCAATAAGGATTGTCGGATGTTGGGACGCCGCCTGAAAAAAGAAAACGGGAAATTTATATATTTATACGCGAGATAAACAAACAGACAACGGCAATTCCTTTTAACGAACAGAAACGGAAAGCATGCGGAGGGGCATTCACATTCGCATAAACAACCAAATCCATTTTTTTGAGGAGCTTAATATAAACTCGGAACTCCCCGAAATTTTGATGTGTAAGTAATTTCTAAGTTTTATCAAACACGAGTTATTAAGTAAATTTGCATTTGCGTAATGTTGTTATATAGAAGAACAGAAAATTAAAAAACTAATTGCTTGTCAAGTTTTGCCGAAGCCCAAGCGATCTGAGCATTTAACTTTTCGATTTTCCAATTTTCTCATGAAATTTTCTTTATCTGCGGCGGAGAAGCCGCGCTCGGCGGTCTATTAGAAAACAAATCGCGTTCAAACAGCATCAAAATCGGTCCATAAATAAGAAAAGTTTGTATTCTAGGAATTCCCCAATCGATTCATAAATATTTTATTAATAGTAATTCTGGAATCTGCAATCTAGATGCGAGTGTTCCGGAATTAATTCGGGCGTAATGAAACTCGAGCAACAACTAATTATTGCGCAAGTTTTTTATTAAGACCGTTCGAAATAAAGGTAGTTAATTTAATTCCACGGTGTAATAAAGACCTGAAAGGGATGATTTGTTTGCTCTTTAGCCCTTTTCGTGGAACAATAAGATTTGAAGAGCTTGAATTTATTGCTTTTGTCGGCTTTGTCCACTGGACGAAAAAAAAAACCAATGTAATTTTTGTCGTCCGTATAGAATGAAATAATATTTCATTGTTTACATTCTTCCTTTCATTTTATGGTTATTAATATAATTTAATTCTGCCGGTTGAGCCGATACAAACATTACGAGAATGTCGTCAATAATTTTCTCTGCGTTTCGTTCCTGTCTTCTTGTGCATTATTGCCGAGCATTTTCCCGTGAAATATTCATCTGTATATGTATTTTCCATGATCCAGAAAATCGTCGGTGAAGTACAAATACCCCGTCACATTCAACGACATGCAATCCCTGACCGTTACGGTTCCTGTCTCGCTGTTGATCGAAATTTCCCGTTTATTTTTGCACCGGCGTCTTTCTCTGACATGAAATTCATTCTAGACCGGCTAATAATTCCGCCGCGATTTACGTACCTAATTAAAAACATACATAGACTAGACACTGACCTTACCTATTGGAACAAAGAGGTAGATGAAAATCACCCGAAGATCCATGGCTGGAAATGAAATAAACGGTGATTATTAGCGCGTAGTTTTTATTGAAGTTTTTGTTTTGTTTCTAATACCACTATTAAATTTCGAATAAAAATGGTTTTTATTAGTTCCTACAGTAGGCCCTCGACGATTTTTGCTGCGAAGTGCTATACATTTCTTTCTACGACTTCTGGCTGCGTCGTTATTGAAATGAAAATACAAAAAGTTCCCCCGCAAGGACGAGTTATTGCGTTTTACGATATATTTGATAGGTTTTTACCTTCCGCTTATATTTTCCTAACGTTTGAATTGCGAAAAAAGGATGGGAAATGAGCACGAGCATCCAGAAACCCCGGGTAAAACTGTACCCTTTTTTTTAAGATTCCGCGTGCAAGTGGAACAATGGCAATTCACACGGCTTTTTAGAGAATCCAATTTTTCTATCACGAACAGTATATATGATGTTCCATAATAAATATTCAATTACATCATATAAATTGTGCTCGCCCTATTCAGACTGTTAATTAAATATTTAATACTTTTAGAGACGTAAGAAAATACGGAATTCAAATGCCTGATGCAGATTAAATTCATTTCCACCTCGTTAGATCTCATCCTTCAAATTAGAATAATCGGCATAAATTTTTATTTGATGTTATTGAGGATACAGATGTAATTACTGTAATAATAAAACAAAAATTATTCAGTTGTGAGTAATTTTCTTATAAATTTCGTTGAAGGTATTTATCGTGCTAATGTTTATACAATAAAGAGTTGTTTGAGCTGGTTTCATACTCGAATAACTCGCGGTATTAATTTTGGAGTATTCATAAAATGCCAACGGAATGGAATCGAATATCGGGGCAAAGAAGAGAGGTTTATCAGAACGTTTGATATTTAAAAGGGGGATTATTGCTTCAAAATTAATAACATTTCAATAAGAAATTTGCGTACGAAAGTTTAAATTAACGCTGCGATATAAACTTCTACTCAATCCGGCCATCCTATATCTCTTGAATTATTAAAATAGTACAGTGGTTAATTGACCCATTCCCGCTTCCATATAGTTTCTCCGTCCTGGTCGAGGGACGTTCTCCTGCGGTCTGTTAACACAGTTTCACGCTTGCACTATATTACACTGTTAACACGACCGTCGCCCCGGGACCTTCCCCGGTTTGGCTCGATTAAGAAAATTCCGCCCATTTTTTACCAACGATATGTCTTCCAAAAAATCCCGAGTGCACTTCTAGTTTATGGCGGCGGTAAACAAAAGTTCAAATGTTCCCGCAGGCGCTCAAATTAAACAAAGATAAACACGAGAGTACGGGAAGTGGGATCAAGAGCATCTTCACTGTTAAGTGGTTCTCGCTTTTAAGGAATGGAATTCTGTATTTTCAGGATGTCCCGTTTTACGGCTGTGCGGGAAGAGGAGAACCGCGAGAGAATTGTTTAGTTGCATTTCGGGTGATATGCAACGCAACGAAATGAAGAAATAGCCCGGTCATTTTCCCGGCAATGGGCTATATATCGATTCTAATAGACCCCGGACGCGGGGAAAAAGATGTTATTTCGCAAGTTTCAGACTGCAATAACTTAATAAAACGCTCGAGTGCAGATACATCCACTTTAAATACGTTCCACGTATTTTCCTATTCCCCGTTTTGATACCGCCCAGACCTACTTGGCTCGGGATTCAGTTATTTCCCGTAATGTGCCTCGTTGTACTTAAACATCTCGGTTACTTGCGGAATTTTTCGTTAGTACCACAATAAAACATGCATATACTGATAAATCCTATTTTTGAGGTAGCTGCAACGTTTTCCTTGCATTTTGCTTTAAATAGCACAAATATCATCGGTAGGAAATTTCTACTAGTTTATGCTAAAATTTGAAATTTGATTAATCGATATTACGAGTGCAAAAACAAAGAAGGTCGCAGGTAGGCAATTACAGAACACTTTGTATGATATCCCCCGCACGGATTCGCTTCCATTGTAACACATTCCCCATTTCAGTAAGTTCGAACTCGAGACTGGGGGAGCACCTAGAGTTGCATATCCCATTTCCGATAGTTTCTGGCAATTAAACGCGCGAAATCCGTTCGACCAATAAGTTTCCGAAACTATATCAATAATAAATCCGCGAGGAGCGATTATTAAAGTAATTACAACGGGCATGTGGGTTCGCTTTCCCGGCTCGAATTGCGCCGGTTTAAATTCGGATGATATTTCGTGCGGGCTGGGCGAAAGATTTCCTAACGAATTTAGCTCGGAAGCCTTGCGGAATCGTCGTCAAGGCGAATGTCGCACCTTCATTCTTCACCTAACCGCCCGAGCGATATTTAATAAAACCCGATGTGACCATAGGGGTGGGTTAGCGCTCTTCTACACCTATTATTCCGGGTCAATCTGATGGCTTTCGAGGGAAAAAGTTACCAATATCACGTCGCATAAAGCCTACATGAATAATCTCGAACATAAGAAGCTTTAAAATATAGCCAAATCGATATAGCTAATACGATGTCAAATATTATTTATTTTAAGGAGGTTGTGGGGATTACTATATACTGTATTTTCCGGTATAATTTGAACAATTAAAATGAAACTCTATCAAATGATATCTCTCGAATTCCGCGATGCCTAAACAAATTGAAAAGTTTAACTGCTGCGAATACGATGCCCTCCGGCTAATATACACCCCTGTGAAAGTTTCCCTAAACCGTTCGCAATATCCTTTATCAGTTTGTTCATTTTCTATCCGTATCCGTTTCCATCGAAAATTCTGCCGATAGATTTAAAAAAAACCAATTTCCTATATATACGCGCCCGCTGCAGGTATGAAACTTTTATGAATTCTAATACATGTGTTTAAGACATTGATTGATTAACTTCGATATAGGCGAGAAGGGAAATGAATTTTTGTGTGTACGTAGTAGACGTGGCGAATTAATTTAATAGGCGGAAAATGTACAGTTTTATGCGTAGACTTTGGTAGTTTTTGTGAAAAATTTATGTTGAATTTTACATACTATACATTTTGACATTTGCTTTTGGTATTAAAACAATTATGAAATGCGATGAACCATATACTCACCATGAGCTTCTAGATTATACGATTAAATGAATAATTATATAATAAATTTAATACATTCAGTTGTGGGTCCATTTTGATAAAATTAATCTTAACTAGCTAATATAATTGCATGTAATTAAAACGCGTAAATTTCATTTGTAGAGTTCATTTTGTTGTAATTAATTTTCACAAACGACGCAAAATTTGACATAATTTTTGACACTTCCTGTCAATTGTTAAAAAAAGTAAATCTGTGATAAACGTCATTAATAAAAAATGTTTTTTTAACGTTGAAATTTACCTAATGATATTCTTTTGTATTTTCTGCAAAATATGACATAATTTTTACACATCCTGCCAATTGGTAAAAATAGTAGTACTCCATATTTTCACTTCAGAACAGTTTGACATAATTTTTGACAGTTCCTGTCACTTGGTAAAAATAGTAAATCTGTGATAAGCGTCATTTATAAAAACATGATTTTTTTAAGTCGAGATTTACCTAATGATGTTTCTTCCGTATTCTCTGCAGCATATTTCATAACCAATTAAGGTAAGCGAATTTTCTTGAACCGCGAGGAGTAGGTAAGGGGATTTTTGAATATAACGATATTTTGTTATTGAAATTGAAATTTTCGAAATACCCAACGACGATAAGTGATACTCCACGAAGTGACGTTTTGGGACGACAAAGTGAATTATTATGTCGGAAACTCGGGAAGATATTCCGCTTTATTCGTTTCCCTTGAAAAGTAATTTTAATTTGAAACGTTTTGCCTTAAATAAGGCGATCCAGTTTCCAGTATTTATTGTTGTTTTTTTTTATTCGGGTGTATCTCGAATCCTTGAATTGTCTTTATAAATTTCGTCGACAATTTGAAAACACTGCAAAGGCGTATTATGAAACTGAACAGTATCGAAAGAATGCTTTGTTTTTCCGAAAAATTCCTCCCGAGGAATTCATTGTCGCTTTATTTTACACAAACGTAGGAAATCGCAGCAGGGAGGTGTCTAAAGCAGCCTCCTAATTAGAACTAAATAATATTCCGAAGAATAACACTTCGGGTTATTTACGGATGATTTGAATTAATTACTTTTTAATTAAAATTTTGTTTGTACGAATGGAATTAATAATAAGGCAGGTGGAACTTGAATTGCCCCATTGACGAAGGAAAAAATCCTTTCCTGGGAAAATTTTCCGTTCCCGCGCTACCGTGAAAAATTATTCCCATCAATTCCCCGTAAAATATTTAATACGGAGTAATTTTTAACGAACGCCGTCGAAAAAATTTTTGCTCCATCTAAACTGCAAGCTTGTTTGAGTAAATTACGCGTGAAATTTTTACATATTTTCATGCAATTCAAATTCAAATTAATTCATCCGTTCCAGATACAGGTAGATTCCCCTATTGCGCTTTCCATTTGTATATTACAATAAATAAAAGTAAAAAAAGAACCTCGTCATTACAATATTCATTGAATCAGAAGAGAACTCATGAAAATTCTATCGATTCGAAAATAAATTGAAGAGCAATCATTTCGAAAACAATACTGTACGGTACACAATCAAATTATAAACTCCGCATATGAATATTACGAATTACAACACAATATCATATTGCCGTGATATTCCTGTTTTATATAAATAAAATTTGAAACGAGCATTCAGCCAAATAATGCAATTACATATTTTACGAATGGGTGCATTTTTACTTTACTCATTCGCCCTTTCAACAATCAGTTTGATAACATTTTTTTATAGATAATTTCAAATTTTACTTTATCACAACCATGCAAAAGATGAAACTTTAAAATGTAATTCTCAAACTTTTATTTGCAACAATTTAATAATCTGTTTGATTATTTCGTTTAAACGAACAATAAAAAATTTTAAAGGTTGAATAACATTAAATTGTTGATCGACTGACCTTTTATTTAACAAGTCGAAAAAATGCTGGAAGAAAATTCAAAATTTTCGAGCGATGACGAGCGAGCGAAGCCGATGGGAAGTGCACATTTTACGTACGAACAGGACAGCACGCGACACACGACTGGTCTAAACTGAAACTCCTAAATGCAGCGGCAGAACCAAAAACGAAGTTCTCGCCGGAGTTTGCACTTCCCATTTTCGTATCCCCAGGGGCGGCAGAGGCAATTTACAAGCAGAGAAAACGGTAATTCATCTACATCTTACTGGCGTTGTAATGCCCCGTGAAAGCATAGCATATGCATTAGAGGGTGAAAGTCAATCTTGGCGAAATTCGGCCTGCCGATAAGGTGAGAAAAGTCGCCGGTTTTATCTAAAACGCCGCACCGTCGCATTTTGCCTTCCATAAGAAAACACGGCGCGTTGTAAACCCAAGATTATCTGAGTGATGTAATGACGAAAGGACAATTAAACCCTTGGAATGGGTCGCGAGAACGTACGGTCAACACACTCAAATTTATGGCTATTCTCCTCGCATTCCTCTTATTTCTATTTGCTTACCCGACCAGAGGCGTTCTTAGCCTCTATTACGTACCCGTAATTTTCAATTAACCCTATAAATTTTGCTGCAATAAGATGCACACGGAACCACATGAATTATACATAAGTTTGCAGATGCAAAAATAAAAACTATTAATAGTTTCGGCAACTCGGATTGCATGTTGATTTAAAATGTTTGGCAGAATGCTAGATTTCCAGGGCTTTAAAAAAAAATCAAAACATTTTGAACAGTTAGGAGAAAATTGCAGCTATACACGGTATTTGATGGTGAAATAAAATGATATTTAATAATGGAACAACTCGCTTTTAGCTTTGTTGGATCGTGAATTTATTTGTGGTTGCTTTATGAATATTTTTTATGTGTAAATATGTAAATATGCAACATTTCAATTCACTCAAACAATCTCCGACTCTACAATTAACAAACAAGCATGCAAAGTTAATATTTATGTACTAAGAAAATTATATTTGGAATGTTTAACCGGAGGAAAATTGTATTGTTTATTCGGTTATTTCAGCCCTGCGTAAATTTGTTGACGATAAGCATTTTTTCTCTTTGTGCCAGGTAGACATGTATTTTTCATTATTTATGAATTCATGAACACAAAGAGACAAAACAGTAAACATTGCAATAACTCCAAAAAGGATGAAATTGTCAGGCAAATAAATATACCTTTCCGAAGAAATGAAATTTCCGTTTTTATTTATTTTTATCATTATTTTACGGATTGCCGCATATTCAGAAGGGATTTGAAAAAGGGCCCGCGTTATCAGCCGCCCGTTTTGATGTTTCCCATCCACAATCCGCGTACTAATGCGATACCTAATATTGCTCGTTGTCTGATAATACATCCGATTCATGTGTCACTTTCAGTTCGCAGTATCTTCCAACAAACGCCGCTTCGCCTCTTATCTGGCTAAGCACCTCATTCGTTACCTTATCCGTATAGACGATCGTCGGGCGATATAGAATTAATTCCACAATTAGGTTTACCTTAACCCAGATGATGATTAGACATCGGTTATCCACCGTAAAATTGAACCGCTGTTGTTTTTTAATAAATTAAAACCGTATTAGGTGGACCGGTTAAAACACATTTATCAAAGTCTTTTTTCCGACTTTCTCTTTTCGACCTAAATCAAAATTAATTTTCCAATTTTCCGCGGACGCCTTTATTTCCATGAATTAATTTAATTTGCTATAGCCTATACCAGGCGATTTGAATAAAGCAGGTTCGGGCTGTATTCCGCCCCGCGGGAATATATTCATGAAGAGATACACGGGATCACGAAATGAATCAATGTTTCTCAAAACTTTCGCACGTCTTCCTCCACGGCGCGGTATTTATACTTTACGTTCGGAGTTTCGAAAAAGTTTCCAATCCTTTTAGTTTACTTTGCCAGTTTTTAACAGCGCCATTGAGCAATAGGATTTTTTCACTCATTAAAAATGCAACCACTAGAATACCCAATTTACTTCTATAATTCTTCTATATTTTAGTTAGAAACATGCGAAATATCTAATGTACTCTCTACTCTACTCTAATACTCGCTTTTTGCATTTCGTTACGTGTCTGAATAAAAAGCAAAAATAATTAAAATTCAACTTCTCCGCCGTAGAGAGATTAATTAGTCAGTTCGTTTTCTTCTCCTCGGATGAATTTACAAGTGCTTTAATGCAGAAGACAAATGGGAATTTCCAAATAAACGTAGCCGTGAATTAATGGACAACCGATAAAAAAAACCACGAAAGTGCGAGCCGAACACTCAGAACATTTTGCTTTCCTTTTGTTAAACTTCCTTTCCACCAAATGACTTTCAAAGCGAATCCTCCACGTGGCACAAACCTCCATCGTTATTTCAGCGCATTGACATCGACGGGGCTTTTTTCAGCGACACTGTAATTCAATTATTCGCTGTATTCTACCGTGCCGGAATTTATTCTGCTATATACAGCAACGCGTAACTTATTGTTTGCTATTTTGAAGTGGAGTACGATACAGAGATTGTTAACGTTTCGATGTTCCGTCATTATCTTTCGTTGCTCATTGGCCTGTGTTAATTTGCTTCTATATAGATGCATGTGTATTTGCTTCTGTACATCTCGTCTATTATAATAATAATCAATCTTTCCCGGCGACTCTTGATGCACCTATAAATTTTTCGAATCTTGTTTGGTTCGGCTATAGGAACAACAAGAGGAGTAAAGTAATGGAAATGTAGCAAAACCTCCAACCCCTTTAGGTCGTTATATTAAACTCGATAGGAGTATCAAGTGAAACGTATTAGACGCATTTGGGTCAAGAGTTGTCCCGTCCCTAATGCAATAATTACGCCGGAATGGCGAGTATTTTTCAACATCCTTACTGCTTAAGCCAACTCCGCAGTGCTTCGACGCCCATCTATCTCTGGAATGCCATTATGTCTCAACGAATCGGACCGATTAATCAGCGAGATTGAATATTTCGTTTTCCGTTTTTTTTTTATTTGATTTGCATTTTCTGTTGCCCCGTCATTTCGCTATGCGAACATTATTGATAGAGCTCCAGACTACGCAGCTATCTCGAATTGATCCGCGAATGGGGTAAATGGTATTAGCAGGTCACAAAAAAAAACATTTTATTGGCTTTATTACAAACGGTTAGAGATGCTAGCGGGTGCTTGGAGTATTTAAAAGGCCGGCTGTAATTGCGGGTGTAATTCTAAATCGGCGCTATCTGGCCTTCGACTTGATTGCACATGACGACTTCATCCTGAGGGACGGTTATCAAATGTACTGTTACTTTCCAGTAAAAATTATTTATTGGTATGCGACTGAAGGCCGATCCATCAAACGTGCCGTTTTTGATGCTGTGTTCTCCCTATAACATAGAAAAAAGTGCGATAAACCGAAATTTATGCGGGCGATAAAAAATAAACCGCGTGCATTCGAGCGATATTTTAATTTGCTAATATTCAATCTTTTTAATCGATCCGAAAATAAACTTATTCGTCGTTCCGTCGAAATTAAATTCTGCCGCTGTATGACCAGCTCAATGCGGAGCTTAAACACCCGCGTTTTTACCAATAAAACGTGCTTAAAATACGTTCCAGAAAAATCCTTTTAAAAGCGAATCAATCGAATCAAAACAATGATCGTGAGACCCCACATTAACGTCCAGCCGCCCAGCGGGAGCGGAATGGTTACTTAAAAATTAATTAACCGGATTAATGCGATGTTCGAGCGTACCTTTCTCAGTGGACATCCGGTGGAAGGCGGGTGGAAATACTTCCGAAACGGCGTCCAAGGTTTATCCTCGGCGTCCAGCATTTTGCAGAAGTGGTTCAATTTGATCGTGTTGTAATTTTCGCAGCTGTCCAAGGCGTCGCTGCTCGCGCACCTCTTCAGGTGCAACTCCAGCTGAAAACGCGTTTAAATTTAAATAATCATCGAAATCTCCCGAGCAAATAAGTGAATTAAAACAGTTCGCCGGATTAAGTATAATTAATCTTTTTCGGTTGTCGTTTTTTTATATCGGAATAAAATTAAAGCAAGCCGTAACTAAGCTCCTCAGCTCTCCTTTCGGCCGGCGGATTTAATTTAAAATATAATCTGAAATCGCGCTGATATAAATCAAACTTGTACTCGTACGGGGCGCTCTCACAATGCCTTCTATACATCCTCGCAACATTCCAATATCAACACACCCCAACAATCACAAAAACAAATCTAATAGTTTTGGGGATCACTGGAAACTTTTACCCGACTATAAAGCAAGTTCCTCTGTAGCGGTTTGCGATGGGGACTTCGCAGCAGAAGTTCTATAATTTTTATTCCGAGTTGCTGAACAATTTTAATACGGTGGGTACTCACCTTCAAATCGTCGGAGTCGATATTTTTGGTAACGTGCACCTTGAGGGATACGTAAAACGTTCGATTTATGTTATTCAATTGCACGTTGCTCAAATAGATGGGAGCTTTGGGGTAATCTGGACAGCGCCCTTTGAATACGTTGAATCTAATCGTTTTCGGCCGCTAAAAATAACATCCGTAACCAACGTGTTTATAAAATAGGCGAAAATGTGCGAAATAAATGCGAGTGCGAATTTCGAAATTTCGAACGCCGAATTCGCGGCATTGTTCTTAATGGAAAAATAGGAAAATGAGTCTTTTGTCTCGAAAAGTATTCGGATTTTTGCAATGTTTAAATACAAAAGCCGCATTTACGAAAATATCCAGTTGCGCTGCAACGCCGAAAATTAAGATGCACGCCACAAAACAAAATTTATCCATGATTACGACTGAAAAAATTATTTAATACGCCCGCTCAATTTATAATGAAACGCACGAGATTCTAATCGATGAATAATTTAATACACGTACTTAAGGTTATTAAATTCCCATTTTGTCAGCACTAAAGCTATTAATTAAGCAGTTCTTGTTGACTAATTTCATATAGGCGGATCGTTATCGGCCACATTTTTATATAGTTCTGGCTTCGCTTCCTAATAATTGCTATTATTACCGAGGCGGATCGAAGCCCGTAATTGCTGTTTGACCCTTCGTTACTATGAATATTTTCGCGGAAAGCGAGAAAGGGAGAAAATTGCGTCCGTCGCCATCCAAAAGAACAATTTCATGGTAATAAAACACTTCGACGGCCGACCTGAAACCCTTCCGGAATATGGAAATTTTCGGATGTGACGCTTACACTTTCCGGCTAAGCGGAACATTCGGAGCTTCCGGGAAAAATTAGAAAATATCGAACGATCTCGAATATATTACAGGAAATTCGCGCATAAAGAATCATAGAGGGAATTGAAATAAGATTGGGGCGTGTTTGTAAAAATTTATTCAACTATCGCGATGGTTGGGAACAATTATAAGAATCCTCGTGCTGCACTGCACAATGATTTTCCTGATAGCCACACGAAATTTACTACTGCTGATTCAATTCTCTTTAAAATGGCTATTAGTTCGATCCCGCGCAGATGTATGATTGCTGCTGTCAGTTCCTGAATAATAAATTATCTTGTTGTTTTACTGAACTCGCGCACATACGTTTCGCATAAGGGCGATATATTACCAAGTTGACACTCTCCTGTTCTTTTAGCGAATTGTGATATTATTCATATTACCATTCTGCACGTCGGTGGGCGGTTTTTACAATTCGAATAAAAATGCGCACGACAAACAATAAAAAATGATATTTAATGTAAAGATGTATACAGTGTGATAAAATAAAAGGTTATAATACAAATCTTATTGGACACACAAACTAGAAAAGAAAACTTTATATTTTATACACATTCTGGTTTCATTTGTCGCTTCACGCATTAAATTATTATACTAATTAACAGCTAAATATGATTAGTAATACACTGTATACACAATTCCATTGTCGATTGAAAATTATAATTCCAAAATTAATCACAATACAGTCGCTTTTACCTATACAAAAATAAATGGTGCCCAATCAGGAGGTGATATCGTTATATTAAATTATTTACAATACTATTTCCAACAGAAATATTCGTCTTGAATGTCGCCAGTTTGCAAGAAACAATCTTCGTAGAAAAGTTAAATGAAATTTGGGATTATTTTATAGCCTAATTATTAAGTACTGCGTATATCCAAAATAAAATCAAATTGAATCAATTGCTTCGATTACAAATTCTGGAATAGTATTTAGAGTAGAATAAGTACAATAATTCACAAAGAATGTTCCTTCAAAATGTCAACCAAATATACAGGGTGCTGAAAATTGCCACAAATCTCGAAGGATAAAGTGTAGCATAAAATATGCAGAAATATTCTACATTTTATGCCATATATTACCCAATAATCTCTGTCACACTATGTTTAACATACTGTATATTCTAATATTCCAATTGAAAAAAGAAGGGACTCCTGACTGCTAACCCGGTACAATATAATTCTATTTTAAAACACAGTACACTTTTCAAATAAAAAAAAAATACTAAATTAAAATAAATAACAATGAGCAACTCTCAGTTTAAATTACTTTACAAAATGATTAGATTTTTGAGTAATTGCTCAGAATAAGTAACAAAAATCTATATATCAATCCTTGGTCTATATTGTAAAGTTAAAGGAGGATTCTGAAAACGCCATCTCGTCACGTACACGAACTTCAAGGTATGATCCTTCCCCAATAGCTCGTCATTACACAGAATATCGATCTGAAAACCAACCAAACATTAGCACAAACTACCATCGAACGCTCATTCGCTACCCTTACATCCCGATACTTCTCCATTCCGTTCAAGACCTTTTTCGCAACGAATTTTTTCAGATGTAAGATGGTCGCTTGGGCGGAGCACCTGATGAATCGCCTCTTTAACGTTTTTAAATTTGAACTAATACATTCCAGACACACGTTCACTTGCTCGTCTTGCCTATGGTAGTCGCTCTCGGCGTGGGCAGCGTCCGTGTGGTTATCGTCCCCGTGGATCTCGCCATTCGTCAGCGGTATGTCTTTAGGATTAGGCAGCCCACGTTGCCTGTAGAACTCTTTCTCGCGATTTATCTCGTCTAAAACGAAAATATAACATTTTCAACGATTTCTAATGCCGCTTTAGATTGTTTAGTGAATAAACTTAGTTATAATAAAACAATTAATAATGTTATGATAACAAATAAACGATAACGAAAATATTCGTGCAATGTTTAGTCGTCGAATAGTCGAGTAAAATAAAATAATGCAAATTGAATTTGGATAAAATATAAGTAACGTAAAGCCTTTACTTACCTTTTTGTAAGTCTGGAACCAATTTATAAACAATATCTTGCATAGTTCTATCAAAACTAATATATTGCAAAGGATGAGATTGATGTATAACTATATTGCATGTTGGGCAGGTATTGTTTTCTTCTAAATGTTTAACTAAACAGCTCTTGCAAACTGAAATATACCAAAGTATTATTATATCGAAGGTTTCATACACTTTCATCTTCAGTACTTACATGTATGCAAACATTCTGTAACAGTTGTCGCATCAATTAGATACCCTCTACATATTTTACACGTTATATGACTGTTGAGAGTTTTTAGTTTTATTTTCCTTTCCATTATCATAATTTAAAATAAACCATAATTCCATAAACTTCTAATTCTAACCCTAATTGATACACAAACAAAAATTTCCAATGGTTGTCAAGCTGTGACATTGACATACTGTAAAAGTACGCATGATCTTTAAATGTCAATTGTCAAATTTTGACACTAGAAGAAAAGGGAGTGATAAAATAAATTTTGTTCACAAAAAAAAAAGAAGAATTTGAAGTAAAAACAATGTTTATCAATAAATGAAAATTATGCATTTCGTAAATTAGTAATCGCAAAATGCAAAGAAAATAAATCAAACAGCAGCAATGGGTTGGATAACTTGCTGTCAATGCAGATCAAACGATGAGAAAATAACAGAATTGGATTTTTCGCGTTGTGGGATTTCTGATATACCTAACGAAGTATACGCGAATTCACCCACTTTAGAAGTCCTGCATTTAGAAGGAAATAAAGTAAGTAAATCACCGAAAACAACTCGATACGAAGTACTTACGTTTGTTTAATTTTTAGTTGAAAGATTTATCTCCTCAGTTGTTTCAATGCATCGATTTGCGGTACTTGAACATCAGTGATAATGAAATCCGGGCCATACCACCGTTAATATCAAAACTGACCAATTTGCAGGTGTTAATATTTAGTAAAAATGGTAAGTCTACTCAGCATTCAAGCGAACCGTTACTCATTCCCCGAACAGTTTTAGACGGAGTTCATTCGAATTTAGACAAATTAACCAAACTGACAACCCTCGATCTCAGCATGAATGACTTAAGAAAGGTCCCAGATGCCATAATGAGTCTTATCAATCTCCAGCAGCTTTGTCTCAATGACACGGGCATTGAGTACGTCCCAGCTAACATAGGCCGGTTGTCCAATTTAAGAGTATTAGAATTACGCGATAACAATCTCTGTGAATTGCCAAAGTCTATTAGGAGGTTAACTAATTTACAAAGACTCGATGTTAGTGATAATAATTTAACAAACTTGGTAAGTATGCCTCATACAATAGCGTATGGTCGTATTAAAGTATTGTTTTTAGACGGAAGTGGGTGAGTCCCATGGCAATTTGACTGAATTGTGGATAAACGGTAACAGTATTTCCCAGCTCTCTGTTTCTATAACGCATTTAAAAAAGATAAACGACTTCGACGCATCTTACAACAATTTAGAATCCATACCAAAAGAAATAGGCCATTGGACGAAAATAACCAATTTGATACTAAGCTTTAACAACTTATCTACCCTCCCTAAGGCCATAGGGAACCTCAGGAACCTCCAAGTGTTGAAACTGGAATCCAATTTCCTGGAAGAATTGCCTAGCACTATTTGCAAATTGGTCAATCTGGAGGAACTAAATTTACAAAACAATTCTTTGATTAGAATGCCCAGCGGAATAGGACACCTACGTAAATTGGCCACACTAATCTTATCAGACAACAAACTACAACAATTACCGGCAGGTAATTTCTATCGCACGCCATTCATCTAACTTACTAATTACATTATTTCCGCAGAAATCGGCAGTTGCTGCGAGCTATCGATTTTAAACGTGCACAACAACCAATTAGAAAAGCTGCCGGAAGAAGTGGGGCACCTCCAAAACCTGACCACCCTCGGCCTCATAGGCAACAGGCTCTCCTATCTCCCTATAACCATTTCGAAATTACGCAATCTGAAGGCCCTCTGGCTGACGCCCAACCAGACCCAGCCTCTCATCCACCTGCAGAACGAGTCGCTGCCGGACGGGCAAGTCGTGCTGACCTCTGTGGTGTTCCCGCAGACGCCGCTGAGGGACCCGCCTCCGGTGCAGCTGCCCGCGGGCAACCAGAGCTGCCACATCAGCTTCAACACGGAGAGGGTGGAATCCGAGATAGCCGAGGTACATCTATCGCTGAGTCGCACCCCGACTCCCCATCACAAGGAGTTGAAGAGGCTGCGCGAGGTTCTACGGAACTCTTACGGCTCGAGCAAACGAGTGAGTTTTTTATTAACTTAACGCTTGTTTATTTTCTAATGAGAATTGTTGTTTAGGCTTTGAACGTGTCTGAGATCAAAGAGGCTAAAGTTACGAACATCTCTGGTGAGTTAAACACCTCTCAGACTAGCTTAAATGGATATGATACAGCTGAAATATCCGAAAACGCGTCCGATATAGCCAGGGATGTTACTAAAACACCGCCCAAACAACCGCCGCCCTATCACATAGCAGCAGCTTATTCCAAAGTATATATTTTTCAATTCTCTAATAATCAAAATAAATAATGCTATAATATTTTTTTAGAACGCACATCTCTTCGCGCAGAATAATGTGGGTCCTCCGAGTCCGATGGATCAACCTAAGCAATTCAGCCAAGAACAGCCTGCTAATATTCACATGCCCACTCCGAAAATGCCGGCTCAAAGAAACCACGTGTCAGTATTACAAATAGCTGATGATCAAGATGATCTTTCGAACGACGAGGATCAGAATGGCTCCAAGCAAAGGGTCAAATGGCCGTTTGGGAAGCACAAAGTTTGCCAAGTGCTGGAAGTCGAAATACCCGAGTCGTATTTGCCGGGGGACATTCGAATTATCGTTCAGAATAATGTAAAGTATTCGATTATTAATGGTTCGTTGTTGTGTAAATGTATTTTTTTTAGGGATTGTTCGTTGAAGATTTGAATCCGCAAAGTGAAGTCTACCAAAAATTTTTTTTAGGAGATAAGATATTGGCTATCGATGAGAGAGACTATTCCTTAATGGAGCCCATCGCAGCATTTCAAGACGCATGTCAAAGACTGAATAATTTGAAACTTGTAACAGTATCTAGAAATCCACCTTTATAAAGTATTTATGAAAGTATTTATGTATAAACAGTATTCATAATTTCTATTGATATAAGTATTCTAAACGTGAAAGTTGCCGCAAATTTTATATATATTTAATTTTCTTTTTAACAAGAATAGTGACTTGCGTAGCAAATATGTTCAAATTGTGTTTATTGACAGTATTATCCTTAAAAATGTGACAAAATATGCGTATTGGCAGCTTTCATTGCTCTTTTTTGTATTATATGTGGATATTTTTCTATTAAAAAATTTTGTATATCTTTATATTATGACTGACCATAATTTAAGGTGAATATTCACTGTTTGTATCATCTAGGAATTTTGATATTAATTTTACTAATTTTATAATCTGTAAAATACTTGGAAAGTTTTTAAATATTTAAACTATTGTACGTTTAATATTCTAGAATATCAAAAATTGTTATAATGCTAACATAGCTTTTTTGTAAACTTAAACCAGTGATAGTATTCAAACTTGTAAAAGCTATATGTATATTTCAAAGAACGTTGCTAAGAAATCTTTTCTATAAGTATTTCTCGTACTTACAAATAATTTTGTGCAATTTTTTTTTATATTTTGTCTTCCATTTGTAATATTTTCTTGGTTTTCGTAGCATTTTCTATAAGTGGAGTTTTATTTGTTTCAATTAGATAAGGAGTTAATGAATTGGTTAATAGAAAATGCTACATTTGTTTGTAAAATTCGATCCAAAAATGTTGAACCTAATCAAAATTGGTGCCTTAAAACAATTCTATTTTATACAAGTTGTTTTTATTATGCAACGGACAGTTTTCTAAAGTTAATTACACAGTTTATTAGATTAGTGGTTGAGAATATTTTCATTGTTACCTAAAATTTGGAGTTTTAGCGTTTGTTCGGTACAAGTTTATATGTGTAAGCTTAGAAAAGTCCATTAGGCTCTTCTTTCTAGATGTTTCTTCCTTAGGACTTTAAGATCTTCACATCTCATTTTCCTTTCCTCCATTCACCTTCCATAAATTTCTTGTTTTGGTACAAGTTCAAACATCGTTACTACCAACTAATAGGACTTAACTTTACCTCAAATGTATAATACAATTTTAATAGGCTGTGAACGTTCTAAAAATTAAATTTAGTTATCTAATGTTTCCTGAGCATAATTATTTATTTTTCAAAGCTTGTAAATTTACGATTTATGTTTTTACGGATTACATGTTTAATTTGTATGTAATCTTCGTGTAACTTAAACAAATAAAATTTTTCAAAATGTTCTAATCGTCACAGGTTGTATTTTTTTGTCCCGTACTAAGGTTTAGTCCATAAAAAACCGATTAAAAAAATAAGTGGCTATTCATTTCCTAGCGCGCGGTAGGTGAGCACAATAAAACATCGCATATACGATAACAGGCCAATTGCGATTAGTAATTTAAATAAAAACTGTCAAGATTCCTAGAACGCCGAACAAATTCTATTGCGAGAAACGGTCCAACGGGAATTCCACCGTCGAAACCCTATTGATGGATTTTGCCTGCACCCTGGCCGATTATTTTCGTAAGATCCAAGAACACAATAAGAAAAAATACACAAGATGAAACCGAACATCTGCCCGTCCTCACATGCCGTTAGATTTTTGGGGTAAGCTGTTTATTTCCTTTTTTCAACTACAAAAAAGCACAAATTATTTAAACTCATTATCGCGTATAAAAATAAAAACAATTAATCGATTATGCAATTATGCAATTTTATTATATTACTGTACATTTAAAAAATAGGAACATTAATTAGATTTTTTGATGGACAGAAAAATTTATTCCGCGCGCAATAGGTGTATTTTTTAAACCGTATTTACCCACTATTATTTATCCTGAAATTAATAAGCAATTACGCGAGGCGTAATATCTGTCCGGGTCCCCACCCCGTGCGGTATTAAACCCAATAGGGGAATCGAATGGATCCAATAATTGTAATAAGCAGTTGAGCGTCGGAAGAAACTGTGCACACTGTTATCAATGGGAATGTCTCGGGGATAACCGTGATGCTTTGCGTGCTCGGAGTTGTCGCGATCAAATTTCGGTGCTAAATTCGAATGTTCGAAACAGAACGCGGAGTTATGTCGAGTTATTACAATGGCACCGCCGTTGTCATCTACTCCAGGGAAGCGACGATTTTGGCGGCGTTTTGCGCGATTCTTTTTTGTGTAGTCGGCGTTATCGGTAAGAAAACATATTTATCTCTTGAACAAGTGTTGGTTGCACCGATACGAGGAGTTATTTTTTTTATCTCGCTCAACTCTTTTCTCGGTCGTTGGTCTCTCGTGTTTTAGATGCGTTTCGATTATTGCCAACGATTTTTTTGATTTCGCCTAGATAACGTTCAAATATTTACTTTTGAATGTTGACTTTTTTACGATTATAAATTTGATAAAAAATTGGTGTATCTCTAATTTGTTTTTTGGTTATTATTTTCGTTTTAAAATTTTTGCTCATTTATTGTTATTTAACTATCATTTGCCGACCATTAAATGCCATTAAATTATTATTGAATAGTCATAAATTAAAAAAATCACCTTTGTTAGAACTTTAGATAGTAAACAGGTTGCGATCAACCAATTTGTCATTTTATAGATTTCACTACTAATTTTTAATGGACGTAATGTAATAATTTTCCATGAAATACCTGTACTTACGAACTCATTACCGTTTTTTCAAAAAATATCAAGAGTGTGCTGTAGATCTTATTATTTTGCACAGTCTACTTAAGATTCTGAAATTTTATCGTTTTATGTAAATGTGGCATGTGACATTTATAAATGTCATTAACTTTTACGAAATTCTAATTGTCGCTCTATTTAAATCGGAAATCCAATACAGATCGAAACATTCAAATATCACCTAATTAGAATTCCAATTCCAATTGGTAATTTCCAGAGACTTTCATTTACTCACCCTTTGATTCCCAAATAACTAGTTATACGCACTTCAAAGGAGTAATTTGCCTCCGACTAGAAGTTATTCGACGAAACTCATCGTCTCAATCCACTATATTTTCGAAGTTGTCAGCCGAACATTTCTTTCATGATGCACTGACGTAATTTAACTTAATTTATTGGTTTATTGCCATTTCGGGAACTGCTTTTATCTAGTAGGGAAGCCACCCTTGCAGAAATTCCACCAATAATTCGAAAACCCATTAATTCCAACCCCAACGGTGGTGACAACCCCCTCGATATTTTCGCCGCTGGATGAAATCACTTTATGCTGATCGGCGTTGTGTGACACAGTCCATGGAAATTGTTGCAAACAGGAAGCATTGTGAATGCATTTTCAACGATAAATCTAATAATACGGCATAGGTATTTTAAGTGCGATTATTTTGAGCAACGGAACCAGAACGTTTGTATTAGCATAATAACACAAAAAAACTAACGTTTTTCGATGTGAAAAAACGGATTTCCTCGTTTCCACTTTCACTTCCACGTTCGGATCCGAAAATTTTGAATAAATCACGTCTAAGATAAAAGCATGTTCGTATACTCAAGTTGCAAAATTTTCGATCACTCATCAATTACATCAAATTTCTCGGAATTTCTGAGTAACTATTTATTATTTTACTTTAGTCATATGAAATTAGATTATCGTTATTTCCTAATAGCCTTTAACGACACCTATAATTAACTTCCCTACACTCGTTCCAGGTAACCTGGTAACGGTGATAGCGCTGGTGCGATGCCCGAAGCTGAGGGTGCACGCGACCACGGCCTTCGTGCTGTCCCTCTGCCTCTCGGACCTCATCTTCTGCCTGATAAACCTGCCGCTGACGGCGGCCAGGTACATCTACCAGGCGTGGGTCTTCGGCGACGCTCTCTGCAAACTGTTCCCCGTCCTGTTCTACGGGAACGTGGCCGTTTCCGTGCTCAACATGGTGGCGATCACGCTGAACAGGTGAGTACTGCCCTGCGAGGAAACCGCGCGCCTTACATATTCAAGATGCTAGATGGAAATTGGAAATGGAAGCGCGTCTGTTTTGAAGTACGCGCGTCGATGTGCTTTCCCGCAATATAAAGCATCTGTTGTGTTATCATCAACCTCAGTTTCAATGAATTTTTGTGCAGCCGAGAGGGCGATGCCCCAATTTAATTAATTAATTATCGCCGGCATGAATTCGTTTGGGTAAAAATGTTCGATGTTTTTTACTTTTCTGATAGCGAGCGTCGTAAAAGAAAAATTTCTGTTAGTTTTAGATAAGAACAGTTATAATTCGGGCACCAATAAAACGCACGTAATATCTTACCTGCAGCACAAAACAATGCGAAATATCACCGTGATTATTCCCTTTTCGGAATTTAATCACGCGTGATGGCAATTAAAGCTTTATATTGCCTAAAATGTTGTAGACAGCGCCAATTATTCGTCAAGTGCCAGGAAGTAGCGCTTTGAACGAGAGAAAAAAAACGACACCAACAAGACATGTCTTTATTTCAGTGGAGTAATTAAAAACCTCCTTTCAGTATTTGATTTATTTTTATCCGGTGCACAGTGTCGGCGGTATGGCTTACACCATGAATCGAGCGCTTGTGTGGCTTTATATCGGCTGATTGCATCTACAAAACGCGTTAAAGAGTCAAAGGCCGCTTAACGAATAATGGGAAATAGAAATTACGGCGCGCATTATTTTTCTCGCAAACGAGTATTTAAATAAAATCGGAATCACAACGCCTCGAGAGATCGCTATCGCGGAAAGCACAAAAGCTCGAATCGCACAAAAGAATAAGGCCAGTGTAATTGAAGGAGATCAGAAGTCAAGCGACAGGTCAACGATGATTATAGTCAATATAATTATCGGCCTTATTCATTAGGCTTACTCACCACTTGTGAATTTACGTTTAAAAAAATTATAAGGATGATCAAAAAAATATTTACTCGTAGCAATGAAGAATTGAGTACTAGCAAACTGCTCCCTGTAGATAGCATGTGACATAATAAACAAATTGGAAATCAGAAGCCCTAAAACCATCAAAGGTCAACGTTGTGCCTAACAGTTTAAAGGAAGTAATTTGATAGTGTGTTTGTTTGGTTTTCCCAACTCCGTATAATTGCCATTGTGGATGAACGCGAACGGTTGTCGATTTATCGAGTTTAAACGCAGGGCGTGGACGGCATTTTGCAGTTCAATTTATTTACCCTTGTCAATATTGAATGTGCACGTGTATCCTCAATGTACACCTATTGTTTTCACTTCTATTTGTTCCAGATATGTTCTAATATCTTGTCAGCTTTACTATAATTGCCTTTACTCGAAAATATCCATTTGGATCCAGCTCGTTTTCATTTGGGTCTTCGCGTTTCTTCTTATGGTAAGTTCTTCCATTAATCCACAAATCGTTGTTGTTGACAATTCCGTTGTGTAGATGCCTCCTTTGCTGGGAATTTGGGGCCAACTGGGTTTGAATCCGTCGACTTTTTCCTGCACTATACTCAGAAAAGACGACAAATCTCCGAAGAAGATGATTTTTCTCATCGGATTTATCCTGCCTTGCGTAGTCATTATCGCAGCTTACTCTTGCATTTACTACAGCGTCGTCAAATCCGCCAGGAAACTGAAATCCCACCGGTAAGTTCGCCGGAAATCATCCCTTTTTGGGTCGCACTCTACCCTTAATCCCCCACCCAAAACTAACAATACCTAAGAGTAGAGACTAGAGTAGTGCGGGGAATTCCCGCTGCTCCAAGACCTTTAGGAACGCTCCGAATCTCTGGGTTTCAGGCAAACGGGCGACAAGAAAACGCCGAGCCGCCGGGAGCGGGACGACAGCCGCCTGACGAAGCTGATGGCGCTGATCTTCCTGTGCTTCCTGATATGCTTCTTGCCGCTGATGCTGTGCAACGTGCTGGACGACATCGACATCAAGTACCCGACGCTGCACGTGCTGGCGTCGATAGCGGCGTGGGCGTCCAGCGTGATCAACCCGTTCATCTACGCGGCGAGCAACAGGCAGTACCGCAAGGCGTACTCGAAGCTGTTCACGATGGTGAAGAGCAGCGTGGCGTTTTCGGATTCCAGGCACAATTCGAATAACATCAGGCTCGACAGGAGCAAGCCGAATAATAGCGCGACGCAATCCTGAGGTGGTGCCGAAGGGGTTCCCTCGCGTTATTTTGCGTTAAGTATTAACTTTTTTTACGATTTAACAGACTGAGATTTTTACCAAAGGTTACAGAAGGTATATAGTTTATTGATTTCTGCTTATGTTCTTCGTTAGTATGTGTATAATCATTCCTTTTTTTTATATATAGTACAATATATTCTCACGTTTCTAGTCGATAAAAACGATGTTTTTTGTGCTTTTTTGAGACTTCATTTTGACTTTTTGTAGTTACCTACTTAAAAAAACAGTATTTATATTTCATTTCGATATTTTGTAATGTTTCATCTTTTTGATCGGTGAGTAAATTACTTTAGTTATCCATCATTCCTTTTTTTAGTTATAAAAATTAGCTGTTACGTTTTTGTAAATATATTTTTTATAATTTTAAGTTGTTTTTTTGATTAATCCAAACAGTACTTCCCAAAATGTAATAAGTGGTTGTATAACCATTACAGAAGAGATAAAAGAAAAAGTAGACAACTGTGTCACTGTAACTTGTCATCATCACTCATCACCATAGCAACCGTAAATAACATGTCGTTTTCAAGTACAACTGGAACATTATTTTTTAACAAAAAAAATGAAAGAATTTCACGAAAAACTGAGTTGACCGCTACACGATTTCCGAAAAAACCAATCGATCGCGATAAAAATGAATTAGTCTAGTATTTCAACTGCGTCTGGTAAGTGGTTTGCGATTTATTAACACGAAAATGGTGCCCACGACCGACGAAACTCAGTTAATGAAAATAATACTTGGTATTATAAACGTCTGCGGTCCGATGGGATTGAAGCTGAGAGATTTAGAAAGCGAATTTAGAGTCTTCTGCGGCTTCGATTTGCCGTACAGGGAGCTCGGCTACGACGACCTGAAATCGTGGGTTCTAACGCTACCCAACATCTATTTGCTTAAAGACGATAACAACGAAGAAACTCTGTTCCAATACAGCGAAAAATCCAACCACGTGCGACAACTGATTTTCAAACAGAAGAGCTTCCAGGATAAGAAGATTTACAATTCCAGACCTCAAAATAGAAATTATGGATGGAGGAATGAAAGGAACTTGGAAAAAAAGTACTCAAAACACAATTCATCGCATATCCATCAATCGATTAACACTGTTAGTATCAACGATACAGACAGATTCCACGAGTTTAACAAACTGGTAGGATAAATATAAATTTACAAGTATTATCAATAAATGCTTGATTATGTTATAGGAGAGCATGTTACCACTGTTTTATAAACACCAAGGTTTAGGAGACGATTTTCTTTTGGATATTGCTGATACCAAATTCGGTTATTATGTTCCTGAAGAAGGTATTAATCAGTTTCATGTCTAATTAACCTGTTTGATTTAATTGTTCGCATTATTTTCCAGAATGCGGATTGTGCTCGTCAAATCTAACTATATCCGAGCTCACCGAGAAAGTCAGAAATACGCAATATTTAGCTCCGAGAGTAGTCGTCATGATAGGATTAACAGACCTGCTAATGGTAAACATTGTTTAAACCGCAAATCGCTGTGATTAATGTATATTTTTGCAGCACAAAAACGTGAATGACATGATCGTGGATTTACAGGAGCTGGTTAAAGAATTGAAGGACAGAAATACTAGAATTACACTGGTCACTTTAATTCCAACTCCGAAGATGATGAACTTGAGCAGCAGATATTTCACTCGAATGAAGATATTTAACGATGCTATTAAAGATTACAGCTACTGTAAGTATAATTTTCACGAAATTATATAAGTAAATATTCTAATTCTTGTGGTTTATTGCAGCTGTAAAACTCAAGTGCAACATCATCGACATGTACTCGATATTCCGTGAAGAGGAAAGCAAATTTAACAGGAACCAGTAAGTTGAATTAGCGGTGATTAACAGTGGTATTCATTCGGTTTATTTCTAGGGACAGACTAACTAAAATCACTAAAACCGACAAGTACAAGGTGTTTTCGGATTACGGCAGAAAAATTTTCATCAGTAATCTGAAGAGTTGTCTCGTTGAACAACTAATGGCTGGACATTAGAGTTTATAATTAATTTTTCACTGTTACATATACCTGTTTGTATGTGGATTTTTTTGTAGGTACAAACCTATAAATTTCATGATTGAATGAATGTTAATTAGTAATTAGTTTAAAATGAAGAGTATAGAGCATCTGTGATAGTAGGTTAATTTTTTTCGTAGTGTTTAAGTTTAATATAATTGTAGTTTGTAATATTTAGTGTTAATTATTAATTTATAATTGGTTTTTCGACTTTAAATTGTACAAATACATATGATTACTAAGAAGCAGCGTTTGTTTTTTATAAAAAAAAACTATTAGTAGTTAAAAAAATATGTATTTATATAAAATACAGAGAAGTAAATTGAAAAAAAAAACTACAAAGTCCGAATTTTCGTCTACATGTATATTTTCCTTAGATCAGACGGGGATGTGATCATATTACATTGAGGACACAATTTTTTAACTCCTAATGTCTGTAACCAACATTCTTCGCAATGAACGTGCCAACAACACACTGATATAACCGGAGTTTTATATCTTTCCATGCAAATCAAGCACTTGTAAACCTCATGTTTATTGGATTCCCTACTTTCTAATTCCCTAATTCTATTTTTTAAAACTTCTAAGATAGGATCACCTTTGGTTTCGATCGCATCGAATTCACTTCTATCTGGAGATTTCTGTTTGGGTTCACTGCCAATAACTGCTTTTCTCAGAGCAACATTTTCGGGATTCTCGCAGGGGAGTATAACGTCATTTTCGGAATATTGCGGCGACCCGTACATATGCGAATCGTCCCCATCGACGTTTAAATCCTCGTCTTCATCCACCATACTCACTGAAGTCCCTAGAGTGGAAACGCCACCTTGGAGCAGGCTTGTAGCGCGAATGCGAGATTGTCCGGCCCATTCGTACTCTTCAAACGCTTCCACGTCTATGTTTTCATCACTTTCACTACCATTAGCTTCGGATCGTCGAAGGCACAATTCTACGTGTATAGTCAGATCTTCGTTTACTTCCTTGTTACACACTGGGCACACTTCCTCGGCTCTTCTTTTTCTCGTTTTCGTTCGTAGTCTGTTCTGGCGGTTCGTTCGAATCTTCTGGAATGTTTCCCAATTTTTGTCGGCGCTGTTGTCCGCGGAGCCATTCGAAGAACTGCCGGGGGTGTTTTTGCCGTTTACTTTCGATTTGGAGGCTTGCAGCTTGTTAAGTCTTTCTATCTCTGAATTTAGGTGTACGTTCACCTCGGACTCTCTTAGAGTTATACTGCAAACAGGGCAGCATGTGGGATCACTTTGTCTTTTCTTAAACCTACAACTTCTTATACCGTCTTCGAACTGACAACTGCTACCTGGTACAACTTCATTGTCTTTGGTAAAATCCATTGTGTCGCATTAAAATACGAGTTAGAGGAAATTCAAAACCAAAAAATTCGTTATTTTAACGAATTAAATATCCATTAAAGTACAGTAACAGAAAGATGTTTCTTGATTTTTCTGCAAACATTATTATCTGTGAGGTTATTTTTATTTATACGTAATTGTTTAAATTGCAATATCATTTCAAACTATTGAACGTACTGAAATAGTTGAATTTTAGATAGTTCAACAACACTTGCAATTTCGGAGGATTCTTGTGCATTTCTGTTGATTTCGTGGATTTACTTATTTACAACACTTTTCAAATAAACATTTTATTTTTCTGACATTTCACATTGACATAAGTAATTGTACCAACATAAAAAATAGATCAACTTATCTCATACGCTAAAATATGCCTAAAATGAAAATTTTACTATTTACGTTGGCTACCCTGCTACGAAATAAAAATAAAATTAAACGTCAATAATGTTGACAAGTTATTTTATATTTCAAATTTAATAAACATTTATTTCGTATTAATACAATAAAATAAAATGTCTTTTAATACGGACGCTGATCTTGAAACTAAAGTTCGTAAATGTAAGTACAAACAATAATAAATATCACCCAACTAATGTAATGGTTTTTTACAGCTACTGAACGAATATCAGAAAATATGCATATAGTAGCAAATGAACCATCATTAGCTTTTTACAGATTACAAGAACACGTAAGAAAAGCTTTAAATCCTATGGTTGAACGTAGGGTGGACGTAGCGAAAATTCAAACAGAGTTACAGGGTCGATGTTATGACATAGAGTATGCAGTAGGGTAATTAAATAATATAATGGTCTGAATCAATATACCAATTATTATGTTATCCTATTCCAGGGCTTTGAAGAGCATGGCGAAGGCTGAAGATAGTTTCAAGAACATTCAGGATAATTTGAAAAATGCAATATTTTTAAAGCAACAGCTCAAATACGAGGAGTCGAGAAAAAAAAAGTCTGATAATAGTTCAGTTTATAAACGTTTATCTGCACATATTACTTTAGATCTGCCTGAGTTACCTGAATTGTCCGATGTTGTTCGAGAGACTGCAAATCGAGTGGAGCATATGATGTCAAAAGCAACACATTCCAATAGTTAAATATAATTAGTTATGTATTTTAAGGTGATGTTTTTTTATTAATTATAAATTTATTATTAGTTGAAAAATAAAATAGTTTTATTTATAATTTGGTATAACATTGGTAATACTGGCTAGATGACATGTGTCATAATTGACACAACAACTTGACGTCTGTCAATTTTATCAATAAAATAATAATTTCCTAATGATTTGAATAAATAATTAAATATTTTGTAGTGCAACGTCTCAGAAGGTGTTATTTTTTGATAAAGGTAATTACACTAACAATGCAATTAGTTCATTCATTTATAGTACTACTAATAGTATGTGATAAAATTTCGAATCAATCATCTGCGATAGATTAAAATGAGGTTTAGTAAACTTTTTACGAATGGTTTTTATTGCTTTCATATCAGCGATTTCAAATTACTTATTTACTATTAAAATCTTAATACACATGCGTTCGATAAAATTGCAATTGACCAAACATTGCGACGTCGCGAAAATCGGCGCAAGGCGTCAAATCGATGCAGATTTTTTCGAAATAACAGACGTTCTTCGGAACGTTGTGAAAAAATATAAATAAAACGTCCACGGTATTTTTCTCAAAAGTTTTTAAATGAAACCAAAAATGTATTAGTGACATAGGTTGGCAGTATTCCTCTATTCTGTGCGCCGCCTCTTCAAATATTGATTTTGGGCTGGACAAACGTCTGGTAGCCCAAAGAAAATTGTGTTCTCGCTATAAAACACGCAAGAAAACGGTAGCGTGTAAATAAATTTTACAAACTTGAATAAAAATTGCTAGTCTACTTGTAACTGTGCCATCCATTTGGTTTCTGAATTGAGTGTGTTCATTTGAATTAATTTTTGGTGTCCCTAGACTATTGATTCTGATTTAAAGTAACAATTTAATTGTTTTGTAAGTGTCAGTGAATTTTTGGTACATGTTACTACTTTTGGAATAGTTTGTAATCGCTGCAATTTGTAATATTGGTATTTTGGTAAGATTATTCTTTATAGTTTCATTTTATTATCTATTTAACTTTAAACCGATTTGATAATATTTGTTTAGACATATTGGCCATAGAGAAATTTTCTTCGTAGGTTTATTGGAGGATTATTATGGCAGTTATTTTTATAAATTTGAAAAAGTAGAAATGACCAGTTTGACTATCCCATTAGATAATATTGATGTTACTGAAAATACAGAACAAATTAGTAAATTATTCCCCAAGTGCAGACCAAGAAGTGATATTAATTTAAATCCTATAATAGCCACTGGAAGAGACCATGAATGTATTGAAAATACAACTAATACTGTCATGAGTGTCGACAGTGAAAATGATAGGTAACACGAAACACTTAACATTTTATACTCTTTCATTAAGTACTTCACACCGAACAGTATAGTTCGGTATAAAATTGTTGCAAATAAGCTTGACAAACCCCAATCATTAAATCTTGTTCCACGAGATTAAGAGAAGCTCATCAACGAGAAACTCTTATGACTCATCCATGATTCACTCTAGTAATCATTTCATCTTATAATTGATTTTAATTGTATCCTATTTGCAATGATTTTAAAGCTGTTACACATGATATACGAGTCTCTTTTGGTTACATTTATGTATATTAAAAAAAATCTTCCTATTTGTCAGATGGATAGCTGATAGTTCCTGTAATGTTAGTAGAGAAAATACAAGTCAGCTACATTCAACAGATGATGATGAGATCATTATTGAACATAAACATACAGGGGGAACATATAAATTACGCGATTCTAGGTATTTTGTTGATAATTAAGATATATTAATATTTTCTTTATTTTGCACTGGCATACCATATTATCAAACTTCTAGTAGATGAACTGATATTTTTTTATTGATCATATTGCACGAAGCAAATCAATTGTTTAGTTCAAAGAGTTTGTGGAGTTTATTATTGCATGTGTAAGTAGTTTTTGACAATACTTGAATGAGTATATTCGATGAATTTTTGGCAATCGTTTAGTTTTCTCATATATTTTTGCTTTTAGAGTTAAAATTTAATTATCTAGCGCAGTGAATGGTTCCTCAAATAATCTAATGATTTTATTAAGCAATTTTAATAAAAGTTTGATAAAACTACTTATTTGATTGATCTACTCATTAATTAAACATAAAAAAAGACGAGGCACTTCAAACGTGTAGGATTACTGCATGCGAATTAGTGGTTATTAAAACACGAATTATTCCGCAAATGTATCACTTTGATAAATTATAAAGGTAAAATTGTTTTGTTTGTATGAAAGAAATTGACAAGGAGGAATTATTTCCGCTCTGGCTGCTTCAAAGGGCGAAATTGCTTTATAAAACGACCCGACTCCCTGTATGACTAATCCCGGTCACCCTCAGGTCTTGCAATCACGCAAGCTAAATTTTATACGAATTAAATTGTATAAAATTATTTAATTCAAACGTACCGGTATTTCAAAATGCTTCAAAAAAATGCCTTTGAATCGAAATAAGCACACGCTACGAGATTTTTCGTTTTAATTGGCTAAATATACGTATTCGTTTCGTAAAATCTGCAATAAAAATTATGAAACTGGACGAAAAATATAAATTTTTATCATTAGTATTCAATTAATCTCTCACGATTTTATTTCCAATTCATTCATTCATTTCTTCTGGTAATTGGAAAAGTATTTTATGAATTTCACGATAACTGATCGTTTTGTGAAAAAAAACGGGGTTTATTTAGAGGATTTTAGGGACAATAGATTGCTGGAATTCTGGGCTAAATATCCTTGGAATCTAAGGTATCTTAGGCACGCCGGAATAGTTGGCAGGAGGAATCAATGAAGTTATTTCTAAAGAACCTTTATGAAGTAATATTAAACGCGGATTCCATTAATCCAGTAGTAGTTATGAATTTCCACGTCATACGTACCTAATGGGAAATTATTTTTAAAATCACGTTTTGGATTTCAACCGTCTCACAACGTGATATATTTTATACATATATTCTCTTCACATTGCGGAAACTACACGTGATAATGCCAATATCAGATAGAAACTGTTTTTAGAAAAGAAACCCTATCTAATATTAAATCGAGCATGTAATCGGCTATTTTTTATCCAATGCATATGAAAAATAAAACAAAAGATTTTAATCGATTTCTCTGTACGTATTTTCTTGTTTAAGCGAAAATGAGTGGTTTGTATCAAAGATTTATAATGAAAACTTATAGCTCGCTACCTTTATGAAAAGACGCAACTTCTTGTAAATTATATCGAATTTGTGAGTTGCAATGAGTTACAAAATCGAATGAAAAATAGTTCAAATAAATAAAGTTATGATCTCAACATATTTTACAAAAAATTGTGTCATTTCAAATGAGTTATACGCCATGATAATTATATGTAAATTAGCGTTTTGCTTTAAAAAACGCATATACATAGTGTTTTATTTAGTTTTGAGTTGTATTACTCACAATAAAAAATGTGCATGCAAAAGTTTTGCAACGAAACACCAACTCTTAAATCAGCATGAAATAATAATTTGTTGGATTTAAGAGAAACGATGAAACGAATTTCCCGAATAACAAATATCGAATTGTTCTCGTTTAGGATCATCGAAATCGCCGGTGGTCGGGAAATCTATTCGCAAAGCCGAAGCAAAGCGTTAAGGAAATCACGCAACTCCCTGTTGGGCGAGGATGGGGAGAAAAAGGGCCAAAAATCGCCAATGAGGCAGGGCGTTTGGGAGCTGCGCGCTCGGAGCGAAACGAAGAAATCTCAAAACTCTCGGGACTACACCGAGACGGTATTCTCGTCAGAAGTGTGCTCGGTGGCACACGAACAAAATGCGGACAGCGCTGTAGACAAGTCCAGTCCTGTCAGTATGACGTTTCCCGGTGAAGTGGTGGTATTCGACGACATCGGCGAGACCTGGCAAAGCGATGAAAACAAAAGGATCCAAAAGGAGAATTCGTCTCACGCTGCCTCGAAATTGTACAACACCAGCGATACTGATAGCGATAAAGTTACCAAAGTCATAGGCAGCCTGCCCATAGCGGTGTACGAAGGCTCTCCGAGGAGATATGGACAAAGGCATATGGATTCAAATTGCTCGCACCCACAGCTTCCTAGTGCACAAAGTTTATTGGCTTCTCCGAGCGTTTATCCGCCGCGACCGGGCTTTCCTCAAAGAGTGGTCAACACACCTAGTCCTGTAGAAAACGATTCTAACTTAAACGTCGAAAACAGTTCGAGTGTAAGTACCCGATTCATTTTTTTTGTCGACGTGCAATCATCGTTTCCACGCGTTTTAGAAAAAACCCTTATCGCCCAACGCCACCACGTCGACTTTTGACTATTTGTACGAATTCTCGGAAACCAGGAAGGTCCTGGAGGAGTTTTTCAAGTGCCCTCCCACGGACGAGGAGAACAGATTGGAGGTGGAATTTCAAGATCTCGAATACGAACTGAGAAGGCACACCAGCGATTCCGGCAATTCGTACGTCGGTCAAAGGCTGGCTAAAACTTTGCCAGGCGAAAGCGAGTTTTGCGTCCGGATAGACTCTCCTAGAAAATGCATGAACAACACCAATATTCAGGTAACGTAAAAAATCGATCCCGACGTTTCTAATCGACAGTTGAATTTATTTTGCGATTTTAGGATCACGATATTACAGAGCACGAGAACAATTTTTTAGACCTCTCAATAGGTACCGGTTCCAGTGGTGATTTAGGCGAAACTGAAGTAGGCCTTCAAGTAGGGCATAGTAGGAATTTTACTCTATCTCCCGAAACGACAGACTGTGACTCTAATTGCGGTGATTTAGATAGTGAAGCATCCTTGATGCTTATGGAAAACGAAATGGGACCTGCCGGTGGCCTCTTAGGTACGCACATACAGCCACGCATCCCCTTCATTCTATTAATTGCATTCCATTTACAGGATCAAATACAGATTTAGTTATTCCTAGTGATTCATTACGCTTATACTCTAGTATGCCAGTATTAGAAGACGGGCTGTCGTCGGGCCACGCAAGTGATACGGATAATAACAATCCAACGGTGATGCTCATGAAGCGACAAATAACGGAGATCGAGCGCGAAATCAACCAAGGGATCTGCAAGTCCACGTCGACGAAAGTCAACGAGAACGGCATGTCCCCGAAGTCCGAAATACGCAATACGTCTCCGATAGATATCAATGGTTGTGTTAGTAGTTTCGAAGAACCCATGACAATGTCTCAAACCGACTCTCTCGGTAAGTCGAGCTCCGCGAGATAGCGACATTTGCGCGAATTCGAGGTGTTTCAGAGAAAACTCCGCCGCCGCCGGCTCCGGCCCCGCACCGGCTGATGACCGGCGAGAAGGCCAACGACGTGGAGGCCGCTCTAAAAGACATTAGGTTAACGTTGCAGAGAACCAAAACGCTGCCGTTGCAGCGCCACCCGGAGGAGGATTGCGAGGAGACCGCTGCCAGCCCGATTTGGGTACCTAGGTAATTTATTGATGAATAAGGAAATTTGTTTTATTTTATATTTATAGCAGTCATTTCAGGCAACGGGGCCTCTCCACTGCCAGCGGGGACTCTGAGAGGAAAGTTAACAGCGGCGGCGAGGAAGGTAAGCAACAGATAATTTGCTAGATCGCAGTAGGTTTTTGACAGTTATGACAGATTTACAAACAATTTAATTTCAATATAAATGAGAGATCTTGTCAGAAATTTACTAGATCGTAGTAAGTTGTTTCTTTGACAGCAATGACAGATTTACAAACAATTTAATTTCGATGAAAGTGGGAGATCTTTTCAGAAATTTACTAGATCGTAGTAAGTTGTTTCTTTGATAGAAATGACATATTTACAAAAAATTTAATTCGATATAAACGGGGTTAAAAAATTTGCTAGATCGCAGTAGACTGTTTCTTTGGTAGAAATGACAAGATTTACAAGCAATTTGATTTTGATGTAAATGACAGATTCTGTCAGAAACGTCATATCTGTGAATTTTTTTATTAAAAACCTATTATATTATGAAAGTACATTAAATTTAGTAACAAATATTTCTAATTTCCAGAAGAAAATGATACGGATTTAGAAACTGATCGATTGTTAGGACAGCAGAGGACCGACGATCAGGGTTTTTACGACGACAAGGTTAGAACGATTTTATTACGATAAGAAAACAGTTGTTACTAAAAGAACATTTAGTATACTAAAATGAATTGAATTAAAAAAAATGTATGAAATATGGAGCATGTACCCTAACCTTTTATTTGTATTGTCAGGGTTGGAGAAAACCTAAAACTCGGACTATAATGCCTCCGCTAACCCTAGCAAATCCCAAACAAATTTTAAATACCATGGATGAAGGTACCCTCCCTTTAGTCCCCACTGAAAATCAAATGTCCGATCCTTCATCCCCGACAGCGGTATCCGAAAAAAGTCAATCGCCCCAAAGCCAAAAAGGATCGGTATCTTCGAATAAAGTCAAAAAGGTGCGAGACCACGCATGAAATAGATTTTAATAACATTTAGCATAGCTGAAGGCTTTTTGAATTTTGATTAATCTTAACATTCCTTTATCATGTTCTTTTTAATTGGCCCCAAGAAGATCTTTGTAGATTGACTTGTAGTTGACGAAAAGCTGCATGCCGAATGCCCAACTAACATTAATTTATGAACTAGTTTGGGTACTCGAACGATAATCAATTTAATAGTATTTTTGTTTCACATTTTGCGAATTAATACCCAGTCTAGTTGAATAATAGAAAGTATTAAAACTAACATTAATAGAAAGCAATTTTCGAAATAGAAGCTTCTGAATTGTAAATAGGCGTATTTCTCGATTTTATGTATTTGAACAAACCTTTCTTAGTTAAAATATTTATTTTCAGGAAAAAGATAATAAAAAGAAAGCCAGAAACAAAGAAGGTAAGTCTATTTTTTCTCGTTCGTACGGTATAAAATAAAAACTTTATTTAATTTGCGAATCATTTTGGAATAATATGGTAAGTTATTGGAAATGTAAAAGAGAGTGTTTATTTATTCATGTCCACACAATTTGAATGATCATTCCGAATCTATACACTCCCTTAAAAAATCGATTAGAAAAAAAAATTTGTTTATAAACGTATTATAAAATTTAGTGTGATAAATTCGAGCAAATTTTGCATGTTTGTTACTTACATATTTTACGATCTTAGCGGCACTTTTTTAATTTTAATTTACTAAATTCCCGACTCATTTTAAAGAATTTTATTATAAACGTGATTGAATTCAATATTACAGATAATTTTCAAAATTATTATTATAAGTTACAACTCACCATAATTCCACAGTTTGAATGCATATAACTGTTTTTCTTTTATCGGTGTTTTACCTTCGCTGCCAAAAGAAATGAAAATGAGAATCCGCATTGTTCTTTTCAGATGTCATTCAACGTTCAGTGTTGATAGAAGGGGTGTTATTTCGCGCGAGATACCTCGGATCTACTCAGCTAGTTTGTGAGGGGCAACCCACCAAAACCACCAGAATGATGCAAGCAGAGGAAGCGGTCTCTAGAATAAAGGTACAGCATGATTCCTTTGATCATATTGCACTACTCATTATATTTGCATAATTGGTTTCTTCCATTTTATCCAATTCCAGGTTTTCAAGGAAAATCAGTAAATCACTAATCCCACATTTACATCCTTTCCCATCATTACATGAATCCTTATATTTTGGATGGATGTGTAATTATATTGAGATAATCGGTGTAAATTAATACAACTAAACAAAATGTACAAGCGTCAGCGAGTTTGTATAACCAAATACTAATTAATTAATAAAATGCGACTAATCATATTAATTTAAATGTGTATAGTATACATATGAAAGCATGACCTTAGTGTGAGCCATGATTATAATGCATTTATGTGTTACATTTAAACAGATATTGTGCTCCCCGATAAAGTACGAGTAAATTGCGGAGAAGGCATGAGAGCATGTCTAATTAGCACGGAACAAAGTAAACCCTCATTATTTTTGGAATAATTAAATGTTGATTTTTGGATTATTACAGTGTCGTGTACCCCCCTCCTTCACTCTGGAACATTTGTGCCTAAATGGTGCACGCTTGAAATCGGTACCTTTTGCAGAAAGAGTCGAAAGACCGTTTATCTGAAACATTCTCATAGGTTATTCAATGAAATCGTCTACACACTTTCTGCATTTGGATGATCCTTTTTTGCTCTTTGGTTGGTTGCCTGTTTACATGTTTTACCTGGATTTCACTATGTCGCACTCCTTCTCTGATCGTTGCTTTGGATGTTTCTATGAACTTGTATATAGATGGTGCACCCAAGCCATTGCGAATCGTGCTCTGATGGCGCCTCTTTTTCTGTACTAAGTGTTTGAACATAGAGTAGACCGATCGGGTGAATTTGAGCTAAAGGCCGACTTGAAAGCGGTAGTGTGACAAGAGGGTAAACATTGCAGGAGGTATCCAACCAAATGATACAAAGCTACGGGCAATCCTATGCACCGAGCAGCCCTGAGAATTGTAGCGTTGAAGAAGAACTGCAACAAGTCGGGGCGCAAGTTCAGAATTCCTCTCAGCCTCAAATCGCTGGTGAGATTTTAATCTTTGTGTTTATAAAAAAAATATTCGCCCGTGTGTTTTTTAAATTACTGTCGCTGTCCTACGAACATATTTGAAGCCAGTAATTTCTAATAACACCAAAACATAATGTATAGAGGATGTGATATTTATAATAAAAAATAATATCTTAATTTTGGGAGGGTTCTTTCCCGAAGTTATTACATCCTATATGCAGAAAAGTATTAGATCCCCGATGGCAATTTTTTTATAAATACAATGATGGGATTTCCATTGAACAGACAATTTGCTACAATTCAACGAGAATCCACTGGGCATGACTGGCACTGTTTTTCGTCTGCAATTCCTTGGTTCTGTTGAAGTTGATGAGGAGGGGGGTAGAAAGCGAAGGAAACGGCTCAAGAAAAATATGGTCGAAGTCGCTGTTACCAAAATTAAGGTCTGTTTTGTGTTTACATGTTTATCCCCAACGCCCTGTCCTATAGTTTGCTATGCAGGACCGTACTGGTACAGATAGGCCTATTATGAAACACCAAACAATTTAATCATTACATCAGCGGTGTTTTATATAAATTTTTGACTAAAGTTTAGTGTGGTTGAATGGTTGAATTAACTAAACATAATTTCATGTAACACTAGCTATAATCGCGCTATTACTAATATTATACTAACATATTGTTTTTTTGCATCGCCTCATTTCTGGAATCGCAGGCTTTGGTAAGCATTCGGCTACAATCGTATTTCCGAGTGAATATAAACGGGTTGATTTACAGGCTCCTGACGGCGAAAGCCAGCCCAGCACCGAAGTGGATTTGTTCATCTCCACCGAGAAGATCATGGTGCTCAACACGGATTTGAAAGAGATCATGATGGACCACGCGCTGAGGACGATATCCTACATAGCCGACATCGGGGACCTGGTGGTCCTGATGGCCCGGAGGCGGTTCGTGCCCCACGAGATGGAGGACGCTCCGAAGATCAACCGCACGCCGAAGATGATCTGTCACGTGTTCGAGAGCGAAGAGGCCCAATTCATCGCCCAGTCGATCGGGCAGGCCTTCCAGGTGGCTTACATGGAGTTCCTCAAAGCCAACGGCATCGAAGACCACAGCTTCGTCAAGGAGATGGACTACCAGGAGGTGCTCAACTCGCAGGAGATATTCGGCGACGAGCTGCAGATGTTCGCTAAGAAGGAAATGCAGAAAGAGGTACTCGTTCGGTTACTTTGGACTTTCCATTTAAAAATTTGTACGTTCGCAGGTCGTGGTGCCGAAAGCTAAAGGGGAAATCTTGGGAGTAGTCATCGTGGAGTCCGGTTGGGGCTCGATGCTGCCCACCGTCGTGATAGCTAACCTGGCGCCGGCCGGCGCGGCTGCCAGATGCGGCCAGTTGAACATCGGCGATCAAATAATAGCCATCAACGGGGTGAGCTTGGTTGGACTTCCGCTATCGACTTGCCAAACTTACATCAAGAACTCCAAGAATCAAACGGTCGTCAAGTTGACTGTGGTACCTTGCGCTCCGGTTGTTGAAGTGAAGATCAAGCGGCCCGATACGAAATATCAGCTCGGATTCAGCGTGCAGAATGGAGTGGTTAGTTTTGCTGGCGATCGAATAATATGTTGTATAATAAAGAGTTTGTTTTTTGTAGATTTGCAGCTTGCTTAGAGGTGGTATAGCAGAGAGAGGAGGCGTAAGAGTCGGGCATAGGATTATTGAGATAAATAACCAAAGTGTTGTCGCTGTACCTCACGAGAAAATAGTAAATTTGCTGGCAACTTCAGTAGGCGAGGTGAACGAGTTGTTAGATGTTTGCGTTTTAAAATATTCAAGTGTATTTTTTTGCAGATTCTGATGAAAACAATGCCGACTTCTATGTTCCGTTTGCTTACTGGTCAAGAGAATCCTGTGTACATCTAAATTGATATAAAACGAGGTTCGAAAGTGCCTACTTGTAGTTGATATTGAACTGTCCCTGGGAATTGTTTTATTTAGATCGTGCTTGAGTCGCAGATCAATATATTTTTTATTGTTAGAATAAGTTCAACAGACTGAAGACAATACGAGCAAAGAACTGCGCTCTGCACAAAAATCCTTTGCGCTGAGCTTTCTTGATAGACCATATCCCAGCTTTGTCGCGTATTCGTATTTATTTCATCATTTTAGCTAATACAAAAAAAAAATGCTGTCGACTTTCATATGTGCACTTTCAGAAACTGTTTTGCTCAAAAAAGAGTTGTGAAATAAAATAATCGTTTGTCCAATTTATTACTGTTGAATTTTTGTGAAAAGAAATACCAATTTCGTAGCTCATGGAAACTTGACTGCTTGTTCTGCTACAAACTAAACGTTAATTGGCTTTGTTGAAAGTTTGCCTATGAAAGTTTAGAGGAAATTTTAATATACATCAGTTTTTTAACTAAAATGACTGCAATTATTACATCTAATAATTTGTTATTGTGAATGTGAAAGGCATACCAAAGACTGTTGGTTGGCTTTAAAGAATATTTCGTCGCATCATCACAAAGTTTCATTTAGCTAAGTAAGTTATTTATTTTGGCAGATGTTACATTATCCTTATGTATTCTCGAAAATTCACTCAATAAAAACCAACATTGTACGTCGAGTAAACGTTAATAATTCCGTTAAAATTTCGATTGTACCAGTTGACGTGGTAATATTTAAGTTACCTTTGCTAACGCAGCTTTACCTCACATTTAATCCACTTTTCCTTCGAATTGAACGAAACGATATAAATACATCTACTCACTTATATATCTAACATAAAACCCACTGTCAGCTGGTATATCGTTTAAAAAAAGACCTTACTACTATCAAAATTATCGGTAATGTTACAGTGTTTTCTCTTTTAGTAAATTCCACTATATATCCCGACATCACCAGTTATAAAAAAATTAGTTACGAATTATTGTAATTAACAGTATCACAGGTGCGCGTTTAATTCATGATCGTATCAGCATTAGATATTGGCAGTGTTACTGACGGTTTGCAATTTGGAAGTGGTTTGATTCAATATTGACGAGGCAGTTGTAAATTAGATTATGTTTCTCGAAATAGAATTTGTACAATGTGGACGTCGGTACATCAATTTTGTGTATAGTCGAAACTATTCATAATATCTTTACGTCCATAGAATAACTGCATGTTCAATGGTATAACAGAGGATTCTTTAAGAAATATTCCATTTATCCAACCTTCTATCGTGCTGGCTCAAGTAAATATGATAATATCTAGTCAGCATTACAATCTTCATTCCCCATTTTGTGTTTTATGATAATTTTGTTTTTGTTGTAGAATTTTTATTATTCGAAAGTCTCGGTGATATTTCCATTTACTCTAGAACTCCCGTAATAGGTAAATAAAGTTGTATATAAAAATATAATTTAACTGTTATCATAATGGTAATTCTATCAATCCTGTTCAATTTAGATTAAAAAAAACTTGATTACATACAGCGGAGTTTTCAGAAAATTTCACTTATGAAATTTATAAAAAATATGAGAGTAAGAAAGCAATGTTTTCTGAATACTTGCTGTGTACATTAGATCTCTCACTTGAGTCTATTGTGTGCTTTCTTCCTTCTAGTTTGTTTTCTCTACTTTTCGTTTAATTTATCTTGGGCTAAATTTTTGAGCATTTTCTGTAAATTTTAACTGTATGTAATAGGTGTAAATGAATGTGAACTCCTTTCTAGATGTTTCCTAATAAAAAGTGATCTTTACTACAAAATTCAGATTCGTATTAGATGAAAATAAATAGTAAATAGTATTTTTATATTTCCCTGAAAAGATTATAGATCCTTAAGACACTTGTAAGTGGAAAATGACACGATGACGACTTTTTCTCCTTCACTATCTCTCCATACTACCGAAAACTTTGCTGAAGAGAGCGTTCTAATGGTGCCTATAAATGATACGAATTGTTATTTAATCTGTACAGTATCGTTTTGTTTCGAAACACATGGAATTAATATTTTCTTAAAAATCGAGATTAAATAATAAATTCAATAAGAGCGTCACTGGAAGTAGTTGCTCTTGAAATTCCTTTATATAGCTGTCCAACTACTAAAGTATTTTGTATTATGGAGTCGTGTATGTGTATTAAATGTGAATAGTTTTATTTCAATGTACAATCACATAGTTGTAATACTCTAAAAAATTTGTTTTATAAATTAAAATTTTATTAAGTACCTACATTTTGTGAATAAAAGTCACAATTCATTTTTTTTATGTATTAAAAACGAATTATCGAAACCTATATTTTTCATTTCGTATACCTGTTTAAATAATCTAACCATATCAAAGCCTATGAACAGTTCCAGTAATCAATATTTATTTTAATTATATATATTTAGCATTTTTTCGTCTGTATATTGAAAAATTCATGTGTAATATTTACAAAATACAGTATATCAAATTTGTATTTTCGTTTTACTTTGGAAAGGAATTCCTCATCGAACATTCCTTTTTCAGGTTTTTAGAAATTCAATTGCAAGTTTCCAGAGTTTCATTAATTATTTATTAACCACCTACCAAGGTCGTTTTTTTTTTCAAAATAACTTCCTAATCCATTTCATAAATTTTAATCAATTCAAATCAGAGATAAGATAGGTCGACAAACGAAACAATAACTCGATTGGAATAATAACCAATGTAAAATATAAGTACAAAGAATGTCAAATGAATGGAATGCGTGAACAGATTCTCAAAATAAGCAGACGTACTAAAAAGGATGGAAATCGAATAGCATAACAAATTATAAAAATATATTGATTTCTCATTAAGTTATTTATGAGAGAAGAAATGAAAATTTCTTTACAATCGCATCGATTGAATTGTGGGATTGTTAGTATCTAATTAATTGGCATTTACACAAATTAAGGGAATTATATGTACTTCTATTCTGAATAAAATGAAAATATGAAGTATAAAATTTATTTATAAAAATGTTTTACAAAATAAGAATACATTTTGGCTTTTTTGGCACGCCTATTTAAGTGGTAACTCATTTCGTGCACTTGACGATATTTTTAACTGAATGCCAATTAATGAATATTTTCTTGTAAGGCTGTATATTTTTATAAAATGTAATGTCTAAATAATGAGAGAAGAATTAACAATTTTAGTGTAAAGAATTTATTCGTAAAAAGCCTTACATACCTTTATTTACAACAAACTACAAATCCATCTTTCAAGTGTAACTATGCACAGAATGATGCTAAGTTGTACACAGTTGAAGCTTAGAAAATTATCCCTTATCACTTAACTCAATTATACGTAAATTTTTCTTATTATTTGAAATCGACAAAATAAGAGATCAGTGTATAAAATGAGAAAGCGTAAAGGACACTTTGAACATAAAATTATAACAGAAAAAATATACACCATAAATAACAGTATTTTGTTAAGAACCTTCAAAAATTAAAAGAACTTATATAAATACTAATTAAAGAACGTTCTTTTCATCAGCATAAGTAAAGAAAACTAAAGTAAGAAACATAAAAATTCCACTTTGACTGTTGATAATTTAATTAAAACTTATAATATACTAAGAATAAAGTAGAATGCTTTATGTTTTTTACAATGCCTTCGTGGAGCACATTTTAATTGTCCATTGCATATCTCCGTGTCCATTCCTTCGCATTTCGAATCGCTTCTGATTCATTTACTTTCCATAATTCAGCTACATCATTAGCCAGAGGATCATCTGGATTCGGAGCACTAAGTAAGGCTTGAATAGACAATAAGACTGTACGGATTTGCAAAGCGGGACTCCACTTGTCCTTTAGAATATCAAGGCATATTCTACCTAATCGATCGATGTTAGGATGATATATTTTCGTTATAAATCTTACTTTAGGTGCAGACATTGGATAGTCTTCTGGGAGGAACAACTCTAATTTAAACAGGCCCCCTTCGAACGGCGAATCCTCTGGGCCCGTCACAATTACGTGAAAATATCGAGCATTACTATCATCTGGTACGGCACTTATTCCCGGCACGGGTTCTTGCATTAAACGTTGGGTTTCTTTTATAATTCTGCGTGGAAGGGATGCCATTTTTCCTTATCAGTGTGGGTTATTTTTATCTAATATTTGGTATAAATAAATCACTCCACTAGAACATAAGAAGTTGTCTGGATGAATAGTCACTTTTTAAATTATTTTCAGTCTCTCATTCTTTCTCTATGAACCTCAATTTTTTTACTAATAATAGCGGTAGATAACGAATTCCAACATATCCACCGACGTTTTCATTCTGCGGTTGCAGTTTTGACTCGAGTGAGCATGAACTACTTCAGGGCGCCAAATTCAAAAAACTACGACACTTTTACCACACTCTACCTTTAATTATCACCTTAATTACTACTTATAATTTAAGCAACGCTTAATATTATTAAAAAACACCTTACGAACTATCTAAAAATGCATAATAAACTTACAAAATGTAAGTATATTATTAATTTTCAACACATTTTCAGGCTCTTTCGCACGAAAAATTTCAAATTTGCCTCTTCCACTATTCGGTTACATAACTGTTTTCTGACATTTGACTCGTCTCGTCAACAAGATTTCTGTTTTATGCCAACAATGTCAATGCCAATTGTCACTACTGTCATGCCGGTTCAAAAGTGTTCTGTGTCCAAATTGTAGGTGGAGGTGGAAATTGGGTGATTTTATTTTAGTTGATTATGATTATGAAATGATTTAAAACCAATTATTCCATTATTTTTGTTGTTTTGATCCGCTTATTTTTGATGTTGAAATCCTCCCTTATCCATTCAAAATGATGCATCTCAATGCAGATATATCGAGTGCTCTGCAGCTCCTGGAAGATATTAAACAAACAGTGGATAACATAGGCGATCCAAAACTGCAACTAAACACGAGCCAAGACCTAAATTTGCTCATAAGCGTTCTGGAGAACCCGGTGTTCCGCAGTATAGTCACAGTTCAGGATTCCGTCAGCGAATTAAACCAGCAATTGAGCCAGCATCCATCCATTTTGCCTGTTGATTTCGATATAACAGCGGCCGGAGAGCTAGTCCTGAACGTTCCACCAGCTGGGGAATTGTACGATCCGGATTACACGGACGATTATCCTCCTAGTAGGGATTTCGACGAGCAAAGAGTGCCTTCAGCACCTATATCTCCCAGTTCACCGCAAGTGCCAATTTTAAGTAATGCGGAGAATCAGTTATTGTTAGTTAACAGCCCGAATCTCAACAGCAGGCTGTGCGCTTCAGAGGTAAATAATTAGTTTAATAAAATGTTATATAAAGTTAATATTTTTCTTGTAGTCGCTTAGAGTCCTGCAGAATAATTCTGGTTTTCCTTCGAATGACGACGATATTATTCACCGTTCTCCTTCCGTTGGAAGCAATAATTCAAAAACCGAGCCCGATAATTTAATAAACAGCGAATGGTCGCAAGTGGAAAGTATCGATTTGATTAATGACGGTACTGGTTTAGGATTTGGAATATTAGGCATGAGGAATATGGGAGTTGTTGTTAAAACCATCCTGCCTGGCGGAGTTGCGGATAGAGATGGAAGGTTGCAGAGTGGCGATCATATACTACAGGTCAGTTCCATCAAGTTAAATTCACAAAATATTTAATAATTTTACTTTTGTTAATGCGTAGATTGGTGATGTGAATCTTCAAGAAATGAATTCTGAACAAGTTGCGTCTGTATTGAGGCAGTCTGGTACACGTGTAAGGCTAATAGTGGCTAGACCAGTAGATATTTCATCAACTGAATACAAGTATTTGGGAAGTTCAGCTCCGTTGGTTCCGACTCGATTGCTGCACGATTGCAACGAGTTAGACAAATACCTTGTACAACACAAGTACGCTCCGGTCTTTCAAAAAAATATTGACATGGAATTGTTTCAAAGTGATCTATCTATGCCTTATGGAATATCAGGGCTTTCTCGAGTCCCTGCTTCTCCTTCGTTACCATTGTTAAACCTTGATATGGTTGTTAAAATGCCTGAAATGGAAAAGTTTGTTGTTGAACTGAAAAAGGATATAAATGGCTTAGGTATAACTATTGCTGGATACGTTTGTGAGAAAGAAGAGCTTTCCGGTATATTTGTTAAGAGCGTCAGCAAAGGTAGTGCAGCTGATTTGAGTGGTAAAATTAAAGTAAACGATAGAATAGTAGAAGTTGATGGTCAATCATTGCAAGGCTACACAAATTTGCAAGCCGTCGAAGTGCTAAGAAACTCCGGGAATACTGTCAAGTTGTGTTTAGAGAGATACCTGCATGGGCCGAAATACGAACAACTTCAACAAGCTATCGCAGCAAGTGAAATAAAACCTGCATCACCACCAGATGTGCCACGGTAATAGAGAAGCTGTTTGTAGCCCTTACTTAGTTGCATTTTCAATACACACACCTTTCCCCTTCTCTGTACTAACTATTAACCCTAAACTCTAATTTATACTAATAACAATAACGCGGTGTCTGGCTAAAAATCAACCTCTATTTTGTTTGCAAATAAAGCATGTTTTATATAAATTTCAGATTCCTCAAGGAAGAAGGAATGCTAAATCTAAACGGCGGTAGCAGTAGCAATCATGATTCTGGACAGATGCACAAAGAACTGTACAACAATGTTCTGAATAAAACAGAAATCATTGCTCCGATAAACGAAGAAGCTCTCAAAAAGAAATGGCAAAAAGTAATGGGCCCAGACACCGAAATAATCGTAGCACAGCTGACCAAATTCGGCGAAAATAGCGGCTTAGGCATTAGCTTAGAGGGCACCGTCGATGTCGAAGACGGGCAAGAAGTCAGGCCGCACCACTACATCCGTTCCATCCTCCCCGAGGGCCCCGTAGGCCGGAACGGCACGCTCAAATCAGGAGACGAGCTCTTGGAGGTCAACAATCACAAATTGTTGGGCATGAACCACCACGAGGTGGTCAGCATCCTGAAGGAGCTGCCCATTAACGTTTGCATGGTGTGCGGCCGGAATCCCTTCAACCTGCTGGCGCAGCGCGACGATTCCGTCACCGAGCGCAGCGCTCTGAATCGCAGCTTGCAAAACCTGCTGCCTGTTTCCGATAGGCTCGTCAAGGCCAAATCGGACGGATCGTTAGCGAGCAGCATCTCGATCTTGGGATCGACCGATCAATCGTTCACGAAAATGAAATCGCGCTCACTCGAACCCCTCACCGGACTCGCCATGTGGAGTTCGGAACCGCAAATCATTGAGTTAGTTAAAGGCGAACGCGGCTTGGGTTTCTCCATTTTGGATTACCAGGATCCCATCGATCCGAACGATACTGTTATTGTAATAAGAAGTTTAGTGCCGGGCGGCGTAGCTCAATTAGATGGTAGGCTTATTCCAGGCGATAGGCTCTTATTTGTCAATGATACATTGTTAGAAAATGCTTCCTTAGATCAAGCCGTGCAGGCTCTCAAAGGTGCTCCTAAAGGAATTGTTAGAATAGGTGTAGCTAAGCCATTGCCAATTCCAGATACTATAGGCCATAATTCTCTAGTTGATATCGATTCGAATAGATATGTAACCGCTAATTCTATATTAAATTAGCATTGGAATCGTCTTCAGGCGTTGTAATTCCATTTTGCATTGAAATTTAATTAGCAACTCAAATTTATTCAACACATTATAACGTCACGCAATGATTTCAATGTATTATATTACGAATCTCACACTTATATGTATTAATAATTTAAAAATAACTATTACTAAAGATTGTTCTGAAAATATCCAATAGGTCAATTATAGCAATTATATTTTACTATTGTTTCCAATATTATAAAACTTATACATTGGAACAGTCTTTCGTAATTCTCTGTATTAGAGGCAATGACTTGAAAATAACTCGGAGTATTAGACGAAATTCTTTTTACATTCCATTTCAGTATTTTATTGAATAAAACGTTGCGGTACGTGTAAAGGGTCAAAGCGCACAATCGATGTTGATTTTTTAAAAATATTTTTCGGCATTCACTTTTGCCTACACGAATAGCAATAAGTTTAACGTTCAATTGCAAATATTTCACACACTGTGTAAAGGTGGCGGGAATACCGTTGTTGAAATTCAGATCTAAAAGTTTCAACGAACCGAGGCTTAACTGCTATAAAAGAAATTTGTTAAGGGAGTTTTAGATCTGATTTTTGTTATTATTCACATTAACATATCTGTATTATTAATAATTAAGTCACTTAGGTGATTAGTTCGACGTTTTTTTAACGGCGTTTAATTTTATTGAACTTTACTACTACCTATATACAATTATACAATTTTCGCGACAGAATAATACATTAAAAAATGAGGCGTTTTTACTAAACGAGGGTGTTTAAATTAGGCGTGTATTTTGAAGATTTTTCGCCCATTTTCAGAACCTTAATCTACCAACCCATTAGTACTCGCGGCTAATTTGCTGGAAATATCAGAGGAATGGTTGCAAAAGAATCTAATTATCAGTTCTCGTGCCAAGCTGGTTATCTCTCTATTACGAATTTAATCCCAGAACAAATCCAAAGTAACGACCTAATTTAATACTTTTTGTGCTCGTTGGGAAAGCGCCTTTCGACAAACTTAAGCAACCAGAAATTTGTTACATACTCGAATTATCACACAGCTTCGTTGAAAAATCGCAATAGTTTTGTATGAAAGTTAGTTATCTAGATATTAAGGCCTAACAAAAATATACTAGCCATGATATATATTAAAGTTTGTAAATATTGTTAAGAATATATCCAGCATGAATTATATAATATATTAAACTGTAGGTGTCATAAATTTATATATTTTACATACACGTAATTAGTATAGTGTTTCAAAGAAATGTGCCAATATTCCGGTGATGTTGCCACGAGTTTTTGTTAACACGTTTATATTATACAAGAGGTGTTCTTGAAGCATATTATATTGTAATAGTAATAACGTTGCAGATCCACACACTTTCCATTACAAAGGCAATAATTTTTTTCGGCTCACAAGATGGTTCCTCGAATATCATTTTTGCACTGATTAGACTTAGAAACTGCAATAATTTAATTGAATTACCTACATCACGGGCATCTCGTTAATATTTTAAAAATGATTGCGTGATCTATATCATTGACGCATGACTAGAGCTTAGTCCTCGATTAACGTCGATTTGTATTGTCAAATTGAGAATTAAGCTTCACTAATAGGGAGTTATATACCTTTGGTTATTGGGTTAGGTTCCTGTACAAATATATACACAGCATAGCAAATTATCCATACATATGATAATGTAGATACTTGTTTAACCATTGGTTAAGATTAGTAGATCAATGTTACTGCATGTATTTAACATATTTAAAGCGTTGTTTGTGACTTCAACAACAGGTAAACTATTTCAGTTCAAACTTATTAGTTAACTTCCATGAATACTCTTGACAATAAATTTATTTGGAACTGAAAGCCGTCTTTTAACTGATCCGAATTCCCTCAGAACCTCGTCGAGAAAACCAACGGCGCGTGACTCAGCAAATAAAGGGAATTTATATAGATACGGCGACGTATGTCGCAATAGGGGGTTGAAAGAGTAACCAGGGCAGAGTTTAATGGCAGTAAATCTGTGTAGTTTTGGTGCAATTGCAGCGGCAGACGACAAGAGCAGAGCAACGCATTGCCGCAATCGTTAGGAAAATCGTAGTTTCCGAGCCCAATGGCGTCGAACCGAAGGGGATGATGGTTAGTGGTTAGTCCGATTGAGCTGTTAAAACGAGGGCATTTCATTAACTGTGTGTGTTAGGGGGGAAATAGATACTTTTTTTCAGTGTTCAGGAATAGTATGGAGACAAGAATATGTAGAAAATGAAGGGTAAAACAGTTTAAAAGTCGAAATAAAGGAACAGTACGTAGGTTAAGCGAATTATTAGACACGATATTTATGTGCAACCAATAGGGACACCGGCTATATTTAGCCCACACTCGATAAACTATCTGCATAGCCCCTAGAAGCCTTATTAGGTTGTAGTAACAAGAGTGTCGGTGTATCGAATAAATGCAAAATAATGGCGTAATAAAAAATAAACCCCGTCGGTGAAATGGCGACGATACGACAGTGGTAGACGGCGTCGAAAATTCGTGTGGCGCGGCGTCGTCGCAGTGGGTTCGACGTCGCGTCGGACCAGAAGGAGGAAATAGAAAAGCACATGCCTTCTGCCTTCAACCAACGAAAGCCAACGGCAGCCAACATGTATTTGCGACGGCCTAAAGAGCATTCCGTCGGCTGTGTCGCCTCTGTCCGATATCTAAATATAAGCGCCGCGGCGACTCGACGGACGTGGACGTCCCGCATTTATTAATAGCAAGTCGAACGTGAATCTCGGAGTTTTGGAGTTCGGTGTTTCTCTTTCCTTAGGCCAACGACGATTACAGTCATTCGAGTCTCGGAAAATTCGGCATCGAAAATAAGGAAACTCTCTCTCATTCGTACGTCGGATGCGATCATTGTGATAGTCGTTGTCCCGAGCGAAAGAGAATCCGCTGTTGTGAGACGATTTTATCGAGTTTCGGGTGGTTTGTTTAACGCGTGTGTGGACTGCAATCGGGTAAACAATTGAGCCTCTAATGATGGGAAAAGTCTCGCATTCGGCCGCTATTCGGTGACGGTGACGTAATTGTGAGGAATGTTCATCCCTGACACGCTGCGCAGCTGCATGGTGGAACCCGATGTATCCTCATATCTGCAGACGCCGTCCTCGGGACAGGTGCCTACCCGCTGCTATCCTTCCCTCTCCCCCACGCCGCAATCCGCGATGCGTGATATGTAATTAACCTGATTAACATGAGTGTTATTATGTTCTGTATTCACTGTTATATTTCACTGTTCAGTTTTCTGGCTCAGTCAGTTCTCATCACCACTGCATGCTCGATCTTGCACAAACTGGATTCATTTTTTTTTCTTTTCCTTATTAAATCTAACAAACCGATTAATCGACACGTTTTAAGCGACAACAAAATTATATATATGTATCACCACGAATTGTCTGAATGTTATGGAAAAATAAGATCCATTTTTAGATATGACTTTTCTATTGCTAAAATAAACTTTTTCCAAATGATCGTAATTAGAAGACGTGACAAAATAACACTGACATTTTCGACATAAGAATCTAAAAAAGCGCTACTTTAGCGCCACATATATCGCTTTTTAACAGTATAATCAATTATTTTTTTATGAATTCAGTTGTGGCGATGATATATCTGCAGTTTGTTGATCGGATTGACTGCGGCTTTCGATGTTGAAATGCTATATTTTGATGTATTAACTGATTGTTGTTTCTGTTGAATGGATTGTTTGTTGATGTCTTTTTGTCTCCTTTAAATGCACCGACTTATTTGTCATTAATATTTTTGCAGTATCTGTTGCGTGCTCTCTGCCCATTCTCTTTTCTCTGTCTCTAATACTATTTATAAATCGTTGATTCACCGATCAAAACGAAAAATCTGTATCCTTTTTAGAAATACGTTCGACCGACCACGGGTCAAATTCATAGATTTTTCTTTCGTTTAATGCTAAACGAGTTAAAGCACCAATACCTCTAAGAATTTGACCTAATAAAAGGATGATATACTTGTAATAGAAAATATTTACCTACCAACTAAAATATCATACATTCTAGAAAAAATCCACCTTCATTTTTTCCTTATCATTACTGCATAATTATAAAAATTGATATGGTAATTGTGCAAGTATATCAGCTTTTTTCAGATAATTTAAAATAAGCTCGACCGAAGCAACGGAAAATCGGGAAATCTTGTTTGCTTTTGTCGAGCTTAACAGTTTTTTGTCTAAACAAATGTCTTAAAGCATAATAAATTTTTCATCTGAAAAGAATCGAACGGTAAATCTTTCTTGCGTATACAAAGAAAGGAATCAAAGTTTTGAATTAACAAAAAGTATGAATTATTTACGAATTTAAAGAAATTTATAATTAGACGAACTCACCACAAAACATTTCCACGTAATTCACTTAAAACTTACATATCTATCGGTTCCTTATTTCTCTAATAAATAATACACTTGTACACTACACCAATTTTCGTTAAAATCATATAGAAATGATTGATAAGTGTGTTTTTTGGCATGAAAAATATGAAGCATGTTGAATTTGATGTTAATAAAAAAAGCAATTCTAATTATATGTCGGCATGATGTACTTATAACAAAATTAAATGGTTTCTTAAGGCATGTACAAGGATAACCAAATTACATACACAATATAAAAAAAAAACCGCAAAAAAAATTATTATGCATTGAAGTCATTTGTTTGATTGTTCCTAGTTATCTAAATGTCGGTAGTTACACCAAAGAAAAACCTCCAACAACCGAGCAATAATATCTTTGAATGTCCGTCTGTCTTTGCAGGACGAATTCCATCCTTTCATCGAGGCACTCCTGCCCTTCGTCAAATCCTTCTCCTATACATGGTTCAACCTGCAAGCTGCCAAGAGGAAATACTACAAAAAGCACGAGAAGCGGATGTCCTTGGAGGAGGAGAGGCAGTGCAAAGAGGCTCTGCAGAACGAGAAGGCGGAGGTCAAGCAGAAATGGGCGTCCCGCCTGTTGGGCAAGCTGCGCAAGGACATCACCCAGGAATGTCGCGAGGACTTCGTGCTGAGCATAACGGGCAAAAGGTCCGCCGTTTGCGTCCTGTCCAATCCCGATCAGAAGGGCAAAATGCGCCGAATAGACTGCCTCCGTCAGGCCGACAAAGTCTGGCGACTCGATCTCGTTATGGTGATATTATTCAAAGCAATTCCTTTAGAAAGTACCGATGGTGAGAGGTTGGAGAAGAATCCGGAATGCCAACAGCCCGGCCTTTGTGTTAACCCATATCATATTAATGTTTCAGTTAGAGAATTGGATCTCTATCTAGCTAATTTCATTAATAGTCATGGTAAGTTCATTCTCTTTTTTTTTATTCGATATGCATCGCGTTGAATCATTAACAGATATTAATCAGATTAATTTTTTATGTCACTGATTAAAATAAATAACTACCTAGTTGTTAAAATTAGGCTATTTGATTTTGGGGTATTTAATGATGAAAAGAATACATTGAATTTCCGTAACGATTCGAAGAAAACTGCTTGCATTAGGATATATTTGAGATTTAAAGGATTTTCATTTCGACGTATTTCTATTATTTGAATGAAGTATATAAATAACAGTTTACGATCGCGTTACCAAATCTGTGCCATGCGTAGAACGGGTTTGGTTATTAACTAAAACTAAAAATAGCTTATAGGGATCGCGCTTTCCCGACGGAAAATTACAGCTTTATCATTTACCGAGCAAAAAAAATAAAAATAAAACCGACTTTTTTTTAAATCGATAATGATAATGAAATATCATTTTAGTGGTAATAATTAATACACTAAATATTCACCCTCCTTAACGAATTAACCGATAACTATTAACTAGTCTTCAACTAAATGGAATATTTATTATGTAATTTAATGTATTTTATTATCATTTGTTGCAGAAATACTCAGCGGAGTGTGTTACAATAACAATCATCACAATAATAACAATAAAAAAGAGGACGATAGAAAAAATAAGGGTGAGATTTACGGTGAACATTACAAATTTAAATTTTACGATATTTTTATTACAGGATACACGCACAATCCTTATAACGGCGTAGTTTGTAATGATATCATTTTAGCAACTGGGGTTTTTTCATCGAAAGAGTTATGGAAATTGTCAAAATGTAATGCAAATAGGTAGTTCTCAATTTTGAATCTGATAATGGACTTTGTTTTGTAGCGTCAATTCTGCAAGAGTTGTCCGAGAACCACCCGAACATGAACAGCGTTAAGTTGGAACATCCGCCGTTTTACTGCAACAGCTACCAAGAGTCCGGCCCCGTCGTTGTCGATAGATCATCATCGGTCGATTCGATGGTTGTTTCGGCAACATACTGTAAGTAAACGTCGAACAAGTCGATAAAGCAATCGAACGTTTTAATGCCATTTCCAGCGATGCCGCAGAATACGACACTAGTATCGTCCAGTTCCCAAGCCAGCCCGGGCACGTTGTACTACCAGCACAGCCCGGAATCCCACCCTCACCAAAACCAAGTGAAATACCCGGAAAACGGCCACGACACCCTCTCCGATTTCGTCACGTTCGTTTGCCAAGAAAACGACAACAACCAAAACGCCCAGGTATTTTATAAACACGAAACGCCCCGCCGCGCAGCGACCCACACCGCTCGCTCTGTTGCAGATCCAGTCGAACCTCCCGCGCAGCCCCAAGCCGCAGTACTTCCCGTCGGCGATGCTGCCGCCGCCGCCGCTGCCGCCGATGGCCCGGCCGGTCGCCATCATCCGGTCCACCTGCGACGTCAACATGAGCGGCACCAACTCGCCACCGGCGAGCATAACGCCGCCGTGCAGCGAGGCGTCGCCCGCTGACGAGGTACCGGACATTAACCCCTCACCGCCTAGCCCTGGAAGCCACGACATGCGGAAATCACCGTCGCAAAGAAACTCAGTCCCGACCAGTAGTCCGTATTCTCCTAGTCGGGAGTATTCTTTCAATCATTTCCACGGGCAGCCGGGACATGTTGGTATTAAATATTGTTGTCCTAAGGAAGATTACTTCTTTAATTTTTTTGTTTTTTTTTATTCGGGGAGAAATCCACGAGAGAGTCTTTTAAATTACACCCCTGCGTCGCGATGCGAGACGGTGAGTCCTATATTATTGCGAAACCGACGACGCGAGACTTCTCCCGTTTTCCAGACGGGGGAAAATCGATACGCACCAGCACGCCAGTCGCGTCGGATGATATTCCAGACAATATTCCAGATCGAGCGTTCGAAACGCCGCATTAATTTTCAGTCATAAATATTTTTTCACTCGTAGCTTCAACAATCGTGCATTTGCATTTATTTTTTTCTCTTCATAACAGTTTTATAAGTCGTTAATGACGTATGAAATATTGGTAGCAGGTCCGTCTTAAATTCAATTCCAGATTTAATTTAGGATTATCGAAAAAAAGTGCAATTTCTGGATTCGCCTATTGACTCCAATGCACATGCGATTTGGAAGATTTATCGATTTTAGTAGTCTTCCTTTGGACCATACAATGTTTGCTAAGCAACCACAACAAACTCTAAACCGCGATTTCTTCCAGCTATTCAGCTATCCGAGTATGGCAGGGATGTCTGGTGTCATCAGCCCCACCAACCTCAGTATGTACTCTCCAGGTGTGAGTACGACGAGAGGTAAGCCCAAACCGCCGTTATCCAAAACTTATTATCTAATCGGCGTTCGTGGTGCTTAGGTACACCCCGCTCTAGCAGCATAACCAGGTGGAACAACCCGCTGTTCACGCTGGACCAGGAGGACTTCAGCATGATAACGCACACGTCGAACGCGGAGCCGAGCGCCATTATCCTGATGGACGAGGCCTCGCCGACGGCGGCGCCGGCCCCGGACCCAGCGGGACAGTGTTGTAACAGTGCAAACATGATCTGTGACGCGGACCGGTTTTTCCAGGCCGGTGACGGCCTGGAGGGCGCCGAGTCGAGGGAGCCGGATCGGGGCCTGATAGCGCCGAAGTCGCCGTAGCGCGGGAGAGACGATGGCGGTGCGCCTTATCGACGTCGAGTCGCTTGTCGCGCGATCAGTAGGTGCTCAACTGAATTATATTTTTAAGTTGTAAACGTAGAATTGGGTGCCAAGACAGGCTGTGCAAATTTGTTCTGGGATCGACTAAATCGAATGCGGCACACGTTCGATTTGATGGATCGCCATTAGGACATATTTAAGAGAATCGTTGCGGTACTGCGAGTATTGCGACGATTGATATTTTTTTTTGGTAGTTCACCAACGATTTCGACCGTCGTTCTCGTTCTTGAACTTGATAAAAAAATTGAACATATGATGTTTTGATATAATCGAACAAAATTTATATAAAAAAAAAGATTGAAGAACCAAATTGATATATTTTTAGTGGTTTAGGTATATAGAAAAGATGAAAAACACGTTTGACACAAACTAAAAATATAGCACGGCTTGTTTAATTTCGTTCCTTGAACCGGATCGAATGTCCAGCAGTGCTTGTCTTCCACATACGAGCTTATTGCGTAAGCAAGCAGTGAGCTGGATCTGTGCCTTAGTATTACAATAATACTGATAATAGAATAATCTTAGATTGATTAGATATTCGATGATCGAGCTTTTTTGCTCACCGGTGCATTCACCACTTTACCGTGTAGTGAGTCACTCCGAGACTTTGGCTTCACAGAAATGTGATATTATGAAGTGTATTCGTAATTACTATGTAATAAATCTCAATAAACTTCATGCTTGAATACTAGAAACGCAATACGAAATCTCTTTAACAACTGTTGCATGAGTTTTTGTCGAAAATGTATTAAAATGCTGGTTGTTTCGCGATATAACCGCCATTCAAAGCCTAGAGAATTTTGAATGCAAGTTATACGTTCTACCGGTAACTTCAAAATTTAATAAAAGCAACGATGCCTTAACTGTAAATACATTTTTAAGCGATTTTGATATTGATTGTTGAAAGTTTTTAATTCTTTGATGATGAAACGAATAATAAAAAAGTTGTTAAAGACATTACATATACTAAAAAGACACATATATATTCAAGGTATCCGTGAACAATTTGCTTCATAGATAAATAGATGTACTTACAATAACAAATGAGTTTTTGTCACATTCAATAGTTTGGAAAAAGCCGGAAAAAATATTATTTTCGCGGAAACCCTGAATGTACTTTTATACCAGATTATTTTACCAGTTACATAATGTCAACGAACACATTTTTAGCAGGTTTTTTTATTTAATTTAAAGAGATATTGAAAGCAAATACAGGTCAATTTCAATTTCTTTCATAAATCACAAATAACAACGGCTAAAAATGTGTTTCTCCAGCACATCGAATAATCTGTTATAATATTTAAAACAAGAGTGAAAAATAAAGCGATAATATTGAAAGTGTAATTAAAAAATACATAAATACAGTCGCTACGCAAGAAGAATATATTTACAAAAAACCAGTTCAATTATGCTACGATTCATTTACTATTATAAAAATTTTTCCTAAAAGTTATTACTTACTGTTTCAAGCATTAATATTAATTTACAACAAATCGATCAATTTCTTTGTTCCCGAAAGTGTGTAAATATGCTCTTCGTTGCGCGAAAAATATATTGAAATCTTACTGTGATTAAATACCTAAAAGTAGTCATCCTGAGCGATGGATCCGTGAAAACAGGTCATCATGGATCCTCCAGGTCGCGCTCTCATTTGACTCCTTTATTTCTAGTCATGTTTAGCAGAGTGATCTTGACTGATGTATCTACTCCCTCCGTTGTTATTAACAATATTGCTTTAGTGAACACTCTGCAGGTTTATTGTGTTTCGTTAATCGGGAAATACTGAAGTTGATAGATCCGTTCATTGGAGTTTATTTACGAGGATTGTTTAATTTTAATAATGTGCTTATTTGGAGTATCCTTTACTTGTTATGGTGATGGAATTTTAATATGCTCGAACGCAGTTCAGTGTATTTAACGAACTCATCACCGAGCGAGTTATATACTTCTAATAAATCCACAATTGATTAATTATAATATTTATTACGATAGAGTGTTAACTTTTTTATATTAGTTATTTTCGTCGTTTGTATAGAGTATCCAAAGGTCTTCCTTGTAAGATTGTTTAAATACGAAAGCGAAAGGGGACAATCAACGAAATTTATTCAACATGGTTGTGAATAATAGCGGTTTAACAACGAACAAATCTGTCCCAGTTCTTCTGGATTAATAACAAAATATTTAACTTTAGTTGTTGCAAATATGGTTCAAATTGTGTGATAATTTTTTTCTAATTTTTTTTATTCCTTAGGGTCTAGGCTAGGTTTGTTGTAAATTAAAAAAATATATAATGAACTCATCTATCGACTCAATCACACTTATAACTATCAACGCCGAGTTATTAGTATTGTTTTACTGTACATAAATATAAAAATGTAACAATTATTTCTTATGCATACTTAGAGAATCGGGTGATATTTAACCAGTGCCATTGGTATTGTTGATTCTGTTGTTAGGTCAAATATTTGTAATAGTTATTACTCTTTAGTTATTTAGTATATTTAAGCGAAATGTATGAATTTAATTCTTGAATTTAAGGAAAATAAATCAGAGGGTTTATCGTTTCATACAACTTTGTTTTTATTCACCCCTAAAACCAACGATCAAAAACGCGCTTTATATTCAATTAATTTATTGAAATCACTAAAGAAATATCACAAGTATTTAGGAAATGAATCTACAAACTGAATTTTATAGGAGTCGGTTTATACTTCTCACTTTTAGTAACTTTAACTCCTACTTTCGGGGCGTGAAGATGCGGTGACGCCGTGAATCTATGTCCGGCTATATCTATTTGGTATTTCGCATCTTTCGCTAATAAATAATCCGCCGTAACGATTTGCGTATCGGCACCCTTCGGCCTCCTTATAAACCCGATGCAAATCGATTTGTTAGCCCCAAACCCGTACCCAGCCGTCGTGACGTGCCCCACGTACTCGCCGTTCCTGTAAATGGGCTCCCCGCCCCACGCCCACACGTCTACATCAGGATCCAGATCCTCCACGTAGAAAAACACCAATTGCTTGGCGACCCCTTCTTCCTTCTGCTTCTGCAGGGCCTTCTTGCCGTTGAAATCGACCTTCTTGTCCAGCCGCACCGTGAACCCCAATCCGGCCTCGAAAGGCGTCGTGAAGCTCGTCAACTCCTCCGCCCAAAACGGTATGAACCTCTCGATTCTCATGAAACGCTGAGTAAAAGTACCCACGTCCCTTATACCGTAATCTCTACCAACCTGCAATATGTACAACAATTACATAATCAAGTACAAGTTACCAAGCGACTTACAGCCATTAGTTTGTAGTAAACGTGCAGGGCGTACTCCGATGGTATGTACAGGCAAAATCCGGGCTCTCCGGTGTGAGTGAACGACATGAGCATCACATCCGAGGCGTATCCTACGTTGACTTTTTTGTACATAAACGGGGCGAATTTCATGTCGTTGTTGGAGAGTTCGCTCAGAAGCGCCACCGCCTTGGGGCCCACGACGTTGATGACGGTGTACATAGAAGTGAGATCGTTAACGTCTATGGTAGAGGTAGCTGGTAGGTTCCTGGAGACCCAATCGAAGGCCCTCGTTTGTTGGCTCGTCGGGGAGATCATGAAGTAACTGCAAGCAATCGGGTGAGTTGAGATGGTAGTTAGAGAATACGATATATACCAGTTATCCTGCTGTCTGACAAGCATGCAATCGTTTTCGTAGCCTCCTCGTTCGTTCTGCATGCCGGTGTGAATTATTGAACCGACTGGGATGTCTATATCGTTGGAACACAGTTTCTGCAGGTACCTGACTATTTCTAATCCTCCAGACTTGTGGAAAAAAAATTTCAATCAAATTAGAGATTAGAGGAAATAGTTGTATTGTACCTTTAATTCGATTTTCGAAAAGGAAGACATGTCTATTACTCCTACGCCTTCTTTGCAAGCGTAATATTCCTCTTTCATGAAATCGAAGAATTTCGGTTTGAAAAACGTCCCCGGAGGCATCTGAGGTTTCACTCCGCCTTCTGGAAATAATTAAGGCTTAGAAAACGTATCGATTTGTTGGAATTAGTTTACTTTTATAAGTGGTATCGAAGTACAAAGCGCGCTCGTATGCCATTTTTATCCCGAACACGGCACCTTTAGTTTCCAGCACGCTGTACAGAGGGGAACATCTCAATTTTCTCGCGTACTTGTACTCGCATTGGTTCGGATACAAAATGGAGTAATGCCTGAAAATATATTCCATTTGCTTCAACAATAATTTATAGCTAGATAAAATATACCTTCCGACGACTTCCTTAACTCTCTGCTGGAGATATAGCTTGCTGTTATGAACGTTCAAGAATCTCTGAACGTTGAAAGGAAGTATATCTTGTTTCGGTTTACCGTCGATTATCCAATCGGCAACAGCTTTGCCTATCCCACCGGCACCCTAAAAAATGCATATCAAAATATTTGCGATACAAAATAAGCGAATTCTACAATAATTTCAAGCAAGCAGAGCGATAGTTCATTGGTCTGCAATACTGGCTACAAGTGTGTTATATACATAATAGATACACTATTTCGTGTTTGCTGATAACCGAAATAAATTCATGCAAAATAATTAAAATAACACATAATACAGTAACCCATTGAAAAGCGACTATAAGATCTCTACCAGTTCAGAACAATTTTAATAACGAATCGCATTATAGCTTGTATTAAAATGGTAAAAAATTGGTATGATCTCGGTAAAGAGCGAGAAAATATTTATTAAAAACAACTAATAAATGCTACGATTAATCCACACATAATTCTATTGACAATTGTCACCTGTAGGGAATTCCCATTCATACCACAAGCGACAAAGTAGTTTTTTACTTCCGGCGTTTCTCCTAATATCCAACGACCATCAGGTGTGAAATTATCAGGAGAGTTTGTTAATTCTGGGTTACTATAGTCTTTTAACATGGGTATACGATGTACAGCTTTTTCCCATAAAGGACCTAATAATTTTCGATATTTAACAAAGGATATCTACACCTGAATATTTAAAAATTTTCTAAATATTACTGGTTATATTGCAAACAGTTAAAATGCAGATACTAACGGAAGTGATTGAAATCTGTTGTCAGATGACTAGTCCAATCTTTGGGAACTTTGCTTTGTTCGAAAGCTGGCTTGGCTTCCAATTCGAACCATCCGACCATTAAACCATTTTCGTAACTCCTGGCATATGTGTGAGCGTCAAAATCTCTAATAATTGGTATGTCTTCTCCGATACCTAAAAAAGATATATTAATAATTCTGTCAACAAGTTTTATAAAATACAACTTTCTGCTAGAGGTCCAGTAGTTGCGTAAAAATGTTGAGCAGGATAAGCCGGTATACTAACAGGAGGACTGCATTGAGTGCCTAATTCTCGTGCCCACATTCCAGTGCAATTTACGAAATAATCACAGAAAATATTGCCCTGGTCTGTTTCTACTGCGTAAACAGTATTGTTTTTTGTTAGAACTCTTTGTACTGTAGTATTTTCTACATATTTAGCGCCCCCTTGTTGGGCTAATAAGGCAAGTGTATCGCAAATCGATTTAGGATCAATAACAGCATCATCGGGAACCCATACGGCTCCTTCAATGTCATCGGTTCTTATAAACGGATGCAAAGTTTCCAATGTATCTCTAGTTATTAATTCGCAGTGAAGACCTGTAGGAATATTATACGCCATTCTTCTTTTGAGAGCTATCAGTCTGTCTTTAGTCTGTGCTAAATTTATGCTGCCACATTGTTTCATTTGCAAATCGTAACCCTCGTCTTGTAATTTTTGATACAGTTTAATGCTGTACCAAATGAGGTTCCTATGTTCTATAGGCTTGAATAAACCTAATGTACCCGATCCGAAATTTGAAGTTCCACTGCCTATTTTGCCTTGTTCAACCAGCACGACATCATTCCAACCATTTTCAATGAGATGATAGGCCACAGAATTTGCTACTACACCTGCACCTGCAATAACAACTTGAGCTTGTGTAGGTAAATTTGATATTATAGTATTCGTCGTAAAATCCAACACTTGCATGTTCACATTTTTATTCTTGAATAACTTCAATGATTGTCGCGGAAACATATTTATAATTTTTGTATTTGTTTTTCTACTCAAAATTTAAATTTAGAAGTGTCATTACTGTCAGAATTAAGTAATTTTACAGCTGTCTCTTACTTATACGACACACAACCACTAAATATTTTGATCAAAATATCTATAAATTGGCAATGAAAAGAACCTAATATTAATATAATTTAAAATTTAACTAAAGAGGGTTCAATCAACTACAAAACAAATTTATTATAACATAAATTGAATGTTGAAAATTCCAGAATTATTACCTAATATGTTTAGCTGAAAGGTCACTCATGAAGAAGAAGATGACTTTAACCTATAATTATGTTCAAATTTGAAATTATTATAAATGTAAAGCATTCTAGATATTTTTTGTGTTATAAACAGTAAATCTTTTGAATATAAGTTTTGCGACAATGGATTCATCATCAGATAGTTCGGAGAGCGACGATTGTGATGGACTTCGTAGGAAAGCTCTCCAAGTGATACTTCCAACTGATTTCAATCCAGATTCAGAACCTCAAGACGGAACGGAATATCTTCAGCACGTAATATACGAACGACGGAAAATTAGGAAGTATCTCAGAGCGGACATAGACATCAGTAAATATCGTAAAAATCAAACTTTCAATATACATCAGAAAAATGAAGTGGAAACGTTCACGGAGTACTTACCATCGATAGAGTGGCAAGTGAAGAAGCTAAAGGACTTTCAGGATTTTAAGCTGTTAATAGACAACCAAATCGACAAGAATTACGTGCCGAAAGTTGGATTTTTCAGCCAAACTCAATTTAGCGAGATGCTAAATACTGAGGGTCCTAAACTCACAGTGTTCCTGAAATATACTCAGGCCGTTAAATTAGGGATGTTGGAAATTATCACCAAAACCTTGCACGAATGTTTCAATAATTGGAACCTAAAAGATAGCGTTGGTGAATGGATATTCGCAATATTATCGACATTAAGTATACCTATAAGTCCGCATGGTTGTCACGTTATAAGAGATTTTACCAGGATGTGCCGGAAAGTCAGGTCAAGCTTTCCCCAGGATGTAGACAGGAAATTATGTGAACCATTGAATTTCTACATTTGTATTTGCAGCAAAGTATATGGACAAATTGATTTAGCTGATTAAAACAATAAAAACTTTACAATATTTTTATTAACAAGTGGAATTTGGAATATACACATAGAAGGACTGGTGAGGCAAATCAGTTAAAATTTCCAATGCTAAACAGTTAATAAAATGATTAGATGACGCATAAAACAGCCTTTACTGGTTTCATTACGACTTTTTAAGCTAACCCTAAACGACGCATCTCTTTAACCAATTCATTACCCATTTGAGCAGGTGACTTCGTTACGATGACACCCGCCTTCTCCAAAGCATTTATCTTATCCTGGGCCCCTCCCTTGCCCCCGGAGATAATAGCACCAGCATGTCCCATACGACGTCCCGGAGGAGCAGACAGACCGGCAATGAAGGATACTACAGGCTTAGCATTAGGACCCTAAAACGATCATTAAAATTTACTATATACCCCAAATTTTACAGCACTCGTGACTTACAGAATTGTGTTTCATCAGATATTCCGCAGCCTGTTCTTCAGCCACGCCTCCGATTTCTCCAATCAGAATGATACCTTTGGTTTCCGGATCGTTTATGAATACTTCAAGGCAATCTATGAAATCCGTTCCGTTGAACGGATCTCCACCGATACCAACGCAAAGAGTCTGCCCCAGACCGACTTGGGTGGTCTGGTGAACCGCCTCGTAGGTCAACGTACCCGATCTGGAAACGACTCCAATAACGCCCTTCTGGTGAATGTGACCGGGCATTATTCCTATCTTGCATTGCTCAGGAGCAATGATTCCCGGACAGTTCGGTCCGATTAGTCTCGATTTACTTTGGCGAAGAAGCTTGTGTTTGACTCTGACCATGTCATGCTGAGGAATGCCCTCAGTTATGCAAACGATCAGAGGAATTTCGGCATCGATGGCTTCGGTTATGGCTGCTGCAGCCCCCGGAGGAGGTACGTAAATGACAGTGGCGTCTGCACCAGTAGCGTCGCGAGCCTAGAATATTCCATGTGAATAACAAAGATAATTTTTAATATTAAAATGCAGTTACTTTTGTTTTTATTTATAAGGTTGTTGAACCTACTTAGTTCATTTGTACATACATGGAATATATACTAAGTCTTTTTTTATATAAATAAATGATTAAATAGGAACTCTGTACACAAATCAAGTAGCCTTGACATATGTTATCAGGTATAATAACTTGTAATAAATCAAGTTTACTATAATATAACTTCGTTAATAATACATGAATGAGCTCGTTAAAAATATAGTTTAAAATTATTGAATACTATCACATGAAACACTTGAGATAGATGTATTAATTAGTGTACTTAACATATTGTACGAACGTTTTAGGCAAAATTTGTGTAACTGATTTAATGCATATTTCACTCAATAGGCTCACCTCTTTAACAGAATTAAAGACGGGCAGATCTAAGTGTGTTTTTCCACCCTTTCCCGGTGAAACGCCACCGACCATTCGAGTTCCATATTCGATGGCTTGTTTACTGTGAAAAGTCCCTTGTTTTCCGGTGAAACCTTGGCAAATAACTTTGGATTGAGCGGTCAATTTTAAATTTTTCCTTGTGCTTTCGTAACTGTTAAACCTGATGGACTGGCCGACCTTAATTCCATCAGCTGCAAGCGAAATAGCGAACGATTACCGATTTTGCGGTATTTATATCAACAAAACCTCCATGATTTTCGTCATTATATAATTGCTTACCCAACACACGGCTTAATATTCTAGTTGGTGCAGCCATTTTTCTAAATTTACACTAAAAATTTGAACGAGAGATAGGCCTGGACTGTTTTCCTCTTATCTACACATTTAAAGTTCAATATTTGGTTAATCGAGGAACAGCGCACAGATCATTTCAATCCTCGCCTCACCATTGAACCCTCTGCGACCCCGCTACCGAACGAGCTTGATTTGATCGCAAATCGCAAATAGACAGCCAATGGAATATGACCTTTAGACCCTACATCTAATGGAATCATATTTATAAATATTGAACTGAATGGAATAAAATATACCGATGCATGTTAATTAAAGGGTGAAGCAAATTCGACTCTAATAGCTTTAATTCATTTATTTTAAACATAATCGTCCCTTATTTGTGATTTTTCATAATGTGACGTAAAATTTACCAAATTATTTTAAGTTGGTCACTACTACGTTAAGCCTAGTTGATATGGGTATTTTTTATCGTCGGTGGAATAGTTTGAACCAATCAGAATTTAAATATCGTTCAAATGACAGTTCGTGTGAACAGTCCTTTACGTTTAAACATATTTTTTTGACATTTGCCAGTGGTCGCCTTCGTCCACGGCCCTATATTTCTAAGGTCTGGAAACTTCCTTGCTTATGAATTAGAGAATGTGTCCCGTTATTTTAGGACTTTTTACTTCAAAAATTATTATTTGACATTTCGAGGAGAAAATGAACCGAAGATACGTGAGGCGTGATATTAACAAAATCATCGCCGAATTAAGTATATTTTTTTATTTTGTATCTATTTTTAGTTTGAATATAACCTTTTTAATTCTAATTCTATATAATTCGTACGCAAAAAACCGTGGTCCCTTACAAATCATTGCCTCCTAGCGGCAGTTTTAGGAACCCTGTTTTGACCTATGTTTCCAGACCTTAGAAATATAGGACCGTGCCTTCGTCACAGATATTTAATATTCTGTGGTTTCTGTCCACGGTCCATGGTGGTTGCTAGACTAGTTTGACAGTTGACATTTAAGTAAATGGATTGTAGTCGAATGATTTCCGTATTTCCAGTTTTCAATATTTCTTTATATTATTAGTTAAAAAATGTTGGAAATTCAAAAAAAATCACATATATAACAAAATGTAGTTCGCCTAGTATTGTAGGTATTGTGGAAGTGTTGTGATTAACGTGTTACATGTACTGATATTTGTTTTTTTCTTGTCAGCAATATAAACATGGCTGCTGCTATCCATATACTGAAATAATGAAGTTGTATTTTATACAGCGTTTATTTGAATCCAATATGATCATTCAACGCCCAGGTATATATGTTTTACGCAATAATTTGTTAGTAACACATTCCTCCCCAATTTTGATATAATTCAAATAATTTTCATATGTGTTTACGTTAATTTTGTAAATTGTACAACAAGAATTTCTCAAAAACCGTAAATAAGGATTGGTTTTTATTAGCTATGTTTAACATTACGCTTTTGTTTGATATTTTATAGTAAAATATAAAGAAAATCCCCATTTTGGTCTAATTAGGTCATATCAATAATTTGTATTATATAGGGTGTAGTTGGGTATTTTGTTATCTGTTTTGTTTATTTTGTATTAATTTTTGTTATTTTGCAATTATCTGCACATAATTTTATCCAGAGCCGTTATTTTCGACTAATTATGCTCCTTTGTGCATTGGTATTGACTTTTATTTTATATATTGTCAACTGCATATGTATAATTTTTTAGTTCAGTTTAGGTGGTTATTAGTTTTTAAAATTGACAAATTTTCTATGAAGAATGTTAAGTGCATTTATAAAAACAATATTTTTTACTTTGAATTCACAAATGTTGATGATTTCGTCGAAAAAATTAGTGAAATATGCGAAAATTTTACATAGTTTTCCTCCAAAATACTTGAAACTATCGACTAATACCAACCAAGAAAATTTATCTCTAAGTACACAATAATTAAATTGTTGATAAAAAACTAATTGACATCGAATTTTTATAATAATCCGAATTGATTGTGGTAAATTTTTTTATAGGCTGTGTCTGCATGTCAGGCTGTGGTCTGGGTAAACTATGAACTTATTTAGTTGCTTATTTCCATGTGCCCTACAGCACAGTTGGTGGAATGTTAGAAGCGATCAGTATTTGTCAGACGAGTTTTCTCAAAGAATGGGTGTGAATGCATCTACCTCACCCGGAACTGATGCTAGCTTAGTATCAGGTTTGGGTGGAGATTCCTGCACTTCTGTGTATAGAGATACTATAGGAATTGTAAGGTAAGTTTCAGCCAACTTGCTTCGATAATTCATATGGAAAGTAACACGTTTGTTTTGCGTTGCGATCACAGAGACAGGAAAAAGAAAACAACGGGTTTTGCCACTCTGAAACGGAAATTAATTCGAAGGCGGCGTTCTTCGAAGGTTTGCGACCATGGCAAAATGCTTAGGGAACTGGTATCCGATTGGAGTCCACTGGAAGTGGCTGCTTTACTGGAAGAATACGAAGCACTAGCAGCTTTAAAAGACCTATGTGTTCAAGCGGAACTGGCCAGGCCACCTGCCGCTACATTCAAACAAGATCTCTCAGCGTTGTACGACTTCAAATATTGCACCGATGCCGATCTGGTTTATCGGGGCGCTTGTTTTCCTATACATCGGGCACTCCTCTCAGCCCGTTGTCCATACTTTCGAGATCTCCTGGCCGGGTGTCCCGGATACGGGGCCCGCATTTGCTTAGAGCTTAGGACTGCTACTGTCGATGTTCAACTCTTTTCTGCATTGTTGAGATACTTGTACACCGGAGACATTTGTCCGCACAACACCAACATTGATATGAATTTGCTTAGAAGACTGAGGGAGGAGTTCGGCACGCCCAATGCATTAGAAGCGGATTTGCGGTATTTACTCGAAACCGGCGATTACGCGGACGCTGCGCTGGTATTCACGTCGGACGGATCGGATTGCCAGAGGCCTGATTCGGGGAGTTCGGAGTACGGATTCAGGCCCAAGCTCGAATTGCCCTGCCACAAGGCGATCCTCTCCGCTCGATCGCCGTTCTTCAGGAATCTGCTGCAGAGGAGGTCCAAAAGCGGCGAGGAGCACACCGAACGCGCTCTCCACATTCCAACCAGGATCGTACTCGACGAAACGGTTATTCCTAAAAGGTTAGTGGTGATTTATTCGCGACGTTCGTCGGTTTATGTGAATTCGTTTTTAGGTACGCTAGGGTTCTTTTGCACGCGGTATACTTAGATCAAGTGGACCTATCGTTGATATCGCGCGGTGGTTGCGGCGGCGGTTTGGGAGAAGCGCAGGCTTTGGCGCACACCGGTCGTGCCAGGCCCTCGCCTCTCGAAGAGGCCATGGAATTGTATCAAATCGGCCGCTTCTTGGAATTAGATATATTATCGCAAGGCTGTGAAGATTTAATATTGGAATGGCTATCTCTGGAGACCCTGCCTGCTGTGCTGCAATGGGCCAGGCAACCGCACGGATCTGCTTGGGTGCATCGACAGGTTGTTTTTTTGTTATAGTAGCGTCTAATGAGTTTTTGAAATGTTGTATTTTTTTTTGAAGGCTTTGCATTTTTTGAGAGAGGAGTTTCAACCTGTGACTCAATCTCCAGTTTTGCACCAACTGGATAAGGTACATATAATCGAGGTGTTGAAAAGTCCGTTTTTGCAAGCCAGCGAACTGGAGGTGTTACAAGCTGTTTTGAAGTGGGGAGAATTTCAACTAGTAAGAAGAATGGAAGATAGAGGTAAATCAGAGTATTAAAGAAATCCCTGCCATTCCAACATTCTTATTTTTATTACAGAACCAAATATTGTTAGTCATACTGCACATTCGGTAGCTAGGAAGGGCGTAAAGAAGAGGGATCTGAGCGACGTAGAATTAAGAGAAATACTATCCGATCTTCTACCTCTTGTTAGAATGGACCACATACTGCCAACAAATAGCGACGTGCTGAACCAAGCGATCCGCAGAGGTTTGGTAAGTACGCCTCCGAGCCACATGATCGGCGGCGAACGCGAAAACCTTCGAGTCAACGCCTGGATTCGCGGCAAAAACAACGGGTTGTTCATTCAGCCGAGGCTCTTCATTCCCTACTACGACGAGGTGAAGGTCCTCGTCGAGGACCAGCTGGTGCAAGAAGTGGAAATGATGCGGCTGCGACGAGCCCGCTACATGCAAGACATTCCAGACACTCTGTACATGGTGGAGGAGAAGCCGCGCCTGCAGGGCCCCGCCGGCGTTGACGTTCTGGCATCGGTGCTGCCGATACCCGATCCGTCTGTGATGAACGCCATGCTGAAGCGCGAGCAGAAGCTGCGCCAATCGCCGAGCTGCCAACGTGCCCTCAACATGCCTTTGTCGTCGCGACACGAAATCAACAGACAAATCAGATTAAGGGTAGTCCGCGAATTCAATCTGCCCGATCCCGTAGCCGACATGCTGGAGAATTGTTACTGTGTGCCTGAACAAAGTGACAACGATTCGATGCAAATCTCTCCGAACAAGCCCGTAGTGAGCTCGACTCACGGATGCTACAGCAAGAATTTGAGTTTTCCGAGGATGAGCTATCCCCAGAGACAGGAATTGCCCGCCGTTGTGCCCGACGGCGAGTTTCGATTCGTTCCCGAACAGGAGAGCAGTTCCTGCAGCGACGGTCATTTGTCGGACATAATGCCGGACGTTGCCATGGCGACTGCTTCGATGGGACAAATTCAGCTCCAGGACCAGCAGGAAATGGAGCTGGATTTGGGGGATGGTAACACTAGACTGCATAATACCATCGGAGGAATTCAGGTTATGTCGAGCTCTTTACACCATCCAATCTCGTACAGGAGGTATGCACCTTCTAGTTACATGCATTTAAGGTCAGATTCCCAGTCTTATAACCCACCAATGCCAAGGTTTCTATAGTTTTAAGATCTTTTGATTCTGCTTATTGTAAATTGTTTATCCCTAGGAAGTATTTTCGCCACTGCTTTGGTTCCTTAATTTTCTTTTTTTTATGTTTAAGCCGGCCTAAATTTCTAAAACATTCTACTTAAAATAAATTATTACACCAGAATATATCAACGATTAAATTTGATTACCATTTAGTCTAATAATAATAAAACTATTATTACTGCCAATCGAAAATAGATGATGAATATAGTTTAACAATACTCGGCTATATAACAACGAACTATATTTGATTTTTTACTAATAATTTTTTATACAAAAAGGGCAGTTACATTTATATACATTTAGCTCTATTTTAAAATTGTTAACAAAATGATAATAGTCATACATTCTGGAGCTCATTAATTCTTAAGATACATGTAAATACATATTTCAGGTAAAAGAGAAATTAAAATGATTGCGGTAGTGTAGGTACTTGCTATATTATTTAATTACACTGACCTAATTCCATGCACTTGTGGACCATATTTTAAATATAAATTATTAAGACGTATAGGCACTGTGGTCTGTTTTAATGAATCAAACTGAATGTCTAACGATTAACCGATTTGTTCTAATATTTTTGTAAAAAGTTAGGCACTCAGATAAAATCGGAAATACATCCTGGGGAACAGTAAAAGTAATAATGTACAACTGTGATTTTCTGTGAAGAATAATTTAGGTTTAATTTAATTTATTGAATGAAATTGCTGAGAGTGATCATGTGAGCGTATCGAAAAATGTATCATGTATTACTGTACCTGTGGGTGTCTTGTATTTAGATATTACTGTGTTGCTGTTACTTGTATATAAATGAGTGAAGTTTTAGAAAAATGTGTACTTAAAAAAGAACCTATTTCTATATTTTTCAGTTGTCAGTTCAGAAAAAAGTCATTTCGTTGGTTGCCGGCCGATCCGACCGACATGAAGTTGTGCGTTATAAAATAGAAATTCGAAAATATTTTAAGAAACGGTATGGATCGTCGGTGATTTGTTTGTTTTGCATTGGAGTATCCGATGTAATAGCTGGAAAAAAGTTTGAGAGTATACTTTTGGAATTAATTTATGAGAAACAAATCCAGATTTTATCGTAAAGTAACTTGTTCTATAATAGTACATTACATTTTATTTCGACGTAAGAATATTTAAAAATTGGAAGTTATGTATAATCTGTATACAAGTAAAAAAGAAAGTTTTTGCTGTGAATTTTTTTTTATAAAATACATCGAAATTACTCAATTTGTGAATTTAATTATTTTATCGATTATTTTATGCGATATATGATGTGGCTATAAAGCAGTGGTACTTAAAAAATTGCATCCAAAAGGAAACAAATCTGTGGAGTAATGAAAATTATTCATTATTTATAGCCAGCCATCGTGTATTCCCGTTTAAATTTTATACGATTCTAGAATATCGTGCTTTTTATGTTTTTTATTGAATTGTATCGATGCGACTTTGTGTTAAATTGTAATTTTTATGAGTACACGTCAAAATAAATTAAAAAAACGTAAATAGATGTCAAATGTTTGGTTTAAACGTTATTGTTATTTCCAAACGAAAAAGATGCTTTAATTCTTTACCGCATTTTTCTTGGTGTTTTGTATTAAACGTGGGGTGCAGGTCTCTTAAACGTAAGATTATGATTACAGAGAAGGAATATATCGAAGTATAAAATGTGGATTATTTTGTCCTGCATCCCACCCTACTACGTATGCTGATATATTTGTGTAGATTAATAAACCAAATACTTATGTTCTCTGCATGTGTATTTTATTCTATGAAATTGTAAATATTTTCTGTCAATTGGCGACTGTTAACTGTTCTCATTATTTGTTCTTATTGTAAGATGCATTCACATTTGTTCGCTGTGATTGCCCAGAACACAGTTTTAGTACTGCAATATGTTTTTAAGATTTTTGTTTTTTGAGACTGATATCCCTTAAGCTGGAAAAGTTATGTTTAGTTCGTTTTTAAAATCGAAAGCTGTGTTGAAATTTTATTTTATTTTTACCGGGCGTGTCCCTTATTTATGGCTAAAGTTCGAACGGGAAAACAAACTTGAATGCGTCTTATTACAGGTAGTATGAATGAAGTTATTTATTTATCATTGCAATCAAATATAATTTGTTGGAATATTGTTATTGATTTTTTTAAAAATTACCTTTTTCTTTAAATAAATAAGTCCGAGAGGACCCTTTGTTATTGATCTTTTGTATGATATAGTAAGTTATTTAGAATTCGTGTATCTATTTTTAATTATTTGTGACTAATGTTTTTTTTTTGTAAATTCTGTTAAGTACTGTTATCTGAAAATGTATACATTCATTCCTCATAGTTACTCAACAAAATGTTAAGATGGTATTAGGAAAAATGATTTCTAATGTAATGATCTCTTCTGTGTATTATAATCGAACGTTATTCTGTGTGAATATATTGAAATTTTTCGAAATACCTATCTTAATGAACAAGTCTTTAGTGACTTTTGTCTGTGTATTACATTCTTTGGAAATAAATAACTTATTTAATGATATATTAATTTTTTCGACGTATAAATCGGTGTGGAAGAAATTTTACACAAATATTAATCATTGTTTTCGATTTACCTGCAATTATTCTACGAAAATAAGAAATATACATCTTGCATTGTATGAAAAATTTATTACGTCATCGGCAATAAATTATGAAACTTGTGATGTAATTGTTTGGTAAAAAAAGTTACTACTTCCTGTTAGATTTACAAGATTTTTAAAAGCCATATTACGGTGTAAACGTAGTAAGGTAGGTATTTTATTTATTTACATTGCTGAAAAGTTGAAGTATTAAATGCACCATAAAACGAGTTTATAATTAATAATGTAATATTCGAAGTATTTTTTGAAACATGTTGAGATTACAGGAAACTACCGTGTAATCTGGTGATAAAAGTGTTGCATAACTCGTGGCGCCGCCGTTGCCGCAGTGACAACTTGTTGATTGATTATCAGTATCACTTGTTGATAAAACCGAAAGCCGGAATGGGCCGATTCAAATTCGAAATACGTTGTGAGAAAATCGCGGCGTCCATGCGCTATTTTTCGCACAGCCGACTCGATTATTTATTGTATTTATTGTGAATAAACAATAAGCGGAAAGGTTCCAAAACAGCAATAAGAATCAAGGTCTCAATTTTGCCCCGAAGCGAGTTAAATGTGATGTCATAATGACATCATCGGGAAGCGCTGTGGTGCGAAATGTAAAAAAAATATTAGACAGATAAGAGGAGACGGTGTGTAGTGGCCATAGGCAGAAAACTAATGAAAAAGGACCCGAATAAAAAAATCGCATCGTTGTTCGCGAGTTCGGTGGGTTCGTATTCGTTGCCGATCAGTAAATGAGTTTTCGCCATTGGTGTTCTCCAGAATCAATAGAAGTTGACGTCACGGTGGGTGCTTGTCGGAGCGCCGAGCGGCGCTATCAGTGAGCGGGGGGGGACCCAGTGCACTTGTAACTTGGCTAGTAGTGTCATGTATTCGCGCAAGTGTTTGGAACTGTCTTACGTTTTGTTATTGAGGTAGTTTATAGTGCACCGCTAAAATTGTGGTAAGTTTTCGAATAGCATGCAGTCGATTCGTCGATGCATCGTTCATACGAAATCGATATTTTGTAGGTTATATTGTTTCCTTCTGTGTATTAACGTGCTAAGTGGCCTTCAAAAGCGTTTTGCTGTTGACATTGAAGGTCTTTACGCAAAGACTGCAAAAGGCCAACAGAGGTCAACTATTCAAACATATAATGTATTAATTATTGAGTAGATTAGTTCAAAAACGCTAAAAAATCGTCGATTCTTTTGTATCTATCCGGTTAGCTATCCTGTGACCTGTGACCTCTGTTAGCGCGCCAGATAGGATTTCCAATAACAATATTTATGTTTTTTCGTATGATTGTTTGTCGGTATTACCGACTGTCATTTCATTATTTTCATTAATTAAACAATTCAATGCAATTACTACTCGATTTGCATCGTTTTCGTGTCCATCTAAGTTCCCTTGCAAAACCCGATTCGAAATTAACATGCTATGCTACTAACCAAACAGGTTGTATCACTAACAGATGAGAAATAAAACAAAATGAGAAGAGAATAAACAATAATAGGAAGGAATACAAATTTTTCCAGTCACAATATTAGTGCAGCAGGAACGCAACAGATGGAGCTCTAAAACTGCCACATGGGTTGCAGGAATACAGGCGAAATCCAGATGAAAATCCTATATTTATTCATTAATATACTCTATAATACCGCTTTTACCACAATATATTTATTGTTAAACTAAATTAACCGAAATAACTCTTACTTTAATGCCTCTGTTAACAGGGCTACTTGATTTCTTCCAGTAAACGGCAAATATTTTTCAAACATCTAACCTAATATCATAAAATTAGCTAATATTTGAATAGTCGATCAGTAATAAAAAGATTTACTTCATTTTCAAATCCCTAGGCCTCTTGATGATCAAAATTATATTATTTTAATTATAAATTATTGTTTGCGCATTTTTGTGGGTGGACCACTTGAAACCCTCCTATAAACTCTTTGCGTAGGTAATTCAAATATAAATTTTTTCTAATCAGTTTAAGCCATCGAATTCAACAGTTTTTTTATAGGAAATGTTTTTTTTAATTAACACATCTAGTAGGTGAGACATCTACGTAATTTAATTTGCAATATTTACATGCAAATAGCGCTGTTTGGTGTTTTAATATCCGATTTATTTCGCATATTAAAAATCAAAATATGATTTCCAAGCTTTTAAAAACAATTTCAATGTTCTATTTTCGCACGAATGTACAAACCATGTTAATTTTAGGGTGAAATCGTGGTTAGAATTTTTTTTAAAAGGAACGTTTTTTGCACATTTTTTCGCACAGCAACCGCAATTATATCCTATACAGGCTTCATGTAGAGGATGCAATCAACCTATTTTTGAGACCGAAACATGGGATATAATTCGATTGCCAGGGCTTTTTGCGTCCAGCTCTCGCACTAATTGTTTTGTGAATACTATTTTTATTTTATCCAGGAAGGAAGGAAACAATAGGCCCACAATTTTGTTAAATGTGAAATTTGTTTTTCCATATTAATACAACAAAAAGTGTGTATGTATGAGATTGATTACCTTTAACAGAGACGCTAAGTGTGCTCTGAAAGACGAAGAAATTAGCATAGGTATCAGACGATCAGGTCCCGAGGCAAGGTCAAGTTGAAAAAGTTGAAGGACCATCACGATAAGGTTTAATATACACAAATGTCGTTATTTTTATTCAAATTGTTTTAACGGAATTTTAAAAAATGCATTTTTGCTTCGAAAAAATCTAATGCGTGCCAGTAATTTTTCGTTAATTACCGAGTCATTTCGCTTCTCCCTCCTTCATTTACACTGCAAACATTCGTCCGAACAATTTCCAATGTTATTTGTCTTCCTAATTACCGCCAACTAATAGGATGATCAATTCGAAAAAAAAATTGCCATAAAACTCCTAAACTTTTATTCTATACGACACAATTTTAGAAGCACCAACTTTGCCGGGTATTTATTCGTTTTTTTTTCTGTTTATTTCAGATAACCGACTACGTGGGAGTAATGGACATTCTCGCCGATTGCTAGGGTGAGTATCGAAGTCGAATTTTTATTACAAAACGACTACGCCTTTCATCTGTCAATTTGCGGCCGAGCTAATTTGAAATTCAGCAACAATTAAAAACGGAGTCCGCATGTCCGATCTCGATTCGAGACGCGTAAAAGCAAACGCGATACAATCGTGTCACGTGTACGCAATAATGTGCACCAGCTGAAAAACATACATTGTCGCTGCCTCCTTGGAAGCAACAAAGCAATGGGCCGGAGGAAGTACGTAATAGTTCTTTCGCCCTTAATTCGGCCAGATAGCGCACGTTGAAACGCCGGCCATTAAATTGCATTGTTAAAGCGACCGAATTAATTCGATTTAGTTAATCCGAACGCGCCGCTACATCTACATACGTGGAGGGCATCTCATCCCGAACCGACCCTGTGCGTTTCTTGGCGCAGTCAAAACACATGTAGACCGTAAATATATATATCCCCCCGGTGCTGTCCGTGTTCCAGCTGCGAACAGCCATCTCGCATACACGTGGCGTGTTCGCTCTCTGCTCTCCGATCTCCGATATTCCGCCGGCTAAAGCCAAACCATCCGAGTCCCAGCCCCACATCGCCGTATCCCGCATCTCCCCAAGAAGCAATACAAGATACGAGATGACTCTCCCGCGCGACGGCGTATCGTGTTACAAATTTATTAACAACAACTCGAATCTCTACGCCCGGTGAAAGCGCTACTCGATGCCGGTGTGTCGCATTTGGCGTTTCCCGAACCCCTTTTGTTTCCAATCAGCGAATACCTAAAGCCGATGAATTATTTTAAGATACATGCTTTTATTTCAGACTCCGTGCGATTGAAACTTTTATTCGATAGGTTCGAAACGTTGGTTATGCTCTCGCAGGAATTTATGGCAAAATATTCCATTAACTAGCCTGTAAATCACGCTTTTGTGTTGGTATATTGGTGGGCGATCAAGAGAAATTCGGAAAACAATGAAATTAATTAAAAAGTAGGAACAACATCCGCGCAGGATTTGAGTGTGAATGGGTTTCCTGGAGGCGTGACACACGTGAGGGAGCACGTGCCCTTCCTGAGAGGTGGAAATGAGGGTACAGAAAGGCGGTGAGGCGGGTGAAAACCACCCCTCGTGTGCGTCACTGCTTAATATCGATTTTAGTATGCGTATTTCCGATGAACTTGTCAGGGTGGAACGTCAAGGTCGCACCTTCCAGCACCGCGCTTTTTTTTTGTTCGATAAGAAAAAAAAAGGGGAAAATGCGTCCGCTCTAATTGTCGTTTGCGTAATTAATCGAGTCGAGAGAAAATTTACCTACCCGTCTTGATCGAGCTAGATCATCTTCCAACTGGAGTGAAACACGCACGGCTCTCGTACGAGTAAAACCGGTCTTTTTTATTCGCAAAACGAATAAATAATGTGATGTACAGGAATGTTGACGACCTCTTTGACAGGTGAAGCAACAAATTTAGTACTTATAAATCAGGAGAAGGAGCCGAACCTGCCATTAACCCTTAAAAACTCGACTGCAACTTATAACAATGCGCGTTGCGACAAATAGAAACGGAAAGAAATTATTAGTCACATCTGGGGTTGTTAAGGGTTAATTGAATGTTCGATTGATCCTGGCAAGTAAGTAATTTAGCGAATTTATACTTGCGAGGTTTCGTATACAAAGTGTGTCCTGGTAATGATTAAGTGCAACCTTAAAATTGGTTAATTTCACGAAGGAAAAAAAAATGTGGTTCATTCGAAGTTCGAAGTGTAATCAATAAATTTATTACGATAATGTAGGGGTTTGGAAGTTAAAAGTATCGATTGTCGTTCGAATGCGAAGTGTGGTTTATGTTGAATGAACGTGAGAATGCAGGTTAGCATTTCGGAATCTTTAATATTTTATTGAATATGGTTGAAAATAGCCTTTGGTTGTGTGGGCACAAATCAGCTGATGGGTGCCGAGCGTTTGCTGAAGCCGTTTGGTTAAGTTTAGCGCGAATCTATGTATAGATAGATATTTTTGTTTGTTTATGTCTATAATTAACATTAAAAATTGTTCAGGCATTGCTGTGTGCAACTTGGTCAGGTCAAAAATACTCAAAAAGCTGTGCTATGAGAGTACTGAAATAAAACTTGTATTTTGAGCGTTGATGAGGAGATCTGGTATGGTTAGTGGGACTCGGTCCGTCGCTGAATATCGGTGGAAATTTTTCGATTTTCAAACGCGAAGACCGCGAAACCTTTTCGAAAAATGGCAGAAATGTCGTTTGTGATTTTTCGAAAGACTGACGCGTGTGTTTCTATCAGCGCGATTCAAGTGCTTAGACGACATTCGACCAAAATGAAGCCAGTGGTAAGAGAGACTGCCACTCCCACTAATAGTCCGGACGCCTGACCAACTTGCCATTTTTCTGTGCTTTCCTATCCAGATAAAATCCCTCGGGGATTTTATTTGCACAAAATACATCAGGTAAAACATCCAAATTAATTTCTATTTACTACATTATAAACGCACCTTTTAATTCAGTTATATTTCTACCCCTTTATATGTTTATTATTATTAATACTATTTAATTTTAATAAGAATTTACTCTTCTACCACTGTATTTTTGCAAGTAGTTGCGTTTTAGAAGAAAAAAAAAAATCACTTAACCGGTAGAGTGATGTAAAAATTGTTTATCAATTTAGTCTTAACCTTTACTAATCTAAAATTTTCTGTAATCATTCTCTATAATATTATATGTATAAGTTGTTTACTGGTGCTCTAAAGTAATGTTAAATACTGATAGTGGTTATATAAATTATTTTTTCGAATTTTATAAAATAAATCATATCGCTTTCTTAAATGAAAACTGGAAAGTACATACATATTAATCGGAATTTGGTGATGGTTTGCAAGAAAATGCATTTACATTCAATCATCGGGATAGATTAAAACCAGCAAACACGACCTATTTTCTGGGTTGTTTTGGCTTCGGTCTACGTAATAAAAATCACATTTTTTCCTCCTTGCTCAAATTACCCAAAACCCGTGCCATCCGGGAGCGATTGCGTCATCAGTAAATATTTATTCGCAATTTCCTGTCTAAAACCCATCTGCACCCGATTAATTTATATTATAATTCCTAATTAATCGGCAATCATCGTAGGTTTTGGACGGATTTGGTCTCGTTACGTCCCTGCTCCTGCTTTTTGTTCGGGTGCCCTCGAAATATCCACCAATTTTGAGGTTCGGCTCCGCAAAGTGCTATTCGACTATTGTGTAAATGCTAAATTTTTGTTCGAATTCGATGACTAATCGCATTTGAATTTGCATAATGACATTTCTTTGTTTTAATTTTAGAATTTGGCAGTAGTTTATGCGCCGATTATTCCGATTAATTTATTTACACTAAAAGAACATCAGGAAATTATGCGCACATTCAGCGTTTCTTTTCGAGGTTTTTGTGGAAACTGCTGCGAATATTTTTCGTAGGTTAGGCAGCATGCAGGGTGAGCACATTGCAGGTTTACCTTAAATGAGCCACCTTGTTTGAAATAATATCGATATTTACCAGTTAGTCGATTTTTTTTAATTATACATTTTATTTGATATTTTCGCGTAAATATTTTACGAAATATCAATACTATTGGCTTAGATAACCTTGTTAAACCTTATATCAGTATATTTGTATTAACGATGACAAAGAACGTTAAATATCGCGAAAACCCCGTTAATAAGATCTCCACTTTTTTTCTCTCATCAATAAAGTTTTTCTTAGCAACATATTAATGCATAGACCTACGCGTTTTTGAGAAAAAAATCATCCGAAATATTTCCATTTTGTATCTTTAAATAGATTCCAACTGTAAGTTCTCATTTACGTGCAGTTCAATGTTCTTTTAACAAGAACCACGGATTTCGTTTAAACTTGCACAATACTAGAAATACGAAAATAAAAAATACTGCCCCTTAACGAGCCGATTTTCACATTAATTTATCCATTATAACACTATTATGTAACAACATTGATTTTATTTTGGAATCGTGATCTAGCGTATTTGATGGGTGATGGCACGAGTTGACTTTTTGGTATAGTTTTACCTAGTTATTCCTCAGAAGTTATAATAATCCCTGATTATTTAGTAACGGAAATTGTATAATATATTAAGAGTTATTTATTTTAAATTTAAAAAATGAGGGATTGTGAGTTTTATCATTTTTAGTGAATCGAAATTCATAGAATATTAAACTATATTGTCCAATAAATACTTTCTATGACCTCTTTTAAAATTGCTCATTGATAGAACACGATATTTATAGATAAGTATTTATTAAAAATATCAATTTGATCTAAAACTAACGGTAAATATTAATAATAATAATGCTCGTTTGAAAATTATAAAATATGTTAAATAATATATTTATATTTAAACAGTTAGTGGATTGATAACATGTCTGTATAGTTATCTTTTTTCAAGTATCGACAAATCCCATTTTCCGAATGACTTTTGGCCGAAAACCTGGCAACATGTATAGGAAATCAAACCAAATATTTATACAGCGTTAGTAAAGTGTGTCGCTCATCAGAAATACAAATCTTTTCCGAGGGTATTTTACGTGAATATTATTAATTTAGTATCTACATCATTAGAATAAATTAGTATAATCGTCATTAGTTCTTACGTAAAACCTTTCTATATCTGCATTATTAATGTTCCTGGATAAATTATACTTATTTATTGTATATCGTCGAGTAGGATGAAGTATTAAGTTTTAATTGGAAATCGAGTTTGAGTGAAATTCGTTCATATTATTCTTCATATTATTATTCATAATTTTTATTAATTTTTTTTCCTGCAAATTAATTAACAATAAGGAAAACTATTTGAGAAGGAAAATAAGGAAGAAAATGTTTATTATTTTAGTCGATTTAATGCCGGTCGAACGTAAAATTTCCTGCGACGTTTTTTTTGTTAAATTTATTTAGTGAATTTTCGTCGGTAAAGTTTTCAAAGGCGATCGGACGGGAGATGCGAGAGAGATCGGTGGAAATGGCGCACCGGCACCGGCACCAGGTCGCCGATCGACGGTCTCGACTAGCAGGAACGCGTGAGGCGCAAACGAAAGCGCAGCCAGACCCCAGGACCCCTTCTCGATTGCCCTGTCGAGTGGACGGCGAGCCATGCCTTTTAAGGAGCGCCGCTGTACACGCCAAGTGCATCAAGTTACTTGCCCCCTTTTTCGCCTCCCCACTTCCCATTTTCCATAGACACACACACACAACACACACAACACACACACACACGGGCTCAGGCATAATCGCATTTTTTTTAAGTCGGTTCCGTTTCCGACCGATTAGTTACCAAATGCAGGAAAATGCTCCTGGGTATTTTTCCTATCTTGTATGTGGCTCGTTTGGCTCATGCCACACGCGTCGTCTCAAGTTTACTCGCATTCGATTTTGAATTACTTCCGTGGAATAAATCTCGATTTGCTCTCCGCGTAAAAATAAACTCGAACTTCTAAGTTACTAACGACCTTTATTTCATGCGCTAATTTACGGATATTTCGTCTAACGAAATTTCGCTGCAATTTTAATTACGTACCAATAACAAGCTGGTTTGCAAACAAACGTTTTTTTTATTCGGCATATTCCTATACACACCCAAATTGGCGTTTACTGCGCTGTGCAACAATTTGCCAAACAAATTCTAATATTTGTTTCAACTTTAATGAATTCTCTGTTTGCATCCGAGATAATATCAAAGTTGAAACGTATGACGTTTGTGCTGAAACGTGTTCGTGTAATTAGTAAATTACTAACTCCGGACTCTATTAATTATTAATTCGCACCCTTTTATTATTTTCTAATAAAGCATATACATAGTACATTTTTGATCAGCGCTTCGCTCTAAATTAATTTAATGAAAGTTGGAAAATGCTTTTCACGAAATTTTATTTCACGCCGACTATTAAAATCCCGTCTCAGATGGAATATTTCTATTATAAATGAGTCGTTTTGAAATGAATTGAAAAGAGCAGGTATTAAAAATCAAAAGAAAAACCTCGTTTTAATCAAAAATTCAATTAATTTGTTTGCAAGTTGAATATTTCGATATACAAAATTCTTCGTGTATTTGACTAGTCGATTTATTTTCGGTTTATGCCTTTTGAGCCAACCAATTTATTCGTTTAAGTGGTATATGTTATCAATAATATCGATAGTATTTCACTCTTGCTCTTTTCACAAACGAACGCAAACTAAATTAACATCATCAAAGGATTAATCTGTAATAATTGATTAGGTAATTTGTCAATATGTTTACAAACACTCGGCTTCCATTGTTTAGTTAGATGGCCAATATTAGTTTCCTTATGAAGGAATTAATTTACATCAAAGCATTTCCATTTGGTTAAACAAAATTATTGCACATTTCCTAAATATTCGTTTTACCCTATAACTACATTGACAAACTCTCACAAGAGTTGTTGAAGTATCGAAAATTATATATTTTAAATATGTGAAAGCAACATCTCGGAAAATCTAGTTTGAATAGATAAATTCCTTTCCGCTTATCCGCTCATCCGCTTTCTTTCGTATAAAACGGAATAATCGAACAATACTAAATAGCTGAAAATCCTGCGAGAGGTCTGGATTTCCAGCCCGTCTCCGCGTTTCGAGATTTCATGGAAGTAAAGCGTGTAAAGCACATGGCTCTTCCGCCGAAGGTGATTAACCCACAAAGCGATTCAGGTTATCGTTACTTTTAAATTCGATTTAATTATTCAATTTTTATCTGACATATGTTCGAAATGGAAGAACGGATATTAATAAAAAAAAATTCGTCTCCTCATACCGATCCAGCCCAGGACCGACTTTGCGCGCCTTCGCCCGGGCAATCTTTAATAGATAAGTCGAGGCGAGTTGTCGGGCGACGGACTGGGGGTAGTGGAAAAATTTGTAAGTCCACCTTGTTGACCGAAGTCGTCGTGATAATGGATCCAAGGAAAAAAAATGAGCTGAGAGGGGCCGTGATCTAAAGATAGGTTTGGGCACGTGTGCAGAGAGATTCACGGTTGGAAGTTTGTTGGAACGGTGCCTATAGTGAAGACGATACGTAAAAAACTTTTTCGAAAAAAAAATCGTTCAATTAAACGTTTCCAATAAGCGCGCAATAGGAATTTAGGTGCCTCGAATATCGCCGAACCTCAGGAACTCGTGTGTCCATTTTTGTAGTACGAAGATGGTGGTAATCGAAGCTTGCGGGTGATTGAGCAGGGAGTTGATGAGCCTTCGAGATAGTTAGTTTTAGAGGCTTTAAAGCCTACCACCCCTACTAGTGTACATGTATATGAGCACAAGCCAAGCGGGAAAGGAGGAAAGGAACGAAAACAACAAACATCGCGGCGCGGAATAGGGGGGGACAAATTACGACGAATGTTGAGGCGTCATGAAGCGTCGTCGTCGATTCAGATGTTTGGCGTACCGCAGTCGACCGTCCCTTTGTGGGGTATTCAACTATACAGAGTGGGCTAATAATAGATGACAATAGCAGCATCTTTGTAGCAACTATCTTAGGAAAAAATCTGATCGAAATTGCGTACATGCAAAGCGAAAATTTTCGATTTAGAGAGAATCGTGACCGAGGCAAGGAATTTCCCGTAATTCAATGTGAAATCATTTCGCATTATTAGCTCGATTAGATCTGTTTGCTCGAATGAAAACCGTAGGAGTGTACTCTGACATGTCATAATTTTATTGAAAATTTAATGACGTGATTTTTTGTTTCAGGTACCAGGAACAGCATTCCATGGTGCTCCGATGAAAGTAAGAATTATTTTACACTGTTCCGTATATTTCTATCCGAAAACTAAATATCGCTCAAAACAATTTAATAGTAGGTAAAATAATACAATATTAGAGCATTATTATTATCTCATTATAAATAATTTATTCAGATATCTATACAAATTACGTTTCCTTAGATATTTTGTTAATTCAACTGGTTTGTAGGTGGTTTTCTATGTATGTCGAGTCGAAATCGATTGTTGGGTTTCCTTGACGGAAATCTACTAAATAATTAAGTTCGATATAAGAAATGAGTAGTTACGTTAAACGTTTGCACAAAGTTCCATGAAAATTATTTCCCCAACCATGAATTATATAATATAAATCCGCCAATGCGGCGAATAATTCAAGTAATTTCGTATTAATTTCAGTTCTAAATCGGTTATTATGACATTAAATTGAATCTGTTTACCTACAAAAATACAGGAGGGGAAAATTAAATGAACTTCATTTGATCTACAAACGCTAATTAATCGCGTATATTACGTCTTTTCTAGAAGTTTAGTGGGTTTTATGTAAGTACCTTGCAACGGAGAAAAATATCGGTACTGTAGCGATAGGTGACTCCCAGTAACTCCTGGCAAGCGTCCAAAAATTCTGTTTTCTACGGATATTAAAAGAAATACCCTTGATTTTCATCTAAAGTATTAATTAATATGCTAACGCCGTTAACTTCGAAATGATGTAGTCCGACAGCAAAATGCATACACCTATGAAGAAGGTGCGGTAAACAATGTTAATTTTAGATTGTAGGACATTATGGCGTATTTAGAAGTCTTGTTTTAAAAATTTCAGATGTTATTTATATTTTTTTAATCGAATGTAGGTACTCCTACAATAAAAAATACATTACTGATAACTCTTGCTAGTGATAAGCAAAATAGGCAATTTACTAAAGAGAGACAACAATCTCAAAGAATTCGATTTTACTTGGGTAATGGATAAGATATCTGATCGTTTTTATTTTTATCTTATTTTAGTTAACACATTCACTAAGCTCTCTCTGATTGTCGAAAATTCAGAATTTTTTAGTCATTTTATCACATTGTCTTTAACGAACCATAATAAATAATTTGAAATTCATAATCGACTCGAAAGAGAATTGAATACAAAATGAACAATTTAATTCATCGGTATCTCTCGGTATATATGCGCAAAAAATTACAGCAACAATATGACATACTGTTTGTTTATCTACATATCTATGTGGAAAATTCCTTATTTGCTAAAAATCTTAACGGTTATTTAACAAAATCATTACAGTGATGGATATAAAAGTGGGACTAAATGCTATAATATAACATTTTTTTTATTTAAAACGCGTGCCTACATGATGTAAGAATAATTACATGAAACTTTCGGTAGAAATAAGAACTTTTTGTATATCTATTACTTTTTTCGAATTTATCTATACGAAATAATTTGCCTATACAGTTTGAAAGTATAGCTTATAGATATTAACGCGAGGTTATTAAGGAAAACATTGTTGACCTACCAGTATTTTGATTTCGCGATTGTTTCAAATTGTTTTGATAAAAACCAGTTATTTAAATGATGTTTCCACATATTTATCTTGTTATTTACAATATTTAATCATTAATAATTATTAAAATCCTTTAAGACTCAATAAACTGGCCAATCGTTTTTATGTGTTGATAATACAATGCCGGTCAAAGATTCACCAGCAAAAACATGTTTTATGTCATAGAACGTAAAAGTCGAGTGAGTTCCAATGGTTTTTTTTATTCTTATTCGCAAGTTCAAATTTCTAATTTGTGTTGATTTTAATAACGCTTAAAAAAACCCATCTCCTAATTAGAACCATATTTTATAAGCACCCCTATTATACTCTGTTAATTATAATTACCGCTGCGTTTCTTTTTCCTTGTTTTCTTTGAATCCACAGTCTACCTTTTTTTTTTGTAATCCTGCAAAATTAATTAAATTTTCAGTAATTGTTTTTGTCCGAATTAATTTGGATTCTGAGCGTACATTGAGATAGATGATCCTCGTTCTCGTTTTAACTATTTATGACGCAACAAATTAATATACAATTACGTATCTAGCCATCGTTGTTGCCTGCTGGTGATGGTGGGGGAGGCTAAACAAGGACGAACGAACGCTTTTCATTCGAAGAATGAGGGTGTGAACATTTCGGATTTAAATCTAGTTACCATATCAATCTGGATTTTATTAATTTAATAATTCGCAGACCTACATCAGTGGCAGCCGAAACACATTTGATAAAAAAAATCTGTTGTCCTTCGGTTTGCGATTAAGCCTTGCGGTTTTGTTCTCGCAATATTAGTAAATAACTAGTTTTCCAACAATAAAAAAAATAACGATAAAACTGATATGACCTACGATAATATTTAAATTGATAAAGAATGTTACACAAATCAATCCAGCGGCTTTATATTATTAAATTAATTTTCCATCTAACGGAACGTTGCTTTATGTAACAAGTTAATTAGCAATATCGTTGACAATATAATTAAACAATAAAAATTGCAGATTATTTCGATTATTATTTATTAAATCAAATTTAAAATCGGTACAATTTAGTACATTCGAATGCTCGTGTATCTTGGGGCAATAAAAAAAATTAAAAGACGGTAAGTTATCTAATAGTTGAAGTATTCGCTACATCAGTATCGGTATTGCCGGATTTCCGGTTATAGTACGATGGGGCGCTTACATACAGCTGTTCCCATACCGTTTGGAGCATTTAAAAATCATATAGGGAAATCAATCTGGCCGTCTCTCGCGCGCACGTTACTCCGAAAAATCGTTTATCCACGAACGTGACATGTTTTCTTTCATTTAATAATTCCTTTATTGCCGAGCGAAAATGCCCTTGTTTTTAATGAAAAGAAAATAGTTTTTTTTCGCCCGGTAATTTACGTAGTTGATGTTTTTCTCGTTTCTGTTCCGGATCGATTGCTTATTGCGTTTGGGTCTATATTCTGAATATTTGATGCAATTACGTAAAAGACAATTGATTATAATCCGATAATGACGATTTCGTTCTTTCGTTTGACTCGTTTTCGTGCTAATAAACATCTGCAAATGAAATGTAAGTAAATAGGTAACACGCTCGTGACGCAAAGAAATGATTTTCGCGAAACCGCAGCATCTGCTCTACAATTTTTTTTTAGGAAAACGTGCGGGTTTGGGACATGGCGGGACCTACAATAATTTCTTTCTATTCAATCGAGGAATAGGTACATATTACGTAACTTTACTGGATGTAAAAAATCTGCACGTAAAATTAGCATTAAACTTTTATCAATTTCGCTTGTTTATCTATTGAGATAGGTGACGTAATCTTATCAGTGAAATCCTAAGTAGCAACATTTTAATTTGAAGTTATCCAGTTTTTCTCGTAACGAAATAAGCACAGTTTGTTTTCAATGCGTTGAAACACCGAAAGTTAATTCACTCGGAATTTTCTAAATTATCATAATTTGTGAGTGCATAGTGCTATTTTGTTCAATTCACAGTAAGGATAACGATGAATTTTGAATGGTAATTATTAAGAGTTTTCTATTATGTAAAAAAATCATTCAAGAAATCAAAGAATTTATTTTCTGTTATAGTGTAAATAGTTTCAAACTATTTTAAAAAAATTCCTTTACAGTTCACTGACCAATGGACGTATTTTTATAGGTATTAAAAATTACAATACCGGCTGATCATACTGACAATGCAGGAAGGTGAAAAAAATTACTTGTTAGTAATAATGCTCGTCAGTACAGTTTAAAATATATTTTTATTTATAGAATGTATAGTTTTATAAATAGTAGAAGTTTGAGGAAAAATAATTTTGGGTCATTGTAACTAAGTAAGTCAGGTTAGGATTGTGTATCTTGATTTTAGGTTTAGTGATAAAAGTGTTTTAGTATTTATTTAATCCAACTGATTAGATCAGTTATCTGGGTTTTATGAACGGCAAATATGACCTTAAGCAGTGTTAATAACGCTACTTTGAAGAGTTCACCTTAAGTTTACTCATTTTTTTACAATTATCATCAACGTATGTTTGAAAATCTGTAATACTTTGAATTCAGTTAAGATTTCGTAGAAACTGCGATAATATGGTTGAAGTTTGATGCAAAATATGATGTCTTATCCGATTTTGTAGGTTTACCTACATATCTTTCAAAAAATATAAATAGAATTTCTTTGTAGCTTCTAAACTGCAACGCATTTATTCGCAATTTTACGTAAATAAAGTGTTTGTAAAACGAATAAACCATACAAAAGTGCAAGGTTTTTAAAAATCATTGTTGCTGTAACGTTTTAAGTTCTATTTTTACAATATTTTCCCAAGGTATCCCGTTACACTTTTCGAAAAAAAATATTAATTTATCCAGAGTTGAGTGATATATGACAACGTACTATTAAATATTTGGGATTAGATTATCACTGAGATACGGTGGATAATTTATTTGAAAAGTCAATGAATAAATATTCGCATATTGTTTCAAGTAGCTTATTGTTGATAACGCATTCAGTCATCCGTTACATTGCAGTACAAATTCGGTTTTCATAAATTTTTTAGTATAATGATAAAATGCCCGGTGTTAATATCCGATTTGCCGTCTTTTGAAATAACGATTTTTTACATCTTTCTTTAGGTTGTTAATTCGTTAATTAACGAAAGGGACTTTTCAACATTTCTTTATCCACCGTTTGGAAATATCATTTCATCACATCGAACAATTGTTATTAGGTAACACTCCAATTAATATTGTAAAAAAATATCTTATTGCGTAATCTTCTAGTTAACTTTAGCAGTTTAGTTTCTAATTAAATTGAATTCATCTTTAATGAAAATTAGTGTTATATTTAACATCGTATTTGCGAGGGAATAGAAAAGATGTAATACAAATATTTGGTACAAATAATGTTCAGCGTTTAGTTTTCACTGGCAAATGCATGTCAGGAGTAACAGGAAGGAAATTTAATGCAACCATAATGACTAATAACCTATAGTTGGAAACTTGTGTTAAATTTGCGGGAACTCGTCTTCCTGTTGTAAGATTTTGGCAAATCATTGTGAGATTATTACAATGGAATGTTTGTGCTGGATTGTAGAAGATGTCCTCCTGATGTCCACCTGGTGGATTTTAGAAGAAAACAGATCAATCGTATAGATAATCGTGGCGACTTTCGATGCCCACGTAGGTCAAAAAAAAAAAGGGGAGTAAAAGGAAATAAAAAAAAGCGTGCGTCAGCGGGACAGCATCATTTTCACTCCTGCTGTGCGTTAGTTGGAGGTATCGGAGCGCACGTTTCCCGGCAAACGGCACAGATGTGGCAACGCCATGGGCATCGGGCACAGACGCTGACGCTCGCCGGGCAACGTCGGGTCGCCGCCGCTTTGGAGTTTTCACCCCACGCGTCTTAGTAACCCGCCAGCTGACTCGGACGGAGCGAACGCCCCGACATTGGTCGATCGCTGCGACGTCACGGGTTCGTATCGACCAATACGACGGTGCGGTCGGGCATTGCTGGATCATCTCAATCAACTTGGCACGAGTCTCGAGTCTGGCTACTTGGGTAGTTCGTCGCGAACGCGTGGTGCGCTCTTTCCTAGATTTTCTGGTACCAGCGAACTCTTCCACGGCTAGGCTCCGGCTCACAACTTCGGCGTTGCGATTGAGGTTGAGTTGGGTCCCGGTAACGGAGTATTATATTTTTTTTTTTACCTCGTCTAGTCAAATATTTAGCGACGCGAAAGGCGCGATCCGGTCGACTTCAATTTTTTAGTGAGTGCGATTTCGAATTGATTTTCCTGAAGGTTTCGGGTTAGATATATTTTTTTTCTTCTATTACTACAAGTTATGTGATTTGGAGTATTTCGTTAATTTATGTAAGTATTATTATTATAAAAAAAATATGGTCGTAATTCACAAGTTTTGTTTTATCGTGTGCGTATCAAATTTTTAATTAAAATACTTGTGATATACGTTTTCAGAGCCACGAGTGTTTTTTTTTTATTTATTAATTATTTGCGGATAACATTATATAAACATTGAGCTTTATTATTTATTGTCTGTATATAAGTTTTATATTTGACAAAATTTTTCGTTTTTGTTCAAAGGTAAACATCCTTAAAGTACGACTTATCAATATTAGATAATACTCGAATCGCGAATAGCATTAAATACATATGTGTAATTGGAATTCATTTATAACTAGTTTTACTATTTTTAAATTAAAAACAAACATCTCGCAATGTTTTGTAACTATATTTAGTAACAATGGTTTTTATCGACTTCTTAAAAATAGTATACTCCTTCTATTTTTATCAGAATTGATTCTCTTTTATGCGTTTTCTTTAATACGATAAGATTTTGTGAATTTTGACGTCGATTAAAAAATTTAAATTAATTCAAGTACTCGCACGTATCGAATTATTTACCTACTAAAATTAAATCTATACCGTTAACTATAACATTTTTATTAAACGCGCTAGACTAATTACCAAATATTTTTAGTTTACCAAGTTTCTTGTAATTATAAAATAATATTTTAGTATTAATATTATAATCACCAAAAAAACATTGTATTTAAGATTAAATTCACAATAGGAACATTTATTATAATTATTCCGTAAATCCCCAAAAGTGGAAATTTTTACTTATCTATTATCAACGAAAATATTTAAGGTAGGTTTCAATAAAATTACCAGCTAAGAATTAAGTATATTAGTATAATCATTGTTACTAGTACCAAACTGGCCGAATAGCCCAATCAGCTGGGACTCGGAAATTCGAAGCGAAGAAGAAAATTACGGACTTCTTTGAACTCCTATAATCTAGTACAACAAGCCGCTTTCGGGCGAATTTTAATTCAATTACGCTCCTCCGGTTCGCATATTTTGTTTGTTAATTCCCCAAGACGTGCCAAAGTTTGAAAATTCGAAATTAGCTGTCGCTATTAAAAGTTGCGGAACGAGCCTTCGGGGCTGTTATCAACTTTTCAGGTTGATCTAACAGGTACCACATGCTAGGTTTTCCTCGCTTCGAAATAATGCCAGGACGACGAGCGAAAGGTTTATTTATTCAGGATCCGCGAATTTTACCGGTATAGTAGTATAAAGAAAAAGGGTGCAACGCAGGTCCGGCCTTGGGAACATTCGACCGCAGCCTACTGGGTGAATCGCTCAAAAACCTCGCACTTGCTCGTTAAATCTAAAAAGTCGTGTGTTGCAACATCCACCCCTATAGTTTTTTAGTATTCTCGAGACGACAAAAAAAAAGAATCGATTTCACGCTATATAGTTAATTACCGAGATTATTCGTCAGCCTGAAAGCAATTACCAGCGTTGGGTTCGGCAGTTTTTATGGCTCAATCGCCTAATGCGAAATCGCGAACCGGCCGAATTCGAATTAAAAGGTATTCGAAAGGTAGGGGCGAAGCGAAACAAGGGCTCGAAAGACAGAAGTGAAAGATAAAAAAAAACGGGGCACCCGCAAACACAGTGACCTGATTTAGTACAAAGTATTGTAACGATCGATGGGAGTGAGGGCGTACAAGGCCGGCGCGTGGCCCTCCTACGTACAAGGGCGCAAATCGGTGTCGGTATACTTTTCCCCTTTACCGTTTACCTGATACGTGAATAAAATACCGCTGCGGAAGGGTTCGACGATTAATTTCGCCGGTGAACTAATCTTTCATAATTTCGCCCCCTCAAGGCGGCGACGGTTTTATTTTTTTTTCGAAAATACGCGAGCTGGAAACGTCCAAGTTTGTAATTCCAAACTTTGCATTAGCCGGAGCCCCTTATTAATTAAGTCCGCGATTTCATCTAAATTGTTTGGAGAAAATTCGTTTGAACTCCAGACTTGTTGCTGCTTCCGCCTCGTTTTTCCCCCGGCTCTTCTACATCTTCCTTCTCTCCATCCTTCGAGCGTAATTGTTTTTAGGTTAACCGCTGAATTAGCAGCCGCTCGGACGCTTCTGTCATTCAATTCAAGGCGATTCAAAAATCGACAACGTCATTGTCGATTCGAAATGTTAAAATTCGAAACGAAAAACACATAACCGCACGTTTGGAAAAGTCCGAGATTGTTTTCTTGTTTAGAAAAATTTATTGGCACCCGTTCAAGGTAGCGCGAAATGCGTAAAAAATAAATATAAAGGATTTCGGCATCCACACTTAATTAATACGTTTAATTCGTCGAAGTTTCGCTCTAATGAATTTTATTACAGGGAAATAATCAATTAGAAGTTTTTGATATAAATTTAGAGTCGGGGATAAGTGTGCGCCTACACTTAGGCGCCTGAAGAGGAAATCTACATCGCGAAACGTTTATCCAAGGGGAAATATCCCCAAATCATTTCATTAAACCTTAATCAAATCAAATTCATTCATTATCGGAATAATTTGTAATGAAATTCATTTCACGACCCTCGCGTGAATAGGGGATTGAATAATTACGAATGTGAATTTAATTAAAATATTTGATATACTATAGATAGACGAATTAATTGAAAGAGTTAATTTTTGAAAACGATACTAAAGTAATAATTTCCAATTATTTCATAGATTTTATGTGATAGAAATAATTGTGGATTTGAAATAATTCTATAGTTTTGGAAGTTTTTTTTTTCGAAATGTTTCCGTAAAATGGTTCAAGGTTGGAGTTTATTAATTACGTTAATAAGCTGTATCCAGTATAACGAGTTTTTTTAACCAAAGAATACTTAATTTCATAAGCCGGGTACGTAAAAAAATGAAAAATTGTTCAAAATAAGTAGGTAGTAAATTTATTTTGGATGAAATTATTTCACCGATTATATTAGTCGCCATTTTTAATCGACGTCTAAAAATAAATCAAATGCGCCTGTATTTATCTCATACAAGTTGTTTACGTTGAAAATTTTGTACTTTCTCTATTAAGAAAATGGTCTAATGCACCCACTCATAGGGTGATCAAAGTTAAAGAAACACTGATGGGGTTTCTTCGGTCCGAAAACTAATTAATCATTTTTGTTCCAGAAGGTAGAGAAGTAACAACGACGTAACTCATCATTTCGGTAACCCAGTCGTCGGATTTTCGGCGATTTTTACACTGCATCCTCGCCGGTTTTTAATTTAGCGGTTCAAAATTGCTGCCATGGGTCGCAAAAAAATACAAATATCCAGGATTACCGATGAACGGAATCGACAGGTAAGAAACTCGCACTCGCACACGCTTCATCTCCTCTTCACCTATCCTGACATCCTTTCGATTGTTCCCTAATGACAGATATACGTATCTACTTTTTTATTGGGCTGTATTTTTTTAATTGGCAGAGGTAATTATAGCTAGAACGTATCATTATTGGAGTATAAATTTGTTGTATTGGCTGTTATCAGAGCAAAACAAGGTAGGAAGGATGGATAAAAATAATAGATAGAAGTACAGCTAATACAAGAAAGCTCATTTTTTTGTATAAAAAAAAACCTTTGCTCTAAATGCACTCGAGCTTACAAAAATTGTCAATTTCCTAAAGCTCTCAAACTCTTCGAAATTTATTATGCTCTACAATAGGCAATAATAAATGGGAAAAATGTAAATGAGATAATTAATTTGTAACTTACAAATTTTACTGTTACGCACTGTAATAAAACGCGTAATACAAATCTATTTGGCTATTACGAGTTGAATAAATGAATTTTCATTAAAGGAAATCTTGTATAAAATCAGGTTTTAGGAGAAAATAGTACTAAAAATAAGTGCCTGCCTTATAAATAGCAAATGTTATACATAATACAATGGGTTTAAACAATCGATGGGAATCATTAACATTTTTTAAAAATTATTAGTAACAAAAATAATGTATATAAGCATTTATTTTTCGTTTGAAATTATCTATTTCTCATATCGGATTATTTTAAATAGTAGTTATTAAATTTTAAAAAGCGCACTGTTGTCAAACCGACTGTTTTTTCCTCTGGTGGTGACTGTAGCTCTGAAATCCCCATATTAAAAAACGTCCTTTTACCATATAAATAATAAAGATGTACAAAATATGTGTCGATTTCAGTAGAGTGTAGAGCATAAAAACTCCAAGACGGAAATGTGATGGGAAGAATATTCTCACCGAGTGGATGGTATTCTTTTTAAAAACATCTGGTTTCAAAAGATATGATAAATTCCCGGTCTACACTCGTGCATTAATTTAAAAACTTTAAAAATCCGATTCTGGAGAATTAGAATTAATAAATTCGATTGTAAATTTCGAATTGTTTAAACAAAAAAAAAACCGCTAAATTATGATGACCGTGAAATAATGAATTAGGATGATTTCATTGCGTTTCGGTGATCGAATGATGATAGCACACTCGCTGTAATTAAATTCAATAGTCGAAATTAATTTACTTAAAAAAACATCAAAATTTAATCCGAACGAATTTTATATCTTGTAAATTCTTGATAATTTTCGAAATATTATAAACAATAAATGTGTTTGTTAATTGTTTTCGATTGTACAAAGAAAGGTTTATTACCCTCAAAAAACCCATACAAAACAATTTACCACAACTATCCTCTGCAATCTATCATCTACATAGATTCACCTATAACTTCCTTACAGGTAACATTTAACAAACGAAAATTCGGTGTAATGAAGAAAGCCTACGAATTGTCGGTGTTGTGCGACTGCGAAATAGCGTTGATAATCTTCAGCAGCAGCAACAAACTCTACCAGTACGCCAGCACGGACATGGACAAAGTTCTACTTAAGTACACCGAATACAACGAGCCGCACGAGTCGCTGACCAACAAAAACATTATCGAGGTACATCAAATCCAGCAGCAACTTGCTCAATATCTGGCTGATGCAAATACGATAACACGTTGTCCAGTAAAAGAATCTTTTTCTGAAACAGTTTCGGCCTGAAAATGCATTTTATTTAATCTAGTCGGTGACGGTTTTGTACAGCGCGATTTCGCTCAATCTGCTGACGAAGACCAACCATCACTCTAAATTTTTAAACATATCTTGTAATTGATTTTTGTCACCAAAAGTGGGGTTTGTTTTTTAAAGCCTTGGGATTCGCGTTTAGAGACTTCATAAATCAAAATTTAATTATTTCGCATTAGGTAAGTGTGTACTACTAATTCTTTTACAATTCGCTGGAAATTACATTATGTTCGAATCTGCCCCATCGATGTCGAGTCTTTGCTACTTTGTACGTGAAATCCCCGTAGTCGTCATCAGCAGAGTCAAGTTGAGCTTGGAACAGCTATTAATAGATTTTCCGGAATAAATCGATATTGCAAAATTATCAAAATGTTGTAAAAGGCGATTTTTTATAACGAGTTTTATGAAGACTACAAAACTGTGCACTAATCTAAGATTTATTTTGAACAAATAATTATTTATAAAAGGCCGAAACGACTTTACTGAATAATGAACTAACATTTTTTTTTATTCTAACCAGTAATTTGCTTTTTTTTGGTAATAAGTTATCGATTTGCTGCATTGCCTGTTATTCACACGAGTTGTTGCTTAAGTTTTGAGAAATACCTAACCTAATTAGTTTGCTAGATGTGTGGTAGATGATGTACAATTTCTAATATAAACTCGACGATTTACTGTTTATTGTGTGCATAGAGGAGCCAGAGTTTTTCATTTCGAAACTACATTAATTTCGAACTGAAAATATTTTCAAATTAAATTAAAAGCTTTAACACATTATGTAATATTTTTATTGATAAACTTAATTGATGGAAAAGTACATAAACAATTTAGTTCTGACAATTGTATACACAACACATCAGAACAAAACCTGTTAAGAAATTTTCGTGTGGTAAGAATGAGAAATTAAATTTACTTTAGAAGATAGCGAATGCGGTATGTTTTAACATACAACTATGCAGCGTTTAAAAAATTCTCCAATAAATGCATATAATTTGTAAATCGTTTAAAATATTTAGAAATGTACATTTTTATAACAGATAAGCCGACCAAAGGACTTTTTATTTAATGCGGAAGAAAAGTCCTTTGGTTCTAGTATGTGTGGTGTATGTGTGTCACCCCCTGGTATTACTCCATGAGCTGGTCCACTGACACTTGCAGGCACTTAATAAGAAGGAGCATAAGAATGGAGTGATGAGCCCGGACAGCCCCGAACCTGAGACTGAATACCAACTGACACCTCGTACTGAAGCCAAGTACAGTAAGATAGATGAAGATTTTCAGATGATGATACAAAGGAATCAATTAAACGGACAAAGGGTATAATACATATAATTAAAATTAAATTGGCGTACTCACGATTTAATTCCACTTTTAGAGCAGTATGAGTTCTTCGAATTATTCCCAGCCCGTTTCAGTACCTGTAAATATAAGCTACAGCGATTCTGCACTTCTTCAATCTAGTCCACAAATGGCTCATACGAATATTAGTCCGCGACCGTCGTCGTCCGAAACAGATTCTGTATATCCTAGTGGCGGTATGTTGGAAATGAGCAACGGTTATCCGAATTCTGCTTCGCCGATGGGCAATTCCCCGTCGCCGGGACCGTCTCCGGGACCCGGTCTTAGCACTTCCAAGCAACACTCCAAACAACATTCGCCCGGACCAAGGAATTTAAGAGTAGTCATACCCAGCGGCTTAGGACCAAGTATTACGACCGACGACGTCTCTTACTCGGAGGTAAACGTCCCACAAACCCCAAGCGACGCGACCGTTACACGTCCGTATTTTCAGACTCCCGGCTTGTCCAACTATCAGAGCGCATTGAGCTCGTTCGGCGCGCAGGATTTCAGCATGGGCTCTGACATGGGCTTGGCGTCGATGTCTTGGAGCCATCAGATACCCACGTCCATAACACACAACACTTCGTGCCTACCCCATCTTGCAGTGTCCAGCAGTACTCCGCCGCCTACTTCGTCATCACCGCTTCCTGTCAAGATTAAAAGCGAGCCGATATCACCTCCACGGGAGCATCATCCACATTTGAGTACAGCCGTCCACCATCCACACGTTCAAACATTGAATCTGACTCACAGGTAAATAAAAGGAGCTGTTTTTTTATTGGCATAGTAGGGTGATTATAGGCCATTTGATGGCAGTAATTGGTTGATTTTCGATTGCAGTCACCATCCCCGGCCTAGTTCTGCTGGTCAAATAACACCGACGCCGGGCAGCGTGACGCCTACGAACCTCCCATCCCCCACGGGGCCTGCAAATAGCGGTACGGAATACGCAGATACCGTGTCGATGCATAAGAGGCCCAGGCTTACAGATTGGCCCTCCTAGAGCTACCGTTAATAATTACTGCTTGTTCTCAACTACGTAGGACACTAAGTGCCATAGTGATATACGCAAGTGTGGATGATTAGAACATAGTGTTACTATTTTAATTGCCAATTATCATCCATGTGATAAACTACGAGTCTTGTAGAGCAATTATTTCTAATTTTTTGTTTCTTTGAACTGGTCAAACAGTTTTTTTTTTAACTTTTTAAGTGAGAAGTTATTTTTTGTAGAAAGGATATGAGGTTTTTACTAGAATGAAGAATGTATGTGTGGGGTGGTGTAAAGCATCATTAAGTACTTTACTTTCGATTCTCAATTCAAATTAATACGTGTACCTCTACTTTTTTTTTATTATTAAGTTGTTATTAGCAAAACAATCAGTACATCTAATAGTTTTTCAAATAACTGCGTGTAAATACATACAAACTGTAAGAGAAAAATTCGGAGATTTCTCGCGAATATTCGAAGAAAACATTTATTTGATTACGTTTTAAATATATTGGATATAATCCAACAAATTAGCTATAAATACTCAGTTATTATATGCGATATAATTTACTCAGTTAACACTAAACTTCTCCTGTAATTATCTAGTTGGGACAATTTTTTGACAGTTTTCCAGTCTCTGTAATATATCATAGCTTTATTGAAGACTCACAAATGATAATGTAAATACATATAAGGACGTTTTTTAAAAACAATGTACATTTAAATCATTCTATATTTTCCATTAATTACAAGTGCAATTAAATTAAGTAAATTGTATTTAACGACAATACAATTTGGCTCACCGACGTGCATTACTTAGAGAAAGCTACGCAAGTTTCAGCTCGCCAGTCAATATTTTATTGGTGAATATTGTTAATGTGAATAAAGTAATTGTCAATTTAATTCAAAATTAAAATATACAGTTATGCTACACTTAAAGGGGCTTCTTTTAATTTTACGTATTGTACTTGATCGCTTTTCAAAAGCTTTCAAAACATTTTCTGGTAATTTTCTATGTCAATTGCATAGCTGTTAAACAACTTTAATATTTAAGATGTAAAACTGTCAAGAGATATGTCGCATTAAAAATTCGAGGAACATTCGATGTGCTGATTATTTTTATTTTGAAAATTTAATGTTTTTTAAGAATTCTCTCTGAATGTTGAACAAGGGTTGTGTATATTTTACAAGGCCAAAATTTTTTAATTGTCGAGTACAATTTTATAGAGCGTTTTTAAAGGGAAGTATATTTAAAAGGAAAGAATTCTTATAAATGTTAATTCTGATTACGTTAACAAGGTGTTTCGATTTTTTAGTACTTTATGTGTGTGTATATCAATGGGGGACATATCAGTTTGTTAAATGTTCATTTAACTAATTTTTTTAATGATATAAACTCCGTTGACAATATATTGAGACAAAAATTAACTCACGTTTTCATCACAAAACAAATGAAGCTTTAAGAAACTGACATACCTTCATCATTTACAAGCAGATTGGAATATGTATATTATATAAATATATTTTCACCATTTATATATGTTATATATGTTGAAGCCGACATTTTGTTCTCATTCGAAAAAACATATATCTATATATAGTGCCATTATTTTCATGTAATTATTAGTGTCTTTTTTTATAAATGTTTTTAGAAAAATAGCATATTTAAAATGTACACTTGTTATATTAGTGAGGATGCAGCCACTAACAACATACAGAGCAGATTAATTCGTTTCATTTCTTTTTAATTGAAGAACAAAACGAGTTGGGAAATGAATTTTAATCGACAGTTCTGATGAAGACGAGTATTTATAAACGAAAGGTTGTTTTATTGAATTCGGACGGATCTACGTATTGTTCTCGTATTGTTCTTTTGATTAGCTGGTTTGGTAAGACTTGTCTGACACTGTATCGTACTGTGCAGAATACATCTTGTTCTGTAAAAATTGTATTTGTTCGTGTTGTATTGGTGCTTTCCCAATTCTAATAGAGCAGTAGAAATGTACATTTGTAAACAAAAAACCAAAGAACCCTTTATATTTGTTGTTAAAATGTTGATAATACCGGTTTGCGAAGACGCAACAGATATTAAACTATAGCTGTGGTTAGTACAATAGTACCTACTTCACATTTATTAACCAAGGATTAGCTTATTTTTTCATTAACATTATTGTGGTACGAAAGGTGCTATTTTTTGGCTTGCAAAGCAAAGCCGTCGTAATTTAAAATATATAAGGAACTTTAGGTTATAGAGTTATATACAAAGTCATTTTTTTTGTAATTTCACTTTGCAATTTGTAGTTGAATGTTTTAAAATGTTTAATTTACATTATGAGCTGTTTCTGCTGATTGTTATAAGCGCTTATATACATGATCCAATAAATTTTTTTTTTGATTTCGATTCCTTTTTTTTATTTTATTTTATACTTTCTTTAGTGCCATTTGTTCATAATCTATTATTACACAGTTTTGTCAGGTACAAAACAGTTTTTTTTAGTTATTTTTATTGGATTGCGTACATTAGCACTAAAATATCAATATCAATTTAGTAAAGAACTTCGTTCGTCAAAAATGTTTAGATTTTTTTCTTGTTCAAAGAGCTTGTAATTAAATGGTATCGTATTGAAAAATGTTTAATGTTAAGCGATGTTATTTATCATATAAAACATCGATTCAAAAGAAGCCTTATCAGAAATGTTTCGGTGAAAAAACATGTATTAAGGGAAGAAAACCGCCACGTAATTAGAAAAAATAAGCTAATGAGCGGTTGTATTTTGGCACCTCTTCAAATGTAAAGCCACGATGTAAAGAAAAGTTGTTTTTTGTTGTATTACAGTCGATGTACCATACACAATGGCTGTTAAATGTGGTGTGCGTAATAGCATTCACACCATGATTGTTCACTGTATGTACAGTACTGCTTTTCCCAAGGAACCTAGAGTGTTCAATGCTGTAGCCTTTCAATTTGTTTGTGATTTCAAAGTACATCTATTCTGTATATTGACCTACACAAAGTAATTTATATAAATATAAATTTTATTATACTATACATATAATATATTTTACTACTGTTGTGTGCACAAACCTTGCACATAGTATAACAAATTTTATTATAAAAAAAACGTGTATGCTTTTCATACGTCATGGACCAATCGTTTCGAAAATTGTTATACGAAATTTGAAATTTCTTCAATTTAGTAAATGCGCAAAGTGTTATTATACCGCACTTATTATAATGTTAAAAAGGACTTTCGATATTTCGATATTACTAAATATGAAGAAGGTTAAATAAAACCTATTTTTGAATGAAATCTGCTACAAAAAAAAATGAGTTGAAGTAGTTTTGTGTGCCATAAATTAATACGGGTTGTTATTAATTTGTTTTATGCTTCTTCTTACTCAATTAGTTTTATCCCACTTTACATTATTATATTTACCTAAAAAGCCTATAAGTACATAATAATTGTTTAGTCAATTGCACTGTAATTGTTAATAGCAAAATTGTAATTTCTTTGTATCAGATTTCCTGCAGAAACTAATTTTATACAATCTATTTTATACATATATTTCATATTTGTGATAAGCGTTTTTATCTCGGCCGTGACTCATGGAAGGTGTACAATATATTTTTGACTGGGATGTCAGAACGTAAGTCCCATTTGATTCCGCTTGTCGGATAGACCCTATTTCCACTAAACTACTGTAGGATTGCCTTACTCACAGTGCCTCGACAGTATGTGCAGAGTTCCGAAGTAGAGATGAAAAATTGACAAACTCCTACAAGGCGGTCTTTTTCTGATTCAATTTTCTCAAGATTGATAAGAACGAGACCTTTGAAAAAGAACCTGTACGGTTACATGATCTGAATTTAGAAAAAAAAATAACTGATGTCAATTTTGGAACGCTGTGTATATCTTTTGTGTAGTACATAATTAATGGCTTTATTAGTCATCTTTAATGTTCATATCCAATTTTTATAGCGGCTGCGGTAATTTCTATCTCAGACTACTGTTCTCGTTGATCGTTGAAAATTGCAAGAACCAAAGATTCGACGTTATTTGAACATTTTGATCTATAATAATGCTAGTCTGATTTAAAACGAAAGTTGTTATTGCGACTAGGCAAATTAGGCACCGTTATAAATTTAATGTAAATTTGTTAAAAAGAATTAGATTTGCAGGTTATTTTTTTGTTTCATTGCAAAATAATACCTGTAAAACTGTATGTATACCCGTTTATTGTTTCTAATTAGTGCCAAATAGTTAATATTCGTGAAATTGTTGGATAGATGCATATTTTATTTGAAAAGTTACTGCAACCACTGTTTACTGTTTCCACTCAGAAAAAAATAATTTATATATTTTTAAAAGTCACATATGAATAATGGTACACAACACTAAAAAATTATTGTCTCCATCCTGTATAAATATTCAAGATTATATTATATAAACCTACTCGTTGATAGAAGGTCAAGAATGAATCATTGTAGATAATTTATTCAAATTCTAATAATTAGAAAATATTTAATGTCTCTAATATACAGCGTGTTTACACACTGAGCACACAATGAGAATAATTTACCACTTCCTCATTCTGATTTCAAAACGTATTTCCTTGGCAAAAAAATATTCTTAAAACAACAATTAAATTAAAGTGAACTCGATTCGATAATAAATTAACAAATTCAAGACAATTAGCGTTCAATTGATACAAAAGTATTACGCAAAATGTACAAATTAATCATTCTGTGATAGCGAATAATTTACACGAACCTTCCAGTTGCACAGATAGTGCGTATTTGTCTATATGCGAAATTATTGAAACATTTTATAACAATCATATCAAAATATTTATCGTAACACAAAATCACAAACAAATATGATGACCCTATACACACAATTCTCTTGTATAAATCAATGTGAACATGTTTATAAAACGTGCATTACTCAAACAAGTAAATGTTTGAAATATCTATTTGTTTTGTGGTTGGCATCTTTGTGATTATCTGCACTTAATGTGAAAAGTGTTTGCATGATCCAACATATTGTTTTCTCGTCTCACATTACCGATCTGTGCATATCTCTTTGGTAAAGCACTGCCGCTAAAGTACCGAAAAGTATGTACAGTTTCTCACGAAACCCCTTTCAATTACCCTTGATAACTGTGCTGCAAAAACCATTTGTTAGATATCCATTAGCAGTTCGATATCTATCAAAATTAGTAGGAGATAATGGTGTCTACACGTCTATATCCGATAATTCCGAAACCGGAATATTTGATGTTTGCATGAAAACTGCACGTAAAATTGTCTATATCCTATTTGCCATCATTCAAAGGTTTAATTTCAGTATCATACTGAAGAAATTACTGCAAAATGCTTGATTAAGCGGAAGAAAAACATTTTCATTTTGCCGTAAATGCTTTGTATGTCTTGTCACGCATGTTGCATCTTATGAAATAGCTGTAATCGGTTAGCAGGGAGCTCTATTGTCGTGTTACTTACGCCAAATGCCACATTCTTTTAATATCACCTCAATCAACAAGCCTCTAGAACAGCATCAAAGCAACAGAATAATTATGTTTTTTTCTTGCAGTAATGGCTTCAGCACAAGTAAATGGCATTTCGAATAGAATACAATAACTACAAGTGATATTTTACGTATACATATAAATTTCTAGCAAAGAAATTAAAGTTTATAAAATTTATTTATATACTATGAATTGTTTATAAAAAATTCAGGGCTGTGTAGATTATCAAGGAGTTGTATGTAGAAAGTATTGCTAGGCTAGTCTTGGAAGACATAGTAGAATTAAATATGCAAATTGAAATTGCACCACGTCAAGGAACACTTGTTAATCCATTTGTTGAGGTATAAAGTAGGTTTAAGGATAAATATTGTATAAAACGGACGCACAATCAATCTTCTAAGTACTTAATCATAAATATAAATTTAAATAGGCATGCGTTGATGCATTTTAATTTTTTTGTTGGAACATTTAATGAGCGTAGAGGCTTGTAGTTTGAGATAGAATACGAGTTTTATTGAAATTTACAGGGTATTGCGCCATTCTACAACTTTAAACTAGGTGGCACATTCTTACTGACCAGCCTGATTACCGCTGCTTTGTGCCTTCTTGTTATCCTCAAAAAAAACCTTTTCCGATGTCTCTTTAATAGCTTTTGTGTCACTGCACTTAAGTACTGTTATCGCTTCTTATATGTTTAAAAAAATTGTGAAATAAACACTACCATTAATAGGATCGTTTCGTTCCTAATACTGGTATAGTCATTGTTTTAGTTGATGTCGCTGACATTTGTTTTATTGGAAATATTCTTGTCATGATACTTTTAGTTATTTAATGTTAAGACATTGAATTTGAAGCCTCGATTGTAAAATGGACGATATGCCCAGCTACATTTGTATATATAGCCATACTTTGTTGTTAACAGTCATCTTAATGTTAGCTGTTTCATTTGCACACAATTTCATTTATTTTGCAAAAATACGTCCATTTTTGACATAGGCGTTTTTTTTAATCATGTGCAATATTAATCTATCATTTATTTATCTATGATGTATTTGAATTTAAACCAAATAAAATTGTTTGTTACAAAATATATTTTTTAATTTTTTTAATATTTCCCTATCCTATAATAGCAAGGTATTTGAAGAAAAAGTAACACAAGTACTTCAGGTTTCCCAAACTATATTAACAAAATTTTCTATTTTCTAGAACTTGTTTTTTTGTATATGGCAGTATACTTTAACGTATCAGCATCGTTATAAAAGACAATCTGTATTAGCCCAACCAATGAACAAAACACCATCAATAATACAATAGACAAACTTACCTACATCATTTCTCTAAAGGACACCATGTATTAGCCTTGACAACCCCACCTCCAACTAAAATATTAAAAAAAACTACTTTTCAAAAAAATTATTTGAAACAATTGGTTGCCTATTTCCGTTATCAATTGATAATTGAAGCCAAATAACCCAAACGTAAAAGGCCACATTTTTTCTGTACGTAGTACAAATTATCTACTAGTAGATATATATTTAGACCGTCTACTTATTCACCTACCAGTAGGTTAAATGCTACATTTCTGTTTCCACCAATTAGAAAGCACCACGAAGTTGAATTTGTGCTTGGCAAAATTTGTTTTGTGGAAATAATTCGAGTAGGTGTATAAGAAGGCCGGTCAACGATTTTGTAATTTCGCCATCGAACAGTAAACTCAATTCTTGATAGACTGAATGAAATAAACCTCGAGCTTGTTCCAAAATGTTTCAATTAATACGTGAGTATTCTTAATTTAATATATTCCAACAGAATAAGGTTATGGTTTTCTTTTAGTATTATTGGCTCTTCCCTTGCAAATTTGCGTAGCCCTTTACCCAAGCAGCGGAAACGTCGTCGAATTAACGCCGAACAACTTCGATAAACTAGTCATTAAAAGCGATGAAATTTGGGTGGTTGAGTTCTTCGCACCGTGGTGTGGACATTGCCAAAGTTTGGTACCAGAATACACGAAAGCCGCAAATGCATTGAAAGTACGTATACAATACACCCTAATTATTAACCTGATATTTACCGATTGTATTTCAAGGGTGTCGTAAAAGTCGGAGCTGCGAACGTTGACGATCACAAAGAACTGGGAGGCCGGTACGGCGTTCGAGGTTTCCCAACTATCAAGATATTCGGGCTCGATAAATACAAACCAGAAGACTACAACGGAGGCAGGACTGCCAAAGATATCGTGGAAGCCGCACTGAAAGCAGCCAAGGCGAAAGTAAAGAGCAAACTTGGTTTGGACGGTGGTTCGAAATCTGGAGACGTAAGTACTTTTTTAATTCGACCTTTTCTTAATGGAAAATAATGCATTTTTAAACTTATAGTCTGACGGGAAAGATGTGATAGAATTAACCGATAGCAACTTCGAGAAGCTAGTTATACAGTCCGATGATTTATGGTTGGTTGAATTCTTCGCTCCGTGGTGTGGACATTGCAAAAATCTTGCCCCACACTGGGCTAAGGCTGCTTCGGAATTGAAGGGAAAAATTAAACTTGGTGCCCTCGACGCCACAGTGCATCAGGCCAAAGCTTCACAATATGGAGTACAAGGTAAATAATTTACAATTACAATTTAAGGATAAAAATATAGCTACTTACATTTTCAGGTTATCCTACTATTAAATTCTTCGGGCCTGGAGCAAAGGATTCTCCGGTGGATTATGATGGTGGCCGTACATCAAGCGATATTGTTGCCTGGGCATTGGATAAACTGGCAGAAAACATCCCGGCTCCTGAAGTGAATCAGCTCGTTGATGAAAAATCGTTTAAAAAAGCTTGCGAAGATAAACCGTTATGTATTGTTTCCATCTTACCGCACATTTTGGATTGCCAATCTGATTGCAGGAACGGTTACATTCAAACTCTATTAAATATTGGAGAGAAATTCAAGAAGAAGATGTGGGGGTGAGTACTGGAACTGTAAAAATAGTGAGAAATTGTAAATTAACAACATTTTCAATAGATGGGTTTGGTCTGAAGCTGGAGCACAGCCGGAATTAGAAACTGCACTTGATCTTGGTGGATTTGGATATCCCGCTATGGCTGTCATCAATCCGAAAAAAATGAAGTATTCTATTCTTAGAGGTTCATTTTCTAAGGACGGTATCTATGAATTTCTAAGGTAAGTAATTATACAAAATTATATATTCACCTCTCTACTTTTACGGTTTTTAAGGGATTTATCCTATGGAAAAGGTAATACAGCTCCAGTTAAAGGAGAGTCTCTTCCAAAAATCAACAAAGTAGAATCTTGGGATGGAAAAGATGGTGTGCTTCCTGAAGAAGAAGATATTGATCTCTCCGATGTCGATTTAGATGAAAAAGAAGAATTATAAGAAAATTTATGTACCAGTTAGTCTCTTTACTAAAAGACGATTTTGAAAATCAATTAAATGTAAATTACACAAATTTTTCGACGGTGTAAGTTTGAAAGACTAGACTGAATTTTAACAATTATTTCAAACATTATCACTTGACCCAGTCACTAATAATTAATTTCGTTTTTTAGTAATTTTTCCATTTCTTTTTTCCGACAGTTTTTGTGATGTGATTATAATTTTGAATTTAATATAGGTATTTTTACAAACATACGTGTTCTATTTCTCGATCATTAGTTATCTTAATCTCACCCATAATTTTATTGCTTTAAAAACTCGCAATTTGTAACATTAGCACGTTCACATAGCCACATCTATAAACAATAATTTATTAAATTATATAACGTCTCTTATAATACAATATTAACAATTACAGTAAGTAGTAATCAAACGAAAAATTTAGACTCTGAAATAAAAAAAATTAACTATCTTTATTTTTAACGATGAGGGTAGGATGAATCTGACAAGATTGAAGTACGAGCGGATCCGAATCGACAGATTTGCACAAAATTTGTATGTGAGCACCTAAATCGAACGTTCCTGGACCCGACAAAGCCGCAGAAAGTTCAACACTTTCGGTTGTTAGAGGATGTATCTGTTTAATTATCTTACTATTGCTTAACCAACAGAACTTACTGGAAGCGTACGCACAGGTTTGATTTGATTTGCTTATCGTAGGCAGTTTTACACTAAAATTAGTAAAGTTTAGGTAAGATAACATCGAGTCACTAAAGTTTACTTACCTAGGGTCCGTCGTATTTACAGTCACCATAAGAACCTTGCTATCCACGATGCTGTGGAGGAGAATCTTCACAGGCACGATACAAACTTTCTTCTCCCTAAAATCATGCACGATTACAGGGGGATGTATTAAATTGTAGGAAATCTGTTTTTGCGCGGATTGAGCGGTTTCCTCTTCTGTAATAGTTTTGTCGTTTATGTCGATGAATGTATCAGAAAGTATCCGCTCCATTTGAATGACGTTCTCGTCTTTGCGGTTGATTTCAATGGGGATATTGGTTTGGCCGCAAACGATGCGCTTTTTGCTATCCTCGATTACCAGCGCTTGCCATTGCAGCAAGAGGATTCCGTCCTTGTTCTCTTTGAAATGCAGCGAATCGAAATCGTCGAACATCGTGAGCAAAGGCTTCTCGGACTTCTTAGCGAATGCCAAAAACTGCTTGGACATGTTCTGTATCGATTTCCTATCTGCGTTTAACGGTACGGTGGAGTATTCGCTGGTATTTTTTACCAATCTTTTAGCTTTCAGCAAGATATGTGCGGATTCTTGGGAATGCAGGTTTATGTATTTCGGAGTGGCTATATCCTTCGTTAGTGTCCAGTATTTGCTCAGTAATCCTATGTTTAATAGGGTTATTTGAGTTAGTACGGAGTTGTGGACTTTGTTCAAATTGGTTATTTTCATTGCTAGTGCTAGTTCCTCTACTGTTTTTGAGTTGTGGCTCGCTTGAGTCGATACATCGACGATAATCGACTCTTGTACCATCAAATTCCAATTGTGCCTTACCAGCCTATATCTGGAATACACAAAAAATTTAGATACAAACGTTTTAAAAGGGTTATATTTTTGTACCTGGGTATAGCGGTTTTAACAACATTTTCGTAATAAATCAGCAAATCAATCGAAGCTGGTCCCTTAGAATTAGGAGCTTTTACCCAAATGTGAATCGGAACAGTTTGCCCGGGCTCTAACACCTTTCCATTCAACGGTACGCTTGTCAAATGGTTTTTCCTAAGAACCTTATCCCTAACGTTGGGCATACTTAAATCGTTCATATTGACCGTCTCGTTCGTTTCTTGCTTGAATTCGCAGTTGCAAAACAGGTGCGGAACTGATGTAGCCATGTAAACGTTTTGAAGAGGCACTGAACCGGTGTTCTGGAACGTCACCAGCACCTTCTGCAGCTCGTTAACTAAGAAGTCCGTGTGCATTTCCGAAAAAGTTACCTGAAACTCGTTCGTAAAACTTGGGTTGGAATTAATGAAAACGTACGAACCTGAAGGCATGGCGCGGCGGGAACTACGTTAATTTCTAAAGGCTTGGTGGTGTTGGATCGATTATTTTTCGAAGTGCTTTCAGGCACAACGATGATTTGTTTTCCTTTTATCGAACTCGCCCCGGTCGTGCCGTTGGAACTTGTCAGAGTGTAACAGAAACCAGTTATTGTTATAGTTCCTACTTGCAATGGCGCGAGAGATAGTATCACTTCTTGGTTCGAATTGCCTTCGATTAACAACGATTTCGTCACGTACGTCTTAACGTAATCGATTTTATCAGTTATTTCATTGGAAACAGTTTCATTGTCGTTTGAAAACGTCCATAACAGATGGATATTCATCAAATTTAGCACCGTTTGCAACGAATTGATTAATTTCAGCGACACCTGGATCGGTTCGTTAACAATAGCTACTGGTTTATTCTTTCCCAGTTTGTTAACCGTGTACAAAGTTGTCATCGGTTTGAAAAGCAAAGGAGGCGAACCCTCCGCCTCGTGCACCAGCATCTCTTCTAATTTTATCCACTTTTGTTCGGCTTGTACATCCTCCGCGTTGCCGAAGTTTATCCCTAAAGCCGGAATTTTGCCGGGCGTCGATAGAGGGCGAGTAGGGCCGAGTAATAACTTGATCGAATTCATTTCCAATTCCGGAACAGGCAAAACGGGACTAGTTATTTGCTCCGAGTCGCCTTCGGATTTAAGTTTATTCTAAAAAATAATTGTTGTAATGCAACATTTCTCGTTCGATTATACTCACTCCTAGAATAGTCAAATATTCCTTCAAGAACGTCGCTTGCTGTTGAGCAGTCTGCTTACTCTCTCCAAGTAACAATTTAGCGAAAGAATCGACGGCTTCGTTGAATTGTTGCAAATTGTGGGCCTGTCGTCCGATGGTGTAATGGATGTGATCGCTAGCCAGGTCCCAGCCGGTGTTCTCGTACACCTGGTACGCCTGTTTGTAGCATTTCAACGAGTACTTCCGCTGCGCTGCTTTGGAGTACCGGTGGCCGGCCAGCACCATGTGAAAGGCGTATTTACGCACCATTTTCGATTTCAGGAAACAATAAGAAGCCTGCTCCAGCAGAAGGGCCGACCGCAAGTCCGATTCCTCGCTTGTCATTCTTATTAGTTGATGCGCGGCCTCTCCGAACATATTTTGGTGCTTCAAGCATTCGGAGCTCAGGATTGTTGCTCTGGTTGCGAATTGTGGCATCCTGGATATAACAAGTAATGTAAAAATCTTCGTAAGTTTTTAATTGAAAACGTACTTGCAGTTTGTTTGGTACGTTATAATGCTGTCTTCCATGTACTCGCAGGTTTTCCTGGTCGATTCGTTGGCCATAAAGGCTGCTAGTGATGCCATTTCCAGAGCACCTGCGTAATACAGCCATGCTTGGTCAGTATCGTATTCTCTTTTCGCCGAATGATATGCTTTGAAAGCCGAGGAATACTGGCCAAACATGAAGTATAAATCGCCCAATCTTCTTATTTGCAATTCTGGAGAATCCGGTGAATAACTAAAGTAAAACAATCCATTAAAATATATACTTTAATTTTACCATTGTTACTTACATTAAATTATTGACTGCTATGGAACTAGCACCAGGTTTATTCGGGCTGAACCATCTTTTGGTAGCACTGAACAAGGATTTGCTGACTCCTTTTTTGTTTAATACTATATCACTTAGCGAATGAATTTGCTTTTCTATGTACGGCATTAAGCAGCTTTTAGTGAATTCGTATATAAACAACTTCACTTGCTCGACATCGTCAGTAGAGAGGCAACTGCCGTGGATTTTCTGTTTTGCTGCGGCTTTTTGGGGCTTCTCGTCATCGCTAATATGCCCGCTCTACAAAATACACTGAATGAAATCCCAAATTTAATTAACAAATCCACTCACCATTGTCACATCTTCATTGACAGGACTGAGGGGGTGATAGTTTACAGTGGTCTTGAATTCTTCGGCCTCTTGTCCGATTTCCAATGATGTTTTCATAATACTATTGTCCGGACTTCCCTTGTACTCTTTCAAGTCGATGGGTGTGTTGATGAATTGGCTCCACGGGTCGGGTAAATGCTCGCTGGTTCCAGAATTAGGTGATCTTGAATTTAGTTTCAAGAGGAAACAGTACGAAAACCCATATGAAACTTTTATTGTTTCGAAAATTTTCGTGGCTCTAAAAAGTGAATGTTAAATAATCTCTTCGATAAATGAATGTGATTACCTACACGTTGATATCGCCATCTACGTTATCGTGTAAAACAACGTAATATCTCAAAATGTTGGAGTTAAACCATTTAGGAAGTTTCCCTGGTTCTCGGTTTTGAACGTAATTCAGGCTTTGAGACAATTTCTCAAAAGTCCCTTCTGGATTAATATCAGAAGAGCTTACGACCATTATACAAGCTAAAATGTTGAAGTTAAATTAAAAAAATGTGAGTGCATTAAAGAGTCACATTACCCAAAAAGTGCTTGGTGAATTCGTGGTCTGAGGGATACTGGACCTTCAAAAATGTTTCTCTCCAACTTTCAAACCAGGGTGTATTAGTTGGTATGTCTAATTGATGATTTCCAATGGTAAATAATTTAGGTTTGCTTTCAGGTGCATTGGTTACTGAATAATTTAAGAGCTTCCTCGCAACAGCAGTTTCGGGAGGCCTCCAGGATATATCCAAAAACGTTAATTTCAGATTCCTAATCGTATTAGTTAAACCACGGTCTTTATAGGTAACTAAAAAAATCAACAAATTTTTACGAATATAGCTATATTATATCGAATGTATACATACCGTCATTATTTAGCCTGCAGAAGGGCTGCAGCAATTCAATAAAATTGAGATTATTTTTCTGGCAACATTTCTCTGCCAATGGGGTGCACATCACTGCTATTTGTGGAGTAAATGCACTTTTGATAAACTCCTGAGGACTTTGCTTGCATTGTGCCATAGTAGACTTTTAACTGTTTAAAATAACAACAAACCCTTTCAAGAAAAAAATAGATTCACAATAATACTTCAATAGCCATAATAATGTATTTAATTTAGATTAGAACTTTAATGTTTATTAAAAATTTGACAAGTATTGTTAGGTTCAAAGACTGAAGAGGAGGAGGTTGATTATATGACAGATGAAGTATACGTCAATCTTCTTTTTAAACAACAGTAATTTTCTATAAATTTCTAAATTTTTAGGTACTGTTGGTAACACTTAGTTACTGACAAACGGACAAACCCCCTTCAAGACCAATTGAAACAAAACAATAACATAAACAATGTGCAATTTGTTATAAATAGTAAATAAGGGTATTTTTGTGAAATTATTACCAATATTACATTTTACATGATTATTAGTAAATATGATAACTTTAAAGCAACGCTTGAAAGGGAAAACGGAAAGCAATGAACCTACCACTTCCAGAGTTTCCATTAGAGATAGGTTACTTATAAAAGAAGCCCAAGAAATGTCGAAACTGTTACCAGCCTGTTGTTCAATTGATTACATGAACGTTAACGATTTAAGTAGATTTATTCTGATAGTCAGACCTACGGAAGGTTTTTGGCACGGAGGGACATTTAAATTTGAAATAAACGTTACCGATGACTACAACATGGAAGTAAGATTCAATACATATTTTAATTAAATAAGGCATATAATTGTGTAATAATTGTTTATTTTCAGCCTCCTATAGTGAAATGTATAACTAAATTATGGCATCCTAATATTACAGAATCCGGTGAAGTGTGCTTATCACTTCTTAGAAGGCACAGTGTAGAAGACGGTATGGGTTGGTCCCCTATTAGAACACTTATTGATGTTGTGTGGGGACTGAATGCCTTATTTACAGTAAGTAAACAAATGATTTGTTTCGATTCACTCGAATAACTGTTTCTTTTGCAAGGATTTATTAAATTTCGAAGATCCTCTGAATGTGGATGCCGCAGAAATGTTTAGACATTCTAAAGAAGAATTCAAAATCAAAGTAATGGAATACGTTGCTGTTTACGCTCAAGAATAATCCAACGTGTCGTGTCCTAATTTTCTATTTAGATAAGTAATACATTCGATTGTATGTAAAAATTGTATCCGTTCACGAGTTCCAGCTCCGGTGCCGCTTTTATTCGAATAGAGTTTAACAGGACACTGGAAGATCAAATATAAACAAATTTAATTTAAAACAAAAATTGTTGGCTTATCAATTTATGTATATTATTTTTAATACAATTTTTATTTGGTTTATTGGCGACCATAATTATATTAAAAGTATGTGTAAATTTCATTGATTCTTCTAATAATAATACAAATTCTAAGACTATTTTTTATTTTATCTTAAGGAAGTGGTATTTAGTCATTTCCATAATCCCTATTAAAAATTAAACGTAGAATCAAAATCAAGTACGCAATGACTCGATGGAGTTTCATTTTAAATTCCTGTTCAGGAAACAGCCACTCGCTCATTTATGACGTTTGACAAGAGACAAGTCTCCTATTATTTAAGGTTATGAAGTACAAATCGTAAAAGAAATAAGTAAATACAACGTTTATTTAAACCGATCTAAATGAATAATGCTACGAAAAACTACGTTATAATTCACATAAATAATTGAACGACTAACCTCACCTAATATCATGGATTTTAAGTTATGATAATGACAGCACAACATTTTTAAAATGATTACTATCCACTGGTCTTTTTCAAGAATTCCTGCTTATTTATAGTGAGTATCATTGTTATATTTACTACTAGACCAGTACGTACTGGCTCTTAATCTGTTACAATTCAGTAATGTTTAGGATCGTTTTCTATACTCTCCCATTTCTTACCACAAATTTTTTCAGTTGCCTCATTAAATCAGTTTTTCAAAAATGTGTCATTACACTTCGTTCACTTACCTACAATCATTTTATGGACCAAAGCTATGCAGCAGACGTATGTATGGAACCTATGTTTTGGTTTGTAGATAACTTTACCCATGCCATAGGACCCGTAAGTATCCCGTAGGGACAATGTCTCGTACCAATAAATCATTTTCAAATTACATGTGATTAACTTTCATTTAAACATAATGTGCATTATTTAAATTTTGTTGTAGGTATTTGTTGTTGCTGTGGTAATTTTAACTGCATCAGTAGTTTTAATCGCATATTGGATAGGTATCCCATATTGGTGGAATAGAAATGCAATAGTCTGCATTGTACTAGTCATTATAGGTCATTGGATACTTTCAAATATATGTTTTCATTATTACATGGGTGTTGTTACACCTCCGGGTTATCCCCCACAAGTAAGGGCAGGTTAATGGTTAATTTATTTTTATTTAAAATTGTTAATATTTTAGGGAGAACTAATAACAGAAGCTGTTAGTATATGTAAAAAATGTATTTCGCCGAAACCTCCAAGGACCCATCACTGTTCAGTTTGCAATAAATGTATTCTTAAGATGGATCACCACTGCCGTATCCTTTACATTTATTATTTTCTTGGTGAATTTTTTAACAATTTTCATGCATTCGATAGTTAAAAACTTCCTTAATTAAATTTTAGCTTGGTTAAATAATTGCGTTGGTTACAGAAATCATAGGTATTTCTTCCTTTATATGGTTTATATGGTTGTCGGAGTGTTATTTGTAATTTGCTGTGGCTTTGATATCGCCTACACAGCCATTTTTCTAACCCCTGTTGATTCTGACGAGCCAGAACTAGAAGGCCATGCTGTAAAGTTCAATCAGACTGGAGCTCTTATACCTGTGGTAAGATGTCTACAATAAGATTATGACTAATAATAAATATTGTATATGTTTTAGACTGATGCAGATTATTTAGATACATCACTGTTGGATGACGAACCAGGTGAAGAATGTATAAGTCTTTGGAGAAGAAGAGCAATAGTTTACATGACTCTTATTAATTGCGGTAATTAATTCTCTGCATAAATAAAGCAGAATATTAATTGTTTGTTGTAGGTGTATTCTTGGCTTTGGGCATGTTGTCACTCTGGCACGCACAATTAATAAGCCACGGTGAAACTAGTATAGAAGCTAATATAAACAAGGCAGAAACTAATAGAATGAAGGAATTGGGTAGGACTTATGCGAATCCGTATAATTTCGGAAGAAGAAAAAATTGGAAGATATTCCTAGGGCTTATTCAAGGAAGGTAAAATTCATTTACGTTTGTTCTGATACAGAATAATTATTTTCTGGATGTTTTACGTTTGTGTTTAAGATCATTTGCAAGACACATACTTCTGCCATCAGCCCACGAACCAATAGGAGATGGATTGAGGTGGCATACTATACATGATGAAATGATAGATGAGTGGCCGTAAATTCTAGTCGTCCAAAGAAATAACTGATATCATATTATAAATTAAGAAAATTCAGAGTTAATTGTATGTTACGACTAAAGTTGAGGCATTCCATTGAATAATATTTAGGAAAGTGTGAGGACATCGTTTTTTTATAACAATCTACCTCATACTTAATGTTATATTAAGAATATAGTCAAATTGTAAAGAGCTGTTATTTCTCTGACTATATCCTTTATTGTCATAATTTATATATTATGTAACATTTCATTTATTGAAGTGATATTAAGTTACTGTTCTCTGTGTCTGTGATTGAGTAAGGCTTCTACTAATTTAGTGTTTTTTTTGTAAAATCGAACTGTGTTTTAAAGTTTGAAATTATATATAAAATAAGTAAATTTTTTTAATCTCCTAAAATCCCTCTTCCTAAAATCAAATAAATATCCAATTTTTTCTAACTTACACTTCGTTTTTGTGTAAAAAGTGTTGCCTAGACTATGACTCAAAACAGAAGTAGATTTGAGTGACATTTAAATTAAACTAACCTCAAAATTTTTCTATAATTAGTTTTCAAATATTTTTAAATTTGTTCCGGATTTACCGATGAATTAACGACATGACGACCACTAATTTGTTCCGAAAATGCTTTTTGAAGCTTAATGGCGCTACAATTAGAAATTTAAGTAAAGTTAGTAATAGATCTGCTTTAAAGCAACATCCATCGTTTTACTATATACTGGGTGGAACAACCACATTACTTATAGCTTATAAATTCAAGTCGCTTCAGAAGGTTTACACTGCTCATAGTGCCCACTCGAAAGTAAGTAAAACCTTCCATTTCCAGCTTCACCGCAGTGACATTTTTATTTATCCAGGATGAAGATGTAAAGGTTGTTAAATTGACTGCTAGGGAGAAAAGATTCATCAGATTCGCTTCGGTAGAATACAATGGCCAGTTGTACATGACACCTCAGGACTTCCTAGAATCCGTAATAGAGGCAGAACCAAGACGTAGGTTTTTGAGTCAATCAATCAGTCAGTTTGTAATTACCGTTAACTTCCAGCGAAATTGAAACGAAAAATTTTAAACCAGAAAGAACTGGAGAAAATTAAGGAGGCAACGCCACCTTTGAGCCAAGGTTCGCCAAGGTTATTTCGAAGTCTTAGAGACAAAGGTGTTGTATACTTCGATAAAATGGCTGCTTAATTTAATATAATAAACTTTAATTTTAGGGATTATTTCATACACAGAATATTTATTTCTTCTGTCTGTATTAACAAGTGAGTTTCAAATTATTTGCCAGGTGTTAGATGTGTAATGGATTGTTTTTAGAGCCCCAGTCTGGTTTCAGGATTGCTTTTAATATGTTTGATACGGATGGTAACCAAAGGGTTGATAAAAACGAGTTTCTTGTGGTAAGTTTTTCTATTCGATTTACACATTTTTCTTAAATACCTACTCCATTAAATATTAAATTACACGAACAGATAAGAAAACTATTGGCAGGCAAAAAATTCGAAGACCATGCATCAGTAAGTTGTTTACGTGAGAAACGAAATTGGCTTTTTTTTTCATGATTTTCTTGCAATGGATATATTGCTTTGTTATTTATTAACAAATAATGTACAAGGTAACGTTGATACATCTCCAAATTGTTTATAATTCGTAAGATTACGAATTTTTGTGCTTGAAGCGATCGCTTGATTTTATTATTAACATTATTTACAAATCGGCCAGTTTGAGAGCATGTTCGTTCAAAAAACATAACTAAGTGTACTGAAAAATTGTTTCTACTCTACCTTCAAATACAAATAAGAAATTACCCGATTACATGTAACTAAACTTAACTAAAAACCGATTCCTATGTATGTTTTGAAATACAAAAAATATATGGTGTGATTTAGATGGAGAAAATATTCAGTCATGCTTGGAAGGGCAAAAGAGGAATGAGCAACGACCCGGCAAACGATAAAAATGCAATCCAAGAGCAGTATGTAGACGATGAACAAGGCCTTCAGAGAAGACACAACGTCGATACAACACTCATAGTACATTTTTTTGGACCCAAGGGCAACAGCGACCTCAACTTCGAGAGTTTCAGAAAATTTATGCTGCACTTGCAGACGGAGGTGTTGGAATTGGAATTCAACGAGTTCTCCAAAGGTCTTCCAACAATATCTGAAATAGATTTTGCCAAAATTCTGTTGAGATATACTTACTTAGATACCGATGCTTACGATATGTACCTTGACCGGTTATTAGATAGGATGAAAGACACCAAAGGTATCACGTTCGAAGAATTCCACGTTTTCTGCCAGTTCCTCAATAATCTGGAGGATTTCACGATCGCCATGAGAATGTACACTCTAGCAGATCATCCGATATCAAAAGGTATATAGATAGGGTTTTATGTGCATCATAAACAATTTGAGCGTTTGCTTTCCAGATGAATTTCATAGAGCTGTAAAAATATGCACTGGTACTAACTTGAGCCAACATTTAGTGCATACTGTCTTTGCCATTTTCGACGATGACGGTGATGGCCTTTTGAGCTACCGAGAGTTTATAGCCATTATGAAAGATCGCTTACACAGGGGTTTTAAGGTAATTAATTTAGTTAAAAATAATTTGTGTATACTAGGTAAATTTGTTACAGTCTTATGCCAAAAATGAAGGATGGGAGGCGTTTAAAACCTGCATCAAGCAAGAAATGAAGGCGCCTGTTTAGACGCCTGCTGGACGTTTTAATTTAATATAAGTTTGAATCTCTATGCACTAGCTTTTTTGCTTGAACCAAAAAAATTGTGATAATTTTATTCGGTGCCATTATGTTATAGGTCATATAGGGCTGTTTTTGTTAAATTTTAGCTTTGGAATGTTTATATTGTTATACTAGTCATGATGTATAAGGAAAACCAGAATGGTAATTAATTTTTGTTGGCCTTATGTACCTTTAAAAAAAATGATTTTGTTATTGCTTTAGTTGCGCTTAATATGTACTTAAATTAATTTTATGAATTATTGCTAGTCAAATATTTTCTCAGTGATTTAGATCTGAAAATTGTACCTATTGTTGTTATCTGATGCGAATAAAATGTTTTCGAATTAACGATTTTTTTTATTGTTGGTGTACAATTTAAACAAAAACAAATTACAATTTACCCCCCACACAATTTGTCTGTATGTGAGTCATTTTTTTTATCTGCATGATCTAGTCTGTTCTTATCAGTCATATAGTAAAAGTTGCTAAATCTACAAATATACACAAAAACTACTCCAGAAAAATATAAATTACGTTAAAGTTTGCATAATAATTTTACAGCATAATCCTCCAAATAAACGCAAGATGTGTAAGTACTAATAAATTTAGTTGTATAATGTTATATAGAGTTTTTAATGTGATTTTATAAAAAAAAATCTTGGACTCTCGGAAATTCGTTAGCCGATTGTGATATGTGGCAACGCCGCTATCTGCATGGGAGATGGGAGTAGGAAAATGTTTGGTATCTCCTTCTCTTTCGCTCGTTTTTCTGATTCGCTTTAGCAGTTTTGTTTTTTTGTTCAGTGTAATGGTGACGGTTGTAATGTGTAGAAGATATGTACGAATTTAGTTAGAGGGATGTTTGATGCTGGATTTATTAACTTTAAGGCTGAAGTACCCAATGATTTACACTGTTTATGGATTCGCCATATTTTTCTTTGTATTTTGGTGTGGAATATGGATAGTTCACCTAATAGCTTTATTTTACGGGTAAGAATTATTTAGCACATAACCTATACGAGAAGCTTCGAATGGATTTTTTCGGCAATAATTGTATTAACTGTTGCGGTTTTTTGCAGTAAATATAGACTGCATAGGAAGGTAAAGCCTTTAAGCACAGATGAACCATATCCTGGGGTTTCTATTCTGAAACCTCTCATGGGAACTGATCCTCATTTGGTTTCTAACTTAGAAACGTTCTTCACTATGACCTATCCAATGGTGAGTTTTAATTAAGCAAAATTCGCCAAATTAGCACTCATTTCATATGAATTTCAGTACGAGATCCTTTTTTGCGTGGAAGATGAAAAGGATCCAGCCGTAGATGTAGTGAATGCATTAATAGCAAAATACCCAAAAACTCCTTCCAGGGTTTTCCTTGGCGGCTCAACTGTAGGCGTAAATCCCAAAATTAATAATATTAACAAAGCATACGAAGCTAGTAGTTACGATTTAATTCTCATATCAGACAGTGGAATTCGAAGTAAGTCTTCATCGCACTCTCACCGATCTTGCACTAACTGGATTGTTTCAGTGAAAGAGGACACTTTGTTAGATATGGTGACGCATTTGACTGAAACCACCGGCATTGTCCATCAAATGCCTTTCACTTCGGACAGGAACGGTTTCGCTGCAATTTTAGAAAAGGTAACGCCCGTAACGTCTCGATAACACCTTATAATTCAACCGTTTCTGTTCTTCCCAGGTATATTTCGGGACCGCGCAATCCAGGATGTATCTAGGGGCGGATTTTCTGGGCGTAAATTGCCACACGGGCATGTCCACGTTGATGAGGAAGCCCGTTCTCGAAGAGCGCGGCGGTTTGAAGATGTTCGGCTGCTATCTGGCCGAAGATTTCTTCATAGCCAAGGCCTTCCTCGACAAGGGATGGAAAACTGCCATTAGTAGTCAGCCTGCTTTACAAAACTCTGGTATCTGTGATGTAAATAGCTTTCAAGCCAGATTAACAAGGTGAGTTTTTTTTTAACATTTCTAATGCTTGTAATTGCAAGTAAAAATAAAATATATATAGGTATTGCAATTCGCAAGGTCGCTGCAAATAGTTCGGAATATATTTTGAAATGTTCACTTCGTTAGCGTTATCTTAGCTACAGTCAATAAGTAGCGACGGTACATAATAAGTTTTTACGTTTTTACTATACACTCGAGCAGTTTCATGTGATATAAGATAACATTTTTAATAACAGTCGCTCATCAAATTAAGATTACTGTGATAATTTGCGAGAAACATCTACTTGCATCTAAACTATGTGTTTTTCATTTGATAAATTTCCAATTAAATAAAAACCGTAAATTTTCCACTCGCAATAGCACGCTTGTCAACTTTAGAATTGATTGCATTTTGATTGTACTAACAAAAAAAAATCGATCAAAATATCATTCGCGCGACTTTTCACATACGTCAAACGTTTAGGATGAATTATCTTTTTTTTGTTTCGTATGTAAAAAGAATTTAAAAAATTTCGAGTGATTATACCAATTTTTTATCGTTCATCGGAATACGAGCACTATTCCGATTATTCCAACAGAAATTAGCGCGAGATCTGCTTAAATATTAGAGAGATATTCCGTTATCGTCGATTTTGTATCATCAGGTATTGATAAAAAAATACCCTGTCATATTATACGTTTATTACGATAAAAAATTTGTTTTAAAAATACCGATAAAATTGCGCCTGAAAAGGGAACGGAAACAACCGCGCTTACCCGCAAAATTCGTCGATATTGAAATTATCGTACCGTCACTAATGCACGTTGATGGGAACGACGTTCCGCTACCCTTAACAATTACGCCGAAGGAGCCTGCACTTAATTATGCAGGAATCATCTTGACGACCTAAGCGCAAAAATATCAGGGATAAAATTAAATATCCGAAGTCAGCGTTCAATTTCGGCGTAACGAAGTTATTGTCCATTACGCTTCGAAATTGAATCAGGCGGATATTTCGAATTGTTCGATCTTCGACCTTTTTCGCGCTGCACTTGTCGCAACTCGAAGGCTAATTGTCTGTTATGAAATCGAAGGCGATCGACGTACGTGACATACGTGCTTCGTTTATCTAGTAGGCCCTACAAGGAAATTCTTTTTTTTATAACATTTTATTTTTGTTCCGAACCAATCACTATTATCGCTTCTGTTATTCGCTATTTTGCAAGAAAATGTAAGTGCATATCGACGTTTCGGTCTAATTATATTGGTTCTTGCTTTCATTGGGAATGACGAAAAGCGATCTATTTACAATCTTTTTGCACAATATGTGGAAATCTAGACATTCCTGCATGGAGATGACATGCTAGGCCAACTTCGATTTATAAGATTTCTAAAAAATATCACAAAAGGGACAAAGTGGTTCGTTCGGCCTGCTACGATTCATTAAAACCTCGAGTAAAAATATTTTTGACAGAAATGACATTTAGAAATAATTTTAACGTAATGACTATTTTATGAAAGTTCGTAGTAACTAATTTTTGATGGTAAGTTTTCGAGTTGCATTATATTAAAACTATTTACAATGCAGTAGAATGCATCGATTAAATATAATTAAAATTGGAACCACTTAAAATATACATTTTATTTGTCGTAACCGAATTTATAAATAGCTCTTTGACTGGGTTTACCGTCTGATTACGAGTGAATTTCTAATGCTGAATTTTTAATCACAATTTCGGGTGTGTGGATATACAGGTAGATGCAAAACTATTTGCAATATAGGCTATAGTCGCAACAAAGACAACCTCCATTAGTAGTCATATAAAGGAAAAAGAAAGTGATATTATGAGGACGCAACTTTCACTACAATCTCCCTTATTTTCATAATCTTTAGAATTGACCAAATTGCAAACAATTTTGAACAAAGCTAGCCATGGAAATAATACCATTGTCTAAATGTCAAAATAACTATCAACTTTTTCTCTTCAACTGAATCAAGTTACAACGAATTGAAATTTGAAGTATTGGTAAATGGTTAAGTGTCGCCTTTAATTTAAAATAATTGAATTCAATTGCCATACACCATTATCTATGATAGACTTACATGAGTGTTAACCTCCATTTGTATCGATAGAAAAATTCTTTCGTTATATTCAAAGTGACGCATGTAGCCTACTATACCCTGTTTTCAAAATAACTGGCAGTGACTCATCGATCATTTTTTTAATGGGGCGGGGACAATCTGATCAGCGATTACCGAGCTACTGAGAGCATTACAGTGATATTTATACACCTTGCTCCTGCACCATTTTTCTAAAATTGAAAAATTACTTTGGAACCAGGGTATAGATCGCAAATATTAAATAATTCGAGTAAAAAGGTACAGCATCACATCCAAACAAATTATCGGTTATTTTTCAAGCGTTTCAGATAAAGTTCAATTCTAATTCATATCTGGAGGACGTGATATATCTGTTTGATTTCTTATGTAAAGCGCTTCATTGTCTTATCTAATTCCATGACTGATATGTTGATAATAAACGTTTAATCAACAATTAATATTACAAAACGATGTTCTATCGATGTTCTAACGATGTTCTCTTATCTATTTAAATTGTTTAGCCGAAAAAAAAAATTTTAACGTGTAAAAACATTATCAGGATAACCTTTCCGCAGCATGTGTTTTGTCTTGTTCAAGTTTTGTAGGAGACATCCACACCTTCAGATCAGATAACGCTGATAACTTGAATTGCAAACACTCTGCTTGATTTACTGTTACTGATTCATTGGTTACCTTCATTTTCGTGGAATTGGAATGCAATTAAAGCGAAAAATAATCAGTTTTCGCAGGCTTACAGAATGCATACCCGTAATACTGTAACGATTGGAAAAAACTTTGATTGAATTAAAAGTCTCCGATGTGGGAAAAACATTTATTTTTCATTGGAATTGTGACGCTTCCATCCTACGATACTTTTTCATTAAGTTTTCGGTGTAGCAATTACCCTTTTGTCGTAATAGTAATCGATACGTTTGTGGGGGATGAATATTTAAAAAGCTCCATCGTCGAACTTAACAATTTAATTTCTTTGAATAAATACAATACGTTATTAATGAAAAACAAATGTATCGTCATGCAATAGTATTTGTTTTTAAATATGCAAATAACATATTATACTGCACTATACCGTGCAAACATAACACCACGTTTTTGTCTACAATGATTACGTATGAATTCACCCCTAGTTCGGTTTATTAGTGAATAATCGCGTTTAACGCGTTGTTTCTACGGTTACCTACTCTAATTTACATACAAATATTAATTTAAACGTACGTTAGTTAACTCCTATTTATTTTTGATGAATAGTTTTCCTGTCTTTCAATCTAATCTACTCGTTGTATTTGCTTAGTAAATATGTGGCTATTTCGCAAAAACCATATGCTGCAGTTGATGCAATAAGCGTTTAAATAGTTCAACAAATATTTGATTACCTGATGTATTTTTTTGGGTTCGTTTAACGGACATTGCAAAATTTTACCAAGGCTTAACCAGGAGCGGAATAATATTATGATGAACTGATTACTTTTGTTAAATTGAAATAAATAAAACGATAACAAAAATGTGAAACAAATATCCAATTATTTTCGTCTTTAAATTGCATGCAATGTTTACTGCACTCAATTTGAGAACATCCCGTAAAATAAAAGATACAGTTTTGTTTATTATATGGGAAAAATGATTTTAATTTTATTTTTAAAAAAATAATTCAATCGCCCACATATGTACCTACTTGTATTTTAAAAGAAAACAACCTCTGGGACTCGCATTGTATGATTAAGGGCGTTCTTATCAATTTGATCAATTCCCATTTAATAAAAAATGTAAATATTTATTATTCTCTTCTAATTGTTTGATGAATCGATTCATTTTATTGTTTACTTTTATCGCTTAACTGAAATCAATTGACATAATTTGTTGAAAATTGGATCAATCAAATTCCAAACGACTTTGTTAAGTTAATTTACTTCATATTTAAAAAAAACTGTTGATTTATAAGGAGATTCGTTTATTTTTACCTTTGTTATGTTATCTTTATTCATATATTCTATTGATTGTGTATCTCTTCTATTTGCAATGGTTATTACGCATTTAAATGCAATATCTAAACATAATCAATATGGAAATTTTTCTTGTTGAAGTGCAAAATAATGCATTAGTTAAATGTTACGATAACTTGATTATCAGTTTTGAAATTTCCTGTAATAACATTTCTACTGTTTCTCATATTTTCAGAAATCTAAAACTAGAATTTATGATTTCTACGTATTTATATTATTTTCTTTTTCCTCTAATATTGACGACATGGAAAATTGTAATAAAATAATAATTCAGTTTGTTTTCCTGTGGTATCTTTGTTGAACAATTGGGTTTTTACGCAACCTGTTTACGTTCTCGTTCTAATTTTATTATTAAGGTGATGATAGGTAATGTTAATGGGAAAAATGAGGAAATAATTGTTCGACATAAACATAACAACCTTGGGTGTCTAAACCGACAACATTTAGAGTACTTAGTACCGGCAGAGTGAAGTGCAATAATTGTAAATTTTATATTTTATGCACACATTACGTCGGATTTTCCGAACTTGTATTCCCGTTAATTTATTTCGTGTAATTCATTGTCAACTATTTATAAATTAGCGTGAATCACGTTATTACAAAAAAAAGTAAGGGAGAAATTTAGGCTACTGCTACTTCGCCTTGAACTGTTTGCTCTAGGTACGTTTAAATGTTATTGATTCGTGGGCATATTAATGTATTTTTTAAAACATATCGGATTTAATTCGAATGCCTAGACGAACCATACAAAAAAATATGCTAGTTATATTCTTGATATTGTATAAACATCACATAGTTAACAAGTGTTAACAAAAAAATTAAATCGATTGAATGCGCGAACAGAATTTGAGTAATTTATAACCGGGAGAAAAAAAATGATGTAGATATAATTTTTTTTTTTGTTTCAGATGGGCCAAATTACGGGTGGCAATGTTGCCTATAGTAATATTTTTCGAACCACTCTCCGAATGTATGGTTATAGGGGCGTGCGCAGCTTGGGCGGCGAGCCTGTTGTTCCGCTGGGAACCCCTCGTTTTCTATTTAATTCATGTACTTGTATGGTTCTTGTGTGATTGGATGCTATTGTCTATAGTACAAGTAAGTGCGGTCGTTTATTCACCAGTCACCTCGCAGCTACGTCAAACTTGTAAAGCACACCGTGACAAATTCAAATTAGTTATCCATTATGCAGCGTTTGTTTAATTGCTTCTTTTTAAGGATATTATAAACGGTCGTTTTAATGAGCGTTTTAAAGGTTTTTAGCGGAACCTGGTTGATTAAGCGCGCATTGGAATGATTAGTTTTTTTTTTAATGTTTCAACGGTTATTAGTTATTTTACGTGCATACGAAAAGCGGATCGAAGATTCTGCAATCGCGAGTTGTTCATTCGAAAAAATGTTTTAATCATGTCAAGGCGGACCCGCGATAATACCTTTGTGGTTGCAAACTGTAGCAATTACTACACCTGCTTCTACTTAATCTTATCCTTGCATCAATTTTTTTTTTTTCGTTAGAAAATAATTCCCAATGATTCATGCTTTGTAGAGTAATCTTATCGATTATTACTATTTTTTTTTATCAATTTGTTCACTGTATTCATACTAAGTACATTAAATATTTTTATTTGTTAATGAATAATTCATTTATATGAAACATGAGATGATCGTTCTTTAACCTTTGGATAATTTGAATTGTACATTAATCATCACTAAATGCTAAATGTTTCAATTTTTATTTATAGCATGAGAAATTAGTAAGTATTATTGTTTTTTTTTTTTATTTTAGAATGGGTCTCTTCCCTTCAAAAGGTTCGACTTTATTATTGGGTGGCTGTTTCGTGAATGTTCTGGGCCTTACCTATTCCTTTTAGCGCTGTGTCATCCGGAAATCAAGTGGAGGAATCGCGTATTCAAGTTGACATGGGGCGGAATAGCTCAAGAGGTAAAGCCGAGGATCAAATGTTAAAAGGTACACGTCTATTCGTTTATAAAGGTTGCCACTTTGTATGCCGAATTTTTATACGTATTTCAAGCTTAACCAAAAGAAAGACCTTATTAGTGATCTAAGGACAAAAGCACTGATTTTTGATTTTTTTGTTTACCTTGGAACTTTAATATCTAAACGATACCACGGATCGGTTTGCACGCCGAGTACTGAAATTTTATCTATTTATTTGTTAGAGTTAATACTTAACCCGGTGACCTGAGGTGACATTCCGCCAATAATTACCTAAGACACCGTCGTGTAAGGTTTTATTTTGTTTATAAATTACTAACGAATCATTACCCTAGTCATAATTTTAATTATAACATCGAAGTTACTTAAAAGAATTTGAACACGAAACAACTAGGCATAAGCAATAACTATAAAGTACATATTTGCAACGTATTCCTTATGATGTACGAACTGGTTCTTCGGCACATTGACCAACTCTTTCAGTATACACGCAGTAAATATTCCATAAAAATCTCGCATACGAAAATTAGTATTAAGATTAGTGTGATATATTTAATTCCTACATGCTATATTTATATTATTGAGGAGTTGCTTGACCTCCTTACTAACATAAAAATGTCTTCTTTGTCTCTAAAAATCAGTTAAAACTATATCAATTATTGTTCGCTCGGTAGGGCGTTGTAATGGAAATGTAAAAGCTAATATAGAATATAGGAGGAGACTACGAGACTGATCTTCCTACTGACTGAATAATTCAATAACATTATAACTGAATTTTTGAGGCAAAGATATCCCTGTGTAAATTTTTATCTTTAACGTTTCGGGACATGAAATATGCTTATTATTATTTCAAGTTTGTACTGTAGTTTGCCCCATTATTTAATATTTTTTAGCAATATTTAAACTAATTGGCCAGAATAGTATTATGTAGTATATTGATAAAAAGCCTATTTAAATGAACAAACAGTTTTGACAAATAAGTAAAATTTACACATATTTCTTACAACTTAAGTATTATATGTATAAGGTATAAATAACGCTAAAGACTTACCAAAAATACACGAAAATATATTTTTTTATTTTTATTTTAAATATTCCTAAATTATTCTCGATTGTTGTTTTACGTGCGGTTTTGTTCCCTACTTGATATATTGTACTTAATTTTTTGATTATTGAGTTTTTTTTACTTAAAATTATACCTACAATATTTATAATTTATACACATTCTCAAAAATCAGCCTTTAAAAATCTGTACAAAAACAGCATCGTTGGACCTGAAAAAGTGTTTCTTATTCCAAAATATATTTTTAATGCTAGCATAAAAATTTACTTTAAGATATTGAAGTTTGATAAAAAAATCATTCCCGGTTAATCAAGTGGCAACTTTTGTGTAAGTATGATAAACTTACTGTGCATGCATGTATAATTGTATTAATTATATTCTCTGTAACTGTTTTTTTAACACGTTAACAGCCGAACACACCTATTGGTGTGTTGTGAACGTGAAAGTAGTTCAATGGGCAATTGTGGGAGAAACCCAAAATATTTTATGGCAGTTAATACGTTAAATGCGTTTTTCGCCCTATTACGATATTAGTTATATACTTACTACATTCACGTCGTCTCAATCACCTGTCACTTAATACCGAAACTATTTATTTTTGTTTTTATTTAATAAAAAAATGTTTTGTAATAAATTGTTTTTTAATGAAAAAGACACTGTTCTACATGCCACTACATTCTTAGCGGATTTAAATAATAGATTCTTATTAGAATTATAGATATAAAAATTTGGAATGTTTCAAAATGCGAATAACATTACATTACTTAAATTCTATGTGATACTATGGTATTTTTATTTTGTGTGATTGCTTAATAATATTGAACACATTAATTTGTCTCGTATTTTGATCTTAATTCAACATATAATACGGGTATTTATGATCATCAGTACTCTCTAAAACTAAGAATACCCCTATTATAAGTCATTTAATTAAAGAAATTAAATAAAATAGAAAACTATATAAAAATGTATAGGCGTATTTATAAAGGCAAAGCTTCAGTCAAATTTAGCAACCGATGTTTAAGTAATACATAACCATTTTAAAAGGACGGATTGATCAGTTTCTCAAATCACAGATACAGAAATTTTATTTTAAATATTACTTAACTTGGTTTCGAAAATCCTAATTAACGTTTTGCACCTGGAATGCTTTGTTCTTGTTCCCTCTAAAGAAAACCCTCTTTAGATACTGAATCAACTTGCTAACACAGTTAGCAAACAAAAATCAACTTGTATATAAATAATTTAAAAACCTATCCTAACGGAAATAATTTGGGTAAAATTTAGTGTCGACCGGACAATAAGCATTTTCTAAACCTCATCAGAGTACTGCTTACACGTCCGTTTGAGGCACATTCAAAGGCACTGCCTGTGGTTTCTTCACTTTAGCCGGTAGGCTGGGTGTGCCCTTCCGAGGAGGCACCATTTCTCCGTTCGGAGCGTTATTTACAAATGACTGAATTTCTTTCATGGAGACGGTGTTGAAAGACGAGGCACTATTAGAACGAGGAGGCAACATGCGGGATTCATATTTTTCTATGTATTCGTTAACGTCGTGTCCACGGGTATTTTCTATACCTTCGTTGTCCGTGTCGTTGTCAGGTGGGTACAAAAATGTATTGTAGTATCTGTCTGATGACCTATAAGAGAGTAAATACCGATAAAACTACGCAAATACAATTAATTCTAATAATCTAATTATGTTAATGATACGTGTAGTTTAATTGCCAATAAAATCACAAGTGATCCGTCACCTCAGCAATTACTAAATTAATTAAATATTTAGAGAACTCATGCGGAACTCAATGTTTACAGACAAATAATTTGCTAGATTAGTAACATTAGGAAACATTCTACACTACCTTACAAGTAGTTCAAAGTTTCCATTACCTTGCTTACCTCTTTGCGTTCCTCCAAAGCATGCAGCAAATGACCAATAGAACAATCAACAGGAGACAAACGCCCGAAATACTCCAAAAGGCGATTTGCAATGGAGCCCTAGGTTCCCACCAGAACTGAAGCATAAACATTAAAAGTAATACATCGCTGAGTAAGCTCTTTAAATCGTACTTACCTCAGTTGTGGGAGGATACGTAGGCAAAAGGTGACCGACTAAAGTAGGTACATAAATCGACCAAAAAGCCGATTCGGTCTGCCTGAAGTTCCACATTATCGACGAATTGTACGTCGTATTTATATTCAAATACTTCAGCTGCCCGTGCTGCGACTCCTCGAAATGCAATCCCAATATTTGCGTGTACGTGGGATTCCCGTACTTCGCGAAGTTACTGTAAGCCTTCATGAAGAAGTGGCTCATGTTCCTGTCGTTTCTGGTCCACTGGTCTCTGACGAATCGTTCTTTGGACGGGAGCATTTCGGTGTCCAAAAACGGAGCGCCGCAGAGCAGGTAATGCTCTATATCGTGCGGCGTTTTCCTCCACTCTGGATAATTGAACGATTCGATTGTGGTGTTCAAAACGTACATGTAAACCGGAACGTTTTGTTCTATTAGCAGTTTCACCATTTTATCGTTGGGAGCGGTGTACAAGAAGTCGGATAGCATCTGGAAAATAATTCGAATTATTTACAAATCTACTGGAGAGTCGGGTAACGTACGTGTATATACTCATCCCTTATGTGAGTCACGTTGTTAGGATCTGGCCAATAGGTGTACATGTATTTAATAGCATCGAATATCCCATGCGGATTTAACGTGTAATTATACCTCAACACCAGTTCTTTGACTTTTTGATCGAAAAATTCTTGCGTTACGATGAAATTTGGTTCCAAACTTTTATTTGCAGCTGAAAACAAAGAGTGTATTGCTAATTTTGCTATAAAAAAACTCTATTTTAACTCACTGATAAATCCTGCTGCTTCTTGCAAGGTGACACCAGCCATATATTTCAATCCTGCGTTAAACGATCTCTTTTTAATTAGACTTTCAACGCTCTCGTCGATAAAATGCCAATCTTTTTCATCCCAACCCTCGTAGTGTGGCATTGAAACGTTCATTTCTACTACTGGCGCCCAAGGGAACAAACCCACTTCAGGAGGAAATTCGGCGTTTCCTATTTCGAAGGCACTCCTTGAATTTTTAAGGCAGTTCACCAACTTCCACGAAGACTCTATACTACAACCTATTTGTCTACCGAACACTCTGCTGGTATTTTGGGCTCTGTATCTATCGAAAATCATCGCCCAATCCGCCACAGCCGCGCCACTCTAAAAACGTTTACTTGTATTCAAAGCGCATATTAGTGATTGTACAATTATTACCTGAGCAATTACTTTAGTAACCATGTGACTAGTTTGAGGGGCCGCCATTAACAGCCCCGCAGAAGCAGCCCCGGCCCCGGGTCCAAACAACGTTAAACTGTATTTGTCCCCGTTGAAACTCTCCGCGTTGTCGTACACCCATCGCAAAGCCATCGCTTGGTCTAAAATACCATAATTCCCGGGGGAATTTACGTCGCCCGTGCTCAGGAAACCCAAAGCCCCCAAACGGTAGTTAATCGTAACGACCACTACTTTATAGAAAGTGGCTAGAATATGACCAGGGAACGTGTTGGATGCTCCGTGAATGAAATCCCCGCCGTGAATGTAGACCATCACGGGGTACTTGTGGCCGGTTCCTTCAGTCTACAAAGCAAGATTATAACAGGTTTTGTGCAAAATGTACTTCACTTACAATGTCGGGGGTGAAAACATTGAGATAAAGGCAATCTTCATCGACGTCTCTAATACCTAAAGTAGCTCCAGTGTACTTAGCAGGCTGCGGACAAGCGGGTCCGAAATCCACCGCTTGCATTATATTCCAACCACGATGGGGTCGTGGAGGCTACAAAAAAGTATATTTAGCACTTTATACACCGATTAATAGGGTATTAACACTACTTTAAATCTGCCTTCGTATACAGGCGGCTGGGCGTAGGGAATCCCCAAAAAGGCAGAGGCAATGCCTTGCTGTCTTTCGATGAATTCAGTGCCTGGTCTGTAAATCGAATCGGGATTCGGGTTATCGAATAAGTACACTTGAAATCCTTGGACACTCCCGTGCGTTGTTTGCACGAACACATCCCTGAGTTTCTCTCTGGTTTGTTCGCGTCGTTTGCCTTGTAAATCTTCCCTCCAACCGCCCAATATGCCGGGTAAAATTGGCTCAGCATTGCCAGCCTAATAACGATGAAATTAATTACAGCTAATTACCTACAGTCGGCGTTTCTTTTAATAAATTCAAAGAGAAATTAAGTAATAAGTACTTTCATTACTACACCCACACAAGTAGATGAATCACGAAATTGGTTATTATAAATGAATAATGGTAATTAATAATCACAAATAGTATTACAACACATTAATATTAATAAAAAATATATTCATAAAAAATATAATATTTATGAAAGAAAGTTTGGTTACTGACAGTAACTCAACAAATATACAAAGTGAAAATTTAAATTGTACTCACCCTGTCATATGTAAATCTTTCATCTTGTCCTCTTATCCTGGGATCTCCTGGCCTACTTTGATCATAATAGTTTGGGTGGTAATTTTGCCCATATCTTCTCCCTTTGTAAATATAAGTTGCCCTATAATCATTTGGGTACGGATTGTAAGGTAGTTGTGGGCCGTAAATGTTGTAAGGATTTTGGACATTCTGTGGAAACTCTGTCGGATACCGTGGATAATTGTCGAATTGCCCTAAAATACCACTTATAAAATTTATAACTAATAAAATTATAAATAAAAGCTGCCCGTTACTGGGCGGCGCCATGTTAGTCATGTTATTTTGTTTTTGTTATGTTTGCGATTTGACAATTTTGACAGATGTCGTTTTAAATTGTCATACTAGAGTACGTTCGGTATTTAGGTACGTTCATAAATAAAATTTGGCATAGGTAGCGAATGGGTAACAAGAGAAATACCACAAGCTCCTAGATTCTATAGATATAATAGATAATATAGTAGGGATAAAGTAAAATTTAAATTTTAAAACAAGCGACTTGTATATGTATTTTTTTTAATTATGTATTTATACAATTAGAATTACAATGAATAACTCATATTTTCAAACATTTTAAATCATTTTCGAAATGAAAACAGGATACATCAAGATAGATATATTTTGGATTTATATTAAAATAATATAAATGTCAATTATGCAGTAATAATAACTTTTTATTCTTCCAAAGTAAACTAGATTAGAAGAAAAATAATGTAAAATAGTCTCTAATACTAAGTGATGAATGAGAATTACAAATAGTAAAGTAAGAAAATTAATTAAAGTGATTTAATATAGAAAATGTAATTACATAGCTGTAACGAGCAAAAATTGAAGTTACCTAATTAGTTTACAAATAAAGAAAGTAAAAAATTGTCCTTCAGAATACAGACTAAATAAAAAACAACGAAATAAACTAAGTTTTATATTTAGTCTATTTTAAACAAAAAATAGCCTAATACTTTCTAATTCCTGAATTAAATCTTCCGTCTGGATAACTGTTAATTCCGGGAGGAGGAGGGCATACTGGTCCTAAATTGGCGTTACTGGAAAACGGCCTCGTCGAAGATGGTTGTGGAGGCCATCTACAATAAAAAAAGCCCACATGAAAAAATAATTCCAGGCTTAAAATGGATGTTTGATTTACCTCTCGGACCCTGGATTACGCCACGGTTCTTTTTCAAACAACTTTGGTGTCGGATTGGCCCCAAAGGGTTTCTGCATTGGACTGGACCAACTACTACTTATCGGTCTACTATCGAAGCTTCTCGGACCTGCATCTTTAGAAAATGTACCTCACAAATTTTTAACAAAAAATACACAAATACGCACCTCTTGAACTCATACCGATGTCGGGCTTATCGTTTATCGGTCTCCTATCGTCCCTTCCCGACCTGAAATGCGGACTTCTATCTCGGCCTCGCTCTCTATCATCGTACCTGATGTCTTTCGGTCTCGCCGGCAAATCTCTCCCGCCCCTCGATTCCCTGCTATCGTAAGGTCTCGACTCGTACTTGCCACTGCTAGGCGAAGGTCCCGGATTGGACCTGCTGATAGGCGAATGACGGCTCATGTCGTAATCGCGCCCTCTTTTCTCGGGGTAGGTCATATCACGTTTCGACTCGTACCTTTGCTTGTTATACGAATCTTTGGAAGTCGAAAACTTCTTAGGACTAGCTTCCCTGGGTTTTAAACTGTTAACATTAAGTTATATTAGTAGTGTTTATATAATATAAGAGTTTAAAAGCGAACCTCGGCGGCGGCGGCGGTTCGTTAAAGTGCCTTTCGGTGGCGGACCTTTTCCTATCCTCGAACTCGTCCCTTCTGTAAGGCGCCGGCCGCTTGGCGGCCCGCCTCTCCTCGTCCAATCGCAGCAACGTTCTCTCCAACTCCATCTTCTCCAAGGCGATCTTCTCCCGTTCGAGCCGCTGCCGTTCGCGCTCCATGCGCACCAGCTCCACCTTCTCGCGCTCGATCTTCTCACGCTCCATGCGCAACTTCTCCTTTTCGCGCTCCAGCCGGTGCGCCTCCTTGCGCTGGCGCTTCTCCACGTCGCGCTGCCGCGACGCCTCCTCGTGCCGCCGCCGGATCTCTTCGCGCAGCAGCCTCTCCTTGTCGCGTATCCTCTGGCGCTCGCGCTCCTCCTGCAGGAAAACCTCACATCAGTCAATCATTTAGAACTATCTAGAATCATTCAGAACGCTCCAGAATCATGTAGAACTGTCTAAAATTATGTCGTAGAGGAAACAATTCTCGAGCGCTGTTTGTATGATGAATTAATTTGAGATAAGAAAGTAGATTGTAGTATTATAAAATTAAAATATACCCGAATTTTATCGAAGGTAAGAATTTCTCGGTCGTGGTGGCCTCTCGAGTGCTGTCGATTTCCATGCTTTTCCCTCGATTTCCTCCTTTCCTTGGACCTCTGTAGAAGAAAACGAAACGCAGGTATATAACTAGACAGTAACGAGTAGAAAGTAACGAACTTACAGTTCGATCGCTGCGCTCTTTATTCTTCATATCGCCCCCTTTGAGATCGTCTTTTTTATCGGCTTTACCATCTTTATCGTCGCCTTCTTTATCCTTATCGGCATTCCCGTTTTTGCCATCGGACGATTCCTCCTTCTTTTCATCGGTGCTTTTGGAGATGGAGCGCTTTCGCGGCGTCTTGCCGTCCTTTTGGCTCGACTGCTTGCTCTGCTGGTCCCTCAGCTGCTTCATTTGCTCCGCTCTGACTAGATCGAACTGCGAAACACGCGCAATTAGATATAAACGGACAAAAGCGTTGCGAGGTACCTTCTCGATTTTGATTATCTGGCCCTTCAGTTCGGTGTTGTTGAGCTTCGCGATGACGTTTTCGACGTCTTCGACGGAACTCATCGTCACGTAGCCGAAGCAGCAGGAGCCGGGGAACCGGGCGTTGACGACGATCTTGGCCCCGGTGACTTTCCCGCAGGCGGAGAGGGCGGCCTTCAGCTCGCTGGCACGGGTGTTTTGCGCCACGTTGCTGATCCAAACAACGTTAGGGTTAGACTTGACGCCGATTTTCTTCTGCAATTTATTATCTCCCGAATTGGGGCTAAAACGGAAATATCGTCGATTATTGAGCGAACGTTGCGGCGCGCTGGGAAAAATTGAAGCACAATTGTACTCTGATCGTGGAGAAAATACGGTATCGAACGACTTAATTCTAATATGTTGCATTTTTTTTTCTTCCTTAACTTTGTAATGGTGCGATCGGTGTTCGGTTCTTCTTCGATTTCCTGAATTCCGTTGAGCTTTTCATCCCATATTAGATTTGATGCAGGTTGTAGATATCTTCTTATTGTTGATGCAGGCGAGTGGATAATTTCTTGAAACTGTTTATACTTGATTTGTAGAAAATCTATGCTATATTATACCGTATTTTCTTTGTGGTTTTTTTCAACAATATCAACACGAAATTAACAACATCTATTCAGAATGCCAAAGTTAGAAAGAAATATAAAATTCCTAGTAAAAATCCTTTAGGCCTTACAAAAATTAACAAACTCATTTTACAATGAAAGTATTCATACTCATGATATATGACAAATGATAATTTCGCATCAATAAAAGTGAAGTGTCAGCGTACAATTTCCGAACATACATCAATCATCCAAATAAACAATTACTCTAACTATAAATAACTTAAAAACAGTAAGGTAATAGAAAACGACAACCTTCCACATGTAATTTCCATGAAGTACTCCTTATTTTTTTTACCTTTGGATGCCTTACCGATATCACTTTGTATTCAAAACTATCGTATCTTTTTGTTTGTGGTAAAGACTCATCACTACGCTGCCTCTTTATACTTATTATCATTGGATTTGCATCTTTGATGTGCCATGCTATACTGTTTCTCGTTCAACTGTGCCGTTATGATCTGTTCCATTTGGCAAGTAATAGCTAAGTTGCAGGTGACAGAATTTTTTTTCTCAGATGAAACCGGACCGCAAGCTGCACACGATGTTTTCGCCTGGCCTTAGTGAAAAATCCTTCAAGCAGGCGATGCTTATTATCTTGAAATCCACAAACTCAAAGATCGTAAACACATTATATCTTGTGTGATGTATCTTATATAATTTGTATAGTCTGTAGGCAGCATATGATGAGTTCCTGTCAAAAATGCTGTTCACATAACCAACCTAGAATTGTCTCCTCCAGTTTTCCCTGTTTCTTCATTGGATACTGCTGTTTTGTCCACATTCTCTGGTACTGTAGGATCACTCGTATCTGTCTTCGTATCTATAGTATAAGTTAAAAAACGCATAAATATTCATCCAAATTTCGTGATATAAATGTAGCACGACTTGACAGTAGAATCATTTTGTACATGAAAAAATAATAATTGTATTAAATGATTAAAAAAAATCCTTGCTATCACCGCACTTTGTATAAGGACACAAACTTTCGAATGCATATTTGCAACTAAGGATTTTTTGAACACATACTTTTTTTATTCTATGTTAAAAAAACTAATTGCATATATAGGTATAATGTACAGATGGTCTCCACGAAGAATATGTTTATGTTGACGGACCTAAAAAATTATATGCTCGCTCCATTTGTTCTCGAATATCCATTATCCATATTTAATCCATCAATCGTTCAGTTGAAAATGATCCATAATTTTTTCTTTGTTGATCTGTCGTAGAGTTTCACCATCTTCATATTCTTCGAAACGCTGATCAGCTTCAATCTTCTTTATGTTGTATACTTATATACATGCAATTAGTTTTCTGTTTTAACCGCTTACAAATTTACTAGTTAAAGAGTTTTACATTCAACTATCACATACCTTTAAGTTTCTCTTCGTTTTCCTTAGGTTTTTCAGAAGTCTCTTTCTGTGATATAAATAGATGTAAGTATGGAAATATTAACGATATTTATTCTTATTTACCTCAATTTCATTAATAGCTTCATCATCTTCTAAAGTAAGACGAATGGGAGATTCGTGCCCGTCAGTTCCTTCTTCGGCTGCTTTCTTGGTACTCGAACTGTCTTTTGCAGGAGTTTTAGTCGGAGTACTGTCAGCGTTAGCAGTTCCATTATTCACCACGGTTTCTTTCATCGCAGGAGTTGCCTTTTCTTCCTGTTTCTCCAGCTCCTCGCCGCTTTCTGTGGACAAACCTATCATCATTGTATCAATTATTATTCGTCAGTAATAATTTTTGGCAATTTTATAAAATAAACAGGAAATTTATCATTTTTTCTTGAGACTTCAATTTATTTCAACGAATTCAATTCAAGTACTTACGTATAGAGGAGCGCTTCTTCTCGGGACTCGCTAGGCAGGTTTCGAAGAGGTAGGTCTCTGGATTCAAGCCTTCATCAACTAGCGCCTGGAGTTTTAGAAATAAATTTAATGGAATAATGCTTTATATATTTTTATTGAAAACTGTTGAATGTAACATTGTGAATTAAGACATTTACCTTTGATAATCTATCCATCAAAACTTGTTTGACGCCATTTTTGTCCAAATTTCTCTTCTCTAATTCGGCTTTTAAATCGACGACCCGTAATTCAGACAACTTTTTGTTTTCGTTGTCTGACATAATTAGTTATGTCCGAGTTCTAATATAATTCGAATAAAAATTTCAGTGATAACACAGCGTATATTCCAAATTGTGAGAAATATTTTCTGCGCTTACGCCGCTGTCAACTGTCAGAACACTAGTCAAGTCAAGTCAACTGTCGTTGTCAATTGTGACAATGTTGTCAAATGTCCTTATAATGTATACTTCCGTTATTATCAGGTTAGCCAATATAAATTTTTAGAGTAAAATAAACATTTTATTTATCAAACTTCTATAATAATTGTTAACTGTTGAAATATAATAAATATAAATATGTAAAATATAATTTATGAGTTATACAAAGTATTTTAATTAGGTAGAATGTCGATTATTCGAGGGAGATAAATTGGAACACACCCAAATTTAGGGATATTTGCATTTTAACATTTACACAATGTCGGAAATTGCTGTCGTTGTCAAAACGTCATTTCCTTTCCGTATATAAAAGACACAGTAATGATTTCCGGCGCTCCATTTTGTTATAAATTAGTGTGAGAGCGTGTGGTGTTGTGGAAACTTCACAACCCACTTAAAATTGTGAAATAATTAACTTAAAAATACAAAAAAATATAAAAAATAGTTTTAAAAAATACCAAAAAAAATCGCAAAACAGTGGAAAAAAAGTAAAATAACAAACGATTAAAGAAATTTTTTCGTTTCATATGTTTGTTGAGTGTCTGTATTTCTAGTGTAGCGGCTAAAAAATGAATCCAGGCGCCCCAAATTACCCTATGGCGTCTCTGTATGTCGGTGATTTGCATTCCGATATCACCGAGGCCATGCTCTTTGAAAAGTTTTCATCGGCTGGCCCCGTTCTATCCATCCGCGTCTGCAGGGATTTGATAACCCGCAGATCTTTGGGTTATGCTTACGTTAATTTCCAACAACCTGCTGACGGTAAGTGATTAACATAAACAACTAATTCATCCTAGTTTCCATCCATATGGAAAATGGTGGACTAAGAGCATGACATTGAGAGCGTTTAATTGCACAATATACTGTAACTCGCTTTTAATAATACCATTGTAATTATTATTACTCATTGATGATTAAAAAGTAAGCCAAGGTATTTGGGTTATAGACTAAAATTCGAGTTCATGTTTTTTAATCGGACTATTAATTCGAATTGTCCGATTTTCCAATAGGTGATTAAATGCCGAACTATTTTTATTGCTCGTTATCGTTTAGTCGCAGTTGGAAGTTATTGCATACGAAATAATTCAACGGAAATGTATCTGTTGCAGCTGAACGTGCCCTAGACACTATGAATTTCGACTTGATCAAAGGCAGGCCCATTCGTATTATGTGGTCCCAACGTGACCCGTCCCTGCGAAAATCCGGTGTTGGTAATGTTTTCATCAAGAACTTGGACCGATCCATCGATAACAAGGCTATGTACGACACTTTCTCCGCCTTCGGTAACATTCTCAGCTGCAAAGTGGCCCAAGACGAGAGCGGAGTCAGCAAGGGCTACGGTTTCGTCCACTTCGAAACCGAAGAAGCCGCCAATAAATCCATTGAAAAGGTAAAACTTACGCGAAATGGCCAATTGCGGGAAATTCATTGTCGATTTTACAGGTAAACGGTATGCTGTTGAACGGCAAAAAGGTCTACGTTGGTCGTTTCATCCCGCGCAAAGAGAGGGAAAAGGAATTGGGCGAGAAAGCCAAGCTCTTTACAAACGTTTATGTGAAAAATTTCGGAGAGGACTTGTCCGAGGAACAGCTTAGAACCATGTTCGAGAAGTACGGCAAGATCACCAGCTACAAAATTATGAGCAAGGACGATGGGAAATCTAAAGGGTTCGGTTTCGTCGCTTTCGAGAGTCCCGAGGCTGCCGAATCAGCTGTCGAAGCCTTAAATGGTAAGATAAGATTAAATTAATCACAAAAATTCAATGCGATACAACGTAATACTATTATTAAAAGCGCAATCACTACTCCAAATTACATTCGAGATTAGTTTTAATCTAGAAAAATAATTTCTTTAGGCAAGGAAATATTGGAAGGCAAGCCTCTGTACGTGGGAAGGGCCCAGAAGAAGGCCGAGCGCCAACAGGAATTGAAGCGTCGCTTCGAAGCCCTGAAAATGGAAAGGCTGAACCGCTACCAAGGCGTGAATCTATACGTGAAAAACTTGGATGATACCATAGACGACGAGCGCCTCCGCAAGGAATTCTCGCCGTTCGGCACCATCACGTCCGCCAAAGTAATGATGGAAGAAGGCAGGAGCAAGGGCTTCGGCTTCGTGTGCTTCTCCTCGCCGGAGGAGGCCACCAAGGCCGTAACAGAAATGAACGGCAGAATCGTCGGCACGAAACCGCTGTACGTCGCCCTGGCCCAACGCAAGGAGGACCGCAAGGCCCATCTGACGTCCCAATACATGCAACGCATGGCGAACATGCGCATGCACCAGATGGGCCAGTTCATCCAGCCGGGCGGCTCGAGCGGCTACTTCGTGCCCACCATCCAGGCGACGGCGCCGCGTTTCTACGGGCCGGCCCAGATGCCGATTCGCACGAGCCCGAGATGGCCGGCGCAAACGCCCGTGCGGCCCGGCGCCCAAGGGAGCACAGCCACCTACACCGGCATGCAGAACAGCTACAGGGCCGCCGCCCGACCGCCGGGCCAATCCACGATGCGCAGCAACATCAGCGTTCCGCGACCTATCACCGGACAACAACCACCAAGTATGCACGGTCGTCCACTTGTTGGACAAGGTAACGGTAGGGACTTGGTGTCAAAGCTGTGTTTGTTGGTTTTTTATTTAATTTTAACGTTTCGATCGCGTGCGTTCTTGTTCAAAACATTGAAAGCTTGCTAAGCATAATTCCAAACGAAATTTAAATGAGATTGAATTAAAAGGAAAGACCAATGAACAAGCTTGACACTTGTTAGGCAGATCCTTGCTCTGTATGAAGGGAAAAATTCAGCCAGCCCAAAACTGATTGTGAGTTTTAATAATAAAAGTAACTTTTGTTCGCGACTAGAATGTCGTAAAGTTTCAAGTTATAATTATTTATAATTAGTTTTGTTGGTAAGTAAGCAAGAATCTAACCTTCGTAAGTCATTGCAAATTTTTGCTTTTAAAGTTGGTTTAACTCAATAACACGAAATTAACAAGTCTAGTAAATAAAATATGAATATTTTACATTTTCAAGTCAATAACATTTAAATTGTATGTACGTGACTTGTTGATTTATTATATAGAATAATAATAATAATAATAACCAAGAAATAACCGTTTTTTTGTAGTATCTAATTGAATTGTAAATGTTCAAAATGGTTATTTCTCTAAATGAATTTTAGTCTATGCAAATTTTTTAATTAAACGATTTATTTCATTAATACCAGAGTATTTGCAAAGACTACTATCAGTACTACATAATTACTATAATGCTTTAATTTTCATTTTACATAGACTGGGTGTGAAAAATAGTATTAACGCTTGGTTGGTAAGCTTTGTACAAATAAGTATGTAAGCAGACGAGATGATTGGAGGTTTGGCTATTTCTATAAAAATAATCGCTATTTAACTTCGCTATTTAACACAATTATTCAGATTAGAGTTAGATACTTACGATTTAAGAAAATGCTTAAATTCGCTCGCATTTATTAACAAACTTTTTCTATCAATTAAAGACTTTAATTGCTTGTTTTGCATAACGTATTCTTCGTACCAACGCATATGCTAATGTAATTTTTGATCGATTAGGTGTGGCTGCTGCTGGAAATCGTGCCAACTTCAAATACACCGCCAACATGCGTAATCCACCGCAAGCATTGTTGTCCGGAGCTCAAGCTCAAGTACAACAAGCAGTCCACATTCAAGGGCAGGAACCCCTTACTGCTACCATGTTGGCCGCCGCTCCTCCGCAGGAGCAGAAGCAGATGTTGGGAGAGAGATTGTTCCCTCTCATCCAAAGGATGTACTCCGATTTGGCTGGTTAGTTTTACTAAAAAGGCATACTATTAAAAAATTAATGAAATAAACATATGTTGCAGGTAAAATCACCGGTATGTTGTTGGAGATCGACAACACGGAGTTGTTACACATGTTGGAACATCAAGAATCGCTTAAGAACAAAGTTGAAGAAGCCGTGGCTGTACTCCAAGCCCATCAAGCTAAACAAGCTGCTATAAAAAAAGATTAAATCATTGCCTTTCTAAAAAATAAAAACGAAAATATAAAAATTGCAAACAGTCTTATGACAAAAAAAATAAAAAAAATAAAAATACCGCTACTTAACAATCCAATATTAAGATTCTCGACCTGAGAACAACAACTTTGAAAAATTTTTCGTTTGTATTTTTGCTTAGATATTTGCAATTTTGACTTTTTTTTAATCTATGAAAAATTGTTAAATGACAGTGCTTTTCTTTTATTTTATTAAAGAAAGCATTAAATTGTATACAATTTTAATTTGATTTATTTCTTAAATATTTCCTTGGAAAAAATAAAGTATTTTACTTCATTCTATTTTGGAATATTAGTTTCTTACTTGAATTTCAATTTTATGGTTTAAGGAGTTATTTTCATTTACCTATTATGAACAATTTTCACTCGGTTAAAATAATGTATTCTTGGACTAAAAGTAAATTGGTTTGAAATTATTTTGTTTTTTAAAAATATCCTTCCAACTTTTCCCCACTTTATTAATAAATAACGATACCTGGATCAATGACCAATTATCATTCTCGAGTATGTACTCGAACATGCGCAAATTTCGTTTCGGCAGGAGTAGCATTTCTTTTCCATTATTCAGGCGCTTCGAAATCCACTGTTCAGAGGGCAGCATTATAGAAATTTGAATTCTGCGCTTATCGATTGTTCCGAGAAAGGTTTCAAACAATTTTTGGGCCACATTTCGTGTTGACTCGATCAATACGAGCACGTGACATAACAGAAACTATTTCAACTTTATAATTTTCCCACGTTTATCTTTACCATCTTCTCTTGCATTTCGTATCGATGTGTGGAATGTACTTGTTTGACGGGTCTATTGAATTGAATTCCCCACGCGCGGAATTTTTTCCAGTTTAATCGTCGATTTCGAGCGCAAAATAACGATTTTTGTGAGAATAAAAATTTCAAATTATTCGAGATGCATTTGATTAAATTTACTGCCTAATAAAACAATCGTGCTCAAATTTATGTAGCAATAAATTTTAAAAATGAAGTACGTATGAGCAATTGTCTGTCCCTGTTAATTATACACTGCGAGTCCGGTGTAATTTGAAATTCAACTCTAAGCTCTAAAACTACAGCAGTAAAATGTGTGGACTTTTTTGTTCTCTGACCAGCGGTTTGGGAAGACTGGACTTTTGGCTTAAATCCAATAAAATTATTTTCACATAAAGTTTTTATACACAATATTGTAATTTATTCATTCATTTACAACAAAGTAAAGTATTTAGTTTAAAAGCCAATTAGGAATTTAATAAAATATTTCCTTTTTGTATCGAAACACCTCGTATATTGCCGTTATTCACATGTTTTTTTAATGCGAGGAAATATAATTTAGTTAGAACATAATGGAATTCAGCATATAATTCTAATAATGATCATTATCGAAAATATAACCTTTGCTCCGCAACCTACTAAATTTTTCATTTACTGTTGGACTCCTCTTTTATTATCTTTCAAGAACTCCAATAAAAATCAAATCAAAAATACAACGAGAAATTTCTGGCCAAGTACTAAACTTTTAATTCATGAAAATAAACATTTTATGGGGAACCAATTCCACACTAAATTTTTCTCTTCTTTTCTGCTGCAGTCGCGAGGTCTCTTTTGGATTTGAATATCCTTTTGTACCGCCTGATTATAAAAAGTGTTTGAACAAAATTCATAATGCCCTAATTTAAATCCTTTCTAACCGACTGCAATTCTATAGATGTTTTTAAATTATTAACAATTTTTTAATTGCTTCGTCCTATTCATCATCGTTATCCTCGCAGTTTAATCCTCTAATTAATCGATACGTGATTAATGTCCCCGTCGGCTCCTTTTTTTCTCTTAAATACTAATCGCGTACGTTGAAACGTTGATAAAGAAAAGTTCAGATAACTCATGAGAAATGGGAACCATCTTAATTAATATGTTTGTAATATAAATTAGACCTTCGTTACACGCAAAACATTTATCTTAATAAACTGTAATTTAGACATTATGAAGGGAAATACATAATGAGCTAAAATGGCCCGTTTAATTACAAAATTTTGGTATCGCAGGTAAACTGGCTCTTCCTGACACGAGCGTTTTTGTTTGCTTATCACGCAGGAGTAACAAAAGGGCATAATTTAAAAATATTCGTTCATAGGGGCTGCGCGTAAATGGATTCATCTTAATTGAATAGATTTTATTAAGACTGATAACCGGTGATTTATATAGTGAATTTTTTTTTCGAAAAGTCGGCTATGAATGTCAAAAATTAAATTGACAGATTTATTGACAGGTTCAATGACGGTTCAATTTTGAAAAGTCACAATATGTTAATTGTGAAGAGCATAAAATAGAAGAATATAAAATTTACTAGATTATTGTGAATTTTATGAGAATTAGGTATGTTGTCGATAATCTAGACTTATAAACTTTGTGTGGAATTTGTTTGCTTAATTCCTACGTACTTAGTTATTTCAAAAATGTTATATTCCAGAGCTTACTTAGATGCCTATACAAGGTACGTATCCCAATAAAATTAGGCTATCTAGATTAATTTGATTAGAAGGATCTTTATTCTAAAAAATTGCATTTGTTATATTGCGTTAATAAAAATATATATTACTGTCAATTGAATAGGGAAAATGTCTCATTAAGTGTTATTATAATTTACCCGTTTTCCTTCATATATTTGTTTCGTTTCAAGCCTGTTACTTTGGATTCAGAAATTCCCTCCAGAGTATAATGAAGTTATGATCCTCTGAAATCCTCTATACACAACATGAGAACTTAGAGTCAATTAGAGGGCTTCTTCTGCTCCTTCCCATGCGAATTCTTATACGTTTTAGGTACAAGAAACTTGAAACTCGTTCAAGGATTACTCTGGATTGTTCATAGAATCTTGCGATGGCCTTTCGTCGGATAGTAATTGTTTCGTACGTTACGTATAGCCCTTCTGGAGTCCTCACTGGAGTATCCCGCGAGCTACCCTCCCATGTGGGCCCGCTTTCGAAAGGATATATACTCTCAGTTTCTGCGAGTGGTGACTTAAGAACGCCACTGAACGGCATGAACTGAGGCGACGCGAGGCGATTGTCGACGTCGTCGGTGTTGGTCTCCGTCGCGACGCCGACGCCGACGCGCACCCCGAAACGTCGACTGGCGTGCGGTTGTGGTAGTATGTTCGGAGATTCGTTTATCGCGAGGTAAACGCGCCGGATTCCATTTCAAACGGGCCAACATATCAGTCGTTTTTGTACGGTTACAAAATATAAATAAATAAATAAAAAAAAATTATTAATTATGCCAAAGCTACACGTAGTGCCTCCATTTTTGAAAATTAACGGCCGATGCGGCTGCGAGAATTTTCCCGGAAATACCAGACATGATTAAAGGTAACACGAATAATTCATTCTAATCGAATAAAAGGATTGTTTCGTTTATTTAAAGGCGATTTTTTTACATTAATTTCTATCGATTGCTGGCAATCGAGCACTGTATCAATAACAACATTCGGTATGGTTATGTTTACTAAAAAGGGGGTGTACACTTTCCAAACTCGAACGCGTGATTTTTTAATTTACTTACGTCTAAATACAACTAAAAATAGAAAAACCATTCAATAAACTGTTTTATTAAATCTAATAACAAATTGGTTAATTATCTGTTGAAAACTGTTCACTAATTTAACAGTTTTGTTTACCGAATGTTGTAAATTCTCATGCCACGTTCAACGTGTTTTTAATTCACTTAATTTAAAACTAGATTAATTCATAAATACATACATGCATAATTTAATTCCAAAAATAAATTATACTGGATATTTTGAAAAGAATATATGTATCCATTGGATTAATTAGAAGATTTCAATTTTGTTAAAATAAAAAATGTATGTGGAAAATTATTGAAATGTATTCTATGCCTACATACAATTTACGTCGGGATGGAAGCACATTCATTTCGTGTAAATTAATTAATTAATGCTTTTAGTAACGTGTTTGTTTCATTGCATAAAAAAATATGTCCTAACTTGTCTGCGTATATTGATTTTAATAACTAACGATCTTATTTGTTTCCGTGGGTCAAAATACTCATTCATTAGTCATTAATAGAATTTCCATCGAAATCCTTCATGGTTATATTTAGTTCATTTTATCATTATTTCAGTACAATTATATTTAAAAATAGTTAAGAAGGTACCCACTTTCTTTTTTACCTTATATATTGTATCAATATCCCAGCGCAAATATCAGAAAAAATAACCTCTTAAAAGCAAACTTATTAAATTCAGCACATATGAACATTCCCGTAACAAAGTGAGGTACTCAAGTACTCATTATATCTGCTCGCAAAATGAAAATAGTTATTAATTTTGATACATAAACGCCACCGCGAGTTAATTAAACCAACCGCTCATAACTGTATATATAAACTCCGAAGTTAAATCCAAGTTGATCTTTCCACTTTGGGTTTCCCGACACCCTGAAAAACCGCATGCATTAAAAGTGCAACGTACCCATACTGCAATGACAGCGTTTGTCAAGTAAATTGCTACGGAGTTTTGGGAATTTCGCCGTCGAAAATAATCGGATCGAACTTTCGGAAGTTGGACTAGACGTAATTAGTATCGGCTTTTCCTGTCCAACTTACCTGCAAATTGACGAAATAGAGGAAAAGAAAATTCCGGAACGGTTACCTAAATACTTGATTAAATTTAGAATATGTGCGACTGTAATTGCATAAAGTGAAAGATGTTTATTCTTAGCTAAGTCCGTTGCTCTTTTGTGCCGACTTCTATTTATTTAAATTTCAAACAGAAATTAGCTAAACTAAACCGATTGATTGGCACTACTTTTGCGCGAATTTTTCATCCAATCGACCTATTTTTATAGACACACTATATGATTTCTGCTCAGGAACGCACCATTTTTTCAAAAACTTTTCGAACTACAATAAATAAAACACGAAACTTATATCTTTCGATATTTACTCGACCAATTGTTCGAGGGAAGTTGCCGGAACACTTCTTCACATTACTGGAAATTCGCAGTCCTGAAACGTCCCTGCAATTTAGGTACTCCGCCTTCCGACCGCAATTATACTGGCCCCAAACAAAAAGCTTCCGATATCCTTATGGCCCCGTCAAAATCGAAATACATATAGCTCCATTTGGTTTCAGCCGCACCCCAATTACGCAATTCGTTCACAGACGAGGAAATTGATACCGAAATATCTACAATTGATCGGGGTGCCTTCACATGTCACGAGTACTCGCCGGGTCGAAAATATTTTTCGCGTTAAAGCGAATACGTTTTATAGTTTAAGTAAGGGTATACAATAATGGGCTGGAGCCGCGATTGCTCCCTCTCGTGTCCCCATAAAACCCTAAAAAGTGATCGTCAAGGGACAATAAAAAAAGTCTAAATAAGACTTTCTACTCTGCAGTTACAGATACATAAATAAGAAAAACGTAATTTAGTATGTAATAGGAAACATTTAGTTGATAAAATTTGAGAAATTATTTAGAAGGTACTATAACAATAGGTACTTAAATATTTTAAAGCCCCCATAACTCGTTTAAACTCCGAGAGCAAACGAACTAGCCGAGGGGTCGATAAGACAAACAAATCTTGCAGGAGTTTCGAACTGGAAAGAGGAAAAAGAAAGGCAAACATAATTAATAAAGCTGCTAAACATTTTTCCTCTCGCAGTTAATATTCGGGATTTGATACACACACACCATCGAAAGAAATATCGCCGTCAAAGTTCCGCGAAGTTTTCGAAAGATAAAACGCGAGCCGCCCAAAATGGGAAACTTCGCGGAGCCAACCCCATCCGTTGGAAGACCTGATTGTTGTTACTTCTTCTGTTGCTATTCTATCCCCACACTTGTGAAGTTGGTTACCCCAAAAGCCGGTTAACTACGGGCGCACACAAAGTTTTAGGAAAATAAGGTCGGGAAAAATCGATTCGGAAAAACGGCCGAGCCACGAATCAAAACAAACAACTCAATCAGACCCTTTCTCTCCTTTCTCAAACGAAACCCTAGAATTTAATTTTTATTTTTCACTTAGAATCCGATCCTGCCCATGCAGGTCCGCTTCGCACTTCTCTGATTGGTTCGGCATTTTGTATTCGACCTTTAGCAACATCTCATCTTGTAGAGAATGTAAACACATTTTTTTTGAGCACGTCAAGATACGGTGTAAACATATTCATTCTATAAATGATCCTATTGATCCGAATACTGAAGGAAATAAAGAACTGGTGCAAATAAAAACGGCTCGCTCTTGACTTTCGAGAGACTAAAGGAGCTTCAATAGCGCTAAAAAATTAGTTGCTTTCCACTCACCGGAAGATCGTTTTCAGCGAAATTAATTTTTAACGAAATTAAGTCAAAACATTAATGATTTCAAAACAGAATTTTCATCGCCTACTCGCTTGGAAGTCGGTAGTCTAATAAACACGTTTTAATTAACATGGCAAAAGGTGGAATGGAATAACAAAAGGCGACGGCGCTAGGGAAAAGCCTTCTAAAGCGCCTACCGATATTAAAGCAGGAAAAGAAAGTATAGTAAACAACTTAAATGAACTCCAAGCATAACAAAGAAAAATAGCAATCTTATAGTTACGACACGGGAATATGTTTGATATAGCAGTTAGGAAGCCAAAAAATCTATGTTATAACATGAATTTCAATTTAATCTCGTTTCTCTCCAGTTTCCATTACATCCATGTTATACACATTTGGTTAACACTGAAAGAATGAATGTATTGGATAATGGAATTCGATACTTTTGGGATGCTCTTGGTGAGTATCATTCTTGCCTTTCGATCACATTGAAAACTAAAGTATCTATACGTACATTTTTAAATTTATTTGTTTGTGTATATGAGCATATTATTAGATACTAGATGGTTTTCACAAATACGGTAAATTACATAGTTGTTCGCAGAAAATTCAAAAATAATCATTTCGAAATAATGGCACTTGAATTCGAGGAAAAGAATGCTAATTGGAAAAACGAGCACGAAGAGAAGAAAACCCTCGGAATAACAGGCATAATAGGTACTCCTTTTGGGCACTGAGAAACTTATCGTAGTTTCTGAAGCGAATGAAATATTTTAAGTAACGAATGCCAGTTATCTGGGATTTTGCTTTTAAGCGCGGTACATAATCGCTTTTGTGCACCGAAATTTGTGGTTTAATCATACGTATATACCTCTCCCGTGACTGCCCGGCCAGTTCTGTACAAAATCCTTGATGCATTTTAAAATCCAATTAAGATTATCTTCCATTAAATCACGGCGTTCTAATTAGAACAATTTCTACGTGCCTCGCAACGAACGGGAACAACGAACAATTTGGAATGTTAGGCAGAGACGCGCTTTTATCTAGGCCCAGGTAGGGTTAATTATTGATAACACAAAGTGTCCCAAAACAATGGCTATCTGGAAATCAGTCGTCAAAACCGACCCCTAAGTTAATCTAACTCCTGAATGTGTTTATGAATCATTTAGGGTATAATTTATTCGGAATTAGGTATTAAAATGCGTGTGGTGGTCGCGTTCGAAGCTCTACAACACACAAGGTTTCGGTTTTCAGTCAATGAGTTAGGCATAATGGGCCCCACTTTAAAGCGGAGTACGGATTTATTGTTGAAAATACGTAACAAAAGTATATCCGCAACGCAAATATGCTAAAATATTTGAACACGGTCTGGCAATATAATGGAAACAAATTAGATATACGACTGGTTTTTGGTTTCAGATTCGATTGCGGCCTAACCGTTGACCCTATATAATGCGCTCTCTCGTCTAGTTCCCATTTGTTTACCATAATCCTCCGCATTCGGTTATTCTCATAGATCGTATGGAGAGATACGTTTCTATCTAAATTAGTTATGAATTTCATTTCGTTCCCAAAGTTTGATCCCTTTAATCGAAAGTTTACACGAACCGGTGATCCGCAGAGCGAAAGTAAATTGCCCCGTTGAGGGAAAAACGGGCGGCATTCAATAAAACCGATTGACACAATCACACGAGGCCATTTAATTTATTTATTCGAATGAGAGAAATAGCTTTTCATTGTTGCGGCGTCCCTTGATTTTTTAATAAACTGAGAAAATCAAACGGCGTAATCCCGGGAAGTGTTTGAATAAAGTAGGCGCGATTCCCTGCGGCCTTTGGGGATTTTCGAGACCTGAAATAATAAAATTTCTTAAAAAAAATGGAACGGAATTTTACATCACAAACCTCGACTCGGGCAAACATCATAATACGGAACGATTGGTGGGGGAAAAGAGACAAGGACGGCGAGAATTTCGGAATTAACTCCATCGTAGCCGGCGCAAGATAAAACGAGACGTGACAATCATTTGATTAGATTAAAAAA